ACTTTATTTATATTATTAGTAATTTATTACTTTATAAAGTTAAATAAAAAGAAGGTATTAAGTTAATAAATAGGTTATTTTTCTTTTTAAATAAAATTAAAGCTTTATATTTTAATCCTTATATATTTATATATTATTCTACTATTTTAATATTAAGGAGTTAAGGTATTAAGTATTATATATAAATAGTTTAATTTTATTAAGTAATAATAGCTACTTAAAGAGGAGAATTTAATTAAAACTCTACTAAATAATAGTAATTATTATAATATTTAACTTATTAGGTATATAAAACTACTAATTAATATATATATACCTTTTATAACTATATTTATATAATTATAAAATAAAAATAGTTATAATTTAAATTATAATAAAATAAATTAATAAAATTTAAATTTATATTATATTAATTATTTATATTTAATAATTAATAAATAATATAATTAATTAATAATTTACTTTATATCCTCTAAAAGTAAAACCTTATAACTAAAATTTTAACTAGTAGTTTAATTTAATAAAGTTAAAAGTATATATATTATCCATATTATATAAATATTTAAGTTACTAATTTATATTTCTTAAATATTTTTAACTAAATTTTATAATTATAATACCTATATTATTAAAAAAGAAATAATTAATTATAATATTATTTAAAATATTTAAATATTTAATATATAATAAATTAATACTTTTATTTAATAAAGTATACTTATTTAAAACTTTATTTAATAACTTATACTATACTTATATATTAGTATATATTATATCTATATTATATATAATATTTAGGTTATAATTATATTTAAGTTTAAATTTAAATTTAAATTTAAATTTATAATTTAAAGTTTAAAGTATTCTTATTTATTTATATATTAATAAATAATAAAAGTATAAACTTATATATATATTTAAAAGTAAAAGCTTAAATACTTAAATTAATAATTTTAAATTAAAATCTTATTAAAATTAAAATATTTATATAAGGAAAATAATATATTTATTTTAATTTATTAAATTAATAAATTAACTTAAAATATATAAACTAAATACTTTTAATAATATTAATAGCTTTTAATATATATCTTTATTTAATAATATTATAATAGAAAGTTATTATATTATTATATATTTAAAAAATAAGGGTTTAAGTTTAATTTAATTTAAATAAAATTGTTTTTTTTTTAAGGGGGGTGCACCTATTCCTATAATTAGTTATTTTAAATAGTAAATTTTCTACCTAATTTTAATAAAAAGTTTATACTTTAATCTATTAGGATTTATATAAATATTATAATAAAGAAAAGTTGCTTTATTTATTTATTATTAAGTTATATATATAAATATTTTATATATTATTATAATTTATAGTATATAAATAGTTATTATTATTAGTAATATTTAAAAGTTTTTTTATTTAATCCCTTCTTTTAAAGGTAGGTACCTTTAATATAACGCTATTTAATTCTAACTTTAAGTATATTTTATTCTATTTATTTAACTAATTAAATAATATTTTTATCTTTTAATTATATATTTAGAAAGTTAAACTTATTATAATTTAATATTTATTTAAATATACTATTAAAAATAACTTTTAATTATATTAAAGGATATTATTTATTAAATTACTTAATATATAAGCCTCTTTATAATATTAATTAAAGGATTATTTAATAGCTCTTTAAATAGTTACTATTTATAAATTATATTATATAAGTTAAATAAAATTAATTAAATATTATATATTAAGTTTTTATTATACTTAATATTATTAATATAGTTATAGTTAATATATTTATTAGTTTAGTTAATAAGCTTAAATTTATATTTAATAATAGTATACTTAATTATATTAGCCTTAAAATATTATTTTAAACTTATTATTTAAATATAACTTTTATTTAAAAGCTATATTATATTAAGTATTTTTAGCTTATAGTTATATAACTTACTTTTTAAAAGAATATTAATAACTAAATTATAATATTATAAATTAACCTATAATTACTTTATTAGTTTATTTTATTAAAATTAATAATATTTTAATATATTATATATATTAATACTAATTATAAAATTTAATATTAATAATATTTCTATTTTATAATTATTAATTTACCTTTTATATTAAAAATTAAACTTTAAATTTTATTTAAAATTTTATTTAAAGTAATATTAAAATATTCTTTATAATTTTATAAAACTTATAATAATTAAATTTAAATTTATCCCCTTTAATTATTAAGTTATATATAAATAAATTATAAATAATTAAGGTAATAAATTAAATATTTAAATTATAATAAAAAGTAATATAATTTTATAATATTTAATATTTTTTTATTAATAAACTTAATTTAAGTTAAGGTTTAAATATTATAAAATATTATAATTTTAAATTTAATTATTAAATTCTTAATATTATAATAGTTTTAAAAGAGTAACTTAATATAATTAAGCTTAATATAAAAACTAATAAAAAGGTTTTTATTTATTAATATTTTTATATATATTTTATAATTTTTACTAACTATTTTTAATATAATATATATAATTAGTAATTTTATAATTATTATAAATTAAAAATATATTTTATAAAACTTATTATTAAAATATAAATATTTTTAAATAATTTATTATAAATATTATATATACTTAATATTTTATCTTTATTTTTATAAATTACTTCTATTTAAAAAATAATATATAATAGAAGTTTATATTTATATAGTTAATAATAAAAACCTTAATATTAAATCCTTTTTTTATTTAAAAGCCTATAAATAAAGCTTAAAATAAGTTATATTAATATTTAATTAAAGTTAATTAAATACTATAAAAGTATTATTAAACTATAATTATAATAAACTTATATTATAAGTTAAAGTTTATTTATTAAATATAGTTATTTTACTATTTAAATATATTAAAGTAAATAGTAATTATAAGATTAATAAAGTAATTTTATTTACTACTAATAAGGTTTTAAACTTTATTAAAATAATTAAAATTATTATATTAAATAATTATTTTTAAATTATATATATAATAATAGAAATTATATTTAGCTATTTTTTAAATATAATTTAATATTTTATATATAGTTTAATATAAAAATAAATATTAAAGCTTAGAAATATTAATAATTAAATATTTTATTAATAGTAAATATTATATTTAAATATAATAAATTTTTACTTAATATAAATAGAGAGTTTATTATATATTAAAATATATTTTATTTTATTTATAATTTAATAATACTTTTAATATAAAATAAAATAAATAAATACTTATACCTATATTTATTAATTAAACTTTTAAAATAGTAAACTTTCTATTAATATATTATAAAAGTTTATATAAAATAAACTTATTAATAAAAGTATTAATAATATAAATATTTATATTATTTAAAATAAAATATAATTTTATAACTTTTAAATAAATAAGCTATTTTTATATATAAAGCTATATATTAAATAGAAAATAATTATAACTATTTATATTATCTTTTTTATTAATAGTTAAATTTTAAATAGTTTAATATTTAATTTATTAATTTTAAAAGAGTTATAATAAAAACTATAAATATTAATATATTTTCCTTTAAATTTATTTATATATAATTAATATTATAATATAAATAATTAATATTAATAACTAACTTAAATAATTATATTATATTATTATATAGTTAAAAGAGTTAATTATTTTTAAATAAATTAAACTTTAAAAATAGATTTTCTTTTAAGGTAATTATTTCTTTTTTATTATTATAATTAAATTATTAATAATTATATTAATATTAAATTTATAAATAATAATATTTAATATTTAAAAGAATTATAAATAATTAAGTTATTTAATATATTAATAAAAATATATTTCCTTTTAAACTATATATTTATTTAATAAAAGTTATAAAGATTATATATTTAATTATTATTTACTTTTTTATTTATAAATAAACTAATATAGTTTTTTAAAGTTTTTTATTTATATAATAATATTTTTAAGGATATTTTTATAAAATTAATTTATATTTATATTATTTTTATTATTATTAAAATTATTTTTAATAAAATTTAATAAATAATTATTTATTATAATATTTTTAGGCTTAAAATAAAGTTATATAATATTTTTAATAATATTTTAATAACCTTTATAATATTATTTTATTATTTAATTTAATATATTAAAGTTTAATATATTTATAAAAGAATTAATAATTTAAATATATTATTATATAGTTAGTTATATTAAAAGTATATTATTAACTATTATTAGGTAATATTAAATATAATATATATATAAGTATTAATATTCTTATTAAATTTAAATTATTTATAATTTATAATATATAAAGGTTTATATATAGTAAAAGTAATATTAAAATAATTAGTATAATTAAAATAATTTAAAAAAAGTAGTATTTATAAGTAAATAAATATATTAATATTATTATATATAAATTAATATTTAATTTAATACTTTTAATTTCTTTATTATAATTATAATTATATTTTAATTATAAACTTTTATTACCTATTTTTTATCCCTTATTTTTTAGCTATACTTATATAAGGTTTAGTAGTTACTAATATTTTTAGGTGTAGACTTTTTATTTAAAATGGGTGGGGAGTTTGCGCTAAAAGATGTGGGCTTAAGGAGGTCTGTGTGTTAGAGATAATCCTTGTGTTCCCTCGCCCTCTAGGCGCCATGCACAGTGCCGGGTACGGTACCAGCCGCCGCACTGACGACTGATTCAGCCGCCCAAAGATCAAGATCCAAGGTCCCGGCTTCCAAGGTCCAACCAAGGGCGGAGGCTTGGGTGTGCGGGCGCGTGAGGGCGTGGCCTAGGCGTGTGGCCTCGCAGGTGTGGATATACTGTACCGTGCTGTAGGTGGGTGTGGGTTGAGGACGCCGACATAATAGCATCCCATCCCATCCCATACCATACACACATTACTACTACTTATTACCTGGTCGTAGTACCCCGTGCTACTTGCCTCACTGCCCACCTCACCACAACCTCGTACGGAGTACATGACTTTATTATGGTCATGCCGTCATGAGCCAGCAGTCTCGCCGCACTATTGAACAATAAAAAAGCTGGCACAAAAACTCGAGTCGCCGTGGGTTGCCAGTCAGTCCTGACTAAACTCCCGTTCTCGTCAATGCGCCTTCGCACCTGCATTGCTTGCCTCGCTCCCTCTCCCCCTCTCGCCCTCTGTCCTTTCCTCCCCGGCCGCTGTTGCGGGCCCCAGATGTGATCCACGGAAAACGGAAACCACTTTCCCTCATTAACCACTTCGAGCCCCCCTTTCCCTTCGGACGACGGCGCAAACGGCACGGGTCACGGCAACCACTGCGCTCGCTCGCACTCGCTCGGTCGCCGCTTGTGAAGTAGCGACTTCATGCATCCTTGACCGCGCGCCTGCCCCCCTCGTTCCTCGTCCGCTTTGCCCAGCTGCCTCTCTGCCCTGGCTCTGGCTCTGGCCCTTGCTCTTATCCGTGGTCAGCTTCTTCTACTACTGCTGTTTTCCTCGGACATCCATTCCGGACCTGGTTCCGACTGTAATGTGTAATTCGACCACAACCACACTCCAAGGCAATGGGGAGGTTCGTTCAGCCTGACCATCAACCGAACGACATACCCAATAATACCGGGGTTCAGCATTCTGAAGATCAACGGACCGCCACACCCAATAATACCCCTAAGACTGGTATCGAGATGGAGACTATCCCACCCTCAGCAGTATGCACGTTTGTCGGCGAGGGCGCGGCAAACGTCGTCTTTGAGCTCTCGGGCGTGGAAGACCACCCAGGCCTGCACGGTACAGCACCCATTCACACATCTTATCCCGAGGCATAGTCGGGACCCGGTGGGCTAACAAGAGTCCAGGTCAGCTGCTTCGGCTCCCAAAAGACGAGTCAAACGGCCCGACATATGCCGAGCTGCAGGCGTACTGGCAGGACAGAGTTTCGCCTCTGTTCAAGCCGCACGAGCTTGTTCAGCAGAGGCTTGTCAAGCTACCCCAAGAACCTGCGTTCTTCGATAGGCTCAACCTGCAGCTACATGAGATCGAAGAGAAGAACAAGCGCCGCCGTGACTTTGCCGGCCAAAGGTTCGTGGCCGAGGCCATGAACACCGGCATGCTCGTCGAGGACATGCGGCCCAGGAAGGCGGGCGCACCACGGCCGGCATCGCGGCCGTCATCATCCGGGGCCGCCAAGGCCAAAGCCAAAGGCAAGGCCAAGGCAGAGGAAGAGCCCGACGACAGCAGCAGCGAGGACGAGGAAGACTTGTTCACGCTGCACGAGATCAAGCCCAAGTGGCTGCACCAGTCGCCCAGGGCGCCCGACGGGGCCGAGCAGTGCCGCAATTGCGCGCGCGAGGTGCAGCGCAACATCAAGAACGGCTCGCGCAACCCGGTCTTCTGCCCGCTGAACCTGGTCAAGGCCACCGATTTCCCCCGGAACCAGAACGTCGCGGTGGACATCCGGAACGGCCTGCGCCTGACGTCCTCGGAGGCCGACAACCTGAAGAAGTGGCTGCACGACTCGGACCTGCTGCGCCGGCTGCGCACCAAGCAGTGGGACCTCGACCACTGCCCCAAAAAGGTGGTGCCCCCCGCATTGGAATCCGGGGGTTCCTCCTCGGGGGGAGCGTCCGCGGCCACGTCGGCGACCACCGTGGCGCAGTCATCCGGCGCCGAGGAAGACGCGGAGGAGGACAACGTCGCACGGTATTGTCTCGCCATGACGCTGCGCGACTGCAGCCTGTTCCTTCGGATCCCGAGGCTGCCCGTCGCGGAGGGGGGCGAGGTCGTCGCCAAGCTGGCGGACCTGGACAAGAAGAACTACGGCACCAAGCACGAGTACTGGGAGGGCATGGAGGACGACCTGCACGAGCAGAACCTGTATTCGAGAAAGGGGGCCAACGGCCTGTCGGGCAAACTCACCAACTGCCAGCTCCCGTTCTACAAGGCCAACTTCAAGAACCTGGACGACCAGGTGCGGGCGTACTACCGTCTCCCGTTGAGGCAGCCACCGGGAGGAGCTCAGTCGTCGAACTGAGAGGAGGGCAGTTTGTCTGGGGCGGGTTATTTACCACTGTTGAAAAGAGGCAGAAGGAGGGATCGTTGATTAATAGACATGTTGTGGCCCTCGGGCTATGTATAACTACTGCTGCCAGGTCTGGGGCCGTCGACACTCGAGTCGCCGCCGAGGGCACATGCTGGCGAGGCGTTCACAAACACAGATGCGCTGCATTTCTCTTTTCTTCTCTCACTTTGGCTTGTCAGAGATTATGCAGCATTGCCTCACGGCTTGTACAAGGACGCTGGAAAAGGACGGGTCCGTCTGGTTAATTGATAGATCGCATTGGCATTTGTGTTTTTTTTCACCACCCCCCATCACGGCTTGTGTTGTTCCGGCCTTCTGTTCTGTGACCTCGGCCGCCGTGAAGCTTGTACGAACCTGGCTGACTGCCATGGCCCGCCGATGGCCAACATGAATGAGTTCGTCTCGCCCTCGGCCCTACTGCACCGCGGGCCCCGGGGGTGTTGCCCCGCGGGCGCGGCGCCGCGGCGTCCTCCGGCAGTGGTGATTCATGCGCGCCCGGGTAGGGAGGGGAGTTGGTTCGGGATTCGGAGGCCTTGCCGCCGCTTCGGGTGTGGCCGGGGCTCTTGGCTGTGGGTGCGATGCTTTTTGGGTGTTGGACGTCGTCGTGGTCCTCGCTGCTGGTGTGGCTGGCTAGCTGGTAGATCGGTACTCGCAAGTCTTGGGATGTCTGTCATGGACGGGTTGGTGCTGTGGTTGTGAGGGAGGTGAGAAAGAGGTTGGGGGGTCTGGTGTTGAGCTGCTGTTTTGGTGTTCGCTACGCGGCCACACCATCTATCCAAGTTGGAAACCCTAGCTTGGTCTGCCAATAAGTATCAAACCTACTACGCCTTTGGGATGTGGGTGCGTCCATTTTCCCTTGGCTTACCATCCACCCTCCCCCTGATGCTTTTAAGACGGCCTCGTATGGGACAACCCCCTAGGACAGCAGAATACAGCGGTTAGCCATAGAGGCCCTGGCAAACCATATCACTCTTGTTTTGGAAGATGTATCGGCGTTGCGGTAAAAGCGTATGTGATTGATTGTGTTGACCACTTTATCTGGGTCATCTATCAAAGATGCATTTCCTCAAGACCAAAGCCCCCTAAAACTGACCTAATAACAGCGCTGTAACCCGACTGATATGCAACAAACGCCTAAAGAGTAATGTCTTTTTTCTTCTCTCCTCCTCGGCAAACAAGCCCCCCTCAGATCATGGTCCCCCGCTCGAAGCTGTCCCTGATCTCGGCCGTGTACTTGTTGTAGAAGCGCGCCAGCTTCTGGTTGAACTGCTTGTTCTTGTCGTTGATGTAGGTGACGTCGGCGTCGTCGCCGTTGCGGGCCTGGCGCTCCTTCCTCTTCTTGTTGGCGACCTCCTCGGCCTTCTTGAGCTCGCCGACGAGGCGGTCGACGGCCTTCTTGTCGGGCTTGTTGTCGCTGAAGCCCGCGAAGGCGTCCCCCGCGCCGCCGCCGCCGTAAAAGGTGCCGTCCTTGTCGACGGCGACCATCTCGCCGTCCTCGGTCTCGACGAGCTCCAGCGTCCCCCGCGCGGCGGCCTCGTCGATGGCGCGCATCCTCTCGCGCGCGTACCGCTCCAGGTCCGGGTCGCCCAGGTTGCGCAGCTGCCGCTTGTAGATCTTGGAGGCCTCGCGCGCGTAGTCGGAGAAGGCGTTGTCGTCGCGGTGGCGCTCCTTCTTGGCCACGCGGCTGTCCCACTTCTCCGACTCGTCGACCGTCCAGTCCCACGCCCGCTTGCGCTCAAAGTCGCCGCCCGCGTCCTCGATGTCCGCCTTGAGCAGCTTGTTGGACGCCACGGCCGACTTGCGCTGGATCGCGGCCAGCTGCGCCGGGTCGTTGGCCAGGCGGTGCGCCTCCGTCTGCGCGGCGGTCAGGTTGGATGCCGAGGAGGACTTGGCGCGGGTCTGCAGGGCGCGGAAGCGCGCCATGCGGTCTTGGATCGAGGCGGCCGGCGCGGCCGCGGGTGGTTCTGGCGCTTCTTGTGTGTCTGCTTTGTCTCCTTCTGTTTGTGCGGGTGCAGAAGGCTCTGCTGCGGGTGTTTCCTCCGGCGCGGGGGACTGCGCCTTGTCTGTGGTTGTGGCTGCGGCTGGTGGTGATTGAGGTTTTGGCGACAGCGGCGCTGGTTCTGGCTCTTGCGGGTCGGCAGGCGGTGGTGACGATTCTTCGACGGTCGAGGTCACTACTGCTCCCTTCTTGCCGCCCCTAGCGGCCTTTGCGGTCTTTCTCTTCTTTGCTGGAGGCATGTTGAATGAGGCCTGTGTGGTTGAGATTGAGGGTTTGGTTTGGCAGATGCGGGCAAGAAGTTGCGAGGCGAGTTGATGGTTTGATGTTGCAGTTGAGAATGTCTGGGGTAGCGATGAGAAGAAGTGGGTCTGGGCCTGGGCCTGGATAAAATACAGAAATTGAGCGGGAAACAAATGGGGAGAATTGAGCACTAGTCTTAAAGAAGTAGCACTGGCCAGCGGGCTAGCTATATCAGGTAGTTGTGCGTTCAGAGGGTAACTAGGTAGGTCTAGAGTCAGTCCACTAGTATTTGAGCTTGTTGTTCTATCTGACCTGATGAACTAAATTGGTCGAAGAGAAAGAGAGAGAGAGAGAGAGAATAATTGAATTTGAGAGCTTCCTTTGCTCTCTACAGTTTCCTGCCACTTGCGGGAAGAAAACGGTCTAGTGCGCTCCCCCTGGCCTGGCATTTGGAGGGGACGCCCGCACTGCAGCACACGCAGCCTCCAAATGTCCCCTTGGCTGCAATTTCATACCCCAAATACTCAACTCCAATGTGACACGACATCACTGACTGGATTTTCATCTCAGAACTCAATTCTCAAGTTCCCAGACTTCGGGGCGAGTCACGACCTCCAGTGGTTTTTGTTTATCTCTCTGCATGGATCAATCATCTTCTCCTTCTCAATAACCCACATCCCCCAAAGCACGGGCCCTCCCCCCATGAGTCGCGAGCTGCTTTACCCACAGGATGAGGCGGCTCAGGGTAGGAGCCCCATCTGGGCTCTGCTGGGCGTGCGGCGGCTCCATCCCATATAACGCGAGCTCTCAGAAGCGCACATTCATTGACCGAGAGCTCACAGGCGTCATCCTCAATAGTGGACGAAGTCGTCGTAGAATCAAAGTCAGGCGTAGTGTCCCGGCGTTTGACCTGCCGCTCGTCGTGCTGGACCTTGACGCCGAGGACAGTCCGCATGTACGCCCTTTCAACAAGAAGGATGCCGCCGAGCAGACAGCCAAATGGGCACACGATCCCATACTCCCTGAGGTTGAGAAGCGGGTTGACCAGCTGGAGGAGGCCATAGTCAAAGACAGGGGCAAGATGGACCGCATGCTGGCAGCCCGTTACAGCCCCTACAAGATATCGGATCTCGATGTGCTTTCGGTCGCCCTGTGCGGCAGCGATGGCGCTGTTTCTTCGCAGGTTGACCGCGCAGCTACCGCCGTGGATCAGGGCATCCCGGGGCGCATCCCGGGGCGTGATGTCCTGTTGGGGGGCAGGAACAAGGCCTTGAACGAAAACGGCATACCACAACGCATCCTAGCCGGTGATGCAAACACGATCATCCGTTTCATGCTACACCGTCAACGTCAGGCACCTGCCTCACCTGAGACTGCTTCGGCCAGCGTCGACGTGGACGCTCCCGAGGCTTTCGAAACGGCCGTCAAAGACTGCAAAAGCCTCAACCAGCTCAAAAGGCTGTGTGCGCATGTCTTCGCACCGGGACACGAGGCCCTCACCCCGACCTCCATGGACTGCATTGCACGCTGGTTCACGGATGGCAGGCTTAAGAAGACATCGGGCGGGCATAGAGAAGATTCCCTCAAGTTCATCAACAACCTCACAATGAGACAGCTCTCGGGAAACACTAGTCTCAGCCCAGCTCTATCGCGAGTTGGCTTGGCCCTGGCAGCCAAGATGGCCTTGCTGCCCGCCATCATTCAGTATCTGCACATTTGCCTGTCACAGGGCTTCATAGGCGGTTCCATTCAAGACAAGCCAGCGACTCTGGGCGTGATAAGTGAGGGCATACTCCAAGCACTCGACCAGGGAGATGGCTCGGCGAGGGGAACTCGTCCGGAGCTCTTCACCTTGTTGACCGGTCGGCCATGTGCCGGCTCCACGGTGCAGCCGTCCTTGTTCGGATCGAGCATCAGAAGCACAGCAGATGATTATGACACTCACCGCTTTTATGTTCAGCTTCTCGGCCAGCTGGGTGCGCACAGGCTACTGTGGCACTCGTGGAAACAGAGCGCCGAGACAGAGATGAGGCAGTACACACGGTTCTACTGCTGGGCGCTCACCCGCTGCGCCGAGGTGCTACGCGACGCCAAGAACGTCCCTGGGCTGGACACTACCACGGTCAGCGCAGATCTGGAAAGGGACGCCGAACTTGATCTGCAGGCTATCGACGCACTGGATGCATATCATGCCTCGTCAACTTCCTCCGAGGAGCCCTACGCCTTCCGTTTCGGGAATCCGTTTTTGCCAATTGGCAAAGCAATGCAAGCTCTCCAGAGCCCTGACATACACCGAGCAGTGGCCCTGATGAACGATCTAATCCCCATTGCCGGTACCCCATCAACCGAGGAGTAGGGGGGTGGGAGCAGGAGTTGATGATATCGTCGGTCCTGTCCCGTAGCCGGCGACGGGCCCATGGCTCTTGGATGCAGTCTTTGAGAGCGCGGTCGTCGTGCGAGAGAACAGAATCTCTGGTCGGCCACCTTGTCACCTGCGCCACGTCAACGAGCCGGAAGCACGCGGAGGTTTCGACGTCCAGATCTCGGGCGTCAGCGGTCAGGAACTCGTTCGGACCAGCCGATAAGCCCATCAGAACAACACATCTAATGCAGAAGGCAGTGGTACAAGACAAGGCGAGTCAGCCACTGGATATAGTCTGTGCTTGAGAAACTCGAGGGCCCAGCCACTCGAGGCCTAGACGGGGTTGGGACTGTCTTCGATCTCAGCACGAAACAACAGAAAATCACACACATTTCTTAAGCTCATAGAATTTCTCGCTGTCATGGGAGATGCGTCGTAAATCACGGCTGACGTGTCTGTATGGGCACCCCGTCAGGATGTGAGACCTTGTTGCTGACAAGCAGCCCAAATCACCTGATGAGAGCTCGTCAAAGCATGGCCCTCGCTCAGCAACAGGACCATCCCAATCGGCTCCCTCCCCCTCGTTACCTCAGAGGCCATCTCTTGGTCAGCCCTGCAGGCGAGCGGACCACCGCCCTTTCCCGCCAGGGCTGCGAGCCGCAGGCCGGCGCTGCCAGGGATCAGCTGCGGGAGAGGTCTCCGGGCTGCCAAGCTGGAGCAGCTGAGGTGGCTCCCCATTGGGCGCGAGCCGGGGTTCACAAACATGTATGTAGGTCTCACCTGCAAGGTTCCCTCAATTTACCCAGACGACACACCCTGATGCCGGTGGTGTTCGGCAAGCTACAGCTGTGGCGCGCAGCTTACCATGCAGCTTTCCCCTCCCCACGCCTCCAACACGAAGCATGGCTTGCTCGAGCTGCCTCTGCACCCCAGGTCTGCGGCCTATCACGGCGCCCGTGTCGTTGTACCATCGTCAGCGCCAGCGTCGGCGCGCCAAGCGGGTGGTACGATATAGCCCCGTCGCGGGGCCCTACCATCGAGGCTGCCTGGTTCCGTTGAGCTGGGTCTGCGGCTGGGATTTGCTCGAGGAACGGCGTTGGGGTTTTTCTACTAGTTGATGGGGGTTACTCCCCGTTCTTTAGACTCTTCGCTCCTGACGGCCCAGACGAGCTGTATCTCACATCATCTGCCTCCCGCCGTTCGTTATCTCATCTCATCTCGTCCCTGCGTCAACAGTCACCGCCTAACACCCCGAGCATCTAGCGGGAGCCCTCGTGTGCCGTCCCTTGTTGGGGATTACTTATCCCATCCGACGGTCTGGACGATCCTCCCGTGTTGCCCAGTGGCGAGAGCACGCGAACCCTCGCAGCACGCGATACCGAAGAATGAGAGGTCCGGCTCGACGCTCTCCACAGCTCGTGTCTCATGTCGTAGACCAAACTCGGCCGCCTTTCTGGGCCTGTCTCGACTCTCCTCTGCCAGGATGACGTCCTCCCGTCTGTTGCACCTTGCGGTCCTCGCCCTGTTTGTTCCTCGGTCATGGCAGCAGCGGGACCCAGTCCAAAATTTTTGTCGGCGGTTTGGGCACCAGTCTACTGTCGTAGACGATAAACTTTACCTGGACGGCGGTCTGATAAATTGGAGTCCCATCTCAACCAACTCTCAAAACTACTCGAGTAAGTTGACTTTTCGTCCAGAATATGGCGTGAACTGTCCAACCAGGGTGTTTGCTCACAATGCGATACCCAGATACATGGCTCTCGTATAATGACCTGCAAAAGAACAGCGGAAGTGGCATGCCTCCGCTACATGCCAACCTCTCCAAGAATGCATCCATTCCGGACGTCAACGGCGGTGTGTTGTGGGGGGATGAAGTCAACAAGAGGTTCTACCTCTTTGGCGGGGAATACTACGGCACACCACCTACGCCTTTCAATCTCTACTCGTACGACATACTGAACGACTCATGGGATAACCTCGGGCCGCCGAGCCAGAGCGGGATACGCCCGGTATCGTACGGCGCGGGCACGGGCATCTCAGAACTCGGTCTGGGCTTCTACTACGGCGGCTGGCTCTCCAACAACTCGGTGCCTGACTGGTCCGGCCCACCTGTCGCCACGACCGGCTTGATCAAGTACGACATGGACGAGGGGTCATGGACGAATAGCTCGGGGCCAGACTCGATCGGGAGGGCCGAGGGGACGATGAACTACCTGCCAGCCTCGGACGGCGGGCTCCTCATCTACTTTGGGGGGATCCAGGACCTGGACAACGGCACGACGGCCGGGCAGCCAATGGACGAGGTGTTTGTTTATGATATTGTGACCGACCGCTGGTACACACAACAGACCTCGGGCACGACCCCACGTAAGCACGGTTTTCTACCTTTTACATTCCCTGCGTTTGGTATTCTGGGACGTTCCGAACTGCGTTACTGTATGCTCGACAGCGGCTGATTAACACACACCAGAGATGCGAAGCAGGTTTTGCTCCGGGGTGACATGGGCGGATGATCAGTCGAGCTATAATATGTAAGTCCTGAATCGAACCACTGGCTACTGGACAAGGTGTTGATAAATGGTGTGATGCAGATATCTGTACGGCGGTGCTGGCATGCCACCAGATACATCGGGCTTCGACGACGTGTACATACGTACGTCTACACATCTACACGCCACCTCACCCTCCGCGTCCCCACTGACCCATCAATGACAACAGTAACGATCCCCACGTTCACCTGGATCAAGCTCTACCCGACCGACGGCAACGTCACGGGCCAGTACCCGCACCACAGCCTGACCTGCAACGTCGTCAACAGGGGCCAGATGCTCGTGATCGGCGGGACCTTCCCGCTCAGCGACGACTGCGACGCCGCGCCGCAGAGGGGCACGCACAACCTCGTCCTGGGCCAGCAGGCCGACCCGGGCGCGAACCCCTGGCAGCTGTACGCCCCGGACCTGACGACGTACGCCGTCCCGGACGAGATCATCTCCGTGGTGGGCGGGCAGGCCACGGGCGGGGCGACGCGCACCGCCCCGGCGGGCGGCTTCGACAACCGCGACCTCGACGTCCTCATGACCAAGAGGGCGTCCGTGGCAGCCCGCACCCCGACGCGGCCCATCCCCGGCGCGACGGGCACCTCCTCCTCATCCTCGGGCGGCACGCGCCTCAGCACGGGCGCCATCGTGGGCATAGCGGTCGGCGGCGGGGTGGCCCTCGTCGCGCTGGTCGTCGGGCTATGCGTCTTTTTCCGCCGGCACCGCAGGTTCCGGTACGGCGCCTCGGGGGCCCAGAACGGCGGGCCCAAGTCCAGCGCGGGGGGCAGCAGCAGCCCGTATACCTTTAGCCCGGGCGCCGGGCCGTGGAGCCCGCACAGCGCTTACAGCGGCGGCGCCGCCGCCCAGGCCGCACACACGCCGAGCAGCTTCGGCGGGCCGCCGAGCCCGTTCGCGAGGCGGCCCAGCAACCTCAACGTCCAGCAGGGGCCCGTGGAGCTGGCGGCGGCGCCCGTGCCGGACGGGCTGGGGGACTACGAGATGTCACAGGGCGGGGGCGGGGGAGGAGGAGCTGTGCTCGGGCCCCGGGGGTCCGGGTCCGAGCCGGAGGGGTACCAGCAGCGGCGGTCGCTCAGGACGTCGCACCGGAGCGTGAGCTCCTCGGGGGTGGGGGTGCCGGCGGCGCCCTTCTACGGCGACCAGCCCAAGTACGACGACTCGGGCCGGCCGTGGTACCCGCAGGTCAGCAGGATGGACGACGGGCCGTTCCCGAGCCCGCGGTCGGTGTCGACTGGCGGCGGCGGCGGCGGCGGCCGCCACAGCAGCAGCCACGGGCACAGCCCCGCGCAGGAGATGATGGACTCGAGCTGGCCGCTGGGTGGTGTGACGGGCGCCGGCCCGTCGCCGCGGACGCCCGGGTTCGACGGGGCCGACACGGGGTGGGATGATAGTCGGGACGGGACTGTGCGTGAGGGGAGGAGGAGTGGTAGGCATGAGACGTTTTATCACCCCTGAATTTTAGTTTCCCTTGTGTGCGTCTCTTGAGAAGGGCCGAATGACTTGACTTGATGGCGGGCGTTCGTATCGGCGCGTTGGATAGCGAAATACATCTCCCAGTTGCCAGGACTCCCTCTCCGGTCTTGGAGAGCCCCCGAGTCTCGCTGATGCAAGGGGTGACCTGTGTTTTCTTTAGCCTGGGATAGTAGCTTCACACGGAAGAGCTCTGGTTTCGTCGTCTCCTGCTCCCCAACCACGTCGTACGGTCGCTTAGACCTGCCGTCCCTACACACTGCAAGTCTCACCCTACTCTTGTACTAACGAAAATGCAGGCATCACAACCGAAGAAGATCTCTTTTTCACCCGAAAGAAGCGGATGTCATGGCATCACCAGAGCTGAGACCATCACGAGCCGGCATCCGAGCATCCCCCGGAACCGCATGTGACATCTCATCTTGACGTGGAGAGGGGCACAAGCTAACGGCCGAAACCACCGCAGCAAGACGGCGGTAACCTAAGCCCGAGAGCGCGCGCGCGCGCGCCGTCGAGGTCGGTCACGAGTCTGGGCCATCCAGGTTCCCTCGGCCAACCTCTCCCGTGTCGCTCCCGTGCCGTGTCTCCGGTGGGGACGGGACACACACACACATACACGCAACGGTCTCGGACGGAGTGACTAGACGGCTGGACGGGTAGCAAGGGTTGCGAGGGGAGTCTCACTTGCACTTGCTCCCCTTCTCGAGTCCTGTCCGTTTCCATTCAAGATTACACGATGGGACTGAGTCAATGGCCCCCACCTGTAGCCATACACAGAGGCGACGCACATTGATGAACCCGGTCAAGAACCCTGATGGGGCGTGAGCTGTCACCGGTGCTTTTTTGTCTCTCGTGCTGCCCTTCTTTTCTTTTTCTGCTGCAAGCCGGTCCCGTCATGTTCCTGTCAAAGGCGCGGCCGGCCGGCAGGCAGGAAGGCAGGCAGGCAGGCAGGCCGGGCATTGCTTGTATCAACACCCGCCCTGTCCTTCGGCGAGAGGGGAGGGAGGGACTGTTGCGGTCGCACTGTTGAACCTTTATGGAACCTGCTAGATGAGACATGGGGCGTGTACCTTTTCGAGCCCTTCTCTCGCACGAGACCCTGCTTGACGGCCAAGCGACGGTGACGTTGGGTGCTTGGTAGTGACCGACGGCACAGTGTGTGTGTGATCACCGGCGATACTTGGCGGGTGACTTGATGATTCTCGGGAGTCGAGCGGGCGGGAACAAACTTGCTCTCTCTCACAGAAGGAAGAGCCGGTGGCTCCACAATACAGGGATGCGGTTGACGAGGCTCTGCTCTGTTCTCATCGTGACGTCCTGGGACAGAAGAAGATGAATAAGCATGCATGCATACAGACCGACATCCAGGACGGATGGACCCCTGTTTCGCTGTTAGAAATACACACATGCGGCCGCGGGAAACCTGCAAGCAAGGGGTTCTCCCCCTCGCCGTGCTCCAGTCTCTTGCTCACCGGTCAATATAGGCGCATCAGACAAGCCGTCGGGTGGGATCTACTGCTTCAGAAACCCAAATCAGATCGCCTCTGTCCCCGCCGGGCATCTCGGCATCATTCCCCCATGGATGGAACGCAACGGGCGGCCTGCAGGTCCAGGTCGATCCCGAGGCTGACCTGCCTGCCTCCCTGGCAGCAGTCTATCAAAAGGAAAAATCCCACGGGGGACCGAACCGGACTGTGGGACTCTCTGGCTCTCCGTATCTATGCCACCCCACGCCTACCAGATTGTGAACCTGCTCTCCTCCCACCCCCCCTCGTGCCTGATACCGACCCTGCGCAGACAGTTCCATGGTCCATGGGCATGCTCAGGCATGAAACCCGGTCAGGCGGCTATGCGCACAGCTGGCTGGCCACGCATACCCGCATGCACAATTCCAAAATGGCCGTCGCATTGGGGGTTTTTCGATATCCTCCTGATTGGCCCGTGACTCGAGGTATGTGGTATGGTAGCACAGCTTTGCCAACAACGGCCCTCCCTCTCGATAAGGCTAGGAACAGGGAGGAGGGCCAAGGGGTCGACTGTTGGGCCTCGCTTCCTAAAAGAGGTCGGATCGAGGCTCCCCCATCACACACACACACACCCCGGCCGTCTTTCCCCAGGATCCTATTCGGCGTACCTGCAGCTGGGCCGGGCGAGGCCTTGTGGCACAGGAAGCGCTTAAAAGGGATCGATGTGCGATGCGAGAGGGTGAGGCGAGTCCCATGCGAGACATCACACACACACACACACACACACACACACACACACACACATACAGAAAAGAGAGATATGCACACATGCACACCCATATACAGCCACACACACACACACACCTCTACACACGAACGCACACACGCACGTATGTGGCACGAGTAAGCCAGGTCTGGACAGCAAGAGGGGGGCAGAGATGCCGACGCAATTGGCCGCCGCAAGCTTTGATGTGTGTGAGTAGAAACCGGCTGGAAACTTCGAAAGACGTCTGTATTCGGCGGTCAGCGTGTCAATCCGGACGTCTAGAACTCCTTCCCACCACGCAGGTAAACGGGCCCCCCGGCACACAAGACCAAGGGTGGGTGGGCTCTTTTTGTGCCCTGTGCTTGCAGCACACACGTGAGAGAGAGTGTGTTGCGCACGCCCTCGCACCAGGAGGTAGCTGACGATGAACATTGACGAGCTGTCGCTCATTTCCTTTTCCAGAAAAGGGCGGGCCTGTTCGTCGAGCAGCGAGGGGGGGGGGGCACCGTTTCCTCACCGTTACTTTTCTTGCGCTCTGCTTTGCTGGCGTGTGGTCGCGGTCGTGTCGAAAGATTTCAGCCCCCAGTCTTGGTCTCCAATATGGACCCCTGAGGAGAGGAAGTTATTTCTTTGCCGCCCCCCTCTTGGGCCTGGGCCAACTGACCGTAGGGTTCAGGTGGAAACGCCCCAGAGCATCTCGTGGCTTTGGGCCTTGGCCCCCCACAAGGGCAACCACGTCGAGAACCGACGATGGCCAACTGCCCGTTCGATGCGCAGGGCCCGGAAAGTGCTGCCCGCTGTTTGAAAATTTCAGCATGAAGTTACACGTAGGGCGGACGATTTCGCTTGGGCGCCCTTGATGCCTCACGCTGGGGCCCTCTCATCTCGTCGAGGCCGCGGCCCAGAAACTGACAAGGGGAGGCGACCCCCGATTAAGTCCCGCCGCGCACAAAACCCTCAAGTGCAAAACAATTCGCGAAAAAAAGGAAGGGAAAAAATGTTGTGAACCAAAATGCAAGGACCGTGCGGCAAGGGAAAATGCAACACCAGATTTTCATCATCCCGAGAGTTCGAGAAGCTGATGAGATGACCCCAAGACACATCATCATCCCGCTGACTCCGTAGATCCCTTGCCCATCCCCGTGCCCCGTCCCAAAAGGGTCACCAGATTCCCCATTAAAAAGGAGACATGGGGACATTGCCCCAGGTGTTCGACCGCTCAGCCCGCTTCCCGACTGCCACTTGCTTGTAACCCCCCGGCGGGCCCCATTATCCCCCCCCCCCCTTGTGCGCAGACTGTCTCTGGGTCAACCGCCAGAATGGCCATGTGCTCGGGCATGTGTGGTGGCATGACACTTTGCTCTCTCACCGGGCGGGCAAGCAGAATCCCACGATTCATTCCCAGGGTAGGGGGAGGGCCCAGAGGACAGTAGGGCAGGTGGGTTTGGGTAGCTTGGAAGCGGGGCGGGATTGTGATAATTCACATCCGCGGCGCACAATACGTGGGCGGTAAGGCGCATGGGCTGGGGGGGCTGCCGATGAGATCAACGGGCGGAACTGACACATACCGTACCCGTCGTGCCTGGCACTTTTTAGAGTTTGTCTAGTTGTTCCCACGGACTGCGAAAAGAGGAAGAGGACGTGTTCTCGAAACATGAACGGTGCCCACCGCCATGGCTTCTTCCCCCCCGGTGGGGCGGGTGGCCGCCCGCCCCTCCTTCGAACGGGGTCGGGAAGCCGGTGAAGGCCCCCGGAACGGCGGGATGTCAGAGAAGCGGCTCCGTCCGGAATACCACTCTGGCTCCGGCTTTGGGCACTCTGGGCCCTACAGCCTGGGTGCACTGTGGGTGCCAGTAGGGCGTGGAAACGTGGAATTACCCATGATGGGCCGTAAGCGAGGACGGTTTTTTTCTTCGGCTCCCCTTTCCGCACCCTTGTGTGGGCATGGCATGACCGAGTATACGGTGGTACAACTGGTATAGTGCTGCAAGCATCTTGTCTGACGGCATGCCAATTCGGGATTTCCGTGTCAGGAACGGTGCTAATTCCTGGCTACTGTACTGAGGATTACCACTGTGTGTGAGCAGCGAGAGTTGGCTAGTGAACCAAACCTGGTCTGTGAAACATGGGTCGATCTCTCGCCCTCGGGGGAAGGAGGGTTTGACGATAAAGGCTCACAGGTTTGCAAGTCTGCAGTAGTAGCCCAGTAGCAGCAGGTTTTAGTTGGGGTTCCTTGCCAGCCTGCCCGTACCGCACTTTGCATTTGACGCGTCGACGAGTAGCTTTTCTGGATCCCGATCGATACCCGCGAGACATGCAGTGGCATTGCCTCCATGGCTCGGTGCATTGATTACGTCGCCAGCACACTCGACACGACCAGCCAACACAGGCAGGCCGATGTGTCCATTGCTGCAGGATGCGAAAACAGATGCGGGGAAGCTACAGAATTGTCAGCCGAGGAGGATCGTGAGGACCCCCACGCTTCCCAGGACTGGTTTTTGCGAAGAGGCAGGTTCGACGATGATCAGTCAGACGGAGGCCGACAGGGGACCGACCACGGCATGCTCGGCAACAGATAGGACAAAACGCTCACCCAGCCGCCCCCGAGCGGCCGAGGCGTATGCTTCCGAGCGATCCAGTGGGGGACCTTTCCATTCGCCGGCTTGCAAAGCGGTGCTCCGCGATGCGCTGCGCCGCTTTGCCCTGGCAGATAAGGGACCGTGCCTTTGCCTTGAAATGGCTTGGAGCCCTGCAGGTTCAGGGTCCAGAACCGAGAAAAGGCGTGCGGTATGATGCAGGATCAGGGTCCAGATGGCGGGTGAGAATGGGGAAGACGGCTTTTGCCGCCGGAAAGTGGACGCGCAGGCCTTTTTTGGCATTGCGATCATGTCTTTTGGGACCAGAGAAAGGAAGGCGGGGCATGGACTCTGGCATGGACTTGATGAGCCCGCGGCGACAACCGTGGACGCCATGAGGGGAGAACTGATATCTCCATTGTTGGGCGGGCGCCGGTCGGTCTCAGCTGCTCGTAGGCCATACGCTATCTAGAGGGGTGAGGTCGACCGTGTGGATGCGTCAAAATGTGTCATCCCCTCAGCCCTGTGGTGTTTCTATCTTGGGAAATAGATGTGCTGGTGTTTGCCCGTGTTGCGCAAAACACACGCCGATCCCGACTGTCAAAATGCCTCGCAAGGAAGGGCCCTGATGGGAAGTCCCAGGGTCTGTCATCAGGGTTCCTGGGATCCCAACCGGAACCGACAGAAGACGGGCGGCGTTTTGCCGGTGGTGTCCTGCCAAGGCACAAGCCAGGAACAGACTCTGACCATTAGCACGGTTTGGGAGCAAGTTTCGTTGGTGCGGAAGCCAACGGCGGAGCGAGAAGCTCGTGACTCAAAGTGCTCGAGATTCGTCTATGATGGTGAATATGAGGTAATTGTTTCTGTCCGTCCTGAGACACGGCCGGGGCTCGGCTGTTATGTGAGAGAAACTCTTTGATTGAACCAGGGTGAGGTCATGCGGTTTGGGCTTGATGATTCGTGATTTCTAGACCGGTAACACCATTGTCATCCAGTTGGCCTAGGCGCCCCGGCTCGAGGCCCCATCCAGGTTCGCATCAATCATAGTCAAAGGTACCTGACGCCATCGATGAGGCTCAGTCTAGCCCTTTGCTTCTGTGCTCCATAGGGCGTCAGGGCGTCAGGGCGTGCGTGCAGGCGGGCATGTAGACTCAGTGCCGTGCCGTTACCAGACACCTGAGTACGGCCTGGTACCGCGCAGTATGTACACCACACTGCCGACGTACCCCGTAACTTCAGACCCACCGTGTCGTTGCTTTGTTGTGCGTTGTACGTTCTGTAGGGCAGATGGGGGAGGCTAGCCAACCCATCGAACCAGGCCGCCAGGCTTGCACACTGCCCAGACTGCCAGATCGGTGCGCCCCGTGGAGCGATCGAAAGTCGTGCTCCTCACCGACAGACACGACCCCAAGGACCGGCGCTCTGCGCTGTGCGAGCGTGGAGCCATGGAGCTCTCGTCCCCTTGCCCACCCCCATCGCCCCGGGCTTGGCCAGGCAGAGCTTGGGGAAGAGGCTGCCAGCCTGCCAGGCACCGGGAGCTGAGGTTGCTCTTAGCTAATGCTAATAATGGTACGGAGTACGGGCGGCGGAGGTAGCTGCGAGGTGCGGCAGCCGGTCGCTAAGCAGATTTGCTGCCAGCTGTGCGACGTTTACAGCTCATCATTCGTTGTTGCTGCATGATTCTTTGTTGATACTGCCACCGTCTGTCATGTTCATGCACCGGGAAGGCTTCCGCACGCGGGCCTCGGTGCATTGACGGCGGGAGGAGAGGGGTGTCGCAATATGCATTTACTGATACTGTGCAGTACAAGGTGCAATATTGCTGCACTTGTTGCCTGCTGCTGCTGCTGCTGCTGCTGCTGCTGCGTACCACGTACCACGTACCCAGGATGGCACGGTGGCAGGACAAAGTAGCTTCGCTCCCCATCTGGCCAGTCCGGCCTGGCTGGCTGTCTGGACTGGCGTAGCGATTGCTGCCTCGTTGGCTCAGTGCTGGCTGTTGCGGGGCCCTTCAAGGTTCCAACGCAAGGTTCGTGGTCTGCTCAGCCGGGCAAGAGTTGGGGAGAACGTGGTCGTGGCTACTGGCCGACTGTTACTATTACTCATGAGAACCACGATCGCCCGTGTGATGAGGCACAGGTAGCTGCATGTCGCCCTCGGGGTGGTTCTGTGCCTGGAGTCCCTGAACCCGGTGAACTGACTTGAGTTGCTGGATGCTCGACGGCCGGCCCACCCGTCCCAGAGTCTGCGAGGGCATGAGCAACGAGCAGCGAGTAACGAGCATCGTGCATCGTGCAACGTGCAACGTGCCTGGGCGAGGACGAGCCAATCACAGCCACCTCCCGGGACATGCAGTGTATTGGCAGATTGGCGGGCGACAAGACTGACAAGTCGTCGACCAGCCCACCAGCCCACCATCCCATCCCATGTGTAATGGGCGTTTCGATATCGCGTTGCCGGCGCCTTGTCATCCATCGGGGACAGGCACGTTCCTGTTCCTGACAGGCCTGGATCAGAAAATTTTTTCCATTCCCCAGGCTTAGGGCGCATTCTGTGACATTGCAAGGTTTGCGCAGGCGCGATAGCAGAGCCAGCTGGCACATATCGCGGCGGTATTACCTGGGCGGCTGAGTCACAGGGCAATCGATCGTGATGAAGGATCAGACGTGAGAAGTCACCAACAAGGCAGGAAAAAAATACGACACCCAGGGAAAATCTCTGTGATCTAGACTCTGACAGCCTGACAGCGAGCCCCCAAGGCGCCCAAAACGGTTCCGCTTTCGGCGACATTGTGTGACGGGCCACGGCTGTGAGGGTTGTGACGGTAGGAAGAATGGGCTGGCTCTCGTTTCACCGTATCGGAACAGTCGCAGTGCCCCAGGGCTCCCGGCCTGGGGTGGGGACAGACTGGGACGGGCGGGCAGGCGGGCTGACGGGCTGGCGACGCTGGAAACCCCCCCATGTCTTGGGCAATGGGAAGCGGGCACCTGGCCAGTGGCCACCTGCCCCATTCAAGCGAAGCGAACATGCACGTACCGGCGAGCCGTACCAGAGTACATACGAGGGAACCAGGATGACACAGCTCATTCAAGTACATCTACCAGCCCCGCACGTGTCTCACCATACAAGACAGCGGATACAGTACGTACCAGTACCGCTCCTCATGTCTCCATGGAGGTTCCATGCGCTCACGCCCAAGCTCCCTGATGAGCGCCCATTATTACTGTGTAATTGCAGCGTACTGTGATGCCAGGCCTAGAGGGAGGGGTGGGAGAAACGGAGCACGGAGTACATGGTCCCATACCGTATTCCTCACTGTGATCGAGGTCACTTGCTCTGGCCCTTGGGGGCGCCCATGCCCACGCCCGCGCCCGTGCCCTTCCTTGTATTGTACAGTGCAAGTGCTGCAGCAAAGCGCAGCGGCGGCGGCAGCAACAGCAGCAGGCACGCACGCAAGAAAGCAAGCAGCAAGAGTGCGGGCAGCTCACCTCATCGTGCACCGACGAAATAAAGAGTCACAGGTCCCTTCTTGCCCAGAGGAGCCGCCTCTCCTCGTCTCCAAGATCAACCTTGCATACATACAAAACAGTACGGACTGCGGTAGTTCATCATCATCCTCTGCAACTTGACGCAGTGCCTCTCGTTTCAACCGAACCCTCCAGGCTGCTTATTATATCCCAATCCCATCAACCACACCCCCAGGGCGCCTTCCCATTCCCGGACTCTCGTTCCTGACAATTGACTTTGACTTTCTGCTCTCTCCCCCCTCTCGCTCTCTCTCTCTGGAATTACGTGCTCGCACTGAGAATCCACCTCATCGTCTTCACGACAACCAGAGCACGGCACAGCAGAGCAGAAGCACCCCCGTGACCAAGGAGGTTAGACAGTCAAGCGTCTCTCACTTGACCATAGGTCCATCCCCCCAAGGATTGGAAGAACCCCACGTTTCTGCCCCCCTCGTCGTCTCTCTCTGGCAGGGCGGCATCAAGTATACAAAAGCAACCGAACCCCCACCGGACAAATCCTCTCGTTCCCACTTCTGGACTTCCCCTCCCGTGGATACAGGACACAGGAAACAGGAAACCATACACAGGATACCGCACACTGGAGACCCCAGGACATTGGAATTGGACCTTTATTTACTCTGCTCCCACCTGGACTGAACCGCCCCGGAAGCTCCGTTGTACATCAGCATTCACCCGCCCCGCCACAAAACTGGCATTGTCTCTGGGATTGGCATTGGACGCCATAGCACAAGACTGCCCTTTAGTCTCGGACAAGACACACATTGCATTGCCGTCATCTCAGCAACAACAACACACTGGCAGACCGCGGATCCCTACGGACAGCCCGCGTGTACAAGCTGCCGGGCTCCTTATACTTTGGCACCATTACCGCCGGCCTCGCTCCAGCAAGCGACCGACCGTCGCATCCAAACACCTGCAGGACCAGAGGTACTCCCCTCATCCCTGGCACTAGCGGTCACACCTCATCGCGGAGCCGTGTTAGCCCTGCGGCAATCCTGGCAAGCAGGTTGCGATCCCCCTCTAGCGGGCAACAACGACATCTTGCAGTCAACGCTTGCAAGGCAGGCCGTTGATCTGCCACATTGGTCAAATCCCAGACAATCAGACGTCCCAGAAACGGTACCGGCACAAATAGCCAGCCCACGCTATCCTATCGCGCAATTCGACGCGACACTGCTATCAACTGCGGTGCTTGCAAGAGTCAGAGGAAAGAAACACTTCCCATACTCTCTCTTCCTTATTATTCTCTCTCTCGCCCACTCCCTCCTCCTGCACTGCTCGGCACTGCTGCACTCGCATCCATTCGCCACCTGCAAGTCGATACGAGCAGCAGCCTCCTCCAACTCTTCCTTATTACACACGCACGCCATTCCGCCTACTGGTACCCGTCTATCCACCACACCCATCTTCAGCCTGCTGCATATAAGGACCGCACCCGCCCAACTCCTAGCGCCCACCATCACCACCACCTACCCCCCTTGGGTTGCCTCGTCTCTGGCCTCTCTGCTGGCAGCCACCCTTGCGGCCAACCAACCAATATCGCCGACCAAATTGGGATCCCGTCGACGACACAGCAGCGAACCACTGGCCGCTCCCTCATATTGGACCCCGCTGCCTTCCCCACGTCCTGGAACGGAACACCCCCTGGTGCCAAAGGACCAACCAACGAGCAGTCTGGCTCGTTCCCATTAGCATACAAGACCAGCCCGTCGCCTCCTCGCTCTCGCAATCCTCCTCATGCACCACCACCGCAGGAAGTCTGGCCACGGGTCTACAAACACCTCCACCACAGACGTGAGGAAAGCCGTCACTGTCTCCGACCTGTCTACCAGGCACAAGTCCACCCGCCCCGCAATGACACGGAGGACCACCCCCCACAAGCTGGGCAAGAACCTCCGCGAGAGGGAGCGCGACATGGACGACGAGTACTGGTTGTCCGTCGAGCACGAGAGAGAGAGTTTCCCGCAGTTCTGGTAAGTTTCACCCGACTCGCTGCACCCCCGCCCTTGCATCTCCCACCGCTCCTGCGCCGGGCGGTACACTCGTCTCTTCTGTAACGCGCACACTCCCCCCGGAGCCAAGTCGTGGTTGCGATGTCGCTCCGCCGCAACAGCGTCCAGCAATTTGGGGAAGTGGGGAGAGCTGGGCCGGAGATCAGACGGCGGCGTGCGACGCCCCCCGCATCTTACTCGGATCCCATTGCTGACTGGTCCGTCTTCAGTATGACCTGCGAGAAGCAATTTGTTCCTCAGGATGAGAAGTTCCTGTACTGCTCAGAATCGTGAGTCGCCTCTTGCCACAATGCACATGTTTGCTGTCCTGTCCGTGCTGACCGTGATGCAGCTGTCGCGCCAGGGATCACAACAATGTGTCCACGCCCAGGAGCCACGGCCACAGCAGCCGTTCCGGCCACAGCTATCCATTTTACGCTGCAGGCACACCCGAGCCCAAGGATATCATCCCCAGGGCGTCGCCTTCCAGGCCCAACTCTATGCACCTCTCCCCTCCGACGTCGCCCACCTCCACCAGCCATCACACGTCAGCAATCTCCGCGCTTAGGTCACTGTCCATCCGAGAAACGAGCCCTCCCACACCGCCTGGCTCCTACCCCAGCGGCGTGTGGCCCTTCACGTCGCGCAGCAATGCAACGAGCCCCAGCACGTCCTATGGCACGCGGCCCACGTCAATGTACGCGACATACGACAGCTACGGCTACACGATGGCCTCACCCGGCATCTCAGACCGGCCACTGCCATCCCGCCGCCCCGGCGGGTACTCGCGGCCAAAGAGCATTGAGCTTGTTACGCCCATGACCAGCCGGTGATGACCGAGATGGCACGGACGGCACACGGGCGCTCCCCCCGGCCATCATTTCACACACCTCGCGGCTTCCTGCATGTGTTTGCTGGTCATGTGAACACCCAGCACCGCGCCCAACAGGCGGGCCACACATCTGGCGGGCAGCCGGTTCTCTGTGCGTGTTGGAAATGAGAATGCTCACATGCGTGTTGGTGGCTGAATCAGCGTGACATGGCCCCTGAACGGGGTGCGTGGTGCAGGATCAGGCTAGAGCGGGAAGGCGTGCTCTGTCACAATTCCAGCACGTCGTCACTTCAGGCTATTCTGGGGGGAGGCTGCTTACGCCCAAGCAGCTCGGCGCCACTGCCATTTACGGCCACGCCTGTCTCCCACCTCGGCGCCGCTGCGGCTGCCGCTGCGGCCGGTCGGCTTTCCTCATCTCATTTATCACGGATCTTCTTGCATCTATCTATCCCTCCAACTCAAATCACATATCCACCTGCCCCATATACCGACGTTAAATGGGAGCTACCGAAGTGCTTACCACCGGCGCTGCCGCCGTCCCCACCCCTGGGGGGCTGGCTGGCTATCAGACCCGCACCGGAACGTGGCGACGGGGTACGAGTCATGACCAGGCCGACAGTGATGACGGCTAAACACGGCGTGGGGGTTTTTCCATCTTGCTGCCTATCGAGAGGACACTTGGTGTTGACGCACGCATCGCGGATGGCGTCGGGTTATTGAACGATTCTCTATTTCCTCACTGGGTCGGCGTCTCACTTATCAGCATGCCGCATGCGTGGGAAGGGCATTGGCATCACAAGACAAGCCCGCAGCCGACGACTGATTTACGAATGGGAACGTCGTCCGGATGACACGCAAAGTGCATCCCGGCGCATTGAGGGGGCCCTGCCTGGGCATGCACGCACCTGCCCAGGTCTCGGCCCTTCCATCTTGATATTTCTTTGAGACGCATTTTTTGAGATTTTCCTATGCAGCATTTTCGGGGCGAGGCAGGGACAGGGACGTATTATACCACAAATCATCATTTACGGGCGCTGGGCTGGAGCAGGATGGCGAATTCATGGAAAATACCATGCCATATTTTAGGTAGCGAACAAAAGTTTTTCATCAACAAACCCAACCTTGCCCTGCTCTTGCAGGGTTCCAGCGCATGCGGGTTGCCTCCCTGAGAAACAAACACAGTTTTGTAACATGCGTGCATGTCGCCCACCCGCATCCCGACCCGTCTGATGGCGAAACATGACAAGCATGGCGTGTGGACCCGACCGCTCGGGTTCTGCGACCAGGTCTGAATCGCATCCCTCGTGCGCGCGCTGCCTGCATGACCCACCCTCGCCCGCCAGATCCATGTGCTCTGGTCAGTCACAAAAATCCCCTCGTACAGGCAGGAGTTGGAGCTCAAACTTTCACCGTTCAAGCAAGGACAAAAAGCGAAATTAAGACCGTGGGCGGGCCCGGCGCGTCTCGGGAGGGGAGACGGGGGGTTGCTGGCAGGAAGGCCTTTTCTTTGCGCCCGCCTGCCCGCCCCGCCCGTCCCCACCATCCCCAGTCCCGGCCGACCGCGCCGCGCCGAGGCATCCATTGCCCCCCGGTTTTGGTGCGGGAGCTTCGGCGGCGTGTGGGTGGGGTCTTTTTTTCTTTTTTGTCTCCTGCCGTGCGTGTCATGGCTGCCGCGTCATTTTCTTGGAGAGGGTGTGCCGTTAGGTGCTGGATGGATGGGATGACTGACTCAGCTTGGTCTTGGGGGTTTGTGTGTTTTGCGGGTGGGGTCTTTTGTATTTTTTGTTTATGTGTGTATGTGTACTATGTAGTATGTGACTGGCTTGGAGACTTGATGTACATTCAAGTGGCTTGGGATGTGTTGGTTTTCGTTTCTCTCCCGTGTACACGGTGCCTTCCAAGCTGTGGTGAATGCTCAAGGACCCAACGGTCAAAAGACGTGGGATAGGTTAACAGCCTTATGGTTTGGGGTTTGCTTTTTCTTCTTGCTTCTGAGACGTGTCAACCTGAAGTATAATACGCTAAATCGCATTATACTTTTCTCGAAGGCGGCTCCGTTTCTAATTCCCATACATACAAAATGTAATATGTGGCGCCACTCTCCTCAAAAGCATTCCTGTACATGGTCTCATCCAGCACATCTTCTCATTTTTTTTAATGAGTCCATTTTTTTTTAACACACAGAAACTCCCACTATTTACAGAATACGGGAAATCTGCTGAATAGATAGATGATGTGTTAGAGTGTCCCTCTCGGGCAGGCAGTCAGTCCATGGGCGCAGTTGGTTCTCCAGCCAGACAAAAGGACGCCTCTGCAACGCTACCACACCTCGTGATACCAGGCGCCGTTTCTTGCAGGCGACTTGCTGCAAGCCTCTTGTTGGTGAGACCTTTGTAAGTCATAGGATCGACAGGTGTGGCAGCTTCGAGAGCTTCCATACTTTCTTGGGTGACACACATCAATGCGCAGTCAGCCAGCCTAGCTTGAGGATCTTCTACCATGATCAAGCCCACGAACGCGAATTTTCGAGAGTTTCTGGTCCGGGACAGAAGAGTTATGCATGATCATCAGACCATCATCAGGCTACCACTGTACACTTGCTAGGCTCACAGAGTCGCACTCGCGCAGCATAGTTACCCAGGTGTGTATATACGCCTAAAGAGGCTGCCCTGAGCAGTGCCGCTGTGTCCCCTCAAGGAAGCACTGGAACACCACCACCACGGCAAGTTCCCGTCCAATATGTGTTGTAAATCCCGTCGATGCAATGACTCCTCTGCTCCCATACGCCAATGGCCCTCGCCAATGGCGAGCCACGACCGCCGCCGGAATAATCCCCACAAGATCCCACCATTCACGCCGTGTCGCCTGATGATTACAACGACGTGAACGACGTGACCACTGTGACTCAACCAGGTTGAAACCATAGAGACGGTTCAGATTGCGCCTATAGGGAAGCACCCCTTACTCAGCAAGCTGGCCTCCTTCGAAAGATTCCTACGGCAGGAGAGCCTGTTGTAGGATGGCTTAATCATCTCTACTTGACTCAAGTCAACTCAACTCATATCATATAGTGTAGTATATTGACACACACATCAGATTGATATAACTAGATGTGACAGACCAGGTGAGTGCATAATGCATAGATAGGAATTTGCTGATCTACAATACACATTACATAAATCCCTATTGTCTTTTCCGCTATCAAATGAGCCCAATTGGTTTCGATAACACCACACTTTTAACCCCAGGGACTTATCCCCCGCCGAGAGGCACCGCGCCTTGATACAAGGCTCCTGAGGGGGGGGACGATGACGATCCGCGTGGCTCATATTACTCCGGCCATGCAGCCGGAGAGAAATGCAACGGAATGCGCCGTCATGACTTGTGGCCCCAAGGCGACTGGCCCTGCCGGTGTCACCAATAAGCCTTCAGGTGCAGTAAGACGGGCCTTGCCGCCGGGCGGGCGTGTGGACAAAAAGATAAGAATGCGTGTGAAACGCTGCATGTGTTCTCGGGAACAAGAACAGCCAGCCAGCCAGCCAGCCAGCCCCCAATATCAGATTTCCTGATCCGGCAAACCGACGAGGGATTCATTCACCTGTGCTGTATCCGCACGAGTCAACCACCACCACCTCCTCGCACCCGAGAAAGTAAACCTGGCTGCTCATCCCCCCCCCCCCCGGGCCGGCCGTTCGCTGCGGCCCTCTTGATCATCATGCACGACAGAGAGGGACGGCGGTCGTGCGGCGGCTGGATATCAGTCCCCCCTCCCCAACAAGTGAACCAACCAGATATTCCCCCCGGACCCTCCTGCAACACCCCTGCCGCCCATCCCCCGTATCAATCTAATCCCCGCCTGCTTCCAGATGCCCGCCGCGGGAACGCTGGCCCACCACCACCCACGCCCCATCCCGCCGCCAATCTATGCAAGATAACAGAGCTGCATATATCGGGTACCCCAGTGCCAGTGGTGCGGGAGGGATGGGGGACTGAATCGGATTGGGAACAGGGAAAAAGCAAAACGAGGGCTGTATAATACCAGGCCTGAGTGGTGACAGTGCAGCTCTCGCGCCCTGCGGCCGGCTACGTAAAGGGTAGCTGGGCGAGGATTCATGACGGCGACGGGATGGGGACACGGCAGCATTGTTGCTGTCAGGGTCGATACGGATGGATGGATGGATGGATGAACGGACGCACGAGAAACCCAACGACGCAATGCAATGCAATGCATCGTCACCCCTTTCCTCCCATCCTGCCTTGCCTTGCTGCTTGCCCCTCTCACCCAACAGGATCACCAACAACACCTGGGAAGAGACACATGCAGGAGCAGCGGCAGCCCCTCGTCTGGATCTCCCGGTTTATTATCTTCCCTGCCGCGCCCCCCCCCTGAGCTTCCATCCTTCCTTCCTTCCTCGCCGCTCTAGCGCATGCAACCTGACGCGCAGCAGGAATATGGAATTGAGGCGACCCAGCCAGCCTGCCTGCCGGCCCGAGGGCGGGAGAAGGGCAGAGGGCCTGCCTCTCGTCACCGTGCAATGGACGGCGCGGCATCGTCTGCCGGCTTCCCCCCCAGGACCCTGCAGGGCCGACGGGCCCTCCCTGACGTGCCATCGCGGCATGATCTGCGTATGTATGTGTGTATGTATGTATGTATGCATGCATGGGCCTTGCGCGTGATACTCACGTATGTATTTGTGTGTGTCTGCGTGAATGTAGGGACATCTCCGCCAGGACCCTGACACAGCAGCCACTCTGTCCAGCGCTCAAGCAAGTGATTAGTTGCTGTCCGATGTTCGGAATTGTGTCCGCGTCGATTACAAGGAGCATGACGCATGCCGGGCAGTGACTCGGTGCCACCCACACTTTTTGTGTCGAGAGAGACGCCTGCCTGCCTGCCTCGCTTCGCACCCTCAGCAGGGCCAAAACACAAACCAGTTGAAACATGTGATTCCGTCATCAGGCCAGACGACGCAGGCGAGTAGAACTGTAAGGCCTGCCGAACACCCGTGATAGCCCCACCTGCTCGCCGATAGCTCTGCTCAGCCACCCGCCGGGTAAGTCGGCAGCATAGCAGTAGCAAAAGTAGTTGGGATAGACTATGAACTACTATCCAAAGGTGCCATCGGGCCCACAGCGAATTGATTGCAAAATCTCCGCTTTGAAACATAGTCTCTGTGTGAGAGATCACATATGCCTATACTTAATCTGGTGGAGCAGGGCAGAAGGATAACTCTAATTTGACTACAGACTACATCTCACCTTTTGGAAACCAGTCCAGGGTGAGGCCATTCATCCGCAAGCAATCAGAACATGGGGGAAACACTCTTGATCTGTTTTTCCTAGCAAAATCTGGTAAAATGTGTGTGAGTACTTGAGCTCTGATGTGTGGCCAGGCTTAATTGGTGGCTGAGCGAGTCAGCGGATGACATGATATGCCAACAATTGAGCTCGTACGACACAGCGACCTGTGAAAGCCCTACCAGATGCGTGGAAACCCTTCAGGGAAATGACGTGGAAGGCGGCCTGTTGCTAGAGATCACAGCAAGGGAGGGCGCTGGCAGCCCTGGGGAAGATCACAGGTCCAGCGCACTAGAGGATAGGCAAGCCCTGGCCAGTCCCCAGCCTCGAGTGTCGTGGCACGCAATCCCACGCCAGTAGCTATAGCGAAACTTACCTGTCTGCGTGGGTGCGCGTGCCCAGGAGTAGCCAACAAGCCGAAGCGGTGATCCCCGGCGTGGCGCAGGCCGGCGTCGTCATCGCTTTTGACTTTTGCCGCGGACGCGCTGCTCGAGACGACAGAGAGCGCAAGACCGGTACCTCATCGTGCATGACCGTGAGGTGAGTGGTTTTGAATCACATGATGCCTCCCGGATGCCCCGGGACCGAGGAGAAACGGCGGTGGCCGGCAGCTAGCGGATCGTCGCCATCTAGTGTGATCTAGAACGACTTCAGGAGAGACCGACCGGCCAGAGCACCTCTCCGAGGCGAGGTCAACCGTCGCAGCCATCTCTTGTCTTGTGCATTGGCTGGATGTGATCTGTAGAGACACTGTGAGGGATTTTGGTCGTGGGATGCCTGTCGTCAAGGCTGTCCAACAGACACATGTTTCAAGGGGTTTTGCTCATTCTATCACCAGAAGAAATTTCTACACACAACGAAATGGCTTTCAATGCATCAAAATGTGGCAAATAAACAATGTTTGATATTTATAGACCCGGTAATTACTAGTAAGTGCTCGGGTGATATGAATAGAATGTGTATATACAAATCTCTCTCAGAGAAGCCTCCCAGCAGCCTCGCCACCTGGATGACCAGGCATGCCAGTCGGCCGGTGTTTGTTCCTTCACAACCTCAACCCGCCCACCAGGACGGGGGGAGACCACAAGAGAACCCGCCAGACAGCCAGGGGCGCGCTTAGCAGGCCTTGACGGCGGAGGCGGTGTACTTGCAGTTGCCGGAGGGGCCCTTGGAGACGGACTTGGGCTCGTTGCCGGGCTTGGTGCCCTGGAACTCCTCGCAGATGGTCTTGACCGAGGTGGCGCAGGTGCCGGTGATGGTGGAGGAGTCGCCAAAGTTGGGGTTGATGCCGGTCAGGACCTTGCCGTTGTAGGCCTTGACGTTCTTGATGACGACGTTGCGCTGGACGCTGTTCTTGCAGTTGCCGCAGGCGCGGTACAGCTTGCCGAAGTCGACGACGGTGAAGCCGTCGATGGTGACCGTGCCCTTGCCGTTGTGCTGGATGACCTTGTCCTCGGCGGACTGGGCACCACCGCCCTTGACCAGGGCGTTGCCGTCACCCTTGAGGGAGAGAGCGTCTGTTGGGGGAGAGAAGAGTTAGTCATGTGCGGCTCTATGTGTGTATATATATATATGTATATATATTCACGACCGGGGGGATGAACAAGACTTACCCTCGCAGACGTCGACCCACCAGACGTTCTCGATGGTGCAGGAGCCCTTGCAGTGGACACCCTCGATCTGGTCCTTGCCGATGATGGCGTTCTTGAGGGTGGCGCCGTTCTCGAGGATGAAGACGGCGTCGGAGTCCTTGCCCTCGACCTGGCCAGTGCACTTGACACCACGGCCGTAGGTCTTCATGCCACCGTCAAAGGTGCCCTTGACGGCCTGGGGGGCCTTGTAGGTGACGCTGCCCTTGGAGGCGGGGACGGGGAGGGTGGCGCGCTTCTCGAGCTCGAAGAAGTTGTTGGGGGTCTGGGCGGCCGGGCCGGCGGCGATGGGGGCCACGATGGCGAGGAGGGAGGCAACGATGGTCAGCTTCATTTTGAAGGTTGGTGGGTTGTTGTGAAGGTTGGCTTCGAGAGAATGACTGTAGATACTGTTGAATGAATGAGTGTCGTCAAGACTGTGATGCCCCAGGCAAAAGCGAAAGACTGTGGGTGAGAGAATGTGAAGGGACTGTGGTGTCTGAGTTGATGATCAAAAACAACATCTCCATGAACGCCGGCCAGCGCCTCCTTATATACAACAAGAACCGACTCCTTTTCCCGCAGCTCAACACCAGGCCAACACCAGGCCAACACCATTTCCCCATCATTTAGGAGAATTATTGATACCGGCCCCCTATTACCCAACAGTATGAGGAGCCGACGCTATTCAGACCCACGCGATTCCCTTGAAACCAGGTGGCAGCTCGAAAAGGAATCATGTTTCTTGGCGTGGAAACACTTTTGTGCGTGTGGCGAGAGCCCTGCGGATACCGTAGGCGACAAGGCGAGCTCGCGTATTGTTCTAGAGCACAGGGGTCCGGCGAGGAGGAACAACAGCTGCATATCCCCTCGCAATTGTCCCCCTCGTGCCTTGCCATCAATCTAGATTTTGCGTTTCATTTCACTCTGCAGGGCCACGCGAGCCATGCTGGCTCTTGCCGGGCGCCAACCTGCCAAGTACGCACTGGATCTGTTTCAGTTTACAGTTTTCCCTCCAATGGTACGGACGTGCGCATGAACTGCTGCTCTGCCGTGCAATTCGGTGCTGCTTAGCTCTCGGGAGATCAACGGGCAGTAAGCTTAACTCTTAGACTTGTGTCAGGCACAGGGCATTGGGTACGAGGGCCTGCGGTGCCCTGCACCCACCAGCCCATTAAACTAATGTGCTTGGCTCTCCCGATAGAGCACCAACGCCGAAGACTCAGACTTGGCACAATTACCACAACGACGGAGCACATTACGCGGGCTCATTACCTCTCCCCATTGACATGGATTGCCGCCTCTGATGTGGCCGAGGGATCCATTTTGCAAAGGGAGTCGGAACAGGACATTACTCGCCGGCAGTTGCTGCTCGCCTGTGTCTTTACACTTCAGCCCTGACTATTCATAGCTGCCTGGCTCTCCACCCTTTCTGGAAGAATAGTGTTCCACGGCGGAGCCTCAACTTCCGGCGGCTGAGGGACAACTACATTGCTCAGCTTGAGCACTTTTATAACCGAAAAGGTCATCTGCGAGAAAGTCGCTCTGGAGTGCTGTTCTGGGGCTCTCTTGACCAGTTGCGGAGATAGGGTGCATGTGGTCTCAAGAGATAAGGAAGCGAGCGGCCCTCGCGGAGTGCAGTCTGACTAGTACACCGTGCAGACTAGAGGCCCGAATTGCAGGATTGGGGGCCAGAACTGGCGGCTCTCAGAACCTGAGCCGCCATGCCATCACTTCTGGCCGCCGTGCCAGGTAATCATGATTGTTACTCAGCAGACAGGGCAACACTGCCGCGCGACGGGGAATATGCTACAAGATAAAGTTGCATGCTCTCCTGATCGGAACGATCGACCGATGGGGTGCAATTTTAATCCTAGTGCGCAGAGCACATGTGCACCAGGAGCACGCGGCAGTTGTACAGATTACATAGAGTCTAGACTAACGGAGTACGCGCTCTCGAGTCAGCCCAGGCCCACCACGTGTACCCTGCCTGAATAGCCGCACTTGTGTAGGGTGACGTCTGCGCGAGGCGACAGATCCATACCGACCCAGACTAGTCCGCCTGCCAAAACCAAAAAAAAAAATAAAGGCGTCTCTCGGGGCGACGACAACGTGTCCCTCTGCCCCTGAGAGCCACCGCCGTGCCCGGCACTCACCCACCGACCCGCACCCAGCCACGCCGCCAATGCCAGAGCAGACAGACGGTGTAGAAAGACCCGAGACCAACCTCGCCCGCCTCGATCATTGCCGCGGGCAGTCCTCGGACGGCAGGGTCGACATCGACTAGTTAGCCGTGTGTGTCTTGGGCAGCAATTGTGACGCCAACATTCGTGGGGGCCGGCTGAGGATGCAACACAGGACAGCACAATTGGATGCTGTCTGACTCGGCTGGCTCCGTTCGGGACGCGCTACAGCGGCGGTTAATGCGCGAGTGTGTGGCCAACAAGTGTTGATGACTTCCAATGTCCACGTGCTGCTGGTCGGTACGGAGGCTCCGTTTCGTCCCTCTGGATACGGTGGCACAAGACGGAGGATGGCAAGCGCATGAGGAGAAGTAAGCTGCTTGCGGTCTTGCGCTGAGAGCACAGAGTATGTTGTCTTGTAGGAGATTGTCCTACAGGAGGTTAGTCTCTAGAAGGTTGTCCCATAGGAGGCTATCGCTTGGCGAAGCACACGTTCATTAAGTCTTAAATGAAAATCTTTGGCACTTCCTATATATTCATTACCATTCACTGTATTAATAAAAGAGTAAATACCTCCTTTGCCTTTTAATAGTATTCTAGAAGATTTAACACAATCTTTATCATCTAGATTATTAATAGTTAAAATAGGGACAGGAACCGGTATGAGGTTACGTGGTCGCGAGAGATCAAGAAAAAGGCATGGGGGGCGGGCAGACGTCCGTCAGCGACTCCCACTTACTCCATGTCACCCTCCTCGTCCTCGAAGATGTCTTGGCTGTTGTCGCCTTGGTTCTCTCATTTCTTCGTCGCCAATCGCTTCGTCATCGTCGGTCACTTCATCGCCGTCGCTTGTTCAGTAGTCGTAGCTTAATTCGTAGTAGTCGTTTGACCGCAAGTACCCTAAGTACCAGAGAGCATACAGATCATACTCGTCATCAGAACTTATCTCGTCCGCACTGTCCCATCGCAATTCCATCTCCTCTGTTATCGGCACGCCGCCGTCATCCCAATCCGCTCTGAGATCAATGAGCACACGCCGGTTCTCTACAGCGTCAAAGGCTTCCCACTGGGGCCGGTGTTTCCATCTGGCTTGGTAAATCAGGCGGACGATCTTCGGGTCGCACATGGAGGCCGCGAATCTTAGTAATTGTGTTTTCAATCGGGCCTTTAGCTCATCACGGGGGACAGGGACTTGACCTGGACAGCATCCGGCCAAGTTCGTCCCTCCATCAGAACAGATGCTGATGATGAGCTCTTTGATGTTTCCAGGTGGTGAGTCCAGCAGCTTTTCGCAGATATGCGGCAGACGGCATCGCAGACTCTTGAGATTGGGGATCTGCTGGCTGATAGACTGGCAGAGATGATGCTTCGTACCCTTGAACTCCACGTGGAGGATGTCCAAGTTAAGCGATGTCAACTGGCCGAGACTGATGATACCTGGGATAATGTGGCTGGGAATTTGGTCATAGCAACCACCTCCACCGCGGACGATCAGGGTGCGTAGCGCGGTGAAGTCCTCGAGGACCAACGCCAGCCGCTCAAGAGTATCGACATCATATCTCGTCTTCCAATGTTTAGGTCCATGAGGATCGAATTTCTCCACATCTAATGGCAGGTCGATGTGTTTCGTAAGTTGTTGGGCCGCAGCGAGCGTCGCACTCTTGTTCAATGCACCGAAGATGGGCAGCATATACTTTCGATTCCCACATAAACTGCTGAAGAGGGTTGATATCGCATACGGATACCACTTCTTGCTGACGGCAAGTCGCCGGACGTCCCGGCGAAAGTTCAGGACGCCGACAAACTCGAATATGGACAGGAGAAGCTCTGGGGGGAGGGAGAAGAGCATGGCCGTTGGTGAGTCTGTGGGGGCATTTGTTGAGGCTGACTGCAAGTTTTCCATCTTGTCTCCTTAGGTATATGTTCTCGTGGGATTTTCTAGTTGTCTGGTCACCTCTTGAGAGGTTGTCACGTAAACCGTTTTCTGTGGAGAGGTTGTGGGTGGCTATCGAGTGTGTTGATGGGGAAGAGCCAGCTTTCTTGGCTGGGTCTCACGTTGTGGGATTCTTCTTCTTATAGTGGCCATTTTGAGACTATTTTAGTCTCGCCATATGACTGCTTTGCCGGCTTTCTTGTAAGCGGCGCCGTCGGGAGCGATACCTTCCAGCCTTGTCTGTACGGCATGAGGCTGAGCCACGTGCCCACAGACGTACTGTATTCCCTTTTATGGGCGTCTACTTGGTCATCTTCTTCTTTGCGTCTCATGCGGGCGAGGAAAGGTGGGAGGCACTCCGGCACCTGGTAGATCTGGGGGTCAAGGGTGTTCTCCTTTCTTGTGTAACCTTGGGACTCGGATTAGGATTATCCCTTAAGAAGGCAGACTTATCGTCTAGATCAGCTCCGTCGTGTAGATTCCCTCTAGTTTTCTAGGGGCCCCCTGATTAGTCGGAGGATTTCAGGCCCCAGGAGGTTTAAGTCCCTCTTAATCACTCCGGCTAGGTCAGGCAGGCATTCTACTCCAGGCTGTCACCTCAAGAAATCATGAACTCCACTCTAGAGCTAGCAGTTCACCCCACATACTGTATCCTCTTTCCACTATTATTAGTACTATATTTCTTTAAACACTAGGTCTTAAGCGGTTATTATATGAAGGCACCACATATATTTTACATGTTTAGGGATAAAAAAATGAAACCACCCATTGTTTTTCTTGTTTTTTAAACGCTGGGTCTTCAGCGTTTGCCCTGTCTGTGGAGAGGTCATGTTTTGGGAAGTTGTTGCCGAATGTTGCCAAAGAGGTTGTGGAGATTGTGCCCGTCTCGAAAGAAGTACCTGCCTGGGTAGATGGACAAGCCCGCCAGCAAGTGCCAGTTGCTAGAAGTCACTCCACTCTGCACTCCGTTATAAACAAATGGCTGTTTGGACACCTATGATTTGAATTGTGTCTTGCCATGCCAGCTGCAAGGCAGAAAGGACTACCCAGAACAATGCTACACTGGCTTCAAAGCCCAGACTAACAGGAGCTGGCAGACCCACCCACAAGTCAATGTCAGCGTCTTTTCAGGACTCAAGGCTCAGCGCTGACTCCACAGCTGGTTGCCTGCACTTGATTTCCAAAGATAGTGAACATGTCTTGACAGCCAAACACCGTTCTCATTTGCCGTCCCTGTCCTTACTGATACCAAAATGTGCACTCGGCCTGTTATTGCTAGTCGCACTCTAACGGGCTGTCTCGGATTGTAAGAGACCTCAAGTGCTGGATCTCACACATTCACCGGTATACAAGATGCAGGTTTGGACAACCTTCCCTATCCCAACAGCCTAGTCGCAGACTGAAACGAGTCTTGGGCTGTGTCTAGCAAAGCAGGCCAACTCAAATCAGCAGCAGCTGGTCGTCCATCATCTATCCCGCCCAACTCCCAGCATCACAGTCCCAGATGTACTCCAGCTTGCCGTACCGCGACAATTTCAAGGGGGAGAGCACGGCTTTCATTGTTACAAACAAGATAAACTCCCGGGTTGTCTTATCCACTAAACAAAAGATAACGGCCGGCCATTAGACCTTGTTGAAGTATGATGGGGAGTCAATGTGCTGTCGAAGAGCAGGGTGGGAGAGCTAGGAGATGTCCTCATCGCCATGTGATGGATGGGTGAAGATCTGGCTGGCATGACACAGCAGAGAGTCCACAGGCTGAAAAGCATGGCAGCTTTAAGAAAAGACTCTCTGCCAAGATTCCTTGGCCTCCATTTCAACTGACCCACCCAGCCAGCTCTGGAGAAACCGGCCCTTGCTGAAGGTCTGGAAGTACTATGTTGGGGCTCTGGGAACACGACCAAGTCGGCCGGTCCAATGTTTGGGCCGTCCCACTCAGCAAATACACAAAGCACAGAGACTTGAGCGACATCTCAAACCACCCATGTGGCACAACATGACCTAGAGAGTCAAAGTGGCAACAAACAGTTTCGCATGGAAATATAGAAAAGCCTTGTCACTACATCCAAGCGTCACCTCTAGAGCTGGACCTCCCCACCCCAGCACATGACGTTCACCCTCTTAGCAATGCCGGCTTGAGCAAGGGAACATTCACATACACAGAGTTCAAAAACCTAGTAGAAAAGAATGATGGCTTATTCACATCAATTCAAGCCTTGCTAACCCTTCGCCTCCCCTCCCCTTGCCTCCCCTCCCCTTGCCTCCCCTCGCCTTACCATCTCCTCCCATCCCATCCACCCCCCACCTCCCCACGCTCCCCAATGCACCCACAAACCAACAAGCACGCCACAAAAATGCCCGCATAAAAAGCAAGGTAGAAGATAAGATTTTTCTTCAACATAGCCCCTACCCTGTACGCCTGCCTACCCTCTCCCATGGGGGAATAAAACAAGAAATCAACACAACCCAGAGTATCCCAATGATGAATCAAGAAACGGAAAAAACAAAAACACAAAGGCAAGAGGTAATACGGTGGGTGACCAGGGCCGAGAGCATCCCAGCGATGAACGAGCACGGCGAAAGGAATCACCACACCACACCAGTCCTGAATCACTTCACACAGCCAGGAACAGCCAGACCGCCACACCTCCGCACCCATGAAGAATAGGAAAGCCCTCTTGCCCACAATGGGCCGCTGTGTTTTGGATATGTATGTATATGTTTGGTTTGGTTTGTGTTGTGTTGTGTTGTCGTAACATCAGGATCCGCAACCACGCATGCTTGGTTGGTGGTTGGCTGGCCCGGACCCCAAATCTCGTCATCATCATGCAAGTGTACATTATAACCGAAAAAGGGCTGGGTTGGGAAGAGACAGGCAAGAGGAGAAACACAACAGCAGGTAATTTGCACTTCGTTGCTCGCAGCTTTGTGTGCTCCTCCCTCTCTCCCTCCCACCATCTTCTTCTTTCTCCTCTTCCTCCTCCGTTCATGTTCACAACCCCCATCTCTATCATTACAACCCCATTTCGCCTCTCTAATGTGGCCGTGACGAGGCCATCTCTCCGTACCTTCCTCTGTTCTGCGTCGTGTCGTACGCCTGGAGCACGCGCGTCTGAGACTCGTCCGCCTGCGAGAAGGCGTAGCCTCTCTGCTTGCGCATCCGCTGTACCTGTCGTACCTTGCGGATAGCCTTTTGGAATTGCTCCATCCTGTTGACGCACAATCCGTTAGCAAAAGGCTACCAAACCGGTGGCAGGAGTCAAGGGTGAGGACAAACCTTGGTCTGTAGTCCTGGATGTTGTACTTCTGGATCTCCTGGATGTGGTGATAGTTCTGCGGCTTGTACATGCGCTTCGCATACTTGTATCCTACATCGCGTAGCAGGCACAGCACCGGCAGGACCAGTATCTGCAGCCAGAAGATAGGGCTCGTGAATATCCGCGGCACTGTGCCGAAATACTCCTCCGATACCCTGACCATGGGTGCCACGGTCGCATAGGCCGCGATGAAGGCAATCCAAAAGGCCATCGAACCAGGTATTGCTATTACGTGGTACTTTGTCCAGTTGTTTGTCACGAGTCCAGCTTTGCCCAGCACGGTGAGAAGGACCGCGCCGTACATCCCCGTGCCCCACACCCAGTGGCCGGCCAGCTTGCCGTCGCCCTGCACCAGGTCCCATGGCCAGAGGAGGACGCCGAAGATGTAAAGGATGAGGGAGTGGTAGACGGCATTGGCGATCCACGAGACGAACACCCGCAGGCGGAAGAACTGGTTGCTCTGGCCCAGGTTGTAAAGCTGAGGATAACGGTCGAGTAGTCGGGCAGAGACGAACTGATCCAGAATACCCATGGCCAAGGGGGGCAGGACGGTGAAGAAGACGTTGTAGAGGGACAGTGTCCAGGACTCGTAGATGATGGCACCTGAGAATACGTTCTGGAATGTGTACTGTTTGTTGTGTTAGCCGGGGACAAGTAATGTTGTGTGCACGATTGAGTGTGCAGGACTCACCCAGAATTGCGTCAGGTACAGCGTGATGTTCTTGTAGAACGAGAACAAGATCGTCTTGCTCACGCGGTGGTAGCTCCATGCGCCGTGCACCAGGAGCAGCTTGCGGAGGAACCGGAACTGGGCTATTGACACATCTGCGCTTCGCGCTGCTTGGAGACCTTCCAGACCGCTGATACCGACGCCGATGTGTGCCGCTTGAATCATGGAGACATCGTTGGCACCGTCGCCGATAGCGAGGGTGATGGCTTGCTTCTGATACTTCTTGACCACCTTGACGACGAGGGCTTTCTGTAGGGGCGAGACACGGCAGCAGATGACGGCTTTGCACATAACAGCCAGGTCCAAGAACAGCTTCTCCATGTCCTTCTCGAGAGCGTAGGTGAGCGACTTTCCGTCAATGATGAGGGCCAATGTCTCCGTCTCGATCGTCCCGTCGCCTTGAGTCCTGATGGCTTCAATCTTCTTCTGGAGGTTGTCCCGGGTCGCGGCGGCAGACTCCTCGTTGACGATGAGCAGCATCATGTCCTCGCTAAGGAGCTTGCAACTCATGCCAATGTTGATGGCAGTCTCCTGCCTGTCGCCCGTCAGGACCCAGACTTTGATGCCTGCCTGCTGGAGGGTGTGGATGGTCTCGGGGACTCCGTCTTGCAGCCGGTCCTCAATAGCGGTCGCCCCCAGGAGGAAAAAGTCCTTCTCGATGAGCTCTGCCGCCTTGTCCAGCTCGTCGGCACGGTTTCCGCCCACGGTCGTGGACGCCTTGTCGAAGATGCCATACCACTCTTGAAACTCCTGCTCGGGGATCTCCCGCATGGAGAGACAGAGGGTCCGCAGGCCCTCTGAGGCATACTCCTCTAGGTGCTGGAGTGTCGCTTCCACATGCGGGTTGTTGTCGTTCAGCCGCTCCAGGATGACGGTATCTGCACCCTTGCAGTAGCAGCGGATCTTGCCGTCGGGACACCGGAAGATTGTTGACATCCTCTTTCTTGTCGAGTTGAACTCGAGGACGGCGAGAAGCTCGTACTCGTAACTCTGGCCGCCCGCCTCGATGATGACGGAGCGCGGCTTGCGGGCAGTGAACTTGTACCCAAGCAAGGCTGCACCTTCGACCAGCGCACCCTCGTCAGGCGACGCAGCCTGGTATTTGATGTTGCCCGCGCCGTCGTTCTCGGGGATAACGGTATGACAGGTGGACAGCAAAGCCAGGAAATGCTCGATGACAGGTGCCGTCTCGTGCGAGGTCGTGTTTTCGCGGAGTCGCGCAAAATCGTGAATACCAACCTCGGCACCATCCTGTACGGTAGCCCGCCTGTCCTCTGGTACGTCCTCCGAGTACATGACACCGGCAATCGAGCACTGCTTGAACTCCATCATATTGCAGGTCAGCGTGCCCGTCTTGTCCGAGAACACATATTCGACCATCCCCAGTTCTTCCACCAGACTAGAAGTCCGACAATTGGCGGGGGTGTCATTCTTGTCATAATACATGTCGAGGTCGTCGTTGATGAGGATTCCATGCCAGTACTTGACCATTTCGACCGTGACGAACAAGGAGATGGGCACAAGCGCAGAGAAGAGAACCCAGTAGGTAACCATATCCTGGGCGAATTGTCTCGCGACCAGGCCGGCACTTGTCAGAGGAGTCAACTCGAGATACCCGAAAGCGCTGCCCTCGACACTGCGCATGATGAGATCACCGACGGTACACACAATGCTGAGGATAAGAAGGGTGCCGACGAGCATCAGCACCAACAGGTTCATCTGCTTCTCGACCTTGGTCCTCTTGATCGGGGCAGCATTCGCGTTACGCATCAGTTTCGTCTCGTGGCCGGTAAAGACGACAACACCGTGGATCCACGGGGTGTTTCGCAGCGTCGCGCCACGCAAGAGCAGCTGCTCCGGGTTCAGGGCCAGCTCCTTCTCCCCGGCACCCGCCTGCATCGTCATCGTCGCCTCGTACGTATATAAGCTGCTGTTGGGCTGCTCAGACTTGATCTTGCCCCCGAGCCGGCCGAGGTCGCTCGAGCTGACCAGGGCGGCGGTCTCGGGCAGACCCTGCTTGATCTTCAGGTTGGTCTCCCCGTCGAGGTTCGCGGTTTCGATGTAGCAGAGGCCCTCGGGCTCGGAACTGGCAAGCAGCACAAGATCGGCGGGGAATGACTCCTCGGACTCGACCCGGACGATGTCGCCAACCGCCACATTGATCCATTTCGCGTCTGTGAACTCGGACCCGCGCAGCACCCTGGCCTTGGACATGTTCAGGGTCTTGTCGGCCTGCTTCCTCCGGTAGTCCTCGACTAGCTCCTTGCCGGCGGAGATCAGGAGCACGACGATCAGAGGTCCTATGGTGGTGTATTGGTTCGTGGGTGAGAGGTTGGGTATCTGTTGTAGCCCGGAGGTGAAAAGGAAGAAGACGTTTGCGTATTTTGAAAACTGCTCGAAGAGGAACTTTGGCAGGAAGGTGGCGACGTTGTACTTTGCGGTGGACACGTGGTTGTCGACGTACTTGTTCGCCTGGTTTGCCGGGGGGTTGTTGAGGTGGATGATGCGCGGCCCCAGCGTCGAGGGGTCTGGCTTGCCACGGCCGAAGCCGAACTTGAAGTTGCCCATGTCGAAGCCCTTCTTGGCCGACTTGGGATGCGCGTCGGCGCCTGCGGCGGATCCGGCCCGCTGTGCGCCCGGCTCGGTGAGCGGGAGGTCCATCTCGGAGTAGCCCTGGCCCATGCCCAGCATGTTCTTTGCGCGGCCTACTATGCCGCCGCCGAGACCCAACACGCTGTTCCTGTTCCTTGCAGTGCTCCGGCCCTGCGATTGATAGCCGGCCGGCGCGCCGGGGCTGCTCCCGTGCTGGTAGTAGTGAGCGCCGTCGTCGGCGAAGTCGTCAATCTCATCGTCGGCGTAGCGCTGGTAGTTGCCAAGCTCGGAGGTCTGGCTGTACTGCCTGGTCCCGCGGTCGGTGTATGGGCCGGCGGGCCTCCCGGAGTCTGGGGGCGAGGAGAGCTGCGGCGAGGCTAGGGAGGAATGTGATGGCTGGGCGCCGCCGACGAAATCGTCGTAGGAGACGGAGGGCCGTGGCTGGGCGCCATCGTGGTCGTATGCGTCAGAGGCGAGGAGGTCGTCATCGTTCAGGGCAGAGCGCTGGCCCTGGCTGTAGACGGGCTGGTCGTCGAGGTCGAGCAGCAGGTCGTCGTGCTGCGATGGTCCCCCGTAAGGAGGTTTGCCAGCCATGGCAATTGGGCGATTCTAGAGTCAGGAGCGCGCAGACTGGCGTTGGGCGGCATCCGGGGAGGAGCGGGGAGGAACCAGTAAGGAGGGCATCAAAGAGGGCGCGCCGTTGAGGTAGTAATGATGGCACTCTAGGGATGGTGGGTTGGTTGTTTGGTCTGGCCGTGGCGGTGGTGATGGTGGTAGCACTGGCGACGGGTCGGCAACGGTTGTTTCGGGTTGTGCGGCGTGCACCTGGATCGCGGTGATGCCAGAGGTAGGGACGACCACAGGTCAGTTGTGCAACGGCAGAGAGAGGGATCAACGTGTGGGCAAAGCTGAGGTGAGGTGAGGTAATGTGAGGTGAGTGGCAGTAAGCCAGGGCCAAGGCACTGCAAGAGCCAGCAAATTGTCGATGATTTCGTTAGGAGGGACGGCACAGCCTTCGTGTCTGGTTGCACCTGCCTTGGCCTGCCGATCCTTGTAAGCGGGCAGGTAGGCACTTCGGGCGAGGTAATGCAAGCAGCTGCAGTAGTGACGAACCAACCAACCACCTGGGCAGTCAGTCATCCAGTCTCGAGCTGTGCTCCGTACTATTAGCGTGCACCAGCAGCCCTGCCAGCCCAGAGGTAAAGTCACTGCCCTGGATTCCCTGCCGCCCCGTAAACGCACAGCCCTCCTAGATCGCGGCGGATCTGCTCCTCCAGAGTCTCGGGGTCTTGGTAGGGGAGACGAGTGCTACCACAGTACTTTATTTACCGATCCTGCCCCCGAGGTCCTCTGCTGCCATGTCTGTCCTGCTTGTTTCCAAGCCCTGGTGCAGCCGGCCTGGCTAGTCATTCAGTCATTCGGCACAAAGACCTCCCTCAACCAGTCTTTCTCTCCTTTCTGTCTAGTCTACATGGTTACGTGTTTGTCTGTGAGGTGGTCGCAGTTCACTGTCCGTGTCAGCGGCCAATTGCTAAAAACAGCATGGCGACCCCCAAGGTCCGCCCTTCGTATAATAAATGGTACCCACAACCCGATGCCCACCAAAAAGGCTGGCGAGATGCAGTGGGTTGTTGGGTTAGGTTAGCCTCATTAGCGTCGTCCATGGCTGACCTGACTGACTCTGCCTGTGTCTCTTCCTCTACACCTCCAGCAACATCTCAAGCCCTGCATATATCCCAAGTACACAGACGCTATGGGCTGCCGGTCTGCTCGCTCGGTCAGTCCTTCGGGTAACCAGACTTGCGTCGCCTGTCGGTCTGTCATCCACAGACATCTCCAGTGTCACAGAGAGGGGCTGCTGTGTCTCAAGAGGAAGCCGAGCATAGCCCCCCCCACCGTTCACTGTCTCGCAGTCTTGGGTTCCGTCGCTCAATGTATTAAGTGGCGAAGGACACCAGAGAACAGCCCCCCTCAGCCACGTACGCATAACGCATATTCGTGTTCCTGCCATCGCCCTACGGAGTGATGCAGACAGACGGCTCTGCCCGGATGGTTCGGGGTCAAATCCCTCTACCTGCGACCTGACCACCGGCTTGTTTACTCGTGCGTGAGACAGCCGAGAAACAAGTCTGAACCTGTTCCAACCACCCGGGTACACCACCCCGTGACAGGCCCAGCACAAAATAAGGTTGCAGCAGACCCGCCATTTTGCATCAGAACCTTGAAGGCGACGCAGTCCCGAGGCGACATGGTGCACAACATGGAGAAAATGGAGCACGACCGTTCCCAGGGCCATGCACCTGTTCTTTTCCATCACAAGGAACAAAAGAGGCGCTGTGAGACCGCACACAATGTTATCATCAGGTAAGACATCGATTTGAATGAATTGTTTATGAAGCAGGCCGTGTCATGAGTGCCTCTCATAAAATGGAGAGGCGCAGTGAACCAATATATCAACAGCAACCACAACGCAGAATATGTGAGCCAACGAGGACGAGTGATCCCTCCTGGGCCTCACAGGAACATCCCCAGTATAATGGAATGAGACATCAAATCATGCACGAGATCCCCGTCTGGAAAACCAAATCCCACCGCCGCCAATATTGTCCGGTAGAAAAGCCCCTTTCGCATCTCCCCCCTGGGGACCTCTCCCCGCCACCAGATTGATCCTGAGCCAGGGACCTGAATGTAAAGACCAAGTGACCCCCCCCCAACTGACCGAGACCAGCCAGTGTTGCTATTGTGTGTATATAACAAGTCCGCATATGTGGGCAGTTTCGAGTTCCCAGTGAGTAAGAATAAGTAAGACAACATCCAACGTGTCAAGTGGTATCTTTTTTCCCAATATAAAAAGCCATAAACCAAGAAAAACCCATAACTTGTTGTCGGCCCCACTGCCCCCCCGCAGGATATGGGGGAGCTGCGAATAAAATCAATCATTACATGGCAGGCTAGAAGGGAACGCTGTCTACGCCTCCTCTGTGATGCCTCCCTCGCCGCCGCCCTCGTCGCGCCACTCTCGGCTCTTCTCCGTCAGCTTCTTGACGCCCGTGACGCGGGCCGCCCACAGCGCCTCGATCGGCGTGCGGACCGTGAATGCCCTCTGCGACGAGATCACCCCGATGGCCTGCAGGACCGCCTTGCGGCTGTCGCGCCCGAACACAGCCGGGTGGTTGATCCATTCGAGTGACGATTCGAGCTCGGCATCGAGCGCCGCGACGGTGGTGGCGTCGATGCCGGCAGCCGTGCCCATGCTGCCAAGGCCGATGCCATCGTTGGACCGGCTCCGTGGGATAGCAGAGGGCTGGAAGCCGCCGTTCGCGGCAGATGAGGTCGCCGAGGCCGAAGGAGATGGCGTGTTCTTTCGGTCGGGCGTAAGAGCGGTGGTGGGCGAGGCGTCATTCTGGCCCGTATGCGGTGTAGACGGGTTCGACTTGGGCGGCATGTTGGGCACTGGTGGCAGGCCGCCCTTGCCCAGACCCTTTAGGATCGAACGGGTCTCGTTCAGCAGCGTGTGGGCCCTGTCATGCTGTCCCCTGCTTACCAGGGTGAGTGCTCGTGTGAGCATATCTGAGGTGAGTAGCTCCATGCGGCGCTGCACAATGTGTGGGTGCGGCGGGATGGGCGGTGTGCCGTTCCACGACTTCTTGTTGGAGCTGGTCGGCAACATTGTGATGGCAAGCAGCGAGGGCCGTGGGAGGTGCATAGCAGCCCCGTCCCTCAGGATATCGCCCCAGGTGAGATCCGCCTGGATCAGGGGGACCTCCTCAACGGACACGGCCCTTTGGTCCTCTTGCTCGACCGGGCCCCCCAGGGCCTCAAGCCCGGACACGATGCTCTCCCAGGCATCCTGGGGCAGTGTCTCCTGGGTTGAATTGTCTGGCAGGATGACTAGCTGGACAAGGATATCCCGCTTGTCACCGAACCGTAAGTCGCCGAGGGAAGCCTCTGCATCTCTGCCGGTTGCACGCTTGGTGATCTGCAGTGCGCCGCTGATCTTGTGGAACTTGGCAGGCGAGCCCTCGGGCAACTTGAGCTTGAGCTTCACGTTCTGGTGCGAGAGCGACTGCATGGAGCCCAGGCAGCCGGCCAGGCACTCGCGAAGCATCATCCAATCCTTGACGTATGTGTACGATGCCTTTGTCCGGGTCGACAGCTCAATCATGGTGTCGGGCTTGTGTGTCATTCCGAGACCAAAGGAGTGGATGGTGATTCTAGGACCGTTAGTAAACACGTCCAGCAAAATGGTGATGGTGTGCAACTTACTTGGCAGCCTCGGCTCTTGATACAACGAAGTCAACACTGTCGGCGTCTGATGTTGATGCGTCGCTGATGAGCATAATAGTGGCGACCGGATTGTTGTACTTGCGCTGCATCAGAAGATCCATTGCCACGTTCGCCCCTTCGACGACATCGGCGCGGTGGCTCTTCTGCCCGACGGGCTTGATCGACGACAAGACGTTGCTCCAGCCGGGCCAGGCCTTTGTAGTCATGCCAACAATAGGCACACCTCCGCCGCCCGAGCCAAATGTCACCAGGCCCATGCGATCCCTCTCGCCCAGGGTGTACACCATGAATCGGAGGGCATCCCGAACGAGGTTGATCTTGACACCCTGCATGGATGACGAGATGGGCACGACCACGACCACATCGATGGGGACGTGTACCGAGGCCATGAGGGGGCTTCTTTGGAATGTCGTGTAATCGGTCGGCGCGGTGGTGGCGGACCTTGCACCGCCCCACGAAGAAGCGACCGACGAAACCCTCTGCGGCCTGGTAGAGTCCCTCCGCCAGTCTTCCTCGTCCTCGCCCGAGAACTCGCCACGTTCATAGTCAGGGCTGCGCACAGGCGACGTCTCAACCGCGTTCAAGTCCAGCAGAGCTTGCTGCCACAGCTTGAGCTGGTTGCGGTTCTCAAAACGCAGGTGGAACTGGGGTAGCTCTGCAACAGATAGGCTGAGTGTCAGGATGTTCTCGTCGATGCTCCCGGCGTCGGAAACCTCGTTCAGATGCTTCTTGATCAGGATTGAGCCCTTGAGAGTGCATCTCGTAGTCTTGCGTGGCGAGCCGTCGTCCCATTGCGGCGGTGGGGCTGAGCTCTTCTTCTCCTTGACGCAGATGAGCATCTCGGCGAAGAGGAAGCATTCCAGCTCCTGCCATGAGAGCTTGTCCTTGCCGACCCGCAGAGTGCCGTACAACCGCAGTTTCCCAAAGCGGCTGAAGTCAAGCCCATGCCAATTGTCGACGCGATTTCGCAGGTTCTCTGTCATCTCCTCCAGAACCTCAGCCGACTCGTACGGGTAGAAACGAGGAGCGCTCTGTGCCGGAGACGGTGGCCTCTGGGGGAACTGGTCCTCGATCCTCTGATGTGGCATCGGTGGGGCAGACTGGATGTCGTCGGGGTCGGGCCTCCATTTGTTGTCAGGAACCTCGACAGTGACAAGACAGGTGAGGGTCTGTTGCTGTCTTGACCGGTTGATCGTAGGGAACTCGGATCGCACCGTGACGGTCGGAGCTGGGATTGGATTCCTCGCAACGGCCTTCGGGCTGGCAAGGCTTGTTTCCATGGCCTGCAGGTCGTAGTCGTGACGGCGCGGTGGCCCGCTCTGTGTTGTCTCGGGATAGCCGCCGGAAGAGGCAACCCCAGTCATGCCCGTGGCCTCACTGTCGCTGCGCATGTGCCCTATCCGTCCTCCCGCGTATCTGTCCGAGTTGTTGTCTCGGAGGCTGCCGCGCGACGGAGTCGGCAGGGGGCCCATCGGTGGTTGTCTCGCAGCCGAGCCCCGGCTGGGTGGGCGGGCATTGTGGTCATTCCATTCTACGGATGGCGGAGCTGGTGCCGGCGCAGGCGCCGGGGCGGCTGCCGGGGTAGGCGCGTTTGTCGATCTCGTATCGTTGACGGAGACGGAGCGGACCATGTTACTGATTTTCTCTGTGTAGTACGGTCAGTGGCCCTCCTAACGACGGTGTCACCTGAAGATGGGGGACATACCAATGTCGAGGACATTGCCACCACGGCTCGTGTCTAGGTGGAGGGGTGCGTTGCATGTTGGGCAGTATTGCGATTCGAACTCCCGGATGAACTCGTAGAAGCATGCCTCGTGCGAAACGTGGGAGCATGAGAACTGTAGTATTCGCTCCCCGCGGAGGGTGTGTTCCAGTGGCTCCTCGCAGACGGCACATTCGGCGCCCACAAAGGTACGCTCCCTCCGGGTCCGGCTCCTGTCTGCATTCATCATGCCAAAGTTGGAGGTTGTATTCGCTCGCAGAGCACCTTCGCGGGATCCAATTGAGCCAGTCGAACGGGAGGAACGGTGCGAGGGCGGTCGTAGAGTCCCAGCGGCGATGGAATGGCCTGTGGTCGGGGAAAAGGGGGGTTAGCCTTTGTGATCTGGCACGGTCGCGTCACCGTGCCCCGAGGTTCGAGGAGCTGGAGGCAGGACCACGGCGCGGGCTCGAACGTGGACCTCGCCGGGCGGGAGGAGGCGAGGGGGTGGTCGAGGCGCGAGGGGTGGGATTCCGACAGGAGCAATAGGCAATGAGGCAAAAGAGGGCGCCTGGTGTGGCTGGGGGAAAGGTTTGGGAAACGACAGGAAGGTGGAAGCTTAACTCACCCTTTTCCGGAAACGAGGGCCCGTTGTCTGAGTCGCCGGGAGGCTTGATGGATGTGTAATTGGGCCCCTTCCTCGCCGCAGAACCAGAGCCGGAGGCAGTGGTAATCGGCTCGGTTCCTCCCCAGGCGGATGCGAAGCCCTTCTTGTCGCGGCCGATTAGACCAAGCTGTTTCAGACTGGCCAGCTGGGCGTCGGCGATCCGCTGCTCTTTGGCAAAACCCTGCTGTTTCCCTTGTTTCCCTTGGGATCGATTGAACATATGGGCCCCGGGGATGGAAGTATATGGGCGGAGGCGAGATGGAAACCGGAGCGGGCGATAGAAAAAGGGCTACGGAGGTGCGAGTGGCCTGTGCCCGTGCCTGAGCCTGTGCCTGGATTGAATGAGCCTAAGCGGCGGCGCCTTGTCCTGGTGGAAATGAGTCGCGCAACAGCATCCCCAGGTTGGCGCGGCCCTTGTTCAGGGAAGTGGACCTTTGACAGCAGGCGGGTCGCTATGTGGCCTGGGCGTGTGCGAAGGGTGGGCTCTGCTGTGGTCTGGGATCCAGGAGGGCCCGAAGCTTTTCAGGAGGGCGGACAGTTTGAGCAGCTTGCGTGCCTTGGGGCCTGACCCGGGACGACCCCAGCTAGGTGACGATCTGTCTGTCAAGCCACGAGCGAGCGAGCCTGCTTGGCCCGTGGTCCGCGAGTCTGGTCTGGCCTAGCCTGGACAGCCCACCGGGGGGGTATGAGTGGAACGGGGGGATGGGATTGACAGGCGAGCGGGCACAGCGGGCAAGCGGGCACGCACGCAGACCCAGGACAAAGGAAAGGGCACCACGGTTTCCGCAGAGAACAGGGCGCTGGCGGCCTGGGCTGGTGGCTTGACTAGCAGGGCGACGTCCTGGGCGAATTGTGGGCTGTCACACACACTCGTGGAGCCGGGGTGGAAGGCTGTTTCAGAGGGGTCGTATCAACTATGCTGCAGGTGGTGAGTTAGGGGGCAAGCTTGCAGGTTGCTGGCCGCTCCGCTCGATGATGGTGATAAGGTTCACCTGAAGCTGGCCGGGCGGATTCTGTGCGCAACCCCCAAGCAGCCCAAGCTGACTTTTCCGCTCGACCTGAGCTGGCTGTTTCCGAGGTGGTGCCGTCGGGAGTTGATGGATTGGAGGAGGGTGTGGCAGGATGTAGAGAGGGCTGGCTTGGAGACTGTGATGTCAGCGCCTCTCCTTGTCCTTCTCCTTACGCGTGTGTGCGTGGTGTGTGTGTATAAACGGTATGTATGCAGTGCTTCGGTACGTAGCGTGCACAACGCTAGTGATGACAGCAGACAACCAGACAGCCAGCCAGTCAGTCAGTCCGTCCAGTCCAGTCCAGTCCAGGGCTGGCCGTGCGTGGACGTGATTGCGATATTCCAGAGCTGGGTCCCGGTGGCCAAAGTCACGGACAACGGCGGGCATAGGCGGGCGGCTAATAAGCGGGTGGGTTGTGCTAGGCAGATCCCCTAGATAATAAGTGGATATCACCGTCTCCTCTGTTGAGTGTCCAGCCGTGCGGATGTCTCAGAAAGTATACAAGAATAAAGCGCGGGACACAGTTCCTCGGCTTCCTATGCGATTGTGCCTGCTTGTGTCTTGATTGTGCCTACCGTCCAAGTACCCGAGGGGGTGTGGCCTGGGATGGGATGGGACGAATAGTTTCGTCCTAACTTGCAGAGCACGGTGCCGTAGCGGTGGAAAAATAATGGTGTCGCGGTGATCGGTAAGAGGGGCCGTCTCAAATGGTGGACGGGGTAAATGCGGGCTCCTCTTTTTTTCTTCTCTTGTTGCTGGGCTGGAAGTATCTCCCGGCAGGTTGTGACAAGACAGACTCGATACGACACGGGCGCTGCTGGTGCTGGGCTGGTGCTGGTGCTGGAGGACGACTTTGGAGAGGAGAAGGAGATGACGGGCTGGGAATGGAGGAGGGACCAGACGGGCTGACGGGGTCTTTTGCAGGGAAGGCAGGAGCGACCCCAGCCCTGGCAAAGCAAGCTGTGAGCAGCAGCACCAACGCCCATTGGCCTGGGGCCTGGTCTGGGACGAGCCTTCTCACTTTCCCTCGTCCAGTAGCGCTGCTGGCCAGCCACCAACCCCTTCCTATACGACAGGCCCTTTATGATAATGCCCTGTCTTACGGCTGTCACTACTCCTCTTGCTCATTCCCTGACCATGCCGTGCCACGCCCACGCCCTCGCCCTTGCCCACGCCCTCGCTCTGCCGTGCCTCGTCCTGCAGCAGATACACGGATAAAGTGCTTGGGGGTTGGCTCGACGAGACGTCAGTCAAGCCCATCACGTTCGAGGCCGACAACCTCGGCCGCGCGTATGGGTTTGGGTTACGGACACAAAATCTACACGCCGTCTGCCGCCCTGGCCGTCCACGCTTCACCAAGCTGCCGAAGAGCACAATGGCACTAGCCAGCGGGCCCTGTTTTGACTTCTGCCAGTTGAGCGAGTTCCTAGACCAACAAGTTCAAGGGTCCGTCGCGGTCTAAGACACTTCAGTTCCCAACTCCCGGGATCGTGGATGGTCTTGGCCCAAGCCTTTACTTTACCTTCCAGACGGGCTAGCAGGCCGGGAGAAAAGCACCGCTTCTACCGCGTGCCCCATCCCCTTGCTGCTTGCGCAGAGCGAGCATCACGGAGGATGCATCCTGTCTGCCTGTCAACCCGACAGACTGGGAGCATGTCCAGTCCTGGTCCCATCCGATACGCACATGGTGCACCTTATGACGCCACACGCGAGCCAGCGACCCGGCCGTGCGTGACTTTGACTTGCTTTCAACAAGTCCTCAAGACTCGCAGAGACCGGCCCAGCCGGCCGAGCCAGCCGAGAACAAAACTCACAAACTCGTCGAGTACATACATAGAACAGACGCACTTGTTAGCGTGGTTACCTACTCGCCTGCTCGTTAATCACTGAAGCGATGAGGCGGGCAGTGTTGTACCGTGGTGGATCGACCGTTGCGTGGGTGGTAGTATTGTGGAGCTACCATCCAAGTGGGTTCGTCAAATGTCGGTCCAGCATCAGTGCACCTAGGCGCTACCACATCGTCGCATCGTGGTTGTGCCATGGACATGTTATATGCACAGCAACCAACGTGTACTAGTGTCGCTGTGCATTTCTTCATCTGCTGCTAGTGTGTGTGTGTGCCTCGCCCCCTACACACACACGCGCGCCAGGGGATTTTGTGACAGCCCTTGGCCAACACTCGTCGCCAACGTTCGCGAATCAAAGGAGCAGGCAGGCAGGCAGTGGCCAGGCGGAGAAGAGATTCCCGCGCGGGAATGCGGCAATGACTGCGCCCTGCGTGGTCATCTCGGGCCCCTCCGCAACCGCCTCTCGGCTGGCCCACCACGTTTTACACGGCAACGGGCAGCAGAGAGGCCAAGTTGCTTCTTAGCCGGCATAAGCTCACTTCACGCTTCTGCAACCACCCCTGCACCCGAAATCTACACCACCAGGCCACCTGCAGGCCTCGTCGCCGTCTGTCACTCCTGTCACTCTCTTGCTTTGCTGCATGGATCATGGTCCCTGGCTCAACACTCAACACTCGGTACAAACTCACTACCATGTGCTAGACATGTACTCCGTACGGGGTACTGTCACTGCAGCTTGGAAAGCGCAAAAACCAAGTCGAGTCGCAATTCCCCACCGCACCGTGCCTGTCACCTGCAGCTCCCGACCCATCTCGACCGCTGGTACGCCTGGGGACGGCATTTTATTTTGCGACGACTCACTGCTTCCCAAGAGGAGTAAAGGCCTGTAAGTAGTGCATCGCCGCTATGATTGTCACAAGCAGCTCTTTCCGCCGGAAAACCCCTCGGGTTCCTCGCAGGATCCCGAATGTCTCCAGTTGGAGCTCGCTGTCCCAGCTGTGGTTGGGTACTCCTCCTGCGAAACCCTGCATGCCTTGCACAACTCCCGCGCAGCGTTGCATAGAATAGGACTTGCCTAGCCGAATCGACCATCTGGCCCGGCCTTGGTCGCCCCCGGCCTGTCTGCTAGGAGTCAGGGTCTCTATCTTGTCGAGTAATACCGCATGGAATTACGAAACAACTTCACCGGTGCTGTGGTCAATGGTCTATGGTTCTGCTGCAGGGGCAGCACCAGCTCTAATGGCACCAGCTATACGGCCCACTCGCATTGAAGGCCATGCGATGGCTTCAAGGCTAAGAACGAGACGGGCACACAGGCGGGCAGGCGGGCAGACTCGTGCCAGAGTGCCATCAACCAATCACCCGTCACAATACCAGACTGGGTTCAAGGCTGGATGATCGCCACGGTTGAGACGACGGGAGGGGCCTTGGGGCCTACAAGGCTTGAATTAGAATGCGGCGAAATGTCTCTGCCAGTCTGCTAGCACCGCACTTCCACCCACCAAGGCACTAGTTGCGCGCGTTGTTGCCGATCTCATCTCACAATCGTCGCGGCCAGTCCCATAAACTGGGGACAGTCGGAGACTTTAGATGCAGCCCGTCGTAGACCAGTCGCAGCCTCGCCGCGAAATCCAGCCGGGAACACATCGCTAGCCCAGGCAGCCTGGCCAATGAACAGCTCGACAGCTCTCGCTGAGGCAGCTGACGCTAAACCTCCGGGTGCGCGGCCGCGTCCCACCCTCCCTGGGAAGCTTGCCTTGGGGAAAGCCTGGATGTTCCCTTAGGCTGGGTCATGCGAGTTGAGATCGAGCACGTGGCAGCAAGACAGAACCCTTCCCTCCTGGGGGCATGCTCGGCTGAATGATGCCTCCTGGCTGCCGGCAAGTCGAAGCCGCGGCCCAGGGTGATACACCAGCGTCCGGGCCCCCGGCTTCCAAGCCTTGAGCGACTGCTTGGGTATGTCGGGCATGTATAAGGCGGCAGGCTGGGACGGGTCTTTCCAGGCTCGTTGCTGCCCTCGTTGCTGCCTCGTCCTTGGAATCGATCAGGGAGCACCCAGCCTCAGCTACGAGTCCAAATGGAATCTTGACGAGTGCACAGACAGCGGATGCACGATGAGCTCAATTGTTTGTCCTGCCGGCCTGCTCAGCTGGGGAATGCACACTGCCGTAGTTGCTTGGACCCTGTTCGGCTATGCGCGAGCACACCCTCTCTCTGCCTGATCAATAGAACGATTTGAGTTATTGGACAAGCGTCTAATTTGACTCGATGTGGGTACTTGAGATCCTGATGTGGTATCCTGCGGTCGACATCTTGGCCCGAGCTGGGCACCCGCGGACTATGAGCACAGAGGCGAGCTGTTCTGCGTGCGAACTTCATCTTCCAGTTGAAAATCCTCCCGGCCGAGCAATTACGATAGTGACCCATCAGAAGCTGCTGGGGAAATGAGAGCGTGACAAGCCCGGCAGGGAGGAACAATAGCAGCTGTTATACGGCGTGGGCAGCGAGAGCGTGCTCCGCACACCGATGAAACACCTGCATACAACCGTTGGTCCAGCTCCGTGTGGATCCTTATTGGATCGCAACTATTGAATTCCTTGGATATTCCCACACACCCGTCCATCCGGGGCATTACTATGTATGTCTCATGCCATCGATGGACCAACCGCTGGCGTGGCCTCGCCTTCCCACCTCGTCGTCGTTGCTCGATCGGGAAACCAAATAAAACTACCCGACTGGGTCATTGGAAAGGGAACCGATGTACAACAGGCTTTACGAGATCGCCCACCGCGGGCAATCTCGTTTCTGGCCGTAACAGGCGGGCGGAGCAGAGGTTATTGCGGAGCAGGCTCGACGCTTTTGGCGGAGCACCTGCCGAGACTGCTTGTACGCCCACTAGAATGAGTCGAGGCGATCCGATTCATCATTTTCACGTGGACCACGGTCCCCATTCATGTAGACCCTGAAGATGCGCCCGAGCGCGAGATGGCTACTTGACGACTTCGGCCACCCAGGAGCCAAAGGCTGGGCTCCTTGATTTAGACTTTGGCAACGACGTGCCAATGACGAGAATCAGGTGGCTCTGGCAGGTTGAACCGTGGTCACGCTTGAAGAGGTACTTCTACTGACGGGGCCAACGGCAAGGCAATCCGGCAGGACTGCTGTTACATTTCTGCCTGCTTTTGGCATCCACCCACGATGATTTCGTATCAGTCAAAATTTGTACAAGGAAGTCGGGGGATTCAAGACGCAGCCAATGTCAAAAAACTTCCAATTCAGGACATCAATGTGATAAACAAACAAGTCCAGACGCGTCTTCACGAGTAAGTAAATTTGGCATCTCTCTTCCGAACCACGGTCCGGTGAAGGCCGGGCTTCTATTTCCGTTAAGCCAAGCCAAGCGCTCCCCCCACCGGCGCCATGCGATTGAAGGCCGCAGCGGCGGTCGGGCGAACCCAAGCACACGATCGCATCACCCAGAACAAGTCAAGAAGAATGCACTCTCGCTCATCATGCACATGGGGTCACCGAGGAAGGACCGTCCAAGGACCGTCCAGTCCAACCTTCACGTCCTCGCCAAATCCGGTTCAGGGTCTGGGCGGTCACCATCAAGCAGGTCCATGGCATTTCCATCCAGGTGCACACATCCCCTGAATTGAGAACTCGCTTAGGATTCTCCACCCCCCACGACCTCGCCCGTGCTCGGCCAAGCCGTGGAGAATAGCCCAGATCAGAGCCGCATAATCACCATGAGCATCATCATCGCCGCCACCACGTACGCTCTCTCGTCAAAACAGGGCAGCGCTTCTTGTGCCAATATGGAATGTCCGGACGTGGCAGCGATCGACGCCCACCTGGACTTTCGGATGATGATGGACACCACTTCACATGCCACTGCGGCTGAACGCCCAGGCTTGCAGGGACAGACCACTGCCTGTTGTAGAACCTCATTGTAGGGTCCAGCCCACAAAATCTGACAAGCGGCCTCCCGGGTGTCGTGATCTTGTCTATTCCTTGCCTTCTCTGGATAGTGGGGTGAGAGCGAAAGATTGGCTCGGGCTTCGAAGATCCCAAGGGTCGCAATTGGGTCATCTCTCGCTCGCTTCTTCCCATGGGACTTGGAAGAGCCGCAAGCGCGCCCAATCCGCACAAGTGAGAGGTCCGTGTGGAAACAACTTGCCTGCCTGGGTACTCTAGCCTGCACATCGTAACCTACTGTCTCGTGTAGACTGGTGGTTGGAACTCAAGTCTGCCGACCGGCTAACTGACTGGCTGTTCATGCCAGATTGTCTTTCTCTAGGAGGGGACCCTTCATCTGCGACCAAACCTTAGGCGTCGTTGCCCAACGTCGTGCACGGGACGATACTTTTCTCTGAGCGCTCCCGTCCGTTCCGCGGAGCAAGCGGGCCATGCATATCTGCGAGACAGGGAGAGAGTGCTGACCATGGCCGCCCCCATCGTCAGCATCGTCATCGTCATGGCCACCGCCGCAACCATCTGCCATGGTGAAAACATTCGTCCAAGGCATTTCCCCCTACCCCGGCCCAGACTGTGAGATTCAATGTCGACACCTTCATCGATACTACCGCACTGGCTCCTCAGGCCCAACGCTGAGCTCACCCAACCCAGCTTGGCTGCAGGACCGCTCGGCTCGTCCAGCAGGGCCAGGAGAGGACTTGACACTCCCGGCTCCGGCGCCCGTGCAGTGACATTCCTCCCTCCCGGTGTGACTCTCTAGCCTTTTCACAGCCGCTCTGTCACCTTGACGCTTCGCCGGGGTGTCCGGGGACCCGGGCGGGGCTCGACCAGGCTGATGAGGGTGAGTAGGGGAACAGGGCTGGGTTGATGCGATGCGTTGGGCATGGCCCTGCAGGCTTTGTTTCTGGCTGCCGTCTCTGTCCTGTCCCTTGTCCCTCAGCTGCGACTCTTAACGAGCCATCATAATGGCTGGCTCCCGGGTTGCCAAACTACCCATGCAGCGCTGAAATATGTGCGTCAGACATGCAGCATAAGCGAGGTCGTCAGCCGTGAGGCGGGAAACGCGCGGCTGCTGCGTCTCGTGATCGCGTGAGGGCTCCTGCAGTGACGTCGAGAGTCGCTGTCTCACAGCTAGCAAAGGCTGGCAGGCTGGCAGGCTGCAGGTGGCACCAGGCCTCCCACAGCAGGGTAGAACACGGGCCCTTGCGTGGGAGCGGATTCGGACACGGCTGATGGTTGTGTCAAGCAGCTCTCCGGAATCCTCGGTGCTAATGAGGACGATTCGGTCGCTCTTGACCAATGGCGACTGGGCCTGGACCTGCGTTGACATCGCCCTTGGAAATACAAGGTGATTCGCAGGAAGCACTTACACCGTAGGCCTGGCATTGCAAGACATGCTCGGGCCAGGGCAGCAAATCACCCATGCCACTTCTCCCACCCCAAGTGTTTGGCGATGCTTCTAAATGACATCAACAACCGCAATTTCTCCAGCGTGTGACCCAGGAGTAGGCAGGCCAAATCAAGGCGCGGAGTCGCCATGAGGCCCGTCTCCGCCCGCACCCTGACGATGACAAATGGCAAAGCAATGGCAAAACCAAACGAGCATAGTCATAAAACACCTATGCCGAAGACATTCCATAACAAAGCCCACATGAACCCTGCGTTTCAAAACAATCAGGCCCGTCGACAGGTCAACGATCAGCCGAGGAAAATCCACAAGGTGGGACGAAGAGACATCCGACGTCTCGACTCCTGCCCGCCCGTCATTCTCTGGGCCCGCCTTTTCCTTCTTTCTTTTTCTTCTTCTGCTCCCGTCTGTCGCGCCACCCGGGTGGGAAAGCGACGAACGGGTCGGCCGCACCGTGGGTTCCCAAAACGACTGCCCGGCCTCGCATGGCACCACCAGCCTGGGGCCAGCGGGTACAAGCTTCTATCACAGCCTGGGCCGGTGCGTTTCACGGCGGTCCCGGGGCCCTGTCAAAGTTGACAGAAGGGACGGACGGGCGGACGGACGAACAGGTCGAGCCCCCCAAAGGGATCGGTCGCAACGGGCTGCAGTTCCTACCCAACTATCTGCGAGTTCACATATCACGGCAAGTGTGTGTGTATGTAGTTGGTCAGACAAGTGTCCCACCAGCAATCCTTATAGCCGCCGGCCAGCTGCGGTCTGGGCGGCCGCCCGCCGGCACGTTCTTTTTCTGGCGGGTGCACTCTACGCCAGACTCGGTACGTCATGAACGGGCGTGGCGTGGCGTTTCTTGTCTGTGCGACAGACAGACGGCACGGTTCCTCAAGGATGCTAGGATATACTTGGGAGTTTGTTTTGTTTCTGCCTGTCTGGGCGGCACCCGCCAAACATCACTCATCTCGAGGGGGAGGGTGGGCGTATCTTCTTCCAAGCCAGGGAGGGAAAACGGCCGCCAGGGGTAGTGTTGAAGGTGAGGCAGAATCCTTCTGGGCCTCTCTTTCTCTCCCTCGCGACGTCGCGGGCGGCAAGGTCGCATGTTTGGAGCGCTGAGCCGCACAACGCCGCCGCCGCATTCCGTCATGGTCCTTATTAGCGCCAGGAACATCTGGCGTCCAACGGGGCCGGGGGAGGCCCAAGCGGGGGAGGCGGGATGAGGTCAGATCGATAATGGGATCCTTTGTTTATTTCTCTACTTCCTTTGATCTGTGTCCCATCTTTGCAGTTAGTGGTGGATGGATTGGTGGGAGGGAGGGAGGTGGGCCGGGCTCGGGAACCACAACATCCGCAACATGCCCCTCGGTGTCTGTTTTCAGAGCCTCCCACCCACTCTTGCGGCGCGGGAGGCTTACAACTGTTCGAGACTCAACACAGGCTGGTTGGTGTAACCTGTCTCGGGGGCGAGGCTTGCCGTTGCCGTGCGCCTTTTCGGATCCTCTATCGTCACGCCGGCGAGACAGGATGGACGGGAAGGCGCAGTGCTTGATACGCGGGCTGGCTCCCTCGAGCGGTTGTTGCCTTGCCCTGCCATGCCATCGTTCCATGCCTTGCATTGGGTGCCTGGCTAGGTATCTCGCGACCGTCAGGTGGCAGCAGGATTCTCGCAGCCGCGAGGGTAGCAATCAATCAGTCAATAGTGTCCTGCTGGGGCGAGATAATTCCATCCGGGCCCAGCGAGGGCGAGAACATGGGCAAAGGAGCCAATGGACTGCTTCCTTTTTCATGCGGCGCATATGCTGCGCGACGGACACGGGATCCTCCTGGGGGCCAAAAGTGGGAGAGGAAGGTTACACTATGCTGCATATATGTGCATTCCTCCCCACCGAGAAGGATCCATCTTGCATCGTGGGCAAAAGGTGCCCGCGCCCCCTTGCATGCCTTGCCCTGTCTGCCTGCTTGGCGGGTAGGAAGGAGAAGCGCACAATAGTTCCAAAAATATTGTGTTCTGACCTTGGTTCCATCCTTCCTTTGGGATTTTTGATTGGTCTTCCTGAATTTTCTTCCATGTTGGTTTTTCAACATGTGATAGATTGAGCTCCTTCGGGAAGGGACTTTTGGTGTGCTGCTCATTTCATTCTGGCTCAACTGTGGGACTGATGTGTGGTACGGCGATGAAGGAATAGCTGTTACGATATTGCGGGAATGGACACTAGAGGTTGGAAGGATCATTCTCACGCCCCGGGGGGAGACGAACGACGTTGAGCCGCTCAAAGCCGATAGCTCGTGCAGAGTGCGAAGCAACCGTGTAATCAGTCTGCAAAACGATAACGACGTCCCAGTGGGCAATTGGTTGGCGCATGCATCGTGTTGTGAGAGTCTATTTTCTATGGACACATCCACTATCATCATCAAAGCACAACACGCGACGCATGCCTCGGTAACGCGGTTGGATATCATTTTCCGCATTAAGCCCCATCCCCCCGGGTCTATGCCTTGGTGGATATACAGTCGTTGGTGCCGCCGCCGAATCTCATGTTCTCTACACCTAGTCCTCGTCCCAGTTCTGTAGTGCCATGTTAGTCTCTGGGGCGCATAGTCATGCTGAAGCTGTGGGGTACTCACTGGATTGGGTCCTGGGGGCTTGGGGCCACCGGCTTGCCTCGCCACGATGATCTGGTCCACTGAGAGGACGGTCCTGGCGGCCTCTGTTGCGAGCTTGATCGCCCAGCTCTTGGTGACCATCAGGTCCAGGATGCCGGCATCCTGAGCGTCCAGGATTCCAGTGTCCTCCTCGTTCTACCGCGACTGGTCAGTGAACTGCACACGATTGCAAGGATTGTAAGCCGGCCTTCCTTACCTCGATGTCGACACCAGTAGTCCACTCGTCCTTGCGGCTGTGTGCGGCGTATAGCCTGCTCAACACCTCTGTGGCGTCCAGGCCGGCGCTCTCCGCGATGCTCCTTGGGACGACCTCAAAAGCCTCACCGTACTTCTTGATGGCGTACTGCGCCAGGCCCGGCGTCTTCTCACCGTATGCCTGTAACCTCTCGACGAGCTGGACCTCTGCTGCGCCGGCTCCTGGCACGAGTCTCGCGTCCTTGGTGATGGCCTTGACCACGTTCACGCCGTCGTCCACGGCACGCTCGATGTCGTCGAGGTGGTTCTGGGTGGCCCCGCGGAGCACCAGGGTTGCTGTCCTCGTGACCTCGTCCTCCTGTCTGAACACCGTGACACGGTCGCCGCCAATCTCGAGGGTCTCCACCACGTCGATAGAGCCCATCTCATCCGGCATGGGTGCGCCCAGTCTTGCCAGCGGCGTCGCACCGACGACTCTGCATATTCTCCGGAGGTCGAACTTGCTCAGGATCTTGATGACCAGGATGCCGTAGCGGTTCAGGTAGTGCATGGCCAGCTCTCCGACGGTGGAGCCGGCGATGATGACGCGGATGCCGACGTCGTGGATCTCCTTGACGGCCGCCTCGAGCTGGTCCTCCTCGCCCTTGGTGAAGTCGAGCATCTCCTTGGCGTTGTGCAGCAGGACGGTGCCCTTGGTCTCGGTCTGGCTGATGTCGATGGCGCACGAGTAGACGGCGACCTTTGCCTTTGTTGCCTTCTTGACGGACCCGTTGGGCTCCTTGGGGAAGACCATGCCCTTGACGACGCGGCTCTGCTCCAGGCTGCCGCCCATGATCTTTACCACACGGACGTTGTCGACGCTGAAGTGGGCGGGGTTCTTGGGGAGCACGGCCAGGACGGCCTCGGCGACGAGGTCTGCCAGGAAGTCCTCGCTGCCGTTCTGCTTGCTGGCGATGACGGTCCGGACCGCCTTGCTGAGCTCCTCCTGCGACGTGATGTCGGCGGCCTTGTCGACCTCGAGCTCCTCGAGGGCCTCGAGGGCGAACTTCTGGGCCTTCTCGTAGCCGGTGACGATGTCGGAGGTCTTGAGGCCCATGCGGAGGAGGTCCTCGGCCTTCTTGAGCAGCTCGCCGGCCAGCACGATGACCAGGTTGGTGGCATCGCCCATCTCGGCGTCCTGCTGCTGGCTGGCCATGACCAGCAGCTTGGCGGCGGGGTGGACAACATCGAGTTCGCGGAGGATGGTGGCGGCGTCGGAGGTGAGGATCATCTTCTGCAGGTGGTTGATGACGATCTTGTTGCGACCGTAGGGGCCCAGGGAGGTCTGGACGGTGGAAGCTATGGCGCGGCAGGCGTCGATGTTCCTGAGAACGGCGCCATCCTCAGAGTCGTAGCTGGGGCGTAACAGCACCGGTCAGTATTGCGATATTGCTTGGGGTCTTGGGGGGGTGGTGGGGGCCACTTGATATCATGGACAAGACGCGGAAAGGGGCAATGTGGATGGAGGAGACGAGTGTAGTGGGCGGATTTACTTGTTGTAACCCTGCTTGAAGAGGTTGGCATTTGGCGCGTTGGGGATATTCAGAGACATCTTGACGTGTTGGAATCACAGGCTGGCCCAGAGACAGGCAACACGCTGGGACTCTGAAGTTGGGATGGACGTGTCGAGACTTCGCTCAGTCGGAATTGCCAGCAGGGAGACAGACGGAGGGGTCTGGGGGAGCTCAAGCAAACAAAAATTCGGCCGGCTGCAGGGTGCCAGCGGGACAGGGGACGGCCATGGTGGGGCGAGCTGAGCTCAACTGCTACCGCTACGTGAGAACGTCTATCGACTGGCAAATGGTCAGCGATATTTGGCCCAAGAGTGACAAGACAACATGGGAAGCAAACCTGACCTAGTTTCCTCTCTTAGAGTGAAGCTGTGCATTGAAATATCTAGTCTATATACCAAGGTACCTTGGTGGGCCATGCACCTGCATGTTCCTAAGTTGATGTTCTCTTCACACTGCCTCACAGAGACCTAGGTACCCAGGTACCTGGCCACCTCGCGTGTAGCGCAGTGTAGTTAAGGTACTTGCACAGCCTAGGATGAAGGAGCCAGGTTCACGGCTGTCTGCTTGCCTGGCACGTCTTTCCAAGACCTCATGTCTCCCATCACTCAATCCCAATTAATTACTCTGGGCTATCTTGCCTGCTACGGATCATCAAAACACCATCGTTTTGTTTTCTTCTCATCTCCTGTGAGAACCACTGCAAGCCCCTACCTCGAGTTCACCGTCCTCGCAATGGCTCCAGCATCGTCCTGTAAGTTCGAGCTCTCCACATTTTCTTGTCAGCACCGGTAGCTTTCGCCCTGCGACTGACTCCATCCCCCCATCGTTGCTTCCCTCCGTGGGCGGCTGACCCCATCGCCCCAAATTCCCTTCCATGCCTCGTCCTCCTCGCAGCCCTCTCGCAGCCCTCTCGCAGCCCTCATGCGCCCCGCCAAACGCCTGCAGCTCGTGCTATATTATGGTGTCCAACAAAGCCAAGATGGGTCGAAGAGCTGACAATGCTGATCCCTTAGCCGTGCCGCCGCCTCTGCCTCCCTCCGTGGAGGAGGCCTACCGCCGAAAGTGCCTGCAGCTCAAGCAACGGACCATGGAGGTCGAGGAGGCCAACGATGCCGCACGCCTGCGACTAACCAGACTGCAGCGCCAGGCCGAAAAGCTTCGGATAGAGCGCGCCTTCCTCCTCGAGCAGCTCGCCAAACGAACCAGCGCCAACGTCGAGGATTCTGAAGGCAGCCCGAGCCCACCACCAACCGTACGTGACGGCCCATCACCCTCACCCATACCATCGTCGCTATCCATACGCCCTGCTGGACCCCGGCGACAAAACCCATCATCATCCTCCGCCCGCGTTGGAATTGCTTCATCAGGCGCTGACCTAGACCCGCAACAACAGCCCCAGGAGAAGCCGCTGCGTAGCAAGCGCGGCCACCGAAAGCCTTCTGTCATTGCCAACCTGGACTCCAATGGCCCCCCTCCCACCTTTATCAACCAGGCCATCCAGCCCCCCTCCCCGAGCTCTGACGCATACTCCCACACAAACCCGGAGGCCGGCCAGAAGGACTCCTCCAAGCGCGCTAATGGCGTCGCCAAGCCCCCCAAGAAGCCCAGCACCGCCTTCGACCTCTACTGCCGCGACCAGCGCCCGGCCCTGGCCTCCAAGGGCGACGATGTCAACGTCGACGAGGAGCTCGCCCGCGGCTGGAAGGAGCTCCCCGAGGACAAGCGCGACGAGTACAAGTCCCAGGAGACAAAGGCCGCCTCCAAGTACGAGAAGGACAAGGATGCCTATGCGAAGGACAAGGCAGAGGCCGAAGAGGCCGAAGCCGCCGCAGAAGCTGAAGCAGAAGCTGAGGCTGAAGATGAGGCTGAGGCCGAGGCAGAGGCTGAAGCGGAGGCTGAAGCGGAGGCGGAGGCAGACGCCGAGGCGGAGAAGAGCTCGAAAACAGCAAAGCAGCCACCCGAGTCTCAGGCTGACGAGACGCCTGCCCGAGATGAGGACGTCGAGATGCAGACAGACGATACGCCAGCTGCTGAGGACTAGGAGCATTCACGTACCCCATATCAGTCATATCTGCAGGGTCTCATAGACTCCCATCAGGATCTCATAGACTCCCATCAGGATCTAAGCCCATCCCCATGATACAGGCAGCGGCTACGAGGCCACCTAACGCGACGTCGCTCAACCGGCTACTTGAAACATCGGTATGTCGCTACTGGGCGATGTACAAACGGTCATATAACTGTCAGCCATCCCACAAGCCGGACTGCCAGTCCCGTGCGGACCCCTACACAAGGCGCTCTATATTGCTTCGCAAGACGCCAATGGATGGCACGTCATTACTACAGTCGGCGAATTCGTGCGAAACATTCCACCAGCGATCCACCTAGCAATCACGGAGCACGGCATCCACCCATACACCAGACCATTATAGAAGATGGAACGAGGGAGGAGGTGATCAGGCGAAGACTACAGCACGGACGACCTCATTCACGTTGCCAGGGTTTGTTTTATCTTATTTGGAAGGGTTTCCACTGCCCATCGTAAGCTCGCAAAGGAGCGGCATAGCTTACCATCTCTGGGCGATTTGCTGAGGGGGTCGGGGTGTGAGGTGGTGTTGTAGGTCTCTTGAAATTCCATTTTGGCGTGAATGAGACGTGGCCAACGGGGCGCAAGTTTTGGCCGCACATTCCAGAGACACTTGAAATAAATGCACTGTTATTGATGACGTCGCAAACTGCCACCAACACGATTGTCTCACCTTGCTGCTTTATGAGAACAGCCAGGGCCACGGGGTCGGTTGCCTGAATTGCCTAGACACATGAGGCGTTGAAGACGCTCAATCAACACCATAGATATCACATGTCTCGACCTAACCGGGCATTTTGAGAGACACATGAATTTTCCTAACAGAACAGTGGGATGCAATTGAAGCAAAATGTAGTAGTAGTGCCTGTTGAACCTACCCAACTGCCCCAGAACCAAAAGCACAAGACGCCGATCAACACGGCAAAAGGGGCATCTCCCCGCTCTGTGGGATGTCGCTGCCAAAAAAGAAAAGAGCCGTGAAGCTCTCACCCCCGCCTCTATATACCTGGGCGTGGCCGGTAGGCGCCCCCGTCCCCCCGAGCGAGACTGGCGCCTGCCCTGCCCACCGGCGTGTGCCCACTCGCCCTCGCCCGCCAGGTTTTGCGTTTTCGTGTGTGTCCGCTTGTCCTCCGGCCTCCCCTGTTGACCTATTTGGCGCCGGTGAGGCCTTCTTCTGCACTAACCCCCCCCCCTCCCTTCTGACGCAAACCCCGGTTTCCCGGGGGGTTCGGGTTTGCATCCCAGCTTTGTCTCTCATCAGATGTCCCGTCGTGGTTTGCCCAGGTGTGAAGTCGTTGTGCGGGGGCGGATAGTTGTCCTTGTGGATTTCGCTTATCATGTGATGGATCGTTTCATACCCAGGAGATGTCGTAGCTTTTTCTTTGTGGGGGGTCTCTGGCTTAAATGTGCCTATTTTGAGATTTTTCCATGAGTGTGTGTGTGGGTTTTGACGCTGTTCGCTCTATTCCTATATGATGTAGTCTGGCCTAATCGACCCAATACATGTCTACAACGATGTTTATTGCAGCCACGAGGATCTCGGCGGCGATGAGTACGATGACTAGAGATAAGGTGTCAGTGGACTGATGAATACACTCACCCCGAGAGGGTGGCATGACCCCGGTGCACACTTACCGATCCACTCCAGCTTCTCGCCGTGGCCGTGGCTCAGCTGGTCCTTGAGCACCGCCAGCAGGTCGCCGACGACGTCCATGCGGTCGGTCAGGACCTTGACGCGCTGGTCCATCTCGAGGTACTTGCGCACGGCCTGGTAGACGGGCTCGAGCTGGGGCTCGACCCAGAAGAGCTCGGGGGTGTCGAGGATGGAGCCGCCCAGGTGGATGTTGAGCTTGAGGATGAAGAGCTCGCCGATCTGCATGTGGATCTGCTTGCGGGTGAGGGCGATCTTGCCCGTCAGCGCGATCTCGGTCGGGATGTCCTTGCAGGCGTCGATGGTCGAGTCCATGAGCTCCTCGAACAGCGACGTCTTGGTGCTCTGCGCCAGGGCGTGCGCGATGGCCAGCTTGACCTTGTAGTTGTTCTTGTCCCGCAGCGCGATGAAGTCGTTGTATATCCGCGCCGAGTACTCCCTGGTGTAGTAGAAGTTGAAGTACTCCACCTCGACGTCGTCCGGCGCCAGCTTCTCCAGCTCGAACTTGGCTATCTCCTTGAGGAAGCGCTGTTCCTGCGCGAGGGTCATGCCCCATATCACCGTCACGCCGTACTCGAACAGGAACACCTCCGAGGTGTGCACCTCGATGTCAAAGTCGGCGGCCTCAATCATGGCGCTGTCGTCGCCCCTCTCGGCGGCGAACTCGTCCCGCTGGCTCTCGTACTCGTGGTTCTCCTGCCTCAGGTCGATCAGGTCCTGGGTCACTGGGTATCCCGCCTCCGTGGCCGTGGCCGTGGCATACTCCCCGGTCGAGTGCCTCCTCTCGTATGGGTGTACTGGGTTTGAGTGTATCGTCTGCTGCTGTAGGCCTACCTCGGCCTGCTTGCTGCTGTAACCATACGGAGAATATATGCACTCGTCGATGAGTTTTGGGTTTGCACCCCTCCCCTTGCCCCGCGGGCCCTTGAGGAACCTCATGAGCCCGTCCATGTCGTACTTGTTTGCCGTGCAGTAGGCCGTCACCCGCGGCAGCCGGGTCCTGTCTGCCTTGCCCAGCCGTGCTGCATCGCGGCGGGCGGTGGGGTCCTTGATGCGCGTGAACTGGGCGTAGACGTCGCGGCCGCTCTCCTCGTCGGGCCCGTCCTCGTCGAGCTCGGGGTTGGGGAGCAGCTTGAGCTTCTGCGCGTTCTTTGTCGACCTCTGGGGGCCGATCTTGGCACCGGGCATGACCATGGCCGGGCCGCCTGCGCTGTGCCTCCTCCGCAGCTTGGAGTTGAGGGCACTCAGGACTGGCCCCGACGGCCCAGCCCCTGCCGCCGCCGCCGCCGCCGATGGGCCCGAGGCTGAGGCCGAGGCGGCATGGTCGCCTGGCGAGCTCCGGGGGCGTGATCCGTAGTCTTGGGCTTCGGCCTCGATCGTCCTGGTGACGGGGTTGGGATTGAAGGTCACGCTCCGGCCTGTCTTGGGCCGGCCCTCAGCCACGGGCAGGAGCGGCGACCTCTCTGTTGTTACTGCAGACATTGTGGAGGGACTTGAAAAGCAACGACGTCGTCGCTCGATGTCAATGCTGTGCTGCTTGCTGCCAAGGGTCCGTCGCTTGCATCTGGGGGGGGGGCGGGCAGGCTCAGGATGAGGCCCAGCCTAAAGGGAAGGGCTGTGAAAAGAAGAGAGGCTTGAGGCTTGTGTGCAGTGCCAATGACGTCCACGGGCCGGTCAATAAGGTCGAAATTCAGCAGTAGCGCCAGCAGCCCAATTGAAGTTGACGGCGGCAAATAGTGGGGAAGCTGAATCCCTGCCGTCTGCAGGTCTGACGAACGCCTATAAGGGAACCCCTGCCCTGAATTGTACATGTACGGAGTACTGTACCGGACAAGGAAGTGAACGCCCTGAAGACGGACACCCCTGACTAAATCTTCCTGGATTGATATTCAGACGGGCAGTCAAATACGGTTCAGAGTCGACATGACACAGTAGCACCTGGGAGCACAAAGGATCGGCTCTCGTGGCCCCCGATACAACCAACTCCTCAATTCACATGATGAAATGTCATACCTGGCTGGCGTGACCTGGGATCCGAGCACGGAAGGCCTGTGAACACCGGCATAATTGTATACTAACAGATCGTTCAGTTGAATTGCCGAGTTGTCGATTAAGTTGTACACGACGAGTTGAAGACATCGCTCTCTTCACAACAAAGACCCAAAATACAAGCCGTGACCTCTCGTGACCACTCATCAGTCTGTTCCGTTTGTTCCCTCCGCAAATTATGAGGTCAACACCGACTCAGTCTGGATCTTGAATCCCACTCCGTCCAGCCTGTCCACGAAACCCTGGCCCAGACACGCCGGGGTGAAGACACCACCCCCACCAAGGTCTACATCATCCTCCAGTACCGTCAGGGCGCCGTGCGCAAGGAAAGCCGCAGTCACTTGGAGAGTCAGCGCATTTTTCCGGTGACCAGGGGCGGGACGGAGGCCACACTTACATGCGTACATGCTTCCGAGATAAGTAGTCCGACAAAACGCCTGCTTCCCGACCGGCCCCTCCGTGTCAGGGGCAGCCACGCCGCGGAACTCAATCTCGTCCTTCTGGGACTGCTCCCGGCCCGGGCCGTCGCCCTGCTTGTACACGAGCCGCCTCACCAGCCACCGCAGCGGCGGCAGCAGCGCGAGCAGCAGGCCGGACACGGCGATGCCGTAGTGGACGGCCAGGCCCGACAGCCAGTTGCGCGCCCGCATGTGCTCGCTGAAGTGGAAGTTGGGCCCGTACGCCTCGGAGCCCCTGGCGCTGCCGCCGCCGCCGCCCGCCTGCGAGAGCAGGCCCCACGTCCGCCCGATGGTGGCCCTGTCCGTGTCCGCGGCGAGGAACGTCGTCAGCTGCCCGAGATGCGGCACCGTGCGCAGGCCCGTCAGCTTTGTCCTGAGCGGCAGGCCGTGCTGCGCGGAGGCGGGGTTCGGCACCGGCGAGAGCGCGTAGGGCTTGAACGCGTCGGCTGTCTCCTTGAGCGAGTACGTGTCGAAGAACTCGAGGACGGAGGCTACGGTCCCGCCCGAGGGTGCTGAGCTGCTCCTGGTGTGAGTCGCGGTGGTTCTCCGCCTGCGTGCATGAACAGAAGCAGATGCTGGGGCTCACTCACTTCAGCTTGTGGCAGGACAGGACCACCTCACGTGTCTTGGCTGCGAACTCGGTACGGTTGTGCTTGGCCAGGGCCCAGACGCTCAGGTCCGCCGGGGCGGACTCGACGCCACTCGCCGGGAAGAGCATGCTGCCTGTCTGCTTTGCGACCTTGTCGTACTTTTTGATCATGCGCGCGATGAATGGCACCTCTCCCGTGGCGTCGAAGTAGTGCGTGCCATTCTCGGCACAAGCTTTGAAGGCCTGCGTGGTCAGGTCAGCACCAGCGTCCGTCCCAGGGGTCCTCTGCAGCTCCCGCTCACTTACATGCTCCCCGTGCCGCCCGTACGGTCCGACAGTCGTGATCAAGATGAAGGTCTTCTTAGCCAGTGCGGCCAGGTCACCATCATTGAGGTTGCTTATCTCGATTGCTAGACTCCAAGTCAGCAGATGGAAAAGGGCGGAAGCTTGTGTGTTGAGGGTGTGAACAAGACGTCGCGGAGACTGGGCCCTACGCACCTGGCTGTTGGCGATCCGGGTTCAACAGCTTGAGGTCATCGGCGACCTTCTGCAGCTTGTCGCGGGAGCGGCCAGCAATTGCCCATTTGAGATGTGTGGGCAGGTGCGCTGCGATGTGCTCCGCCGTGTACTTCCCGGTATAGCCTGTGCGATTGTTAGTCGGTGAGATCCTGCATGGGTGGTGACGTTGTCGACAGACCTGTCGCCCCGAAGACCACTATGTCATAGGTCCGCCCGTGCTTCTTGAATCCCATCTTGGGTGCTTGAGACGTGGCAGTGGTGATGTGCCAGACCAGGTGTGAGAGACTGGCGTATATTTGGACAGGTCCTGTGCTTAAGTATCTAGGTAGATCTACTCAGGGATGAACTGACCGAACTGGCAGAGTTGCAATGGAACCGAATCGGAGGACAGATTTACTACACAATCACATCTGAGGGCCACAATGTGCAAAATGAGGGAGGGATCTCTGTGAATTTGTATCTGGCGAGAACGGGCTTGCGGTTTGCGAATACGATTTACAACGCCTCCTGGCCTGCATCCCCATCGAGTTACACTCGGTGATGTCAGGCAACGCGGGACAAGCACAAGGCCGCCCAGCGTGCCTCGGCCCAACGCTGCCTCCGTCTCCTGCCCCGTGTGGGCTGAGGATGCACCTACACGTCCTGCAGCAGATCTGGGAAAGCGAAGGCGAACTGGAAAACATGAAATACGAAAAGGGTTGCCTCCTGGACATCCCGAAGAAAGGTGATGTAGGAGCAATGTGAGCTCACAGTGAGATTCTGGTCTGCAGCCATGTCCCCTGTCGGCGACTCGGCTGGCCCGCCAGGTGGCTGCCGGCCAAGGCCAGCCGGCCGGCCAAACGACGGACCCCACTAGCGCAGAATGGTCCCCCGGTCGCTGCTGCCTCAGGCATTTGCAAATTTTCATAGCACCCACAGAACCGACTTGCACTACCCTAGGAAATTCCGCTACATCAGCCATCAGAAGGAGACTTACGACCTCGTCTTCCGCAAGCCACTTCCCGCACCCACGCAAAGTCGACTTCAAACCTCAGACAAAATGGCCAAGGTAAGCAAGCTGTCTTGATTAAAAAGGATAATTCTTGGTTCGGCCAAGCTAACGCCATGTGATCGCAGCGAACCAAGAAGGTCGGAGGTACGTTTGCGAAATCCCCACGAGATTGCCCTCACAGCCCACAAACGAGCGATGGCCGAGCACCAAGCAAGCAGCAAGCAGCACGCAGCGTCGAACTGGAGACGGGATCGATCAATACGCCAAAATTGTCGACGGACTGTTGAACTGCGGGGGGATGACGTGCGAGGGGGTCAAAAATGAACCCAAGAGACAGGAGACGACTTGGACACTCGCGATGACCTGCAGCCACTGCATTGCTACGACGCTCGACCATCGCTCGCACGACTGTTTCGCCCGTCATCATCACATGGATACCGAATGAAAGGCTGACACATAGCTCGCAGTTACCGGCAAGTACGGTACAAGGTACGAACTGCTCAGTCCCTCCTGAACGGACACCACCATTCCCGCCCATCGCCTCCTGCAACACCCGATGCAACGCATGCCATCCAGCAAAGCACTCGCGATCCATGACCTCCGATTGAGCCGCCTGCTGGCACCGGTCCAACCCGAAGGAGCCCCCATGGATCGAGGGTCTCTGCTGCTGGTATCGCACGGCACGACCGAATTATGGATCTCGCACGTGGTGACGGCCAGCTGACAGTAGTGTTTAAAGATACGGTGCTTCCCTCCGTAAGTCCGTCAAGAAGATGGAAATCACCCAGCACGCCCGCTACGTCTGCACCTTCTGCGGCAAGACCTCCGTCAAGCGTCACTCCGTCGGTATCTGGGACTGCAAGTCTTGCAAGCGCACCGTTGCGTAAGTGAAACCCCCCTCCCCCCCCGATTCCCCACTTCGGACTGTCAACATCACTGGAACACTCCGGGGTGAATGGAGTAAGCAGTTGGGAGATGGGGCTGACATGGACAACAGAGGTGGTGCTTACACCGTTGCCACACCCGCTGCCGCCGCCATGCGATCAACGCTGCGTCGTCTGCGTGAGATCGCTGAGGTGTAAGAAGGTGGTTTCGCGAGCAACGACGAGGGACAGGGTGGAAGGTGTTTCATGGCTTTGCTTTTCATCACATTTCCGGGTGTTAGGGAACAAAAGGTCTTCTCTCAGCAAAGAGTTACACGAGCATCGACCACGGTTGTGAGGATGGCCTCGGAACGGAATCTGGAACGAGGCACAGGGATCAGATAATGACAATCGATTCCCGATCATGAACAATTCTCCTGCCCTGCCCTGCCCTGCCCTGCTGGACCCGCCGAGCCCGGGAGTTTGATGGAGGAGCATGGGACGATACAGCCGACCGGCTTTGCAATGGCTGTACGAACTGGAGCTTGATTGTACCGGTCACTCAGACCGGGTTAGCGGTTGGGCAAGAGGGAGGCTGTACACAAATGCCTGTGCCCCCCGAAAGAAGACCGCGATCGGCCTAACCAAATGAAGCACGAGAGGTTGAAGAACCGCCATTCTCTGTTCTGTTCCGTGTCGCTCTTTGCCTTGCCTCTTTGCTGCAGGCCAGGCCAGGCCAGGCCAGGTACATGTAGCCGCCTCGCCTCGCCCTTGTCTGATGGTATGCCTGGCTGCCTGCCCGCCCTGGAAACTGCGAGCAGATTCTGCAAACGCAATTGCAGATGACCCCCACCCACCGGTGCCTAGTGAGTAACAAGGTAGTTTGTAAACCTCCAAAGATGCGCTGGCGGAGAGAGAGAAGTCCACCCTTTCTCTCCGCCTTTACTGTGTCTGAGTTGTGACCGGCCGATATATGTCAAGTGTGTGTGTGTGTGTGTGTGTGAGAGAGAGAGAGAGTATGTCACGGGGGCCGGTCATCCTATTTCATCAAAAGCAACGGCGCTGGTGAGTGTCTGCGTAATCAACACATATGTGTACGCATGTGCATGTGTGCGTGCGTGCGTGCGTGCGTGCGCGGGCAGGGCGACGGCAGGACATCCTCATGGGTTTTGGGTTCGGGCGTTATCCCCGTTGTGAATCACGTCCCGGTCCGAAAATATACACAGTCTGCTATTCTCGTATCCACAATTGAAACGAAACGGTGGTGTATAGTGAGTGGTAGATAATGGCATAGGGGCTCCTCACACCTTTGTGAAGAGTGAGTGCAGACGTGGCTATTCTGAGCAGAAACGTGGACAGACGGGCGTCTAGGCTGCTTGTGGTGGTGACGAACATGCAGGTTGCCTGCGATAAGAGCAGCCGGACTGAAGGGTTCAAAGGGGGGTTTGGTTGCACGATACCGTAGTCATCACACTGCAGGCAGGCCATGTGGAATAAGCCAGGCTGGAGCCTAGACACGTACAGAGTATCTGGCATCTAGATTCAGCAGAGATTGAGCCATCACGAAATAATAAATCCAAGCTGGCCAGCCGCCCCGGGTGGGTGGGTATATTATTAGCCTTCCCTACTCGAGCCAGGGCCGAGTTTCCCCATTGTTGCAAATCATTAAAAAGATGGCAGAGCGTGTCCCCACTGCGAGTTAGAATTAGACAGTCAGGTCGGTTGGTTTCCTCCAAGGCTGTTGCCCCGTTGACTCCCTCTCTGATGAGCAGGTAGGAGAAGCTGCCCTCTGTCCTCCTCGTCACTGCAGGTGGTCTTTTCCTCTCGTGCTCGGTGTAGGCGAGTGAGACAGCACCTGCGGCACCAGCTCTCGACCTAGCCCGCAACCCTGGTCATACAATACGGTAGTCGGGTAGGGTATCGTCTTGCACAATAGACCAGATCGGGTCACCCGCCCCAGTCAGGGCCCTGGATCCTCACAACGGCTTCTTCTTCCCGCGACGCTTTCCCCAGAAGGTCACCAAGAACGGGACGGAGCACTTGAGTTAGACCAGGCCACGAGTGGGCGAGCGAGTGAGTACATTTTGGTCAGGTGGTGTGCTCAGCTTCCACCCTACCCCCCTCTCTCCGCCCAGCGATACGCATACATTCTGCTCCCATACCTGGGTACCCGGATCCCGTGGGCAATGCCCATCGTCATTGGGCGCGAGACCGTCCCGAGGCTCTTAGGTAAGTAAGGTTGGGAGCCCAGATTCCCGCCGCCCCCCAGCCCAGCTGCCCAGGTAGCAGCCAACCTTTCTCCAACTGCGCATATCCTGTCAGGCCTGTCCCTCCCCCGATCTTTTTCCCTCTCATTTTTTCCTGCCCGCCCCCAAAGCTTTGGGAGTGAGAGAGAGTTGACCCGGGGCTCAGTAACCCAACTGCTAGCCTGCAAGGCCGAACCGATCCCGCTATCACTTTAACATGCCCACACCCCGAACCTAACCTAAAGCCTGCCTCCAGCACCCAACCACACTACCCTTGATACCAAGCGAATCCATCATCCGTTAGTGGATAGCTGACAGCCGCCTACCCACTCAACCACTCACTGACTTGACACTGCCCTTGCGACATTACGAGTGGCGCCCCTCAAGGAATCAAACCCCCCCAATCCTACTTCTCAAAAGAACGGTTTTCATGCCTTCTTCAGCCCATCACCTTGTCGGGATCCCGTTTTTGATTCAAAGTTGAAAAACAAAAAACTTATTTCCTGTGATGGCAGACCAGTGCATCGTCTGTCTGGAAAACCTGGACAGTGCAGTCCCTCTTCCGCAATTGCAGCGCCAGCTTGGGGTGGAGGACGATCATGGTGGCGGCGGCCCTGCTGCTGTGCCGGGTGGTGGTGGTGGTGCAGCACCAGCACCACCAGCGGCCAAGAGCAGCACCACCACCGCTGACGTCTCCCTGCCAGACCTGCCCGCTGCTGTAGCCGGAGCCACCCTCACCTTGTCTGCGAACGGCAAGGACAAGACACCAGAAACAGCAGATCTGAACACCAAAACAGGTGAGGCCGATGGTCAAGATGACAATATTGCCATCATCCAGGTCTGCGGCCACATCCTGCACGACTCATGCCTCAAGGCCTGGACGGTCAAGGCGAACAGCTGCCCCATTTGCCGCCAGACCTTCCACAACGTCCAGGTGTACGACCAGATTGGAGGTAGGTTGCTCTCGACAGCGCCCCCGGCCACTTTTAAACTTTTTGCTCTTGTTGTTCCCCTCTTCCTGCATTGCAGATAAAGGCTGACCATCTGGACCACAACAGGAACCCTACTAAGCTCCTACGAAGTCGAAGATAAGAAACAAGTTGCCGAGTTCGACCCCCTCGCCTGGCTCGACGAGAACGCAGAGGAAGAGGAGGAACAAGTCACGCCCTGCCCGGTGTGCAACACTGCGGAAAATGAAGAGGTCCTGCTGCTCTGTGACGGGTGTGACACACCATACCACACCCACTGCATCGGCCTGGAAGATGTCCCGGACGGCTCCTGGTTCTGCATGGAATGTGCCCACCAGCTCGGCCAGGCCATAGAAGATTCTCTCCCGGCCCTGAACCGGCCTCCTGGCCGCAGGAACCGCCGTGGCTTCTTCCCCCGCACCCGCGGCAGCATGCGAAACGAGAGGAACAGAGGTCGGACCGACGGCTGGCTCGGTGCATGGGGGGAGGTGTCGGGGCACATCCTCGGCGGCTCCGGTATCGACGTCGACTTCCACGAGGCAGACGACGATCTTGCCGAGTACCGGAGGTCGCAGCAGCTGCGGGATAGGGAGAGGCGTGAGTGGCAGCGCTGGCAGCAGCGACTCAGCATCGCGAGCCGCCTCGGGGCGCGAGACGTCTTCGCTCGCAACATCCAGGGCGTGGTCGAGCAGCAGGTCGCACCGCAGCCCCCGCCAGTCCCCCCGCGCGAGGAGACCCGGGAGGAACGCCTTGCCTGGAGCGCCATGGAGAGGGCCCGAGATGCCACCCCAAACAGCCGGAAAAGAAAGTCTCGATCCACCACCGCCTCTCCCCAGGAGCCCGCCCCAGAACCTGAGCGACGGCTCAAGCGCCCACGAACCAGGCGGAACCCCCTGCAGACCGAGGCTGGGCCGTCGAGGGCCGCCTCGGCGTCTTCCAATGCCACTAGCAACAATCACCGGGAGGCAAACGGCGGCCACACAGAAGCCCGCTCCCCACCCGCAACAGATGGGCAGCCGACGTTCCTCTCCTCACTGCTGAGGGAGGTTGAGATGACCACCCCCAACGATGATGACACCATCCGCGGTCTCTTCGGGGTTCCTCCCCCGCAATCAGTCGACCCATCCTCGCCAGTCAGCTCACCATCAGCATCGGCCCGCAACAGCCCGCGGGCACTGTCCCTGACCCCTCCACCGCAGCCTCCCAATGGAGCTTTCAGGTCGGCCTCGCGGTCACCGGTCTTATCCCTGAGCTCGCACATCGAGCCGCTGTACCCGCCAGCAAACTACTCACCAACAAGATCGAACGGCGAGAGCAGCGACTCGGAAAGCCGACCAAACACCAATGGCCATCGGAATGGATCGCCAGAGCTGAGACAGCCTCGCCCACGGCGGCAGCACGAGATCCGGCTGCCGCGTGCCGAGGACGCATCGCCGACACGGCTGCCGCTGCCGCTCGAGGTCAAAGAAAGCATCAGCAAGGTTGTGCGCAACGCACTCAAGCCGCACTGGAGTGCCGACCGCTCCAAGCGAACCATCTCGTCCGACCAGTACGCGACTATCAATCGCAAGGTGTCCCACAGGATTTACGAAGAGGTGTCGGACCCATCGGCGGTTGATGACGAGGCCAAGCAGGCATGGGAGAAGATAGCGAACAAGGAGGTGGCCCGCGCGGTCGCGGAACTCAAGACCTGACTGACGATTACGACTCTTTGAGTTGGGGGGAGGGGGACAGCATGACGGTGCCTCGGCGAGGGCAGTATGGATGGTACGGCGTTTCACGGACTCGAGCGATCTCTGGAAAGATACCCTGGACACCTTAGCGGCATGTGGCGTTTCCCGTTGATCAGCCTCTGACGATGCCGCAGCTTTGCTTGTTGGTGGCATCCGAGGAACATTATTCTTTTTTGGGAGGATTTCATTTTCTTAGCCCGGGCGACACTCCGCAAAGCCTGCGAGGACGCGAGTGTAGATGCACCATCGTGTCGCGTCTCGAGGGTTCGCATTGTAAATGGCGCATCGGACTGGTAGATACGGTAGTTTCTTGCATGGAGATGGACACTGTTCCCAGAATTGATTCGACCGTTTGATGGATGCATCTTGATGAAATCGCGGCGCGCATGTGCCTCGTTGGACGCAGTGTCTCGTTTTCACGTCCAGGCACAGCCTCACCTTTTCGATATCAGGGCAGTCCATTTCAAGCCTGCGCTCTTTCTGATTTAGCATTCCGTCAGCAGTGGTAGCAAAAGAGCCCATCTCGAATCGAAAATTGCGATTTTGAGATGTGCGCTGGAATCGAGGTCGAAGGCTTCTTCGTTTCACATGGTGCGCGGTGCGCGGGACTTCACGATCGGGGCGGTGCGTCCCCGAGGTAAGCAGTTTGGGGGCGGGCTCAGGAGTTTGTCTGCAAGCGCTCGCGCCCCCTGTCGGCAGGGCGACGTTTTTTGGAATGTGACAACCATCTATCTAACGGTCCCCAGTGAGGATTTGACGAAAGGTGCCGCTAGCGAAAAAAGGGTTGTATCTGGGGTTCACTCTCGGCACGGTATAAATGACAAGACGTCCTGGAGGTGGGAACAGGCCTTGGGATAAGGATTCGTGCCTTGGGAGAGGAAAAGAAGGAGGGAAGAAGGGGAGAAAGGCGGCCGAGGGGCAGAGATTTTTGTAAGGACGCTGCCAGAGGGAGGGGCCCACTGTTATCGAAGCCGCCCGTCCAATCAGGAGAGGGCCCCTGCCCTGCGAGTCCCGCGAGGTACGTACCTTTCTCTTAAGACGTCGAGAAAAAGTTCAGGTCCCATCACACGCTTGGGAAGCTGGTGTGAGTGCGCCGCAAAGGAGCTCCACGGGTCCGATCTGGAGCCACGATCAGGCTCACGCGCACACACAACCACACACACATCATGTCGGCATCAAGTAGGGGATCACGGGCTGCCGTGCCTCTCCTGAGGAGTAAGTCCATGCATGCTATCCCAGAGGGCCAATTCCACCATGTCCGCTCGAAGCTCGCCGGGCACGGCTAACACGAAGGGCACGCCCGCCCTTTTTCTCCAGGAGCATCGCCTCAGATATGCACACAATGCGCCTTCAGACAGGTCAGCCAGCAGCAGCCAGCACCAAGGCGGGCATACTCAGCCTCCCCGACCACGATGCCCGTCGAGACGAACGCCACCACAACCCCCGTCGACCCGGCCCGCGTGCCGGAGCTCCAGACCAACCACCCGAAGCAGCTGTACCACCTGCGGGCGGGCGTGATCCTCTCGCGGCCGCCGCTCCTGACGCGCGAGCAGACCCCCTTCGAGCAGGCCTTCTACCTGTACCAGAAGCGCCTCAACGAGCGCCTGGCGACGCCCTTCTCGCGCCAGTTCTACTTCAGGCACGGCCAGCCCGCCGCCATCGACTTCGCAATCAAGTGGGCCGAGCGCGGCCACACCATGGAGCGCGGCATCGGCCGCGTCACCCGCTCGGGCAAGTGGGCCTGGGACGACGAGCTGCTGGCGGGCGGGCAGGGCGAGAGGCTCGCCGACCCCGAGGCCCTGCGCGAGGCCCTGTACGTCGAGGCCGAGAGCCGCGTGTCCGAGGACGGCGAGCGCCTCGGCTTCGAGGACCGCCTGCGCGTCGAGAGGCCCTTCCCCCGCCGCACCGATGCCGACCGCGCCAACGATGTCACGAGGCTCGACCGCGCCCTCGACCGCACCCTGTACCTCGTCGTCAAGAGGTCCGGCGACGACAGGTTCTCCTTCCCGCAGGATAACGTCCACCCGGACGAGGCCCTGCACGAGGTACGCGCCTGGAATGACCCTTCATACCCCTGGTTCCTGCCCGTCCCCAGGGGCCGCCTCTGCCGGCCGAGCTAGCTTGGACGAGGAACCATCTTCAAGCTACAACCATGCTAACTATCCTACCACGCAGACCGCCGCGCGCGCGCTGGCCGCCTCGGCAGGCGTGAACATGAACACGTGGATGGTAGGGCGCGCCCCGATCGCGTACGAGCACAGCGAGCCCCTGTACACGGGCGGCCGCGAGGGCGACGCGGAGGCCGAGAGGCGCATCAAGAGGTACGGCCGGGACGTCTTCTACCTCAAGGCGCGCATCATGGCGGGCCAGGTCGACCTGGCCGACAACAAGTGGGGCATCGCCGACTTCAGGTGGCTGACCAAGGACGAGCTGGCCGGCGCCGTCGACCAGAGGACGTTTGCCAGCGTCAAGAACGCCATGCCTGCGCGGTAGCCCTGCCTGGGTGCGTGGGGGGGTGATGGCGAGAGAGAGAGGGGGGGGGGGGAACGTGACATGTAACGTTTGTATGTATGTATGCATGTACAAAAACAGACCGCCTGCAATACCAGACGCTTGTGCAGTTGGGGGCGTGTTTGATGTCTGTGGCTCGGCTGCGCAAGTGTCCAATGACACCTCGGGCGAGACGCGTTCTTAGATGCTAGGTCGAAGAAACCGTTCCCATATCATATCCTCTGAATTCACTTTCGGGCCCAACGGCAGGTATTATGGGTTAAGAGGCGATTGAGGTCCCAGAGCCACTGACGAGCCAGCATGCGTAGTGAAGCACCTAAGCATTTCTGCCTGCCTGCTCTCCTCTAGAAGAACCTTATCTAGAAGGAATGACCTTTTCTGTGATGATCTTCCATAGCAGACTCTCTACTAGCAAAACTCCTCTACAATATGATCTACCACAAGTAAATCTCTTACAAGACAGACTCTCGCAAGACGAGGTCAGATATTCGCACCAGCCAACACAGAGGGTACACCCGTACCAGGAAACTTAGAGATTAAAGTAATTAGTTTAGCACCAAAGTATGAGTAATTATCTTATAAGTTTATCCTACAGGAGGTTATCCTATAAGAGGTTTTCCTATAGGAGATTATCTCATAGGGGTTTATTCCTTAGGGCTTAAGTAGACATATGAATATCCGATCTTGTATTACTACCTTAATAGTTTAATAGACAACGCTAGTCGCTAATACCACTCTCCAAACTACTCCTCGCCCGCCGTCTCTATCATGTTCAGGACAAGGCGAAACGGTCCCACCCGGATCCTGTTGCCGTAGTTATTCCAGAATGGTCCACCCCATACAGGAACCATGGCCGCTGTTTCCGATGGGCCCCTCTCGCACCCTGGAGTCGGCGCAGGCGTGGGCGGCGGCTCCTGGATGTACCATCCGAGCACGTCTGTCGCTTCGTCTTGGTCGCAGTCCTCGAGGAGGCTTGACTAGGGCGCAGGTCGGGGTGGGGATATGGACGAGAGACGCGTCGGGTTCTGCGCCAGCTGGTACGACCTGCGCAGGAAGACGGTTGCTATCATGTAGCCTGTGAGCCAGACGGGGTCAGTACCTGCGGATGCATCAACGGAGACTTTGGTCTTGTTGGGACCAAACGTACTGTCATAGCCAGGGTGGTGGTACATGCGGCCGTAGTAGCAATATGGTGGTGGGCTGGCGACCACCGTCGGGAGCTTTACTCTCCACATCCCGTCGAAGAACTGGGCCAGGCTGAAGTCTGTGGACATCTCGTTCCATCCCTCCGTGAACAGGTACTTGGTATCGACAATTCGGGGGAGCTCCGCTCTTGTCACCGCCCTGAATTCCTGTACTGATTCTGGCAAGTCACCGACAAAGGTGCTGTGCAGGAAGCAGAGATGGCGCAGCATGTTGTGGCCGATCAGGACAGGGCTCCTCTTCCGCAGCCGGCTCTCGAGCCCCTCAAGCTGTGCCTTGAGCTGGGCACGCCCGGCCACGTCGGCGCCGACGACGAGCTCTAGGTCAATGTTGTGAGCCAAAGGCTGTCCGCGGATGGCGTCCCACAAGAAACGGGCCCCGACCTGCTCGTTGACAAGCTTTGTGCGCTCCCTCACGCCGCGGAGGACATCTGGATCGTTGGGATCGTGCTTCATGATTTTCAGGCAGCGCATTCGATCTTGGCTGCTGTCAACGAGGTCTGGGAATCGGGTTTGTACAAGCTGGTGTGCAATGCGTGTCTGCAGGTTATTTGGGAATCGGTGGTGACCGTTTGGGCTGTAAACCTCCAATGGCTCGGGGCGGGCTCCGGAGAGCTGTTGCGCTCTCCAACGGTTTATCTCCTCCATGAGGCCGTTACGGAAATCTAATGACGCTTTGGGGATGAGTGATGGTGCTTGAAGTGCTGGAGTTGTTGAGAGAAGATAACGGGATGGATGGATGTGTGTTTGTCACTGTTTCCCTGCCCTGTTTGTTAAGTGGCAGGAGGTATGTAGGAGAGATCGGAAATTCGCACCCACAAAAATGGAAGGTATGCCCAAGCCCAAGGAATGAACTCCTATAGGACAACCTCCTAGGATAACCTCCTAGGATAACCTCCTATAATAACCTCCTATAAAATAACCTTTTAAATATATTTAACATAACCTTTATTAAAATATTATTTTATAAGATAAGTTAATAAGATAACTAGTTGAATACTAACTTAAGTACTTTTATTTTTAAGTTATCTAGTATAGGTATACTCTTAGTTTTTATATGTGAATATCTGGTCTTATGTAGGAAGGTACCTATGTGTCTTGCTCTTGTAGACATTCAACAACATGGGCTGGGCTAGTAAACTTCATTTTCCCAGAATTGCTTCAATCCCACCTTGAAGATGCTTTCATTCATGCAAACAAATAATGTTCTTATCTAGCAATGGCTCCTTAAGTGAAAGTCATCTTCCTATGTCCTCTTCCTAACCCATCCTCCTAGCCTCCTGTGTCTTATACTCCTAACTCCTACTTGACAAGCTTCTTGAACATCTGGTAGAACTCTACAGACATCACACTCACCATGTCTTCCACCACTTCTGCTTTTGGCCTTGTTTCAAGGACATCATGCTTATGTGATGGGTTGCCCACCACTGCCGGCACGCTCACCTAGTCTGGCAAAAGTCAGTGATGAAAGACTGTTTATCTATATACGGCTCCAGGTAGCTTATAGATATACCTTGAGGAGGTCTTTTGGAGCAAAAAGGACTGTGGACAAAATTTCAAATCAGTCACAAGATAGTCTAAAGTTCTTTGAAGAGAAGACAGTCAATGCTGTTGGAGAAAATGAATTGCTCAGATAAAAGCATGCTTGCCACTTTAAGTTCCCTCATCAAATTCTTCACAAACAGAACAAGAGCCTCTAGCATACCATACATACAAAATAATACGGAATGTCAAGAAAGTGAAACTAACCGCAAAAGGTCTTTTGGTCAAAGCAAGATACTGCAGAGTGGGTTGACCTCAATGGTTTTACATGCCGTGATATAACTAGTACACTTACGCTAATTGTGACGGGATCACCCAATTCTATGTCCAGTCTCGCTGCAGGGCACCCAGAAGAGCCGGACTTCCTGTGCTCAGAATCCGAACGGAACCAAAAACAACAACATGGGTTGTAATGGGGCAGAGCTGAATAGGAGTCCCACAATCTATAGGACGGTTCCATAGGCATCAGCACGCTGGACGAGTGCTCGGACAAGTCGGGATTGAGAAGCTAGCTGTAGGAGATGAGGGCGAAGCATCAACTAGTAGAAGATAGGCAATGCCCCATCGCCCAGCTGGGAGGTGTGAAATTGGTTGTTGTCAAAAGGAGAGCACAATCTTATCGGCTCGTAACATCAAGCACTCGAAGATGAAGATGAACGGTTGGGGGCAGGGGATCTCTATCAGTCGGGATCCAGTCTGGGGAACAGCGAATTGACCAGGGACTTGGCAGGGGTGGGCCATCCCGATTGATAGCTCTGGGCCAACCGTCCAGCCCGTTTCATCAGCTTTCATCAGCGACCCCGGCCACCACCCTCCACTTTTTAGCCGTTTGCCGAGGCTCAAAGCCTTGCCTGGGTGACCTTCTGACCCAGGCACATGCCATGCTCGACTGGAATTTCGACCACAAGCCCGCACCACGATGCGCGTCCGACCTCACGCCCGCGCCCCGACACGCCTCTGCTTTTAGATGACGCCCAATCTCTCCCGCGCAAATCCATCAATGCCATCCTGACCACCACAGCTGCTCCCCTGAGTGCCCAAAAGGCTTGTTCCGACACGACAATGGCTGCTCCAGCAACAGACGGGGCCCAGACCGCGGCTCTCAGCCCGACCTCGCCGGACGGCTTCGCCTCCCAGTCGCTCCGCTCCTCTATATCCTCCCTCGGCTCCCCAGCTGCCGCCCGCCAGGCTGCCTCGTATGTCTCAAAGACCTACCGCCAGTCTTCCACCTTGTTCCTCACGAGGAGGCTGCCCGAGGCCCTCTCCACAATTACGCCATTAATCACAGTCACACCACCGTCGCCGTCCCAGCCCCAGGGCACCAACGGCACCAGCGCCACCAACGAGCCCGCCCCCGTTGCAAAGGCCTCGCGGAACACGAGGATAAAGGTCTGGACCCTGTACATTGCCATCCTCAACGCAATCGTGGCTCTCGAGCCAGACGAGGGCAAGGAGTCTCTGGGCACGCACGAGTGGCGGGCCCTCTGCGCCAAGGTGCGGGACGGCGACGTCTGGGAGGAGGTCGTCCAGAACGGCTACCATGGCGTAGAAGCCGACGTTGACGCCGATGTGGTTATAAATCTGTGCGTACTTTCTTTACCTTTTCTTTCTTCCCACCGACCCTCCCACGTTGGAACAGCAAGGCTAACACCCCCGCCCAGGGCGACCCTCCTCCTGACACACGCGAGGACACAGGCCCTGAACCAGAAACGCCTCGAGAACTACCTCGCCGCCTCGGCCACGCCCAACCTGGACCTGTCGGACCACTTCTCGCCGGGCCCACCGCCGCCGCCGCGCGGGGGCCCGGCCCGGCCGCGGTCCCAGTCGCGGGCGCGCAGCGGGGCCGACACGCCGCGGGACCTCAACGCCCGCGTCAAGATCCTGGAGCTGTACACGCTGCACGTGCTGATCCGCAACGACGAGTGGGACTACGCGCGCGAGTTCATCAGCGCGAGCTCCGTGCTGGACGAGGAGCGCCGCGAGGCCTTCCTGCAGGCCCTGCAGAGCCTGCAGGAGGACCAGCTCGAGGCCGACCGCAGGGAGCGCGACGAGCGCCTGCGCCAGGAGGAGCAGCTGCGCCGCGACGTCGAGGAGGCCCGTCGGCTGCGCGCCGAGAACGAGGGCCGCGAGCGCCGCCGGCTCGAGGAGGAGAGGGCGCGCCGCAGGGAGGGCGGCAGCGAGGTCGACTATGGCATCGACGCCGGGGGCGGCGGCGGCGGTCGTGCGAGTAGCGTGGGGGGCTCGTCGGCTGGTAAGGGGGCTTCGAGGCGGACGCGGGCGCAGACGGGGGGCTCGTCGAGGTCGTCGAGGGCGGCGCGGGCGAATGCGGCTGCTGGCGGGGGCACGTCGCCAAATAAGAGCAAGGCGGTCGCGCCGGCTTCGTTGGGCGCCAGGGCGGCGGTGGTGTTCGCGAACGTGCGCGCCATGATCGAGCGCATGAGCGTGACGCTCCATACGAACCCGATGCTGCTGATGAGGCTCTTGGCCTTTATAATAGGTCTGGTTGTCATGTTTGGCAAGAAGAACATGCGGGACCGAATCGCCCGGATATTAGGGACAAGCTGGAACAAGGTCAAGGCCACGGCAGGCATGGGTGTCAAGGTCAGCTACATATAGGAGGCTACTCGGGGGTTGCATGAGACTGGCGCAGGTTGGCGAAGAGGGGCGGCATCGGGCGCAACACTGCTCAGAAAAGGATACTCTGGGGCTTTGTATGAATTGCATGAAACACATGACAGCGTAAATTTGCATCGATCTGGTTGGTATAATCACACCTCAAGCCAACCCTTTTCCGCCTGTTTATCTTTCCCATGCCGCTTGATGATAAATGGTATCAAACCGTCGCCGCTGAGCTCTTTGCCACGCGGCCCACCAGCTCCTCACATCGCCTACGTGCCCCAGGTCTTGTGCAGATGATCATGTCGAGGAGACGCACAAAGAACAACCACCCAAATAAATGCCGGAACGCCCTTGCCGAATGATGCAGGAAAACAGCCCAAGCCCGGGCTTCACGAGGGCTAATACGTCCGATTCGTCTTCTTTTGGTAGAACAGCTAGACGAGCAAAAGCAGTCAGCATACATCCCAGCTGACGGAACGGAGACAGGAAAGGACGGGCCGGGCCACTCACGTCGGTCCTGGAGCTGCCGAGGTTGATGATCTTGGGGCAGCCGTCGCGGTCCTTCTCGAGGCGCGTGCACTCGTGGCAGTAGAAGGCGTCGCTGATGCCCTCGCCGCCGCAGACGACGCACTTGTTCTGGTAGTTGCCGAAGCTGCACTCGTCGCAGATGCGCACCAGCGTCGTGGGCCGCACGTACGAGTCGCAGACGGGGCACTTGCCGTCGCACTTGTCGCAGAGCCGCCCGATGGCGATGCCCGCCTGCTTGCGGCACATGACGAGGTCGGGGTGGTGGCGGGACATGCTGGGCCGGCTTTCGTGGGTGTGGTGGGGGTGACGGAAGAGGTGAAGGTTGGGTTTGTCGTCGGTGTGGAAGAGGGCGCGTCTTGAGGGAGTGAGTGAGTGAGTGGCGGGCGGTGGTTGATATGTGATTGATCATCAGCCTCGCCAGCTGCCAGCCTCGCTCGAAATTTCCACCCGAGCTCTACACCACCAGCAGCTGCTCTGCCCTGGGACCCCCCTGCCTGCCGGGCGGAAACGACGGGTACCCACCCACCAGCAAAGAAGGCGCGGGCCCTGGGCGACCCACGGCCGCCCGAGTGTGGGGTAGCGGCGACGCCTGGGGAATCCTGGAGCTTGAGCTCGCCCCCCGAGTCCTGGGCGCGTACTTATTTCTGCATGTCTGAGTTGAGGGAGGCAAAGATCGGCTGTCGCAGATTGTCCACAGCTCATTTCCACATCGTTTTTGTGCTTTTGGTCTTCTGTTCCGAGTCGCATTGTACTGACGAACCACTCACTGGCTCCATCGCAACCGTAACCTTGGCTTCACGGCGCTGTCCGCCCGACGCACCCAGCAGCGTGACCTTGTGTCGTTATCTGCGACGACGCAATGTCCCCCTCGAGGAGGTAAGCTTTTTGACGAGCCATTGGAGGCCTGGGGTGTCAATTCGCTAATGTATGTGCAGCCCTGCGCCCGACGCCGACACGGTCATGTCAGAGACGAGGGCACCCGAATCGAATCAACTTAAGCGCAAATCATTTGGTGCCTCGCCCGACGCCGACGCCGACGATGTTGAAGACACACCGAACAAGCGCCAGAGGACCAATGACGCCCCCGGCAGAAGCCCCGAGCGTCATGGAAACGGGGAAAATGGGAACGGACACGGGGACCGACGCCGATCTTCGGCCAGAGACGCATACCCGAAAGACGAGAGCCGGTCCCCAGACGCCCGCAGGCAGCGCCAGGCCTCGCCCCCAGAGCAGCGACGGCGGCCCTCAGAACCGGCGAGACACGACGACCGCTCCCCGATAAGCCCGACCTTCGACCGGCGCGGCTCGGAGACCGGCCGGCGCATGTCCTCCTCGCACGGGGCAGAGAGGGAACGGGAGAGGAGGGAGAGCTACTCGCAGGAGGAGAAGAAGCGCGGGAGGCGGCTGTTCGGCGGTTTGCTAAGCACACTGAGTCAAACCACGGCAAACACTCAGCAAAAGAGGCGTCTGGAGATTGAGAAGAAGCAGCAGGAAAAGGCCGTCAAGCAAAAGTCCGAGGACGACAGGCGCCGGGCGGACAGGCTCGCGAGGCTCGACAAGGTCAGGAGGGTCGAGCAGGTCCGGTTCGATGAGCAGGTGGTGAGTCTATCCGTCCACCGGTGCGCTGATATAGCTGTCAGAGATGCTGTGCGAAGGAATCATATGCTGACGGGATCCCTCAGATGCGCACCCGGCACTCAAACATGCTTGCAATGGCGCACAGCCTGCGGACAAGAAGCGAGCCCAAGCTGGTGAGCCCCCAATGATGCGCATGCCACCGGATGGAGGTCATGTTACTGACAGTACGGCGACCAGTACTATCGCCCCTGGGATCTCACGCAAGAGCAAGAAGACATCATCAAAGACCAGATCCGCGACACCGAGGAAGAGATCGCGGACGACGTGCGGCAGTTCAGGCGCGACAAGGAGCAGAGGCTCAGCGAGCTGGGCGCCCTGGGCCCGCGGGCACCATCAGAAGCTGACAACGCGGTTGGTGAGCAAGCCGAAGAACGTTCCAACACCGCCGCGCAGGATGTGCCCGCCAACGATGCTGCCGCTGCTACTAATCACGACCGGCACCAACGTCCACGCTCCATTTCCCCTGCCCCTGCACCGAGGGGTAGCCACCACGAGGACAAGGACCACGACGAAATGGTCGAGGCGGAGGAGGATACTGTCATCTACTAATCTGCTCAGTTGAATTTCTCTTGGTCCATTGACATTTTTGCCGGACAGGGCTCGTGGCGGGAGTGTAAGATAGAACCAGGGTCAGCGTGGCGTATGAACAACTTTGGGAGGGGATGTTGAGCCCCGTCGTTTAGAACCAATACTGAATAGTCCCACGACAGTACCGGAACAATCAGGTACCCGATGTTGTGTACGGCCAGGAACCGTGAGGTCGAGACTGCGCGTCCCGGGAGATCCGATGCAAACCACCTAGGTCTGATTTGTGGGCAGCCGTCGTGTCTGCGTGTTCGATGTGTCGGTGCTCCAGCTACCAATGCCACCGTCCTGTCGAGATCACAGGCCGACATCGTAAGATCTTGCATAAGCTCTGGCCGTGGGCTCCGCAGATCTCTGGGCCGGCCGAGGCTCCTCGGAGGACCCGCCCTGTGGCAGCTGCGTCTTGGCTCCGCCGCCTCTCGGTACCTCGGCCGATGCTGGCAGCTTGCGACAGCCCTGGCTCGGCTGTGTTACGGGTGCCGAGGGCCACCCACACGCGTATTTGCGCCTTGCTAATGTGCTTCTCCTGGTAGAAATGAGAGTACTGGGATTTGTGAAGGTTTTGTACCGGACGAGATACTCAAGCCCAGGGGTCAGAACGGACTGACGTCAACTCGAGGAGAGCAATGCTGTTGGAATAAACAATTACGTCTCCGTTGTCCAAGCTTGGCGGCCGCGGCAGAGCCCCGACTAAACGAGTCAGGGCCGTCTTGACTCCACCATCGGTCGACCCCGACGTATGTTCGCGATACCGAGCATCGCGAGTACTTATATAACAAAAACTGGCCCATCCAGCTCTGCAGCACAGCAGGTCTTCATCCCTCCCGAGTAACAGCCAGCCACACAACCCCCTACTCACCATGGTCGACAAGCTCAAGCCCAACGACCCAAGGGTCCAGCACCTGACCGCCAACGTCCGGGGCAAGACCTACAAGTACATCCTCGCCAGGCCAGAGGGCGCCCCACGCGCGACGGCCCTGCTCATCCACGGCTGGCCAGACCTGGGCTTCGGCTGGCGGTACCAGGTGCCGTTCCTGACCTCGCTGGGCCTGCAGGTCATCGTGCCGGACATGCTGGGCTACGGCGGCACGGACGCGCCGCAGGACCTGGCCCTGTACAGCCTCAAGAACATCGCCGACGACATGGCCGAGCTGGTGGCGCAGGCCACGGGCGACCGCAGCACGCGCATCATCCTGGGCGGCCACGACTGGGGCGGCATGGCGGCGTGGCGCCTCGCCGACTGGCACCCGTCGCTGGTCCGCGGCGTCTTCAGCGTGTGCACGCCCTACGTCGCCCCCCGGCCGCAGCACGTCGACCTCGACACCCTCGTGAGGCTGCGGCCCAGCTTCCGGTACCAGGTGCAGCTGGCGGGGCCCGACGTCGAGCGGGAGGTCGGGTCCGACCGCGGCAGGATCCGGGGCCTGCTGGCGGGCATCTTCGGGGCGCGCGGGCCCGCCGGGGAGCGCGCCTTCACGACGGACAAGGGGGTGCTGTTTGAGAACCTCGACAGGATGGGCGAGTCGCCGCTGCTGAGCGCCGACGAGGCCGACTTCTACGTGGAGCAGTACGCGCGCAACGGCATGCGGGGCCCGCTCAACTGGTACCGGACGCGGAGGGTCAACTACGAGGAGGAGCTGGCGCTGCTGCGGGGCGGGGAGGCGCGCAAGCTGGCCATGCCCGCGCTGGTCGTCGTGGCCGAGAGGGACCCGGCCCTGCTGCCGAGCATGGCCGAGGGCATGCAGGTGCACTTTGAGAACCTGACGCGGGTTACCGTGGGCGGCACGCACTGGGCGCTGTGGGACTCGACGGCGGATGTGAATGCTGCCATTGGGAAGTTTGTTGAGGAGGTGCTGGGCAAGCCTGTCAAGTCTTCTATCTGATTGATACCATGGGGAAGCAAAATAAAAATTAATCACAGCTGCTCTTGGATTTGTTGAGCATTGATCTTGTGCTGCATTTTGCTGTGTGTCTGGGTGATTTGACCAACTCCTAAATGCCTTGCTGATCTGTTTCTTTTGTGCAGTACATGGCCTGCTTTTCAGCAGACCTCTTGAAGTAGACCATTTCTGTCTGACCTGCCCTGGACCCTTGACTTCCGGTCCACTGTGAAAACCCGTTGAGAAATGGCCCCTGTAATTCTGTGCAGACAGCATTCGCCGGTCAACGGAGTAAATGCCGTCTATTCCCGGCTGGAGACCACATATAATACCATGACGGTGCTGTTGGCTGGGCTGCCCGGGTGCCAGCTGTTGGGTGCCAGCTGCCGAGATGGTCAACGGTCGGCCTCCTTGTCGTGACCCGGACCAGCTGGCCGAGTGTACCGTTATCTTGGACTTCCCAGGCACTGACACCTTTCTACTTGCTCCTTGACTTCCAAAGGGCATGCGGTGTCTCACTTCATGGAGAACTTCTGTCCAGAGATTTGTGGTGCTTTGGAAGACGTCTTCTTGTTTGGTTTGCCACACATGTGGCAAACTATGTCTGATGTCAGCCTCATGACTCTTCCGGTGATGAGTGGGTGCCACATACGGTCATCCTTATAAGCACACTTGTTGCAGTATGAGTGACCCTGGGATATCTTGGTCTTGCATTTTGTGCAGGAGCTGGGGCATTGGTCAGCCATCTGTCGTCGTTGTGGGCGAACTGGGGTGGAGCAACTCACCTTGCATACTGAGCATAGGGGTTCTTTGCGTTCTTGGACAGAAGCTTGCTCTGGATGCCATTTGAGCATTAGTAATGTGCTCCCATCTCATCCATTCAAGCAGAGTAGATATATCTCACCTTTCCGATGCCTGTCTGCCCTAGCGTGGCCGACTTGGATGAAGAAGAGGCGGGAGATCCATGATACATCTCACTCTTCTTCTTGACGCCTGGGGTGGCCAGTGTCGTCCCTTTGGACAACTTGAGACACTTGGAGCAGACCATGATTCCGTGCCAGATCTCAACTTTGATCCAGGTCAGTCCAGTCTGGCGAGAATTTGATGGCCAACGTGTGTTGATGATGTCTGTGGTGATGGTTCTGGTGGTTGACAGAACTGAGTAATTACAAGAGCAGACGTCAGGCAGGCAGGGGCTTGGGTACAACACCCCGGCCTCCATATCAGCGATGATTCAGCCGCCTGGCCAAGCAATCTAGAGCCCGACTCGGGGGTGTGGGCCAGTTGGCCCACCCTACCCGTCCCATCCCTGCCCCATCCTAGACTACATGCAGGTACATGCAGGCTTTGTCTAACCTTCTTTCTCTTCATCAAATTGCATTGCTGGATTGGATATCCAAATTGGCCCTTTTTCACATGCTTTTGTAATTATACTTTCTGCAAGCATGTTCCCATCAGATAACGGGAAGGACTCGGGAGCATTTTGGAATATCTTATCAATCCCTCAGCTCTTAACCGGGGAAGTGGACGTCAGGCGGTCTGGGGATTCTCTTCAAGTCTTGCAACTCAAATCCTCTTCCTTCCAACATCATCCAGCAACTCAATATCAAGCCATGGATAACTTCCCTTCTCCTTCTCAGAAAACTATAGAAATCATGTCTTGAAAGTCTGGGTTAAGTGACAGACAGGTATGTGCTACTGCTAATCTCACTTCTACATTTATCACTTGAAGATATCTCTTCCAGCATGCACACTCCACTGGCTGGATCTGCCTTGTTTTGTTGATACAGTGCATGATATTCCCTGTCAAAGTGATGGCATGCCCTAGCATGCTGTTCTGAAGACAATTCACATCTCAAAGTGGAAGTGTCTATTGTCACTTTGTGGGAGACGCCTCAAAACTTCAGCACTGCACCCAGACAAGCCTTCAAGTTATCTGGAAAGATGGGATGGTCTTTAGTTTCTTGTTGTGGGTATCTGTGCCTGCCGATGCCTGGAAATGGCAGCTAGCGCCATCATCAGGATGTGGTTTTGGCATTCAATGGGTGTAATATTGCGTATTTTGTCGAGCCTGCCTTCGTCCTTGGGCCCACCCATCGTCCACACCACACACACACCTGCACCTATCGGTCGCAACACTTCAAACCAGTACCCAACTCATCCAGTCATTACATACCCTCTCACATCCTCTTCTTAACTATCCGACACAAGTCTGATACTGACAATGACAGACGGCACCGAGATGCGTCCTGAGGAGTGTCCTCCTGGCCTTGACCGCCAAATCGCCATCACCACCGAGAAACGCGTCGTCTCTGAGCTGCAGAAGGCGACCCATGATTTCGCATTCGCCTTTGACATTGACGGTGTTCTCCTGCGCGGCAAGCTGCCTCTTGATGGCGCCAAGCAGACCTTGGAGATGCTGCAGTCCAACAGCGTCCCCTTCATCCTCCTCACTAATGGAGGAGGTCTGTCTGAGCTTGCCCATGCAGCGCGTCTTGGCCAGCGACTGACAATGTCCATTGACGAGGACCAGTTTGTCCAGTCCCACACTCCATTCAAGAAGTTTGTGGACCAGTACAAAGACGAGTGGATTGTTGTCCTTGGTGGACACGGTTCTGCTGTCAAGGAGCTCGCTGCCACCTACGGCTTCAAGTCAGAGAAGATCATCACCAGCAGCGACATCGCCAAGCACCACCCAAGTATCCACCCGTTCCCTGTAAGTCGTTGAGCCATATACCAGAGACAAGAACTTCCAGATGGCTGGGCAAAGAATGACTTACTGTGTTGCAGGAGATCTCGTCAGGCTACCACGACAAGTACGGAAACATCGGCGATGACTTCTCCCACGAGGAGAAGATCGCTGCGGTCTTTGTCTTTACCTCTCCACGCGACTGGGTAAGAACCAAAATTGATTTGAAGACCAGGCTGGTGCACTTGCTGACCTCAATTTGTGCGGAATAGTGCCTGGACCTCCAGATCTGCATCGACCTTCTTCTCTCTGCCAATGGACGCTTGGGAACCAGATCTTCCCTCAACGGTAACCCCAAGCTACCAAATCACGGCTATCAGCAGGATGGCCAGCCGATGCTCTTCTGGTGCAACCCGGACATGCAGGTAAGTAGAGCTGTCAGCAAGACCGTCCTATACAAAACAATATTCTCTAACACTTACACCAGTGGGCCACCCCCCACGCGACCCCCCGTCTCGCACAGGGCGCCTTCCGAGCAGCCCTCGAGGGCATCTGGACCTCCCTGACCAAGGGAGAGGCGGAGCTCCAGTCCTGGACCTGCGGCAAGCCGACCACCACCACCTACGACTACGCCGAGCAGATCCTGCACAAATACCACCACAAGATCGAGCCGCTGTCCACCACCCCGATCCGCAAGGTCTACATGATCGGCGACAACCCGGAGAGCGATATCTGTGGCGCCAATCTTGCCAACGAGACCTCTGCCCTCGAGTGGAACAGCGTCCTCGTCGAGACGGGCGTGCACAAGGCCGGCACCAAGCCCGCGTACAAGCCCACCGAGACCAAGGCCAACGTCTGGGAGGCTGTGAGGTGGGCCGTCGCCCACGAGACCAAGGTGGATGTCGGAGACCTGCCTGAGGCTTGAGTGAGTGGTTGAAGTGGTGGCTGTTTGTTGTGCGATTTGTCTTTGGGAGTCTGACCGGTGGCTGGTTGGCCTGTCGTAGTTGTTTTCACAAGTGGATGCTCTGGCTGAGCATGCACTGGACCTGTTTGATGCTTGAGTTATTTATCTATGGCTAAGGCTAATGAGCCGGAAGGGAGTTTGAAGGGATAAAAGCTTTGCGAGTTTGATTTTGTTTTTACTTTTGATGTGAGCCTCTTCTAAACAGGAAGACAAGACGCGTGGCCTTGTGACGGACCACAGGCTCTGGAACTTTGTTAGTACAGTTGGCAAATCTGCCCTGGCTTCTCGAGCCGTACCTAGGTACAAAACAGCTTTAACTGAATAAATGTGGCCAATTCTGGTCTACATGAGAGGATGCTTTGTTTCAGTGCGCTGGGTTCAAGAATAGGAACCTGGACCCTGTGATGAAAGCTATACAGGGCAGTTTACAAGTCCTGGTGTATTCTGTACTGCTAAAAAGAAGCAACAGGCAACACTTTGCACGAGACAAACATCAAAATGATACTTGCTCTTGTTGCATGGTAATTTGAAGAGCAAATGTTCAGATGTTTGTGAACCAAGCCGTTAGCAACCCCTTAGGGCTTGGCAGTGAGGCAGCTTATGCCAGCAAGGATCTTGTATTCCCAAGTATCCTTCGTCTTATCTGGGGTCGCCTAGAGATTTGAGATCAATGATGCTGACTCCCCATGTTCCTTCCTGTCCTGCAGAAAGCTTGACTAAATACCCCAGCAGCCCCACCACCCATCGGGGAGGTACTAGGACTTCTCCCCCAGACGCTAGAAGCATATTGATTCGAGTGCGGCTTACTAGGAATTGCAACCACACCTCCATCCAACTCCGGCCGACTGGGGCAGCTTGTCGTTCACAGTCCCTGCCACCAACTCCAGGCCTCCCCACCACTCGATCGCGTGCCCGTCCTATGGCCCATGTGGTTGGGAGCAGGAGGTGGGCCGGGGCTCTTCCATTCCCATCTCGTCCAGCTCCTTCTCCAACAACCTGCAGGCTTCTGACTGTGCTACCCGATCACCTCCTCCGCTGTGCCCCCCGTCCGCTGTCCGGCAGGTAAGCGCATCAGCTGACTGGGCTGGGCACTAATGGGCTAGAAGCTAAAGAAAGTAGTAACGGCTATGATGGAACGGAGAAGGACGGACGGTGTATGGCCGCTGAGCCGCGCAGCTGCATGAGCTACGCAGTGAATCTGCCCGGGCTCGCAGAATTCGTCTGCTTATATCAGTTGAGTTGTCCTCGTGACCTACGTCTTTGGTGGGAATGCCCCTTCCTCCTCGTATACCTCCGATGCTTGTACTCACTTGGATACAACCTCGGAAGGCGCATGAAATCTTGTCCGGTGAGATGAGAGCCGCAAGATGCCACCTTACTGGCGCCGACCCAGGCGAGCGCCGTCTGGCCTGCGACTCCTCGCCTCGGCTGCGCTCATCGTGCTCTTTCTCTGGGCGACCCTCCCCTACGACAACGCCCTCCGGTCATCTGCCCGGTTCAACACCCACAGGCTCATCACCCTCCTCAGAGGGCCCCTGAGAAACGAGCGCTGGCTGTACGAGCCGGCCCCGTTCCCGCTGGACTGGTCGTGCGACGTCGCTATCATCCTGAAGACGGGGTACGGAACGCACGAGAGGGCCCTGGCGTGGATCGAGGCGCTGCCCAGCGGCATCACCCCGGAGAACGTCGTCATCGTTGCCGACTTTGATGCCCAGCTGGCCACGAGGACCGGGTCGCGGTCCGGGTTGAAGGTCCACAATGTTATCCAGAGGGTAGTGGATGAGGGGGCCATGGTGTGCGGCGGTGCCCGCTGTCCCCGTGCTGACAAGTACTTGAACCTCAAGGCGGCTGTGTCGGCCGGCGAGGACGAGCTGGCGAGGAGTTACTCGAGCTCCTTTGGCTGGGAGTTGGACGCGATCAAGGTAGGCCCAGGGGCAGTCCTTGAGTGTAGTGTTCCCGCTGACACGGGTGTAGTTCCTACCCGGCCTTGAGCTGGCATATCGCGCGATGCCGAATAGCAAATGGTTCATCCTCGTCGACGATGATACCTACCTCATCTACCCTTCGCTCAACTCCATCCTTGGCCACTTTGATCCCTCTGTGCCTCATTGTAAGTGTTGTGGTTGCAGAAGACAGGTCCTTACTCGCGCACCAAATCCCCTCAGTCCACATAAAGCCCACTGACCACTTGAACCAAACAGACCTGGGCAACGCAGTAGGCGACTACCGCCAGCGCTTCGCACACGGCGGCTCCTCCATCGCCCTCTCCCGCGCGACAATGCAAGCCCTCTTCGCCGCCGCCAACCACCGCGCCGTGTCAAAGGCCCGCCAGGCCTCCCTCACCGAGACGTGGGGCGACCGGCTGCTGGCGGGCGCGCTCCTGCGCCTCGGCGTGCCCGTGGACGAGGACGCCAGCCGCTTCTTCAACGGCGAGCAGCCGTGGGCCTCGCGCCTGCGCCCGGACCGCCTCTGCGCCCCCGTGGCGACGTTCCACCACCTCTCGACGGCGGGCGAGATGGCTGGTGTGGGGCGAGTGTTCAGGGACACCGCCGAGCCGGTCCTCTGGGTTGACCTGTGGGACATGTTTTCCGGCGGGGACCGCCTGCGGGGGGACCGGGCTGCATATACTGATCGTCCGTCTGCGAGCCTCTCTTCCTCGGCCGGGCGGGACGATGAGGTTGTGCCTGGGCGGCCGGGCTGGGATCATGTGGGGCCGTTGGACGAGCACACGGGGACATCCACGAGGGTGCAGGATGCGCTTGGCTGTTCGCGTCTTTGCAGTTCTGCTACGGAGTGCCTGGCCTGGACTTGGGACGAGAGGCTGGGGCTTTGTCACACGAGTCCTTGGGTGACTGTGGGTCGGGAGGCGGTAGGGCTGAGGTCTGGGTTCAATGTGGACCGGTTTGAGGGACTGGCGGGCGAGTGTCGTTAGATATACCCCTGTGAGCTTGCAAGCGCGTCGGTGAGCAAAGGTGTCCTGGCTAGGTTATAAATTAGATGTTGTTCGTTGAAAATACGGGGACTTGAAACCACGCTTCGGTCAGAGGTAGAAGCTAATCACTGGCATGTGAGAGCTCAAGCAAGGCCAGCAGTAAAAGGACACAAGTAGAAGCGGTAACATTACTATCTTCACAACCTTGAACTAGCAGTACACACATACCAACACCCCTCAGCCCTTCAGCCTCATCTCCGCCAGCAGTTCCCTCACGCTCTTCCCGGAGGAAGCACCGCCCGCCTCAGGCCGCACCTCGACCCCCGGCGGGCCAAGCCTGCCGTCCGCCTCGTGGTCCCTCTCCATCTGGATGACGGCCCACCGGTGCCGCAGGCTGCCCTTCCAGGACTCGGCGCTCCGCTGCGCCTGCCTGACGCGGCCCCGCCGGTCCGTCGTGGTCCACTTCTGATCGAGCAGCTGGATGAGCTCGCGGCTGTGGGGCGGCAGGTACTCGAGGCTGGCGATCCGGTGGTAGCCTGCGAAGCGGAACCGGCCGTGGCCGCCCTGGGCCTGCTCGAAGACGGCGATGGGGTCGAGGGGGTAGAGGGTTAGGTCGGGGGAGTATGGGGGCTCGGGCTCTGGGCTGGGGTCCTTGTTGTTTTTGGTCTTGTTGTTGTTGGCTGGGCGTTGTTTCTTGACGGCATCCTCTGACGGTCCTGTACTTCGGCCATGGTCTTGCTTGTCTATTCCGAGATGCTCATGCGTGGGGGTCTGCGACTCATCGCTGGCCTGGGCCTCCTCGACAGGTGATTTCTCACCGGGCACCTCATCAGCGAGAGCACCTGCTCCTCCTGTCGGGTTTCCGCTCTCATGGGTCCTGTCCCCTCTCCCCCGCCCCGACCCGACCGGCTCTCCCGCAGCCGCAGGGGGGCCACCGGGCCCGTCCAGCTGCTCCTCCCTGAACCTCTCGCCGCCGGGCAGGATGTGCAGCTTCGACTTGACAAAGATGACCCCGTGCGACTCCCAGCGGGGGTTGGCGTCACGGAAGAGCATGACGTACTTGAGCCTGTCGGGCTCCTGTGCGGACGCGTTGAGGGTGCCCTTCGGCGACTCGGCCAGGCGCTTGCCCTCGTCCTGCGGGTCCCAGTAGTGGCTGGAGATGTCGCCCTGTGAGAAGAGAGGCTCTGCGGCCGGCCAGGGGGCCGTGCTGCCGGGTGGGAGGTTCTCGCGAGACCCTGCGGCCTCTGCTGTCGTGCCGGGCGGCCCATCGGGCGACGAGGCTTGCGCTTTCTTGCGGAGCGCGGGCGGGACGTAGGCCATTGTGGATGTTGATTGGGATGTGTGTGGGAGGTTTGGGCTGGTGGCAATGTTTTTTTCATGATCAGACAGGCCCTTTGTGGAGGGGGGAGGGGCGCGGAAGAAAAAGGGAAGAGACTGGTACCGATCAGACGGCCTCCTGCATTATATGCAAAAGATCAATCACATTTTTGAATGTTTTGGGTCCTTGCCAGGCTGTTTGGCTGCCTGGGCGGGTTAGACGGGCGGTTGGCTGCCTGCGGTCATTTGTGCAACGCCCTGGTGGGAGCTGTGTGAGGAAGTCCGTTGTCGGTGGCCACGTCCCACTGACATCAGAGGATTAATCTCCAGCATCAGGAAAATGAACGTTTACATATAACTGACAGCTGACAAATTTCAGGGGCTTCCTCTGAGCCTTGCATGAAGCCCGCTGAGTCTCTAAGTTTGTGTGCATTGTTTTACACGTTTTTGAGTGCTGTCTACTGGTTAGAGGCACCTTGATGCATCAAAGATATCTTCAAGAGATCCTGTGAATTAGGCGCTCTGGTCTCTGGGCAGTAGTTCTTGAGGACAAGAGAGGCGAGAGACAATAGGGACGTAGACTGTCATAACAGATCAGAACAGCAGGAGGTTCATTTTAATTTTATTTTCCTTCTTTTTTCTTTCGAAAAAGAATAATTAATTGTTTGATCGAAGAGTGGCTGGAGAAACGCTGAAGAAGGGCCCCGTAGTCATCCTCGGTACTTAGTACCCAGTTGCCCAATTCTTCATCTCTTCGCAACAAACTTCAGGATATTTAATTTCACAGTTTTGCTTCCAAGGAAATGCTGATGTCTCATAAGCGTTATGTTCCATTCAAGTGTGTTTCCTACAATTTCTCTCGGAACGTGGCTTGTGTGTTTGTGTGCAAGCCGACGAGCCAGGATTGCTCTTCGTTCTAAGCATCTTTGCCGAACACTCAGGGAGCTTCTGACTCGCTGAATTAATTGGCCTGAAATTAAGGCATGAAGTCCATACCCCTACGCGCCTCCGCAGAGTTGCTATGGCGTGCGCTCTTCACCTGTACGGCGCCATGTCTTTGTTCCTACGTCTTACGGTATGGTAGCAGCCCCACGACAGCTGCACAGACACAACGGATTTGGTGTTAGCTAGCCACCCTGTGCACTACCTAGGTAGATTATATAATGGGCTGCTCAAGCACGAGACTTTTCTCCACTGGTCAAGCCTATAGCTTATCGCAAGGTGGTAGAAAATTCCTCGCATGGTCTCGAGGGTTTTCTCGACGGCCTTGAGTTTGTCCTCACCCAGGCTCAACATCATGTATCTTCAATCCACCTCTCAGGATCCCAATGGCTTTCGGTCACTGCGCACATCATGTGTTAGCAAACGCTGAAACGAGTTGCACTGCTGCTTATCACATACCTGGTTCAGGTACCTCTCCAGTGCGTCAGCAGAGGATCCACCGAGTACAATAAGCGTGCCATGAGGGGCTCTTATTCGCTTCAATTGAAGACTTGGAAGCTGAGGTTGAACCAACAGGTCCGGACCTAGATACTTAAGTACCTAGGTACACATTACAGGCTGGCGGCGCTTGGCACAGCCCGTCTCAGCTCAGAGGTATGTGGGCTGCGGGTGACGGTGAAGAACCAATCCAGGTGACTGGAACGTTGGTCAACCCTTCAGAAACTCTCCTAGACACTGCGAGCCGATCCCGCCTCGCGGCGCCACGCAAATCACAATTACGAGCCAACCTTTGTCATTCTGATAAATCCAGTGTCAAAGATCGTATCTCGACTCTCGACCGTCTGCCATGTTGTCCAAATTTCGCAGGCTGCTGCGGCGGCACAGTCCGGAGTCGCCCGCTGAGACCAAAGACAAGGAGGAAGTGTATAAGCCGCACCCAGACGATTTCCCAGTCTTTCCACCACCCTCTCCGAGGCATCTCATCCAAAATGCGGATCGAGAATGGGCGAGGATTGACCAAAGGAAATATGCCGCGCCGCGGGGCATATTTGAGGACTCGTCGCTGTATGGACTGTACCGCCTGTATGAGGTGATCGTACTCGACAAGGTCTTTGGGTATCGAAATGGGCTAGAAGCGTTCTGGAGGCAAAAGACGTGGGCGATCAAAGATATAGCTGATCCCAAAGACGACGACCCGGAGCGGTATGCCGTTCTCGCCGGCTGCACCTACCTGCTTGCCCGATCTTTCAACGAGAGAGTTAAGCGCGGGCTCGATCGACAGATGCCAGCAATCATGCTTCATGAGCAGGTAGAAGAGTGCAGGAATAAGCCGGATCATCTCCGCCAGTATGAGCGGGTTCCTCAGTGGGCGCAAGCTGTCAAGCCGTTGGAGGAAACACTGTTCATCCCCACGCATGAGGGTGAGCTTTTGAAAGGGAAGGATGACGAGCGAGCCGACCCGGACTTTCTCGAGAAGAACATCGTGCTATGGACACCTCACGTCTTTTTTACTTGATTGTCCAATGGAATCGGAACCCCTGGCTCCCTGGAGCGGCGTTCATATCTCAACGACGACCGGGGGGTTACGGAGCTCGTTGTTACGCCCCCCAACGACAGCTGCGTTGACGAAAGCGGTGGTCTTCTCCCCCCGCCTCCCACGGCCTAGAACCTCCTTCAATTTCGCCCACAGCACCAGGGCGGCCATACGGGCCACTGTCTCCCAGCCGCCCCACCCGATGATTATCTCGTCATACGCACTCCGAATCGCATCGAGGACGACATCCTCACGCCCGTATGAGGCATGTATGTGCCCAAAAACGGCAAGGCGCGGGCGGATTCGGGTGATCTCCTCATTCAGGTATGGACAACCAGCTTGATGGACGCCTTGTGCGTCGAGGTGGAGTTTTGGGGGGCCGTGGGAGACCAGGATATCTGGGGTTTGCGAGGCGAGTCTTTCGGCCCAGTGGGAAACGCTGTCTGGCTGGTACTGGAAGGCTGAGATGCCGTACTGCGGTGTCCAGGGGCTGCCAAAGACCTTTAGTTTTCGCGGACGAGTCTCGATTGCAGTAACGTCGTCGCTACCCTGGGAGGCATGATAGCCCCCCCGGCGAGGTTCAGGTGGTGGAAAATCCAAGGTCACTGAACTGTCCTCAAGATAGATGACACTCCCCCAGTCCAGATCTGCCTTGGTCTTGGTCTGGCCGTAACGCCGCTCGGGATACTTCTCTAGAAACTGCTCATCTAAGAGCACATCGTGGTTTCCGGCGATGAGGATCTTGTACCTGTGCGGCTGCGATGAAAGCCACGCGAGCCCGGCCTGGATTTCAGCAAAGGAACCGTTCTCTGTAAGATCGCCTGCATGAATGAGCAGGTCGCCGGAAGGGAGGACCGGCTGCTTGTTGTGCGTGTCTGATATGCATACAACCTTGACTGGGAAGGGCAAAGCTGGAGCAGAACGGCCTGGAGGCAGCCAGTTTAGAAGCGCCTCAGCGACCCGTCGCTTTTGCTGGCCACGTAGCCGGATATTCGTCAGTGGTTGTTGCATGCTGCAGGTTGAGATTCGAGAGCCAGAGCCACCGCCGACGGGTCCGAATGTCTTCAGCGTGAGCCCGGCGGGACGGAGAAGCCTTGTCTTGTCTCAATTTCGTGCGTGGAGGCATCGCCGAGGTCACAGTCATCGGCGCGTTGGTGTTGTTAGCGTCATGGTCGCAACATCTTGGGGTGACGCAGCCACCCACTCAGCCAACCAGCACATTGTTGGCAGCCGCCAAGCCGGTGCCCAGGGGACATTCCCCAAACGCACAACTTGCTGCACTCTATCTGACAGGTCAGTCAGTCAACGCAACATACATGTTTTGATATTTCCTCCGAAGAGCATGATGCCTAAGAAACTAGGTGTTGGAATGGTCATATTGATCACGTTCATTACACTATGCCAGTGGATATTACTAGCATGGGGATCGGAAACTCCCTAACTAATGCCAGTGAATTAAGTCGTTACTCTAATTTATAGCCTTTTGGTACTGAGTCAATCCAACAATATTAATTGCCCTAATAAAAGAGAAGTCGGGATCTTTCATCTGCCCACGGATGTAACTGAGTGTTTTCGTGTCGTGAGAAATTGAAAAAAGTGACATTGTGCTAGTGTCTCTGAGTCTGTTTTGAACATGACTGACGGTGTGCACAGTTTCTACTCGTCTATTCGTCCTCCAACCAGAAGCAACCATTCCTCAACTTATAATAAGTATCTACATTGTATGGAGTGCGCGTGGGTCGTAGTCCGGCCCTGAGGTTGGTATTGGTTGAAATAGACATTGAACCCCCCCTTTACATCATGGGAAACCGATTCTTTTCTTTAAGAATTGTGTCCTCAAAACGATCACACAAAGGACACTGGACAATCACATGGATTTGTCAAAATATAGGCTAGCTTACGTTGAGACGTTGTGGCAGGATCACGCTAGCACTATAAGGCATGACTCCGGAGCTAGGATCGATCCTCTAAGGCTTGTTTCTGATAAGCCTCGGAATTAGTGGGAGCAATGCTCGGTCCTCGCAGCCCAGGAACTAAAGTATCGCGACGCGAGTTGACTAAAACCATAGCGATATGAATAAGCAGGAGCCCGGATCCATCCTCAGCCGCAGCCCTAGGCACCCGTGATTCTATGTATATAACCGAGCACTCGCCAAGAGATATCATCGGATCCCCTGCCGCCGAATCCAACACTCGCTCGTACAATACATCAGAGCACCAGCGAAGACTCGTACCTTACACGCATCCAATATGGCTTCAAACAAAGAAGAGACCAGCGGGCCCGCCCGCCTCCCAGCCCCGCGTCTGGTGAGCACAGCCCACAAAGAAGACGGGACCTCAGTCTTCGCATCAGACGAGGCCATCCAGCCATTCCAGCCGTTCGGGCCCGGCACGAGCGCGTTCCACAACTTCGACATCCGGCCGTCGCTCCCGGCCGACAACACCGAGGCGGCCTCCCAGTCCACAATCGCCAACACGTTCCCGCGGTGCAGCCCCGGAGGTGCGTACTTCGGCGTCACGGACATCCCGCCCAGCTACTCGGCCCCGATGCACCGCACCCTGAGCCTGGACTACGCGGTCGTGCTGTCTGGTGAGATTGTGTGTGTGCTTGATGGCGGGGAGGAGAAGACGATCGGCCAGGGGGAGTTTATCATCCAGCGGGGCACGAATCACCAATGGATCAACCGGTCTCAGACAGAGGTGGCGAGGATCTTGTTTGTCATGGTCGGCGCTCAGACGGTTGTTCTTCAGGACGGGAAGGAATTAGAAGAAACTGTACTTAAGAAGTAAAATGAAAGTATTTTATTATATAATATAAAATCTTGTAAACATTTTTAATAATAACTCATTAGTAGTATTAATTTAATACAAATAATAAGGGATAAGGCTATGACTCCAGGACCTCGGGAGGGTCCCCGACCCCTACTAGGACGTGGGCCGTGAGCTACCCAATAGGGGACCTTGTGGATAGAATTGTTGCTGTCCGCGGGTGGTTCCGATAGGCAGCTGTGGACGTCTAGTCTTGTGCGGTGACATAAAGTGGGGCTTTGAGACTTGTGTAGTTTGATTTCAGGTACTTCTGACTATCATTTCCTGGCTTTGGTACAGCAGGTCCACCATCTCAAGACCGAGCAAGGTAAAGCAACAGGCATCCCGCAGATCCTACAACCGATTGACCCTATTCCCGCGCTGGCTGTCAGCCCGTGCTACACCCTCCTCGAGCAACCTGCAGGCGTCGTCTGGCCGTGGCTCTTATTTCCCTTAATCCTGGACTCTGGGGGGACGACGTCATGCCTGCTGGGCCGATAGCATCTGTCATGAGAGGTATCTTTGCGAGCTTGGGCCCGGCTGTAGGCTCAGGGTCGGGCGTGTGTCTGGCCGGCACGTGGGTTGTCCCCGGGGGTTGGCACTGGCACCTGGCCAGGACTTCCGCCACCCCCGACGACGGCGTCGTGTGCCGCGGTGCCAGCAGCTAGGCCGTCCTCACCCATGCCAGGCTTATTCGCTCCTGTGATGGCAGCCGCCGGGGTCTCCCCCTGCCCGCCTAGACGAGGAGAACTAGTGGGCGTGGTGTCTCGATACTCGTAGTATAGTAAGAACGAGTGGTCTTGATGGTCGGGACTTCCCCACCTGTAGTGGCGCGCGAGGCCCGGTTCCTCCTCGTTGTTGGGCCTGACATCTTTTCCGTAGCGGTCAAACAGCTCAATGTAGTCATCCTCCACGTCGCTGGCGCGCAGGCGGACCGCTGCCAGCGGCTTGTACTTGTGAGTCCTATGCCCTCTCGCGAACGTGGTTTCTTGGACTGTCGTGGTACCATTATTTAGGCCTATCCTCTTGGTGCTGAACACTGTCTCCGGTATTGTGAACTCATTCGTGTCGGCCAGGGCGAGGCGTTCTTGGTCCCCATTGCACCAGACCCCGACCTTGATCACGGCAGGTGCCCTGAACAGGAGCGAGTATTCCACCTCCCCCTCATCCAGGCCCTCGAGCCTGCCCTTGAAGATGCCATGGCTGGCCGACACAGCATCCTGGAGGTCGGGGTGCTCGGCAAGGTTCCACACTATCATGTTGTTTCTGGCCTTGGCGACATGCAGGCCGCCATCAGACAGCGGTGTCCACTTTAAGGACTTAGGGCCGGATCACCACATGATAGGGAAGTACAGCCTAAATTAGTCCTGGGACCAGAGGCTCTAGTTTAACATCTTGCTGCTAACCAGGTGAGTAAATATATTAAAATACTATAATATACTATAGTATATTAAAATACCACTATATAAAGGCACTATATATATCCTTAGATGTATATAGAATAGAAGCGAGACTATATATATTAAAATACTATAGTATATCAATAATATATTAAAAGTTTTTTTTAAAAAATATAATAAAATATTAATTTTTTTAAAAAAATTAAAATATATTATATATAAAAAATTAATAATATTAAAATAATAGTTTAATTTAAATAAATTATATTAAATAATATTAAATTAATTAAAAGTAAGGTAATTAAGCTCTTTTAAGGTGGAGCACTTTAATACCTTGTTGAGGTAGATCGAGTAGGTTAGCACGGAGCTGCAGGAGCTCGTGTAGAGGCAGGGGGCTGAGGCGGCGAGCTCGGACCGGGAGAGGGTCGGGCTGCTGGCGGCGCTCGAGTCCTGGCACCGGGAGGAGCTGGACAGGATGCGGCAACAGCACGCCGCCGAGGCCAAGGAGGGGAACTCATTCGAGCCGGTCATTCTCGACGACGAGGTGACCCACTCCTGGCTCCTGTGGTACCTTAGCTCGGTCACCGAGAAGGAGGACAGCACATAAAACCTTTTATCTTTCGTGCGCTCTGAGGCCCAGGGCTGGCACTGTGTGTCCAATGTGATCAAATACGGCTGGGAGGACCCCAAGAGCCGCAGAGAGGGTGCGTGCAAAAGGCACGGCAGCAAGAAGTGCGTGGGGTTCCGTAGGGTTGCTGGCTCTGGCAAGATAGGGTTTAGGATATTCTTGGGCAATTAAGAGGTAAGTCGTGTTGTTGGCCACGCGCCGAGACCGACCCCTGACCCTCCCACATGTGCTCATCTCTGCTGCCTCCTCTGTCTGGGCGGGAGTGACCGCGCATGCTCTCGAGTGCATGTCCGCCGGACATGGTCGCTGGCAAGTGGTGGTCGAGAACCACGATACTCCATTCTCAAGTGGGCCGACTAAGGGCATTAAAAGCAAGATGATGAAATATATCACATGGACATTGTCTTGGGTAACAGACCAGGCGAAGGGGCAGTATGTAGATACATATTGTGCATTGTTCCACCCGGTACCAGGACGACACATCCCCTCCATGTTTCCGGTACCTGGAACGCAGTCTCGAAGGTCTAAGCCCGGGTACAACGGGCATCTAGTGCATGGTGACATTGGGGTCTGGCCAATGGTCTTACACGGAGCATCGCGCCAAGTGAGCCGCAGCGGCCCCACTCTGCGCGCTCCTGCAGCAGCACGTATGGACAACACTGGTTGCAGTCTAAGCCCCAGTAGATGGATACATGTCAGGGCAAATACAGTAGATGATCAGGGTATAATGATCGGACCCTGCAAAAGGGCGCCATGGCCCAGAAGGCGGAATTGGGAGCTTGAGGGATTCTTAGCTGCGGCTGCAGGCCCACCACCGACCCCTGGGCGAGGCCCCCACTTGGGTGAAAAGGTACCTGGGTACCCACTTCAGCACCTAGGTAGGTACGCCCGCCAGCGCACGCAGGACGGTCCACACCCAACCAAAACAACAACCACAACAAAAGGGTTGACCACGGCGACAACTCGTTGCCACATCTGAACCTGATGTCTGGTTTGGCAGTGAGAAAGAAGAAAGGCGGCATCGCCCCGGGTGCGAAGAGGAACAGGCGCGACAGCCACAGCGACAGCGAAGATGACGGCGACCGGCCTAGAGGACATGCTCCGCGTTCAGAATGGGACGAGGATGGAGATCTAAGCTCCGAGCAGGACGAAGAGGATCAGAACGATGAAAAATCTGACGAGGAAGAGTCCGAGCAGGATGAAGTCGTTCGACCAAAGGGGCGGGCGTCTCGGCCACCTGCCAAGAAGCAGAAGCTGGCGCACAAGGCCACATCGGGGTCCTCGAGGGCAGCCCCCACGAGGGACCTGGCAGATATTGACACGGATGAGTCCGAGAGCTCAAGGCCAACGCGCGCCACGGGGAACGGGGTCGTTTTGCAGAGGCCGTCCCTGGCGTTCCAGACGCGAAAGAAGGAGGCCAAGAAGCAGAAACGCGGGATGAAGCCCGGCGACGTCAAGGGGGACAGTTCCACGGACACTGCCGCTGATGAGCTTAAGGACGTGTACATCCCGACCGTCAAGGCCAAGGCGTTTGACGAGCTCAAGAAGAAGGCAGCCAGGAGCACGAAGAGGGTGATGGACAGGTCTGTCGTGCGCAGGAGCCGCGACTTCCCGCCTCGGGAACAGGAGGACTTTAAGCTTCTCATTCCAAAACCTCATTATGATGAGTACTGGACGCGAGAGGACGAGAGAGATCTAGCGCGACGGCTATCAGACGACGTGAACTTCAAGAAACAGTGCGAGCCCAAGCCGATCGTCGTGGGCCTCTGGAAGACGGTATTCCGCTTTACCGGGTGGCTGGTAACAGATGTTATTGGGCCAAGGACCAATCTGGAGTTTCGTTCTGAATCTCAGAAGGGCGACGGCCCCATATGGACTGACAGGCTCTGTGAGGCCCTCCCGGACGTGGTCCTCCACCCAATGCTCGACCTTGACCCGGCGAAGGCCGCATTGGCGCTGCAGTGGGCCGTCATCTGCCGCACTGGCGACAAGAGGAAACATCGCCTGAGTGGCTGTAATGATGACATTTTCCTGCGGTTCCTGGCGTCGGTCGTCAACAAGCACCAGGACGGCAACACGACGCCCAGGTACCTGCGAGAGCTCGCACTCTACAAGCACAAGAAGCTCCAGGACGCCGGGGTCGGGCCACCGCGATGGCACGAGCTCCTGCGGCACATCGAGGACAAGGTCGCCGAAACGAGCCAGAAGAAGGCGCCCCAAGGCGGAGAGGCTGCCGACGCCACACATGGAGTTGACGGGGAGCCCTACTTTGTCAACCTTGCCGACGTGTACGCCGTGCGCAGCGCCCTCGACAGGATAAAACATCTCAGCATGCGCCAGTACCTTGGTGCGCGCCTTATCTCGGGTGCGGTCATGCCCTCCAGGGAAAACTCCGACGTTCCTAACAGGGAACTTATGCAAAGGGCTATTAAGGCTGTGTTGCTATACAAAGAGCGAAATAAGGAGCGTGCGGCACGGGGTGGCCTTCCAGAGCCGCTGCCAAGCCCCAAACCACACCTCAAGCGCCCATCAAAGGATGGTGACGGGTCAGATGACGGTCAAGACTCTTCCGACGACGACCCGTTCACATCGGCAGGAGACAAGAGCCCAGCGCGCAAGACGGCAGCCCGCAAGACGGCACGCACGCCGCTTCAAACTCGTCACAGGGACCCGAGTTCAACTGGTCCAGGGCGCACCGCAGACTCGCAGAGTGCCTCTCCGTCGCTAGGCGAGAGCCCCCATGCCCCGTCCCTACAATACGAGCCGGCGATGGGTGTTGACGACGCTTCACTCGGCGAACATGACGCGCTGCAACCCAGCGACGAGTCGCAAACCATGCGCGGAGATGACGATGTGATGTCGGGTCTCATACCCGAGTCGCCCGGTGCATAGGCGACTACTTTGGCCCCAGCTTGAGTCGGCGACCAAGATCTGTCGAGGGGGCAGCCTCGAATCCCAAGGAGGGCTACGGAAACACACAGGACTGAGGACCAGCATACGACAGGTCCCAGTCACGGCAGAAGAGGCGCCTCGGTCGCATCAAGGTGAAGCCGAACATGACGAGGCCTAATGGGCTGCTCCCTGGACACAGGCGCCCGGCCTGCGGGTCCGTGTCAGGGGCATTGAGCAGGGCAGCATCACACTGCGCTACCGCAGTGGCACGAGGTTATTTGTGGCACGCGGGTCCTATCATCGATCTACCCAGACAGTCTGGGGCACCTTGAGAAAGAGGATGCTCTTGCGGCCCTGTTCCAGACAGGCGGAGATGAGATGCCAGATGCCGAACCGAAGCGGCCGGTCAGGAGGGTGGTCGAACGCAAGTGAGCGCTTGGATGGGGAATTTGAAGGCAGGTCGGAGCCTGGCTGCTCGTGCCGGGTATGTGTATTTGATACCTAAGTACTGATACGCAAATTTAATTTTACTGATGACCAAGATGAAGCCTGTGGATTCTCGTGGGGTGTAGTGGTGTAGGTTGGTTGGATTGACTGCTAAGCTGGGTCTGCAGGGCAGCTCCCAGCTACAGCTGCAGCCGCACACGCCCAAATTTAGTGCGGCTTGTCACCCCAGGCCCCAGGCAACGCCTCGACACACAACAAACCATCAAACGAACCATTCGTCCACCATAACAGCATGGCATGATCAAGATGGCAGCAGAACATGAAGAGAACTCGCAGCCGCCAATACGCAGCTACATTGAAGCATTCAGGCCGCTTGTGCCAACAGAAGATACAGGGTCGACCGCACGACTACAGCACATTTTTGTGAAAAACGGGTCGCCGGCGTCGTTTGGCCATGTCGTGTCAGAGCAGTGGCATACAGACCACACGAACGGACGGAGCACGTGGGCTGTCGTCGATTCCAACACGGAGTGTCTACTCCTCGCGACAGACCTAGTCGACGGGGCCACAAACATCCCTGGACAGAAGGTCGATACTGAGCTCGTCAGGTTCCCATCGGCAGACGGAAAGATACCGGGCTCTGGAATAGTCATCATGTCCTTCCGGGAGCTGGTCACGACCCTGAGCGCATGCCGGGGCCCAGGTCCCGTGTGGCAGTGGGACGCCGCACTGGGCAACCCGACCGTCGTCATGAATTTCGCATGGGGCGACATGAGTTTCGACATGGCGTTTGCCTGTCCACTGTTGGCGAAGGTAATCGAGGCCACGACAGGAATAGATGCTGGGGGCCTTATGGCTTGTACGGTCTCGAGCGAAAATAAACGGTACTTTGGCAAAGAGTGGAAGCTGGTCGAGACGCAAGAAATAACGTCACTCACGAGAGGCGACAGGCCCAGGCCAACGTTCAGGGGCTCGGACAAGTGGACTGTAAACGACGGCCAGGAACGCATGTTTGACGAGATCAAGGGGTCCCTCTCGGACATCTTGGAGCACGGCTCGAGGGCCCGTGAGCAGAGGTCTCTGTTGCTGGCGGAGCCGAGAGTGGCCGACCTCCTTGGGTCGGGTGCTCGAGCCGTCGTAGAAGTGGGCAGTTGCGAGACGCTGCGGTCACAAGAGATGCAGGATATAGACATATCACTCGGCGGCAGTCTGACTTACTTAGGCCAACTGCGAATGATCAGCGACGTGGTGATATACCCATACTTTAGTGGATACACCGACAGCGACGGCCAACTAGTCGCCATGACGGCCTGGAACGGGGTGCCGCGGTCACAGGCGGAGATCAACTACTACAGCCGATGCAACCAAGAGTCTGACACCCAGCCACGGGTCCACATCCTGACCAGCGAGAAGCGCTTCCGGGAGTTACCCACCCACTGCGAGACGTCACCAGCGCATACCCTACACCTAGGGCGACTGTTACTCTGCTGCAAATTCGTGTGGCCCGAGCTGCCCTTGGCGGACGTGCCTGTCCTCTTGCCGGAGTACGACGCGGCCGTGATGCTGCAGCTGATGTACCTGCGCAACAAGGGCCTCATCGCCAGGCCTGCAGTCGCCACTGGCGAGGTGAACCGGCCCGGCCAGGCGGGGAAGCCAGAGCTGTACAGGATGATGGACCTGACCGCACTGGGGTCCAAGACGGCTGTCATCCTGCTGCACGGCGTGCACGGCCTTACCAGCGCGCACCTGCTGGCACAGCTTATGGACACGCCCGAGGAGCAGCGTACCACAGCCACTGTTGAGGCCTTTCTCGCCATGTCCGTCCTGTCCGAGCCCCGTGATCTCAGCAGGAGGACCCCCCTGTGTGGCGACATAAGCGTGACGGCAGGGAAGGACCATGACCGGACATGGTACGATACTAACCTCAAGGGCATCGCAAGCGGGAACGCTGGTCGCGGGCCCGTCTGGTTGGCGGCAGGCCTCTGGCAGGAGCTGATGCATAACTACGAGTTCAGGGCGCCTCTGGGGCAAAGCAATCGGCGGCAGCACGAGTACCCCCCGGCCGTGTTCAATAATGGTAGCATCAAGGTGGACGTCGAAGAAACACTTGACTGGGACGATCGTCTCGTGGTTTTCAGCAAGATCCTCACGGACCATACGGGTATACCGGCGGTCATCGAGCTAAAGGATACCCCCCTAACAGCCCCGGAGTTACTGGCTGTGGAGGTCGCTCTCGTAAGGGCGTTCATGGATCGAATAATGATCATGGAGGATCATGGCAAAGACTTCAAGGCCTGCGACATGGCGTCAGGCCTCCAGCTCGGTCGGCCCGTCAAGGAACAGGAAGATCAGATCTGGTTCGAGGATTGCGAATCCCGCGACAGGCTGAAGAGCGGCCTGACGTTCCCCGTCATCTTCTGTGTCTACAGCCACCTGATCGAGGCCGTCAATAATGGTCTCGTAACCATGCACCCTGTTGACGTTACAGTCGTGTCTGCAAGAGCAGTGCGTCTCGCCCTCGAGGGAACGATGGCACACGTGCGGGTCCGGACTAGTCTCAGCACGGCGCGGCTACTCAGGGAGCGGGCGAGGCAGGCCAGCCTCGGCCAGACGTGAGGGACATGACAAGAAGGGTGCCAGAACCTTGGCAGTGCGTGGGCCGCGAGCCACCCAACAGAGGACGTTGTGGAAGTGATTGTGACTGTGGTTTCATTGGTGGTTTCGACAACGTATGAGAGACGCGGACAGTTAATAGGCGCGAGGGCGGAGGGGTAGCAGTGGGGAGCTTAGAGATAACGGGCGCGTGGTTGAGGCTGTTCACGTCAGAATATTGTCTGCTGTGAGACGGGGCAGAGTTCGTGGGCTGTCACTGGCAATCAACTTATCCACCCACTCATGCAAGCGCTTATTAACGTGTCATGTGGAAGATTGATGTAATGGTGAAGAGTCCTTGTAGTCGATTAAACTAAAGTGGTCACTCTAGAGCGGCCGGCAGACGCCCTCGCTCTCATCGCTTGGCCCTTAGAACAGGGGCAGGGGCTGCTTCCGCCACCTCTCGTAATCCACCGACTGCATGTCTTCAACAGGAGGCAGCTCCAGCAGCTTCTTCGTGAACTTCCTCGGCTGCATGCCAACCCCGGAGTCCTATGTGCCTGTTGCCTCGACGATTGCCTGTCCTATCGGGACTCTGGTCTTGTTGGTGATCTCGAGGCCCTCGAAATAGCCGTCCACTTCATCCAGCTCGACACAGTTGATCGCACGCGGCTTCCCACTTGGCCTGAGGCGCTCGAAAGATGGGGTCTCCCTGAGTGCCTTGGCGACCGCCTTCAAGGAAATTATCGTCACGTCCCGGGGCCGATATACGACAGCTTCTGGATTGTTGATCGGGAGCCCATGGCCGACATCTTCTGAATCGTCGTCCCAGGACCTCTCCAGGTACGTATAGACGCCCGCGACAAGCCCCGGGGTGTCTGACTCGCGACAGAGTTTCTCCCAGTCCAGGCCATCATCATCGTGCCTGTATAGCACCTTGCCGGATATGAAATCCACCGCGAAGTAGTCCCTCGGCACGCGGGTCAACGAGATATTGAACAAGAAGGCGTGGGCGAGCTGCTCCTCCACGGCCTGGACATCGGCAGCTGTCAGCTCCTTCAGGTCAGGGTCTTCGACAATCCCGAGTTGCCCCTTGATGTGGTTCGCGTGGGTCACCGCGTCCGTGACAACATCAAGCCTCATCACTTCCATCATGGACTGTGAGAACGAGACCCTCCTGAAGGCGTGGATGCAGGCTGCCGACAACCACAGCTGACCTCTGTGCCCCAGCTCCTGGAGAGGCTGGGCGAGGTGGTCCTTCATGGCCTCTAGGTGCCCCATGACCCTCGTCTTCTCATCTTCTGTGCCTAGGTGGAATATCAAGGAGGGACCGTGGGACACCAAAACGGCCATGTCGACCAGAACACTGGCGGCGGCATTCGACACGCCCGTCTTAACCCCTCCGAGCAGGACTGCCGCATTGATGTTGGGGGTGGAGCGGAAGGACCTGGGGTCCAGAGTCGCCAGCGGACCCCTGATCTTCTGGGCCGGGCCCTTGGCGCGTCCGATCAGCCCCCACGCCCCTAGCCGTCTACCAGTCTCAGACTTTAAGGCACCGTTGGCAGGGAACGTGATTGGCAGCTCCATCGGGTGTCGATCGGCGGAGTTGAGGACGCAGCAGAGACGCAGATGGGGATACTGTGAGTCCAACGCCGGGCTTGGGCCACTAAACGTGGATCCATCGCGGGATCTGAAGACGTACACATTGGGCGGAGGGGACGAGAGCGAGAACGCTGCCTGGAGCTGCCCGTCGATGTCCTGCCTGGCATCCGGTACCGCCACGGTACGGAACATGGATTCGTCAAAGATGATCACCGCCCGCCGCGGTCCTATCAGAACCTCGGCATCACTGATCAGAGGCATCTGTGTCACCCCCTCGTCGATGTAGACAAGCTTGAGCATATCGCATCGCGATGTTGCTGAGCGAATGTCTCTACTGGAGGACCATGGCGTAATGCAGCTGAGCTCGACGCGGTTGCATATCTTTCTTAGATGGAAGAACAGTTCCCAGGCGTCGCAGTATCGCGTCAGGAGAACCAAGGTCGGGCCGAACCTGAGGTCGTCGCCGAGCGAGTGCAGCTGGTCGGCTCCTGTGCCTTCGACCTCAGCCTGCCGCTGGCGCAGCTTCTCCAGGGCGAACCTGGCTAGCTCGTAGAGCGGCTTCTCCTCGAAGTATTGGACCACAGGGAAATATGGTCCCACGAGCTCGTACGCCTTTACCGGTACCTCATGCACGCCGTCTCGCTCAACAACAGTGTTCAGGTCGCATGCTACCGACACCACGAGGCAGTGGAGTGCTTCCGCCTCGGCCCTCGCGCCCAGCTTCTGGGTAATATCAAGCATGACCAGGGTGTCGATGCTGGACGTGGTGCGGCGGTTTATGTCGAGCAGCAGGATCTGTCGGTCTCCCACATCGCCTGCCTCCCAAGCGGCAAAAGTCTTGAAGATGAGGCTGCCTGCCGTGTCCTTGTACCTGATGTTGGCTATCTCCACGTCTGCTTGGCAGTGCAAGAGGTAGGTAATGGCCACATCGCCATGTTCCTGGTCGCCCTCGGCGGCTGTGCGAAACGCCTCGATCACAGAGCTGATTCTGCTGTGTGTGCTTCCTGCGATGCAGTAGACTTGGACAAACTCGAGCTTCTTGTCTCTCGCGGAGCCCCATTTTCGACGGGCAAAGTCTGTGAGCGTGACCTCGGACATCTTTTCGATAAACAAGCGTCGACGTGGCCTGTTTGGGAGGTGAGGTTGGTGGTGTTGTTGTTGTGGTTTGGTCTGTGCAAGCGGCGCTCGCAGGTGGGGTGGGCGTCCAGGAGGCAGACGACGTCACACCCCAGCCTGGCTAGTTGTGTGCAGACGCCTTGGACGGGCTAATGGGTGATCAAGTCACCTTGCTCACAGGGTGTGTCTCACGCACAGCTCTCTGACCAGCGCTGTCATGGGGTGCCGGTACCGTAACTCAGATGTGGACGGCGGGCGCCCTTGACTTCAGGTCGCCTTTTGAACCCAAAGAGAAGGCAATAAAGTCCGTATATTTCCGGGTACATATTTGATTATCTTGGATGATCCGCTCATCTTCTCATACACAGTGCCCAACTTGAGACATGCGATTTTCAGTTCATGCCGGACAGTAACAGGCTCGTGGATGATGCGAAGAATGAGGTAGTTGAGGCGGCGGGTAAGGAGCTCAGACAGGATTTCTCGTTCCAATAGCTCTCAAGTGCTACAGGAGCGACATGATCAATCAGACTCTCTGGGAGACATCACCCTCCATCTCTATCCTTACATTGCTCGAACCAAGGATGAGCTGTATCGGAGGCCCGCCAGTAATTTCAAACAGATGGCCAGCCCATCATAACCTGGGACTATGTTTTACAGAAGCTCAGACAAGTCTTGCCCACCAATCTTAACCCAGATTAGGGGACTGGCTTCTTCCATTACAGCTTTGTGTTAGTTGTCTACAACAGAGATGATCTAGACATAAGTGTAATGTATGCTAGTGAACAAAGGCCACTTCTCCTTTGCCCAGCCTGCAATGACAGCACTGTTCATACTACATCTTATTTAGACCACTGGTCTGTGTGAGGGAACACTGACAGCGGCTATGATATGTACAGGGCTTCATCAACCATGAAGATAAAGATGATGCTCACAGATCATGGCAACAATCTGGTGTGGTGTGTATACCAGTGAATGCATTCATGATGATAAGCAGCCCTGTTGTGGCTCAGCCTCCACTCTTATCGGGCAGGGTGTCGGTACGTACCTCGTGGTAGTCGCCCTCTTATCGACCATCAAAATCAGACGGCCACTGGCCTTGTTGACTGCTTCACTCTCCTTCGCCCCGCTAAACCTGGTACGTGCCCAGGGTTGTGCCGTGGGCAAAGGATGGAAGGAGGGCCATCTCGAAACCCAGCACGGTCGCAGGCCCAGCACTCACGTCTTTCTTCCCAAGCGACACCCACATCGCTTGTGTTCTCATTGACAACATGTATCCCCATCGAAACCATCGATGGCGTCTATCGTCAGAAATATACCCCGATGTGGCGTCATACAACTTCCTCGACATGGTGGGATCTGGCTCAGGTCCTCCTCCAGAAGTGGATCCCCGTTCTTCAGATCTGAGAATGCTTCTAAGCATAGTACGAGCCACCATTGACCGTGAGGTCACGGAATTCAACGAGGCAGTTGAGGCAGGAGAGCCGGTGCGTCTTTTGGAACAAGGAAACCGCTCGTGGTATCTGCGAGAAATGAACTGGAACTAACGTGTGGTAGGCGAACACTGGCCGAGAGAACAAGAACAAGAAATCGATCGGAGCAGGCGAGCACTCTGGCGTAGAAACCCACGACAACACCGATACCGACGAAGGCGTGCTCTTCAAGAACTTCAAGCGCCTTCCCCCCGAGATCCGATCCAAGATATGGGTGGCTGCTGGTGAGGCTGCCAGGCCGTGTGGAATCTATCATTTCATGTTCAAGTCAGTGTCCATGCGACCGGGAGCACATCCTGGTTTGGGCGACACAGTTCTTGCAAGCCTATCCAGTATCCAGCCCAGCCCTGCGCTCTTCAGGACCATTCAGCAGCTGCTTTGGTGGAAAGTCGGCGGCCATCGGGTTCAGACTATCACCCCCTCGGCGGCAGTCATCAAAATGACCCGTGGAATCCGGGATCTGCTGCGCAGCTGCTCAGAGGCCCGGGCCGAGCTCATGCGATGCCCGGATTTCAGCTCAAGTTTCGACTTTTACTACTTGAAGGGCGGGAAGTGCAACGCGGGCACCATTAGACCTTTCCTCTACGACACTGACTGGGTCAGCATGGATGGACTGAACCTCAAACACAAACGCTCCGTATTTCGCACCGACCTAGGCACGCGTGACATCAAACGTATCCAGCACTTTGCGCTACCATACGATGGTTTCGACCGGCCCGAGCTCTTTCACCGTGGGGGTCTCAATTCCGGTGGTCAAAAGTCTGCTCACATCTTCCGCTGGCTCCATGGTCTCAAGTCCGTCGGCCTCTACGCGCCCTCAGTCACCATTAAGCGCGCAAGAAACTGGGAAATGGCGATCCGCCAGGGCGACAGGCTTTTTCTCAAATGCTTTCCGGCCCCCGTGTCTAGTCGTGTCTCGGCTCCTTCGTGGAACATGACAGAGCATGGTGAGGCCATGGAAAAACTCACGGATCTCGTCTCGCTAATGGGCCAGATGTATATGCAAAAGACAGTTGAGCGTTGGCCCGCCAGCACCTGTGATTTCGGTGCCTTGCAGTTCTGCTTCATCATCCACGCTGACAACAGGAAGGGGCTTGATCTCATGAAGTTCAAAGAGGATGGCTCTCACCTTGATGATGTCGACTTGGATGACCTCGGGAAGATGGGGGACCGTCTGAAATGGCTGCCGCATGCGGCAGACTATTTCAAGGCAGGGGGTCGATGAGCATTGCCTTCGAAACGAGGTCATGCTGTAGGATCTTTGGAGCGGGGGACAAGAATGCATGTTGCTGTTGTCGAAGAACTCCGTTAGACCTGCTTCTCACATTCGCCTGCCCGGGCTGATACAGCGGGACGGAAAGTATCTCTCACGGGATCGTGACATACGGCGGTCGACTGGAATACAAAAGAATGTGTTCGACCATACAAATTGGTGGCCGGTGGTATCGCGACTACCAGCCTCATGATGTCGACCTTGGATCAATGAGGCACGGATCAACGATTGGAGGGCTCCCGTGGTTACTCTTGGATGAAAACGGCACCGCATCTAAAGGGAATGAACTTGACGGGGCGCAACGGAAGGAGGCCAAAGCAGGAACAGCTCTGTGCAGTGTGCTGGACATAGGTTGTATGGATACTAGATTAATGATGACATCAAAAAATGTGAAAATGTGAAATATGAACTGCGGAACGTTGAATTGATAGCTAATGTATGAACTTATTTACTTAAAGTTGTGGGGGGTCTTCGGCCTGCGATCGAGCTCACAACCCGCAAGCCTCGCAACACGGTCATGAGTCCCTAAGTGAAAGTTGAGGCGACACAGGTGATCTCGCCCACGTGGCCAACACTGTAAAAGGTGAAGTCGATCGTGCTTGGATGGGTCATGAAGTAACGCGTGGCCCACCCGACGCCATGGACCGTGGGCGTGCTTGATGTGGAGAACATCTGCCAGTCGCATGTCCACCCTGTCCGTGGTGCCATGCAGGACAGACCTTACCAGAGGGGCGTTCACGGCCCCCGGCAATTGCCCCCGTCTAGGTTCTTCACGACGTTTCACATGTACTAATCGTTATTTTCGACTGCCCTTACCGGCCGAACAGCCACCTTCATTCATATGCACTTATGCAGCTGGCCACTTATGCCCGAGGTAGAACCTCACCCATTCTCTTATAGCTTCTTGAGCCCTTACTAACCTTATGTTCAGTTGTAACTGCTGCTCTAGCTTCTCCTGTCTATCTGATTCGGTATAGTGAGAGTAGGTAGAGTAGCAGAGGCGGATGCCTTTTACTTGTCCCGTGCTATAGATGAAGAAACTTAATTAGGAGCAATAGTATCGATAAGTCACAAGGGCTCATTATCTCCCGGGATCTGGAGTACTATCTTTCCGGCAGTAGCCTTGGAAAGGAAATGCTCCTGTGCAGCCGTAATCTCCCTGAGCGGATATACCTTGCCGATATGCGGCCTGATCTCCCCTCGCTCGATGTACGAGATTAGATTGGTAAAAACCTCGTCCTCTTGGAAAGTACAGCCTAAGAAGCTGAGATCCTTGAGGTATAGAGTTCGAACATCGAGCTCAACGATCGGGCCGGCAATAGCACCAGCCACGGCGTATCTCCCTCCTCTCTTTATAACATCTAGCAAGTCCGGGAACGCTGGGCCAGCCACGAGATCAACGACAACATCAAATGTGCCCTTCCCAACGTGGGCAAGGATGCTTTCTTCCCTTGGGATAACCTGATCAGCCCCTAATTCCTGCATCTCCTTCGCCTTGCTTCGGCCCGCGACTGCGGTCACGTAGGCCCCTCGGCGTTTTGAGAGCTGGATGGCTGCAGAGCCAACTCCACCAGACGCGCCCGTGATGAGGACGCGCTCATTTGCCTTCACCCCAGCACGATGCAACATGCCCTCCGCCGTCGAATATGCGCATGGGATTGCCCCAAGCTCGACATCACTCAGGTCACAGTCAACCCTGTGTGTATCGCTCGCAGGGGCTTTGGCGTATTGGGCAAAACCGCCGTCGCACTCCGAGCCAAAGGTCCAGCATTCGTACGGGCGGTAGTCCACGTAGTCGCGGAGCATGGTCCTGACGAGAACGCGCTCTCCGATGCGCCTGGGGTCGACGTCCTCCCCGACAGCGACAATGCGGCCGCAACAGTCGGCGCCTTGAATTCGCGGAAACTGCAGCGGAACGCCCGACCACGATGCGTCCTCGTCCTGCCGTCCCTCTCCGGGCCCAGTGCCGGTACCAGTCTTGACGCCCTTGGAGTACCAGCCAATGCGAGTGTTGATGTCTGTGTTGTTGACTCCCGCAGCAGAAACTCGGATCAGCACTTCTTTGGCAGCTATGGAGGGCACTTTGACATCCGTGCGATATTCGAGCTTCTCGGGACCGCCATGCCCCGTCAAGACGACGGCGGCCATTGTGTCTGGGATCTTGGGTGGATTCATGATGACTGCTTTTAAATTTCACTTGTCTTTAGAACCCAAAGGTATTACAGATTGAGGCTCAGCTGGGCTTTATAGATATTATCTGCCTTACTTTGAGGGCTCTTCTAACAAATCCGGGATAGCGTATTACAAATCGTGTTACCCAATCACAGCATAAAGCCGCTTGTCTAACGTCGTGGTCATCTATAGGGCGCGCTAAATGCTCTTGGCTTCTCTATCACGTCGACCGCGGGACCTCGGGATACCGAGCTGTATGTCGGAAGCTCTACCGATGCGATAACGCTACTCAGGCTGGTACAACTTGAATTTCGGCACGTATCCTGCCGTGATCAGCCAAACCGCTACTTGACTTTGAATCGTGGCTGGGCCGACCTAGGTGATGAAAATAAGAGTTATTACTTGCTAGATCACCTGAAATCTAAGTACCTAGGTATTCTAGCCACTGCGGGGCTGTGGCAGCGGAAGGAACGTCTCAGGGGACCTCTTATAGGTCGCCCCTAGCTCTTGACTAGCGGTTATAATCTTCTTACAACACAACAGACGAGAGAAATATAACAACACACTAAATGCTTCCACAGGGGCATCCTCCTAGGAGACATGATCGTGTGGGTCACCTCCTAACCTCTTTCAAGGTCACCTCCCAAGCATCTGTTGTACAGATAGTCCTCAACCGTGAAATAATTGAGGCCATGCAGACTCTCCACTGGGATCGCAGAAACAGCTGGTGGCATAAAGTTCTCGCTCGTCTGGGTGTGCCCAGGTGTTCTAAGCCGTAAACCGCCCTCGACAGCTTGAGGCTCTTTGAAGAGCCGGCTGGAATCACAGAGCCAGCTTTCCCCCGCCCCCCTGGTACAGCTTGGCCCCCACCTGGTAAAGCTGGAATGCGGTCCTCAGTTGTAGTTGCGCAAGGGGCAGAAAAGTGGGGACCTCGAGCGTTTATGTACCTACCTAGGTAGGTAGGTCGCACCGGTCGCAGCCTTTGAGTTTTGTTTTTTTCCCTCGACAACAACAACAACCACTCTCCGTCTCTGCCTTCGACCAACGTCGAAGGTACGCCCGAGAACCTACTGTTTCGTCGACAAGATGGCACAACGACCGCCACCACAGTCATACTCGATGGCATCCTTCGAGGTGCAACAGTTTTTCCAGAAAGTCTGCCGGGCTGCCAAGAGGCTGCTGGCTGACTACAACCGCCTCCACGACGAGGTCTTTCATAAAGAAATGAAAGGGCTGGCCCGGTCCGCGTTCCATAAAGCTCTTGGAAAGGCCTTCGAACAATCGGATACAGTCCCAGTCCAGCCGGACTATCTCATAGTGTCGGCAGGGTGTTGGCTGTGGCTAACTGCATGTGAGTGACCCTTCCACCCCAAAGGCCAGCTTGCCACCTTCGCCCTCACAACACGCCCCCCCCCCAGGGCCACCCTATCCATCCTCATATTATTATTGTGTGTTCTGTCCTGACCCGTCTGTTCTATAGGTGAACATGTCGGGTTCGACCTGGATGCAAACGATTACCCTGAATGTCCGGAGAATATTGGGCTGCCCGACATGTTCAACAGGGCCGTGCCACCGTCGCCAGAACATGAGGCGCTCATTCGAGACCACAGAGCCAAGATGGCAGCAAAGGCCAATGAGGCAAGAATGAGGACCATGCAGGTTCAGATGAAGAACAAGCAGCCTGCACAGGCCGGGGGTGATGAGACTCCCTTGCCTGTACGCCAGGAAAACATCGCACATGTTCGTCGTGAAGCTGAACCCCAGGGTAACGTTTCCACTGGCGGGATGGGGTCATCACAGATCATGCCGACAAGAGCGGAGGTGCTGCCAGCCTGTGTTCCTGCAGAACAGGCTATTCAGAAGATCCAAGAAATCGCGGACAATATGAAGGCAGCAATGATGGCGGAGACGACGAATCAGGTGGTTATGCAGCGGTCACCCAACAACGCTGCGTCAGACCCAGTGGAGAAGTATTCCATCAAGGTCGATGGCCAAGCCACAAAGTTCATGCAATACCTGTGGGACTACCATGGCTTCTCGAGCCGCTATCTGAGAGATGATGGTTACACCTGCACCAGCAGACCCTTTGAGGTGAAGGTCCACCTCAGCAGGGCCACAATGTTCTTTGGTCACGAGTTCGGTGACAGGAAGAAGGTCCTTGACGCCATGCGTGTATTCTCTCCTGTAAGGATCTATGCCCATTGGGAGGATGACTTCGCCGTCATCGGTCTGACCACCCAGGAGGGTGAGAAATGGACGGACCCAAGTGACCGAATCAACCATTTTGGGTTTCTCCGCTCACTCACGATCGCCATGAATCAACTGGCATTCTGGGCGCGCGACATAAATAGAGGAGAGCCTAAAAGCTTCGCGGGATACATACAAGATTGGTGCTGCCTTGAAATTCACCATCAAAGCGTTCCCGCTGACACCAGCAAGCCTGTCGCCTATGGTGGCAAGCGCAAAGAGTTGGCCTCGGCAGATGACACGGAGCTGCAAAGCAACAACGAGGCAGACCGCGCCAACGTGCCCGCCCGGGAAGCTGAAATCCCTGGCAATGCTGAGGCGTCCAGAAAGCGGAGAAGGCTGCAATGAGCAAGGAATCCGGGAAAGACGTTGCACCTGCAGTGGAAGAGGCTGGCTGAGAGGAATACGGAAACAAGGCGAACGCAAAAGGGCTATAGAGATGATCCTCAGGAAGAACTAGAGTGGCGCGGACCGCCCTCAAAGGTAGTGTCTGGTCGAATGATGGGAGTATGACTTCGGCTTGTGAAAAGACTCAAAGCAGGCGGTTTAAGCTGGCCGTTTTCCGAGGAGAGGAGAGGAATATCTCGCCATCAAAAAGGCCAAGGTGAAGCATGGAAGGAAGATCCCCAGAGAGACACTCGGTGAGGCGGAGGCCGTCACAGGCGTATTTCCTAGGCGGAAGAAGTCGAGGTGGACGCCACCACTGGCATGGTTGCCGACATCTTTCGGAATGCTCATCCCGCAATAAGTGGAACAAGGGTTAAACTCAGGGTCAAAAGATTCCTTCACAAACAATCTGTCCAAGAGCATGGTAGAAACACAATCACATGAAGCCTAGAAAGGCCGGGGAAAGCAGTTGTATAATAATAATGAACAAGGAATCATGCCACAGGAAGAGGTGGCCAACTACGTGAGTGCATATTCAGATACCCTTGCACCGTGACAAGGATCGCTTTTATTAGATTATTGTTGGCATCAGGCACTTCTCTTTGCCTCGCCAGCTCCATCTGAGAGACCGTAGGCCTCTAAAGAGGGCCTCTAAAGAGGGGGTTCTCTGAGTTAAGGATCCAGGGGTCAAGTCTCGATGGTTGCGTCGGTCCTTTGCACGTGTTCGCTCTTGTTTCGTAACATTACAGCATCAAGACGGTTGTTGTTGGCGCATAGTTCTCAGCATCTTCGCACGGGGCTGGCTATTAGGGGTTATGATAAATCTGACCAATGGTCTTACATAATTTAAGCCAATTGTGTAACTTGCGCCCCTGAACCCTGGGCCTGGAACCGCCTGAAGCACTATCATAGTGACCTAGCTGTAGTGCAGCACACAGCAGCCGAGCCACGCATGCATTAAGCAAAAAAGGCTCGCGTGTAGACCATCTGTGTTTTAATATTGAATTTGGGGAGCTAGGTTTGCTTTTGTACCAGTCCTGGTGCCCTGCCCCTGCCAGCAGCTGCACTGCCGTTTGCATTTGTGCTGACAAGGCGTCGACCGGGCCCCACCCGCTCCTGAGACCCCACCGCCGCACCCCACTTGCCCACCACACCTTTAATCGCCGATGCCCGTAGCCCACTTACAAACCACATCAACAACGACAGACGCAAAGGCACAACCAGCAAGGACATCACCGGCAATCGCGAGTTGCCACATCTGTGGAAAATGTCCAAGACTCCCGTGCGAGGCAGATTGAGAAGCGGGGCAGCCTCGAGCGCCAAGAGGAAGCGAGGCGACGAGAGCTCTGACATTTCGAGCGACAAGGGCGACAGGAGCATGTCTGCCAACGATACTGCCGAATCTGTCGAAGCTAGCGAGGAAGATGTCGATGATGACGACGAGGTCATCATACGGACACGACCTTCTCTGAGAAAGAAGAACAAGAAGAGGAAAGTATCCAAGAAGGCAGCCAAATCGAGGTCGTCCAAACGCGCCGCCGAGGAAGAATCCGACAATGACAGAAGTTCTAGCTCCCCTGAGCCCGAGAAGGGCTTGAAAGTTGAGAGGCATGCTAAATTTTTCAGGCGGGCGGAAAAGGAACTCGAGGAGGAGAGGAAGAGACTGAACGCGGAGAATCCGAAGTTCACAGTGTCACTCATCCTGAGCGACAGCTCCACGGAGGGTGATGGTTATCCGTCCAGCATTGACTTGCCAGGCAAGAAGGGCGATGCCTTCAAAGAGGGCAGGAATAGGGCAGGAAGACGCGTGGCGCGAGCCATGAACAAGTCTGTGCTGAATCGAGTTCGGGACCACCCACCTGGAACAGCCGAGGAATTCGAGAGCCTGATTCCAAGTCCTCAGTACGATGATGAATACTGGACGGAGGAACGGCAGAGGGAGCTTGAAAAACGGCTCGATGACGACAAAGACTTCAAAAAACAGCTAAACATCAGCGAATGTGTCGTCGGCATTTGGAAGACGGTATTCCGCTTCACTGGGCGACTGGCCACAGACATCGTCGGGCCCAGAACTGGCCTAGAATTCAAGTCAGATTCACACCGAGGGGACGGCCCAGTGTGGACTCGGAAATTTTGCGAGGCTCTGACGAGCATCATCGTCCATCCATTGTTCAACCTCGACACGGACAAGATGGCCTTGGCACTTCAATGGGCTGTCATCTGCCGTACAGGGTAAGCATCACTTTTCACCCATCACGAACCCCCGTCCTTGGTTCGTGTTTTTCTGGATCAAAGCATTTGTGGACCCATAACAGGACTAACGTCAGCATTAGGGATATGAGGAAATACAAGCTGAGTGGCTGTGACGACGAATTGTTCCTCAGAGAATTGGCTTCTATCATCGAGAAACATCAGGATGGCACCAAGACGGCCTCCCAGCTACGGGAGGCGGCAGCGTACGTGTACATGAAAGCTCGTGGGAGAACTGCTGGACCACCAGTTTGGTCTCAATTCCTCTCACAGATAGAGGCCAAGGCTCTGCAGCACAGCGAAGGTGCCAGCGGCGGAGGCGCCAGCGGCGGAGGCGCCAGCGGCGGAGGCGACGTTCGGGGGGGTCCTTATTTCGTCAACACTACTGACCTCTACGTCGTCCGGAGCGCACTCGACAGACTGAAGCACCTCAGCTTGCGCCAGTTCGCCGACTCTCGTCAGGTAGTGGACGCAGTCATGCCAACCATGTCCAAAGATGATGTTCCGAGCACCGAGCTCACCCAGAGGGCCATCAAGGCTGTCCTACTGTATAAAGAGAGGAACAACGAGCGCTTGAGACTCCATGGTCCTCCCGAGGTGTTGCCAAGCCCAATCCTGGATCTTAAGCCTCCATCATAGTATGATGCAGGGCCAGATTCCAGGTCAAGGAGTGACAACAACAACGGTGACGACAACCACTTCCCAGGAGACCAAGATGGCGATAATACTAGTCGTCCAACGATGCCGCAGGCGGAACAGGCCGCGCGTGATGAGTCCATTCACAACGACGACCCTGTGCAGAGTTTTGGTAATGAGGACCTGGACATGAACCGGAGCATTCAAGGTGACATTGGTGGCGAGGCAAATTCTCGCAACACGGTGTCCGCCACTCCCGCCGCGGATCAGAGACCTTCCCGAGAGTCGAGCAGGTCTATCATGCACAGAAGGCCATCAGAACCGCTGGGGCGCAGATCATTTCATAACGAGCTTGAGAATGATAGCTCTCGTCAAAATGACTGGGATAGCCCATCCGGCCCAGTTCAACAATCGTTGAACTACGGTGATCCACCGCCGGAGGCTCCTCTTGGGGCGCAGGCCTCAAACAGATTGAGAAGCTCTTTTGCAGGTGGCCTTTTCCGCTCGGCAGGGCGATTGTCAGTGCAGTCGAGCCCCGAACGACTCAACAGGATTGGAGCGGTTCCACCTTCCACAGCTCCGCCTAGTTCTCCGAACCAGTCGATATCTAATCCAGACATCCAAGACGAAGGCCAGCGACTCTCGAAATGTCGGTCCTCTGTGGAAAGGGCGAGGACCGTGAGTCGACCAGTGGATCCATCCCTCGTCCAGGTGGACAGGAATCGCCACCCCACCGACAACAGCTCAGTTCGCTCAGGGTTGAGCAGCACTCATCATGCACCCCGAGAGCCTCGTGCCATGCGCCGAGGAGAACCGAGAACAAATGTGTCAGGGCCAGCCTACCGCTCACCAGGAATCAACCCTTTCGGCAGAGACCCGGGAGCAGCCAACCGTTCCATTACCAAGCGCACGTCGACGGAGTATGTGAGCCCAGCCGCCGTGCGCCCAACCGTGGAACCTCCAATTGCCGAACCTCTTAAGATGGAGGTGACGGAGCAGGGCATCAGCTCGATACCTGAGAGGTCCGCCGACAATTCGGACACGGCCAGGAGCATGGATGAGCGATCTACGGGCGAGGTTTCTCGGTCATCGTCCGCCTCCAACTACCGTTATGCTAGTGATATTTTCGGCGAGTTATATTCCAGGAACGCAACGGAATCCGGCGTTGACGGGCCGACAACCAGTAAGCCTGCGACAAAGAAGACCCGACTGGTGTGCACTGCATGTGGCAGCAACAAACACTCAACAGGAGAATGCCACATTCCTTCTGTGGACGGAACCACAATCATCTGCCCATTCCACGATGTTTCCGTCCTGAGCAAGCCCAATCCCGGTCACGCTCTTGATGGAGAGCGCAGGAGTCCCCCAAACAACTCCAAGATTCTACTTTACTGCACGCAGATGATGGAATTTGAGGACATTGGTCCCAGACGAAACTACGCAGACTTCAAGGAATGTCTGAAACGGGCGTTTGACACATTTGTTGTTCGCCGTAAACGGAAGCCGTTCTGCCGCGTGGTCAAGAGTATACATTGCCCAATCCGCCTCACCATCAAGTATTCCGAGGTTTTTTGTCGGGGCGAGACTCCACCACAGCTTAGAGATGGCTGGCCATATACCAAGCGGGACGCAACCAATCCTGAGATTGTGGGCAGGCTGAGAGGATGCGGAGAGCATGACTGGACCAAGATGCCCCAGGGCGAGCTCGAGAAAATGACATGGGCGCAGATCAAGAAGAATTATGGCACCGAGGTACTTCCGCCTCAGCTTCATGTAGCATCCAAGCCCAAGGGATGCAAGACTGCAGCCAACGCCGCGTGGTCAAATCCTGGGGACCGGAACAGGGCTTCTTGAAGTGTGTCAAGGGGAAACCAAAGGATCACTAGCGACAGTGTATAGCAGCAAGGCCGATCTTCGCTTTGTCAGAGGGAAAAGGAGGAAGCCTCACGATGGAAATCCTTCGAGTCAGTGCTGGGCTACGAAAGGTGTCGGAACAATTGTAATTTTCTAGAGCCCCAAAACAAACCCTCTCTTAGATTTGAATCCAGTTGGACGCTACTCAAATGGCCATTCTCCATTCACCGAGTTCTCTTGTTGCACAGCGGCAATTTTCTATCTGTGGCTCGGACAAGGTAAATGAATTACTTTATCATTCCTAATTCCGAGAGGGCAGGCGAATCCGCTCATTCTTTCCTAATCGCAATTCTCACGTGGTAGTGTCTTCTTCATTTCGGCCCTCTTGGCTCTCGTGCTGCTTCAGGGACTCAATGTAGCTCATAGGATCACTGACCTTCGCATGAGAGTCAGTCCCTTCAAACGCGAGACGTACAGCTCTCCCAGACACGTATGTAGCATCGAGAGGGGCCCGGACCTTAGGGGAAGAACCGTCATCCACGGACTGAATGCAGTAAATCAGAAAGCTGTACACACAGAAGATTACTGGTGACTTTTCTCCGGCCGCTGTCTCCTCAATTCTGTGGCAATAATCCCACCAAACATGGAAATTCTGTGATAGAGGGGGCATGCCCAGACTCTGACCAGAGGCCAAATCCCACGCCTGGTACTTCCAGCCCCTGGCGCCCTCGGCATTGACCGCCTCATGGTACTCTACCACCACTATCCGGTCCATAAACGCTCTGACAAGCGCGACCTCGACAGCCATGAACTCCTCGTCCGTCAGAGGCGAAAGGCCCAGTCCATCGACTTTGTCCATATCTAGCAAAGTCGTGCAGATCTTGCTCAGTTTGGAGAGGCGAAGGTCCCATTGTGTTGTCTTTTCAACGTGTATGGAGATACTAGCCTCGTTCAACTGTTCGATTGATATAGAGGCCATCCCATGGCTCTCACGTGCGAAAGAGGTCCCCGCAACGAGTTGTCGGTCATCAGTATATGCCAGAGGCCAACTGCGAGCCACAGGGGCCCGCGTCCAACCACCCTTTTCGAGATACCCCGGAACTTATTATCATACCAGGCCATATCGCCACGCGACCAATCCTCGACCTTGATACACGGGAACAGCGTTGTGATATCAGACGCATTGACCTCTGTGAGAACTGACAAGGCAAGGATGGCCTCCACGACCGGACTACTTGTCTTGTTCAAGGCCTGGGTCTCCTGCTCTGTATCCAGCAGCTGCGCCAGCAAGTGTGCGCTATGGAGACTCCTGACGCCTTTCATCAAGACGACCGCCGTGGTGCGGCCCAAAGGGGTCAAGGTCATGCGTTCGTAAAGCTCCAAATAACTCTCCCTGTCAGCTCGGGGTGGGAAGGGACCATGCCATTTGTCCATGATTCCTTTGGCTGAGAGGTGCTCCAGTTGCTGCAAAATGTCGTCTCTGTCTTCCGGCAGGAGCACAGGAACTTCGGCCAGAGGCACGTCCGGCCAAATGAATCTAGAGCAGACCAACAGCCGCGCCAGGTGTAGGGTGTGTGCGGGTGAAGACATGCAGTAGGCTGGTGACAGCCGGAAATGATCCTCTCTCATCATGATGTGAACCTGAGGTGGTGTCTGCGACTCTTGATTGCACCGGCTGAGATAATTCACTTCTGCCTGTGACCGACGAATGCCAAAGAAACCCTCACCCCGGGCTATCTGGCCCCGATCGAGAGAGTACGTATCCGCGAATGGATATATGATCACATCGCTAATCCTGCTGACTTGCCCTGTGTATGACCTCTTACTGTCAAGGGCTATATCCCCAGCGTCATTCCCGCGCAGCGGCTCTGCTTCGTAGGCAAATAGGATCTCCGGAGCCAAAGACGCTAGTACGTTCTCGTGACTTGGATCAATCAACAGCAAAGACCTCTGACCTTCCACTCGGGCGTTGTTGTTCGAGGTCTCCGGCCATATCTCGCTAAAATTCGGCCTTGCGCTCAAGCTCCTTGTAAGCACCGTGATCTCTTGCATCTTAACATCTTGCCACGACCTGCCAAAGTACAGTCTGTCGTCACTCGAAACCGTACAAGCCATAATCGCCTAGGGGCAGGTCTGAACCGTATCTCCAATCATCCTCGCCACAAGCGGGCAGGCAAACGCCATCTCAAAGGTCATATTGCCCCAGCCAAAGTTCATGACGACAGTCAGGCTACCACACGACGCATCCCACTGCCACGTCCAGTCTTCCTGCAAGCAGCGCGTTAAAAACGTAACCAAGTGCTCAAAGGTCACTATAACAATGCCGCGACCTGAGATGGTCTCCTCGCGCGGGGGGGTTGCCACAAGCTGCGCGTCGATGCTCTCGCCGGGCATATCCGCGGCGGCGCCGCTGATCAAGTCCTATTGGAGGAGCTCAACCTCCAGGTCCGTTCCAACCACAGCCCATGTTGTCCTACTATTAGAGCGGTCCTCGCACCACTACTTCAACACCACCAGGCTAAACAACGCTAATGACCCATTTATCACATAAATGTGCTGGAGCCGCTGTGAGGCTGACTCGGCTTCCTCTATCGGCACCATTGGCCTGTAAGCTTGAATGTAATTCAGCACAGGCAGAGCCGCTTGACTTTCACCCGGAGGCAGCTCATTATCAACCTGATCCGTTGACATGGTCACCGTGGTTGCTGAAATGGTGGTGAGTGATGGAGAGGTTGTTGTTGTTGATCACAACTCGTCAACCTGCAAGCCTGCAAGCTAGGTACCTAGGTACCTAGGTAGGTAGTAGTGGGGCAGTCAAGCAGCTCCGGGGGGCAATAGCTACTTGAGTACCTAGGTACTTGGGTACTTACAATTGACTAATGGGGGGCACACTTTAGCGAGTGGGCAGTTGAAAAGGTCTTTCGTGTGACAACAAGCGCAAAGGTGGGGAGTACATATGTGCAGTCTCCCTTCTAAGAGTTTAAGATCACCCACCAGCAGGACAACATGTATTGTAGGCGTGTAGTGTTAATCTCAGCTATCGCTAGGATCAGGGCAGGGATACCAAGATTGCCAAGTTGAGGAGGCCGATGGAACCCTGGCTCTTCGGACGAATATATCTTCGAGAGAAAAAAAGGTGGACCGAGAATGTCTGAAGTGGCCGTAACAGAATGGTTGAGGCTTGATTGGGCACAGGCAGAGCTGTGACATAGATATGGGCTGTAGGATGGTGTATGCAGGCGTGGCGGTTGCCCTGTGAGATCCAGACCCCAGACCCTAGACCCCAGACCTGCTGTCTGAGAAAAACGAGAGTTGCCCCCCCCCCTGTTTTATTACCCCTGTCAAAAATTTTAAAGGTTTTTTAAAAAGTAGTCTTCTTTTAATAACTCTATTAATACTTAACCTAAAAATATATAAAAAATATATTTATAATCCTTATTAAAACTCCTATATAGTAATATTTTTTAAGTATTTATTATTAAATATTTTTTATATAAGGTATAAAGATTACTAGGCTGATAAGATAAGTAAGTATATAGACCTATTAAGTAGTTCAGCCTATAATTCTAGTAATATATAAACTTTAAATAGAAATTATTTTAAAATTTTAATTTTATAAAAACTCTTATAAGGGTTATAAATATATTTTTTATATATTTTTAAGTTAAGTATTAATAGAGTTATTAAAAAAAGACTACTTTTTAAAAAACCTTTAAAATTTTTGACAGGGGTAATAAAACAGGGGGGGGGGGCAACTCTCGTTTTTCTCAGACAGTGGGTCACATTCTCCAGACAACACGAGAAAGCACTGAACCTCCAACCTTAACCCCCTCACATCCTCCTCCCACCTCACATTCACATTCATCACCAACCATGCCAGGCTTGTGTGATCTCCCCGATGAGGTCATCCTGTAAGAACTCTGCCATGTCCTCGGAGAATTGAAGCGAACTAACCCGTTGCGACTGCCGCAGCCTGACTCTCAATTGCGGCCTTTTTCGCCCAGCAGATTTTGCGGCAGTGGCCCTCTCGTGCAGGCGGCTCAAAAATGTCGCTGAAGACGTGCTGTACGCACAGAACCGGGACCTCCATGGGTCCTCAGCTGTCGACTGGGCAGCAGAGTATGGCAACACGGCAACACTGGACAAGGCTCTCAAGCACGGGCTCAGCATCGAGCCCGTCGACGAGGAGCATTTCTCTGACGATGAAGATTCTTCTTCCACACCCCCGCTACCGCCGCTACCCCCGATACTCCCGCTCAGCCCGTTCCAGACAGCTGTGGAAAATGGCCAAGACTCAGCAGTGATCTGGTTCTTGGACCACGGAGCCGACATCACTCGCAAGATTTCTCCTTTCTGCTCCTGCCACATCATCGAGTCTTGTATTCTCCACCCAGCAATCTGCTCCCGTCACGCTTCGACGGCACTGCTTCTCATTTCCCGAGGAGCACCGCTCGAATACTTCTCGCGTGGTGTAGGGTCTATGATGGACAACCGCGTGACTGCCCTTAAGGAGGCATCTTTGTTTGGCCTTGACACAGTCGTGGAAAGCTTGATCAAGTATCATAACATGAACCAGGTTTTCATCAAACGTTTCGACATGCACCTGCCGATTGGGGTCCAGCATGCACTTTCTTGGGCGGCGATGACCGAGGGCAACGTGCCACTGATAAGGAAACTCGTGCATTTAGGAGCAGATGTCAACTGGTCTTCCACAGAATGGGAGTCGAGCCCGCTCCAGATGGCGATTGCAAACGGCTGCTTTGACGCAGCAAATGCCCTGCTTGACTTGGGCGCGGGGATCCGTCCACGCGATTTCGATTGCAACCATGATGAGGGGGACGACCGGTCAGAATTGCGACCGGAAGAAATGGTATTTTCGCCGCTGCATGATACACTAGCATCAGCCTTCAGTTCCAAGACACCACTACGCAAGATTTACCACAACAACACTCCTGGCTCAAGAACTTCGTGGAAAAAGTGGCACTCCGACAGGGATCGTTTTATGAAGAGACTTATCGAGCTTGGTGTCGATGTCAACATGGAGGCATCTGGCGACTGGGGTCAGGAAGAACCAGTTATCACGCCCCTGGGGTTGGCGGTTGAGAAGGAGAACGTGAAAGATGCCTCAGCGTTGTTAGCAGCTGGGGCTACAGTGAGCTCCAAAATGCTGCTAACTGCGTGGCATTGGTACGAAGGAGACGACCGCATGGAGATGATCAGGCCCCTTCTGAAGCACGGCGCCAGACTCGATGAGCCGATCCAATCCGACCAGACTATGCTGCAGTTGCTAGCTGATGATTCAAAGACGGAGAAAAGCATGTCTGGACTGAACGAAATGCTGCTAGTGTCATCATCAACAAACCTTGCTCGCGAGCATTTGAGTGAAGTTTTTGCGGACACCCTTGCCGATCTCGACTGGTACACCAGCACTGTCTTGTTTCGTCACGGCGCGCGCGTTTCTGATCCAGACAAACTCTTCGCCATAGCCAGTATCATCGTCGAGAACGTCCCACGTGCCTCGCAATACACTTTCCCACGTGCCTTGGAGGAAGATCTCATGTTTTCCGAACCCGGCCTGTGTGACTGCATGAGACACATACTGGACATGGGGCTGTCTGATGAGGACCAATGCCTCATCTTCCAAGACATACTGCGCAAGAAACACCGCATTCTGGCGCACTTGTTCCTCGACTGCGGAATCGCGAACAAACCTGAGGCCATACAGTATCTTGTCGCTTACATGATGCTTGCCGCATCCTGGGGCGACGTTGATGTGATCAACCGGCTCTGGCAAGAGGCACACCAATACCTCGGCCCAGCACATCGCCTCTTAATCGTCTACAATTCTATAATTGAAGATGAGAGGGAAGCAGTGTCTTTCTTCATGGATCACGGAGTCACGCCTCTTGATTCTTTGTCGCCGGACGAGTCCCGGAACGCGGTCAATCTGAGGAGTGAAGCTGAAGAGAAGGAAACCAAGGCGATTCGAACACTTAAAAAACGTTCCTCTGGTGCCCTCTATGACCCTAGAGCTTCGAGGCAGCAGAAAAAGGTTCTACTAAGTATAGAAACGTATGGTATGGCCACTATCAGACGCAGCTATTTACACAGCGACATGTCGCCTCTGCAGTTGGCAGTACGGTACGGCCATATGGATATAATCCGCGAACTTCTGAACGTTATCCCTCGGAATGCGGACGTGTCCCACACGCTCTTGAGGATTCATATTCCAAAGGTTTTCAAAATGGCGGATGAGATTAGTAACATGATTCTCAAAGCAGCAGATCCTGAAGAGATAGATTGGAGTGGCTAAAACGGCAGATTATACCATAATCAACTAGCCGACACGGATGTAATGATAGAAGTACGCATTAGAATCAGAAACTAATTCGTAGGCAGTATTATATGAATCTGCCTAGGTACCTTCCCAATGTCCCTACGTGTGCACGACATTCAACAGTGCTCTGTGTGCGATATGTCTTTCGTTGGGTATTGTCATGGGTACTCATCGGCTGCTTCCAGCACTCATTCTATATTTGTATTTTAAGGCTGGACAAGCTCAGCGGAAGCGAGTCCTTCTGGCTTCTTTTCACCGCCGGAAAGCAGTCTGTTTCTGTTTGCACTGGCTGCGCAGCTCTGTTGCCCCCCCCCCCCCAAGTAAACCGCCCACTTATTCTTCCGTCTGCAACACAGGCCATGCGTGAGCAACCATACCAACTTAGAAGTTGCCTTTTGGTTCGTCATTGTCTGTCCTTCCTCCATCCTTCAGAGACACCCAATTGTGAGTAAATTCCACAATAATTAGGCCCAGACGAGTGGTTCCTTTGCAGTCACGTCCCACATTCGCCAAAGACACCTGCAGGCATTCTTGATATCGAGCGATCGCCGTTCAGCAACCACAGAACCACAACGTCTGCAGCAAACGGTCGATGCGGGCCCAGGACTCCCTCGGAATTTTCGACACCTGTCGCTTCGGCAGGGATTGTTGACTTGGAGATGAACCCCTCTTTCTCTTAGGCTGTGGGTAGCGGTCGACCGAACACCAGCGCCTGAGCGGCCCAGGCGACGACCACCTCGATGAATGCCGGTCGAGGACAGCTGGCTGGCAGTGGCAATATTTCGGCTCAGAACTGGAATCCGTCTGTCTCAGGTTTTAACTTTGGAACGGGACCATTGTCGACTCCCAGCACCCGGGGTCCAGCTCCCAGTCAGGCGCCGAGAGGGGCAGCGGGAGGCAGGGGAACACCGAACGTGTTGGGGAAGCGTCAGTCCGAATCACTTACGTCCTGTGCTTTTGGTGAGGCGGCAGGGGAGAGGTCGCTCAAGTCGCCGAAGCTATCACATCACCACGAGCTATCTATCCAGACTGGCATCTTGGATGAGGCCAACAGCCTGAAGACTCACACGCCCACGACCAATTCTGAGGATACAACAAGCATCATGGTCCAAAGAAAGTCATCAAGGGGTATCGAGATCGACCTGAAGATCGATCCCAACACGGGGGAAGGGCGGGAAATGCTGCTCGACGCTGCCCGCAAGGTTGGACAACGGAACGGCAATGTAGGCATTATTGTGTCGATAACGCCTGTTCTGGATACGAAAGACCGCGAGGATCATTGAGGATCCATAACAGCTCATCGCACCAGGCCGTCCGGGCTTTTGGAGATCACTCATGTCAAGAACTCGGATGATTGCGCCACGAATGTGCGGCTAGTGGTGATAACATCGGGCACTGGGGACGGAGCCCCCCGCCCGAAAATGTGTTTGGCAGCGCCGTTAGGACTGGTGATCTTTCAGCTGAGCCCCAAGACTCTGAGTGGATCATTAATGAAGGGAAGAGGGTTCGCATGGTGTTGGCGGCGCGGGCTAACTTAAGGAATTGGGGTGAGACGGACACCGCCGCTGCTTACCTGATTGTAGTCAGCTCCAGCACATGCAAATGTGTTGAGAGGAACTTTTGGTTGAGTGCTGATAATAAGATTTGCATTATGAAGCTCTGCGGTTGCCATGCTCAACGTACTTAACTAAATTGCATCTTGCGGTGAAAGTCTCATAACAGGCGGGAACAGGCGGGAACAGGCACGGCAGCACGTGTTCACCATACACGAGATTTCATGTGGAAGGAAGAAGGTAGATAGAACCGTAAGATCTCATCAGATCTCGCGCACAGAGCATGGACATAACGCAGAGTCTTCACAAATTGTGTCGTCTGCCCGGAGTCATCACCAGTCGCCTACCCTCTGGTCTACCATATAAATATATATATCTTTTGATTGGATCAGTAGAGATGAAGATCATTTAAAGTACCTGTAATATAATGACTAGAGTTTGAGGATATTTAGAATATAAAGAATAAGCTTAGGCTACCTAACTCGTCCGTCACTCCAGCGGCCTGGATGCACCCACCTCCTTCTCGCAGTGCGCTGGCCACAAGCTCCTTTGCCCCCGGGTGAGTGGCCCCACTAATTCCCTGATTCGGACGGTGTGCCCTGCCTGACATAGCACTCCAGCCTGGAGGTTGTTGTTTCTTCCCTTTCCTTTTTTCTTCCCTCAACCGTCAAACCACACCTACTCGTGAGTCAACCCACAGCCGCAGGGCACTAAATACCTTCTTCTGTGTCAAGTCTCGCACTGCTAACGAGGACTTTAGTCTTTGCGATTGAACAATCTCTGTTCACTCATCGCGCAGCCAGAATGTCTGCACCCAACGGTCAGCAAGGGGCCACGACGCCCTCAACCGACCCCCTCACCGGCATTTGTGGCAACAAGACCCAAATGGACCTTGCCTCGAGCCAACCAGCTCGTGGTGATCAAGGACAGGCCGGCGGACCACCTGCACGCCAGTACACGAGCCCACTGGGACGTATGATTGGCAGGGCGCGCGATTCTGCGCGAGGCAATATGAGCCAAGTCCCGAATCGGACACCCAGTGAAGCTGGAAGAGGTCAATTCACCAATAGTCTTTCGCGTAAGCGCAACATCGATAGCGTATCGGAGGCCTATACGGCCATAATGTCGCAACCACCGGCCAAGAAGCCGGTCTTGTACCGAACAGACGAGCTCCAAGTCATCAGGAACGACATAGGCGAGGCCGTGAGCATTGAGCCCAAGGACCCCAGGGCACCTAAGTCCGACTTCATCATGCCGTCACCGGATACCTTGGGCGGTGTCGCAGGAGTCTTCACCCCAAACTCCAGGCAGGGTATGAATACCCTCTTAGCTGCCCAAGACGCGGTTATGTCACGCTCCGGTGAAACCCGAACGGCATTTTCTATGGCTGCCCTAAGGGACAAACAGTCTCGCGAAAGGCGCCAAATGGGTTCTATTGGTCAGAGGGTCATAGAAATCAGCGATGACGAGGATGCGGAGGAAAAGGTCCGGCGGAGGCAGCTGATGATAAAGAAGGGACCGGCATCTGACCCCAGGTCTGCCTCGGACTACGGAGGCCCATCGAGCCCTAGGGCTGCCTCGACATCTGGAGGACCCTCAAGGGGGGCGAAGTTATGCTGGAACTGTGACAGCCCCCACCACACAGCTGGAGAATGCCACGTCCCTTCATATGATGGATCGACACCGATCTGCCCGTACCACGGGGTCCCAGCGAGTTCATGCAGAAAGCTGGCTGTCTTTGAGGACTCGTGTGTGCATGCCGCCACGACAGATGATCACAACGCGCTCCTCCCAGAGGCCTTTACGAAATTCGTCGTCGAACGCATACGGAAGCCCTTCTGCCGGGTGATCAAGGAGGGGAACTGCCCCATCAGGATTGCCATCGACTATTCGAACCAGTTCTGTAATGGGCAGAGGCCTCTACAACTGCAGCGTGGCTGGCCATATACTAAGCAGGACACAAAGAATCCTGCCATTGCGGAAAGTCTCAAGTGCGAAGTGCACAATTGGGAACAGATGCCAAAAGGCTATCTGGAGAACCTGTCATGGGAGCAGATCAAAGCCGGCTATGAAAATGGCACGATTCCGAGACAGATCCATTCTCGAACCGACCCAGAATTTCAGCCATTGCGTCGCTCCATGGGCGATCGATACGATGAGCCTGACTTGGATAACTTTGCCGACTTGCCTCCTGGAGACGTGGATCTCAGCGGTGTAGCTGATGAGGATACCATCGTCTGGGGTGATGAAGAAATGACCTGACCTCGTAGGTGCGAGGATACTGATACCCAACTGGGGTAGGGTTAGTGTGACAAGTCCGACATGGGACGGCCACAGGATGGTATCGAGCGCGCCACCCCTTATATAGGACGAGGAAATATGGTGAGGTGAGCATATTGCCACCATGAGCATGTGGCGCGAATGAGGAGTGGGCGATGTGGGTGGGAAGGAGGGCAACATCGTCGCGTCCTGCGTGGAGTACATGAGTGGTCTGAAAGGGGCTGTGGGCCGGGGAAGGGGGAGACGACAAATACCAACACACGGGGAGCCAGGAAGAGCAGCAGGCGTTTCATTCTTGGTACGGGGCGATGAGCTGTAAGTTACCACCTGATCCCTCTCCCCAGACTTGGCCTCAGACCTCGAGAGACCAAGTTGACCAGACTCTCGAGAACCAGACCACATCTCATGTGCATACCTGCGAGACCACAAAAACCAGTCCCTCGACAAAGAAGTCAGACAAGTGCACGGCGCCCAACATCGAGGAGCGATCAGACATTGAGCGTGTTCATGGATCCCGACGGATGATCGACAGAGAAGCTGCCGCTCTTGCATGGCGCATCAACAGACGGCGTGGTATGTTCACCTCGCAATGCAGCCAACCGTCCCTGACAACTGACCCGGGAGATGAATAGCTCGCAATCCATCTTCCACAACTCGTGCGGATCCTTGAAGGGGTGCCGTTAGCCATCGCCTACCCCATAACAAGAGACTAATGTGCGCGGCCGTCATCGTCTCTGGCCGTGCCGGACGCATCATACCATCACGAATCCTCCAGCCATAGTCGCCACAACAAAATCAAAAAAAAAAAAAAAAAAAAAAACAGACTGCTACGTCGGAACGATGCAAAACAACAAGCAAAGCACGATATGGAAAGGAGCCATTGGATCAGAAGACTCGTTGGGGTACGGAACCAGGTGTGCGAGGTCAACCACGACGGTTGACGAAACGGTAGCAGGGTTGAGGTTGGAGGCGGCAAAGGCAGTACACCAAAATATGAACTGCCAGTCGGACACAAGACATCGCTCGCAAAGGTCCCCAAGACGTCCAGCCTCGATACTCTTCACGGCTCACCATCAAACAAATCCCGGACAAGCCAAGTCTGATGCTCGACAGCATCGACAAGCGTCGTGACGACATAATCACTGACCGCATGGACGCCCGACCCTTACCATACCACATCGCGCACCTCCTTTCTGATGCCGCCGCTACGTGCACTGGCGAGTGCAAGTATCATCACATCGAGCCGACGGTCAACCACCGGTCAAGCACGAGGCAGGCTGCTTGCTGTGCCGCTTGCACATCACATTTCACCGCCACACAACGGCAATAATCATAATTCCTAATACATCGACTCTGGTGGAGGCTATTCGGTTGCTCCCGGTTTCCTATACACTTGCAACTTCTGACCGGGTGGCAGGGGAGGGTGTGGACTTGACCATAGAATACATAAGCCACCAGAACAACAATGTAAAGAACACAAAACATAAAATTCGGCAGCATGAATGAACATAAGATGTCCATAAGTAATACGAGCTTTCATACAGGTCGATACCCGTGAGACAATAAAGAGGAATCCAAGTAAAGTTAGATGTGAGGTTACATATGAGATTGCAGGTGAGAAGGTCGCGACCGTACTCCCACCCAGCATCGGGGTGCCTAGCAAGCTGGACAGCGCCCTCTGAGTGAAGGCATGTCTGTGAGGCTTCTCACGTCAACCTGACATGCCCTGACGGCTCCACTGAAGCCGGCCTCATATTACCTCGGCGGGGTCATATTACCTTCGCGGGCCTTGGGATGCCCTCACCACCTTTCGATGTCGTGATGACTCCGGTCACATCACCTCGGCGGGCCTCAGGACTCCCTCATCACCTTTGCCCACTCGCCGGCTCGCCTCCCCTCGCTACAGCCCCAGGAGCCTCTCCTTGTAGCTCTTGTCGAGCTGTTCCAGCCAGGACTCGGCCTCTTGGACGCGGATCACAAGGCCCTGCTTATCCCTGACCAGACCGGCCTTATCCTTCCACAGCTCGTTCTTCTCGGCCATGAGACGCTCCAGCTTCTCCCGCGCCGCGGTAGCCTTGGCCCCGAGGTTCCCGGCGTCCCGCTCCAGGCGCTGCCTGTCTGCCTGAGGACCTGGACCTCCTGGTTCCCGCGCTGGTTCCCGCGCTGGAGCCCCTCCAGTTGCCTCTCCAGCAGCGCCATCTTCTGCCGCTGCTGTGCCTGCTCCTCCTGGTTCCTCGTGTTGGTGTAGTCGAGCATCTTCTCGTTGGCGTCCTGGAGATCTTTTCGCAGTGCGTTCACGTCCTGACTGGGGACCAGCGGCACCGCCCGCTGCGCCAGGACCGCCTGGTCCTTCCCGAGGAGGTCCATGTACCTCTTCGGCATCTTGCTGATGCTGTCATCGTCTGGGTAACAACCCGCGATGAGCCTCGCAAGCGCAGGGCCCAGGCTCGCCGGGCAGCCTGTCGCGGATCAACAGCAGCTGCTGTGGCTCGATGTCGGCAATGCTCGCGAGCCGCGTGAGCCCCTTGTCCAGCTCGGCCCACTCCTGTGCCTCCGAGGCCGCGGAGTCATCGTCCGACAATACCGAAATCATAAGGTCATCCATCTCCTGCAGATGGCTTCGCATGCTGCATGTTCTCAACTACAGCCTTCGCCCCGAGTGGGCCTTTTGACCCTGTCGTGAATTTGGCCCGCTGCGCTTGTGCAGCCGCCGGGCTGTCGGGGTTGCCCCGTCCAGCGCCATCCGAGGTTCCATCATGGTCGCCCGGGCTCGTGGACGAGCTGCCCGTGTCAGAGTCTCTGCTGTGGGCCTCGTCGTTGGAGGCCCTTGATGATTCCATCAAGGAAAGTGTCGTAAACCCGAGTAAATTCCTATAAATTATTAATACAAGGAATGTATAAGAATTATATATTTTAATAATAATATTTATAATTTATTATACTACTTATAAAAGGCGGTTCTTATAAACCTGGGGATACCTCGCAATAGCAGCTGGCCCATCCACCAGAGGCGCGAGCCCAACACGTGGCTGTACACTATAGAAGTCTGGTGTAACATAATCGAAGACACTGAAGGCTGAACGGAAGAAGGGCACGCCAATGATAGAATCGGCAAACACACGGCTCCAAGAGCTGATCTGGGCCTTGCACCTGCAGGAAGGAAGACGTGTTAGATATAAGATGATGTCTCGGGCAACATTGAAGACATGAATAGGGACAGGTCGGTGCTTACATCTCTGTGCCATTTACCATCCCGTGGTCGCTCGGGTTGATGATGTCCAAGGGGTCAATAGGGAACCACTGGTCGTTGTACTTGAGCTCGAGCAGCTGCGGGATCGAGCAGTCGTAGTAGAGATCGTGCATGTTCTGGAAGATGACCGGCCCCTTGAACAGCCCGGCGATGGCGACGAGCTCATCATATCGCACGAGGATATCCGAGCCTCCGGTGTCCATGAGCGACATGTAACGCCCGGCTTCGTCGAGTTCTAGATTTTATCCCGTATAGTGAGTGCGGAATTCCTTGGACTCTGAGAGCTGAGACGACTTACGACCTCTGGTTAGGTTGACAGTCACACCGTTCACGCGGATCCCCTGCAATTCGATCGCCCAGCCTTGTGCCTGCAGCGGCAGGTCTTCGTAGTTGTAGCTAGTTGGCGACGGTCAGATTATTTCAGGGTGGGTTAACACAAATCAGCGGCATGTTTACGTACTTGGTGCTGTTGATGATATCACTGTAAGTGATGTTGAGGTCCGCGTACGCCGGCTCGATGCCACCCAGGGTCAACTTGCCCACCGGTTCCGAGTCAGGGTCGCCCAGGCGCGGGAAGCTGGCGGAGAAGACAGGCTTCTCGACGACACCGCTGGAAACGAGGGCATCGAACAGCGGAAGACGGTCGTTGAAATATTTCTGCCGCGAGACGGCGATCATGCTCAAGCCAATGAGGCCCGAGAAGCTTGCACCCTGGAACTGGTTCTGCACCGCGTAGTTGATGAGACCTGCGGCTGGGTTAGCCCTGTGCAGATCGAGTGCGTGGGTGAAGGGAGCACACCTGTTGCAATATCGGCCCCGACTATACCGCCAAGACCAATGTCCAAGAGACTCTGGTTTCCACTGACACCACCCTCTCCAACAATTGTATAGAAGGTCTCGTTGGGGACCAGGTGCGTGTTGTTCTGGGATCCTGTCAGTAACGAGAAGTCTGATCCATAGTTGAGAAATCCGATAGATGGTTTATGAAATAATATCGGTCGAGATGATCAAAACCCGCATCCGTTCAAGTCACCAGGGGAGACAGTCCATCGGCTCACTCACATCAATTACAAACTGCTCTGTCAGTCCAAAGCACCCACTCGTCTCATCATCAGTAGGACATTCTGTCGAGGCCACGAACAGATCCGCAGAGCCGGTATCCAAAAGCGCCGGCAGGCTCTGGCCTTCGAAGTCTATGTCGACCTGCGGGGTTTGCAGTCAGAAGGAGGGTTTCGAGGGCGGACGGGTGCGTTCTCGTGTCAATGGGCTACTCACTGTGTAGAACCGGTCATCTTTGCGGTTCGGCGGTATCGAGATATCCAACACGCCGACACCGCCTTGGCGGGTCTTCAGAGCCGGTGGTGACCATGGAGCCGCTTGTGCAGACGACACAAGCGTGGCGCTCAAGATGGTAGCGATATGGGCTAACGATGCGACGCCCATTATTATTGTGACAACTCTCTCGCTCCTGAAATGGTATAATGATGACCTCGAAACTGGTACAAATCAGGACAGGGAGAGTTCTACAAGGCGTTATCCTGCGTTTATAAGTACCGTAGATGCCGGATAGCTAATCAGAGCCCACAGCCGCTACGGGGGTGGTGTGGATCCTCACCAGTTGCGGTGAGGAGCCCCGAGGGATACGAGCTTTTTCAAGCGGGGAAGAATGCCGGAAATGTTAGGTAGTATTTACCAAGCAGCCAGGAAGGACAATACGGAATGTTAAACGCTTAGCCGCGCCATACGTTAGGTTAAGCTTAAACAACGGTCCCATAATTACAGACTCCCCTATTTATGGAAAATCTGGGTAGACACTAGAAGTATCTGAAGCTTTCCCCAAGAAACAGGCTAAGGTAGAATACTCTGGTCTAATCCCACTACATTCCATGATAACACCACCTATGGGTCTTGGTGCACGGCGCGCGTGGTGTTCCCTCGGCCTCAATCCGGAATGCTAAAACTCTGGAGAATTGTCTCGCCATGCCCAAGTCCCCGGAGGTATGCCAGATAGCCGGGTCTGTGGCAACCAGGTTTTCAATCGCAGAGCGAGATACTTAGGGGTTGATCACTTTCGCCCGTGGCGCCTCGAACCTCGGCCTCCTTATCCCACCCGTTGTCAGCTTCAAGCAGATTCCCAACTTCAGGGCCAACAATCGTCAAGTCTCCTCCTGGATGTTGGTGTCAAGTCCTGTGGTTAATGAGGCCCGCATCGAAGGCGCTTCCATCAGTGAACTTCAGACCGGCAGAAGTGAAGCTCGTCGATAATGTCCCGTGAGCTGCCGACACGAGGTAGTGCCCTCCCGTGCGGTCGTGAATCTTCAAGATCCGAAGAAGCTGTGCCGCGAAGCCCACCTTGTTGAGACTATCGAACGGCTCTAGGCCTTTAGAGTATAAGTTCCTGAAGATCAAAGGAGACATGACTCAGACAATACGGTAGTCTACTAGGTAAGGAAGGGTAGGCCCCATTCTGTCCGTTCTGATACATCTACGTCTAAATCTTTGTTCTCGCGTGGCTGATGCAGCGTCTTGAGGCATTCATATACTAGGATGGCAGTTGCGTTCTGCTGCACCAGCGTCACTGAGGACAGCTCAGCCTCCTCCCTGTCCTCCGCCCCGGAGGCACGTCCAAGCCAGCCGAAAGATCACCCCATTCTTCTCAGCATCACGAAGCGACCGTTCGGGATCGGACCACAAGTGTATTGCGGTGGGCCCCGGCGGCGCAAGTCTCACCCCATATACATTTAGGCCTGTCCCGAGGGACATCACATCAAACATGTCAGAGGCACTGCAAGCTACGACATGGCCGGGCACTGCCATGAGTGACAAATCTACAGGAAGTCAACTTGCTTCTTGATTGATGCTATCTGTCAATCTCCTGCCCGGGCCACAACCTCAACGGCCCGCCCCTTACCGCCCACCCCCACGGCCTCTTCCCTGGCGTTGAGACCTTCCTCGGCGTCGTCCATATCTTCCTCCCCGGCTAATCGGTGGGGCCCACAATGAGTCAGGGAACTCCCTCGGGCCCGTTGGGGGCGGCGCCGTCCGTGTAGACTCTTCTCTGCCCTCCGCGTTGCCGTCGTGACCGGCGTGGCTACCCCGTGATCCCTGCTGAGACTGGCTCTGGCGGAAATGGCTCTGGCGGGGTTGGCTCTGGCGGAAAAATGCCGTCATTTCATCGGCAAGGCTCGGTGCCCCTTGGCGTGACTCGCCAGCGGGCTCGCCTGGCTGCGATGGCGTCTGATCTCGCCCGCGCCCTCGTCGGTCACCTGTGCTCCTCGACGCATCCGTGCCCGGCACACCTGGTGCCTGCTGATGAGGGTTCCGGAAGAACTCGGTCATACTCGCGGTGAGTGAGTATGGCACCCCTGTACCGGATTCACTCTTGACAGACTCACTTGCCGTGTCGCCGCTCGTGTTCTCGTGACCCTCGACTTCGCTATCGTGGTCCTTCTTGACATCGCTGACCTCGCTCTCATCTGCGTTGCTGTCCTTCCCCTCGTCGACGTCGATCTCGTGCGCCTCGACCTCATGCGCCTCGACGTCCCTGACTTCGCCCTCCTCGACGTCATCCATCTCCTCGGCTTTGACCATCTCCTCGGCGCTGACTATCTCCTCGACGTCGTCCATGTCTTGGTCCAGGTCGCCACCCGCCTCGCCCCCCTCGACGTGCGTTGTCGCACCCACGGTGGCTTCCACCGGTTCCTGGAACATGGCCTCGGGATGAAGGCGGTCGTGTTCCGCCTGCTTCTCAAAGAGGTCCAGCAGGTGGAGGTGGAACTCCCTCGGCAGGCCAATGGGGCCATCACGGCGTACGTGGATTTCGGCACTTGGCGTGGTACTGTCGGTGGTCTCGTAGAAGAGAGAGAGCCGACAGCCCACGGGGACGGGCTCGGACGGTGAGAACCCCCAGTCGGGCGGCCTGATGCCGGTTGGCGTGGGCGGCAGTGTCTCTTCTCCGTCTCCTGCGAAGAGCCTGATCGAGTCCGAGCCGCCGGGACCTTGACGCTTCTTCACGGCAGCGATGAGCACATATGCCTGCTCGCCCCGCCGGCGCATCCAGCCCCGCTCGGGCCGGGCCTCGTCTTGCTCGAGCTCCCACCTGGTTGCCGTGAAGTGGAAGAGGTTGTTGAGCGAGTGGCCGCATCCCTCGCCAGGGTTGAGATCCACCTGCATCATCCTCGGGCTCCCGAAGAAGATGCACACCGTGCCCCTGTTGTCTGGCTCCTCAGACGAGACCTGGTTGACTCGTTCCTGGAGGGTGGCCGGCTTGACGCCATCCCAGGACACTGCTCCATGCTTTGCCATCTGCTTGGGGGTCAACATGGGCTTCCCAAGGGGGTACTCGTCCGACATGTGGAGCCAGGGCCACGTGAGCTGGAATGCCCCCCATGACCACAGTGTGTCGATGGCCATGTTGCTGCGGCAGAGCTGGCTGAACGAGAAGTCCTGACCGAGGTCCTTGGCTAGGGCATCAACCACCTCTTTCCTCGCGGCCTCGGTGGCCCCGTCTCCCCGGTGTAGGAACGGGTTGAACAACGACCAGCTGTAGCAATCGAGGATGGTCTCGCCCGCGAAGCACTTTATGAAGCAGCCATGCTGTAGTAGCAAGTTGGGGGGTTGAAGAGTTGTCGTATTGAAGATGACCCATTCAAGCGAGTGATCGGCTGTAGAGGCACGTGCATGTCTTCGGACGTATACCAAATAGAGGCGAAACCATTATTGTCTATTTGGACCTTAAACACAAAGCCTTCTTGTGCAGACCAGACTACCCGTTTCGATGCTCTCTGGTCAACAGACCACCCGCCCCTCCTTGCTGTCTTCAGTGTTGCCCAAAGTCCATACACTCTTTTCCTATCCGGTGACGGACAGGGCCGCCAGCCTCTCCCACCTGGTTCTTATCCTGCTCGCTCGTGCCAGCCATGTTCTCCAGCGGTTCTCTGTGTAGAATGCCGGCGTACCATTGGATCTAGCTTGCGAGGCCTGTCCAGCCCCTTCCCGCTGTCCAGGGCCCGAGATGTGGGCGGGCTCGAGGCCTAGTGTGACTAAGGCAATTTCTCCATGATTTCCTTCTGCCGTTGCTTTAGGGCCTCCCCTTGCGCGACAAACGTCTCCAGGGCGTGCTTGATGCGCCTGAGGTGATCCGGTGATGCGGTCGCATCATCACCCTTCATCGGGCGGGCCGGGACAACGAGGTCGCCGATTGGTGGCATGGTCTCCAGAGAATACCCGCAATGCTCGCCTGTTTTCATGAAATATGTTAGTGGGCACATCACAGTTCGAAGGCCAGTGAATCGAGGAAGAATAAAAATGGCATAAAAAAGCTCCCAAGATAGGCTGGGGCATGACGGGAGGGGGGGTGGCGGGCGACTGGTGGAAAGATCGACCTGAAGGGTGTGTTGGGATTACTTACAAGCCACGACCCACAAGAAGCGCCCAGCGATGACGACGAGCCAGTCGCACTGCACTGCCTTTCTCTCTGACTCCTCCATGGCCAGGTTGAGGGCTCTGTCGAACGCCTCGAAGCACATGCCGTCCGCCTCTGCCACCGCCGCCCTGGCGGGGAGCCCAGCCTCCTCCATGAGGAGCTTGGCCGCCTTATCCAAGACCTTTGCAAAAAAGACTTTGGCCTTTTGAGAGGCCATTCTGAAGGATCTTGGGGTAAACATTTTGACGATGATAGCCGATGTTCTTTTAAATTCGGTCAAAGGTCAAAAGAGAGAATGGTGGTGGTTGTGGTGGTTGTTGTGGTTGGAAGGAAGGAAGGAAAAACAGTCTCTCGAATCGTGGCCGAGAAAGTCGACAAACAGCTGCTGGAGGTCCCCACTTTTCTTTGCCCCCCCCCCCAGTTGAGCTTTGGAGCTCGAGATTCAAGCTGTCCAGCGGGTGTGGGCTCTTATGCGGTGTGTCTCTACTGGAGGGTGACCGTTTGTCTTTGGTTCCAGGTGATCACACCCTGGGCTTGACCTCTCCCACCCTATCCTGGAGAATAACGCCTTGGTTCAGCGCCATGCATGAAAGAACCCCGGCTTTTCCACTGACAAAACACTTAGAATCCATAGGAATTCTTCCCTATTTCTATCGGACGTGGACCGATGTTTTCTGTCCTGTCCTTAGCTAAACCGCGGCGACACACTCAGCAACCTAGAGTGTCAGATAGGAGCGACATTACGCATCTTTACTGGGCACTGGACTGTACATTCTGACACTTTAATACGGTGGAACTGAGAGTCGTACCTGGAGAATCCCAGCTCCTAGAACTAACCCCTTTGTAGTTGCCATCGCCTGGCTGATGGGTTTGACTTTATGATATTGTTGTTGGAATTTTTCGTCCATGCCGCACTCATCTGCAGCCCCCGAAGTTGTCACCTTCTAAGGTTGGCTTTTTTCAGGTGCTGTTTTGCGAGTAGAGTGAATCAGTGCATGCAGCATAGGAGTAGTTATAGTAGTAGTCTATTTTTGTGTATTAAGGATAGCCGGAGACCTCCGCCTAGATGTGGCCCAGCCCTCGACGCGGTCAGATAACAGGCCAGGACCAGGGAGACCCTCACAAACACACTCTTTAGGAAAGCAACAATGGGTTACCGGCAAGATCCCGTCAGAGGAACATGGGCTGTATCAGCTGGTAGACTAGCATCTCTCGGACCCTGGTGTTTGTGGTGTGAGAATGGAGCGTCTACCGTCAGACAAAACACATGCTCGAGATGCTACACCCGACGCAGCCCTTGTGCCACACCAGTTGCTCCACTGCAGTACTGACACTGACATGTCAAGAGGCCGTTCGGCAACGAGTTGAAATCAGCAGAGATAATTTAGAGGGGACTGTAAAATAAGGAACATGGTTTTATTGTCGTAGTGGGGTAGTTGTCCTGGCAGTGTCGGGTGCAGATGAGAATGCCCTCCTTTTCCAGTACACATGTCACTGGTATCGAACGTCGTCAATATCTGAATTCAGCAAGGTTGCACTCCCACCGCCCAACTCTGCCTCTCGACTGGCCTGTATTGTCCTGTACACAGCTCCGTTGCGTCGACCCAGACCCCGTCAGGCGGTGCGCCCCACTTATTCCCTCATTCGGACAGGTGGCTCTGCTCGAGGTAATACGCCAGCCTAGGGACTGCGATTTGTTTTTCGACTTTCTTTCTTTTCCCCTCCAGCGACAGCAAACGGTAAGTTGCCCCCACCGCCATGTCATGAGAATTCTTTCTTCTTGACATCAGGAACCATTTACTAATGACGTGTACGATCGACAGCGGTATTGAACTTTTTTTTGTTCAATTATCAGCATCAAAATGTCTTCGTCAACTGGGGGTGGCAATGGCGAGAAGCGCGCCAATTCTTCGAGTGGGTCTCCTGCCGATAAGGCGGGGGAGAAAACGTCCGCGAGCATCTCGCTGGGTGGTGGTCAAGCGGATGCCCGTAAAGCATCGGGGAGAGACTGGTCTTCACTGACCGCGAGTCGGGCCTCCAGTTCGGCTGGAGGAGATCGAGTGCCAGGAACCGTCCTGGGCAAGCGGCTCGCGAGCTCGGTCGACGAGGCGATGGCCGAGTCGTCCGATAGGCGGAATCTCAGGGTCAAGATGTCGAACACCAATGACATCAGGCGCGAGGTCGACATGTCTGGCAAGGTCGTCCGTTTCGAGTCGACGGACCCAACCCAGAGGGGCGGGACCCTGGTGACACCTAACCCGACCCGATCGGGTGCTGTGGACATAGCGTTCGACTGCCGGGACCCGACTGGGTATGCGGTCGTTCGAGAGGCTGCAAAGAGCGTCGGCACAGACAGGATGTTGATGACGATCCAACCGATCCACGATCAGGGCGAGAGAGGGGACGTGTTCCAGAGCGCATACCGAAAGCCCCTGCGGCCGGTCGACATCGACCTCACGGGAGACGACGACACCGCCTCGGTGGCTTCGGCGGCAACTACGTCGAACACCCTGGGGCGCAACAGGGAGTGCGAGGCTTGCGGCGGCAAGAAGCACAAGACTGGCGTGTGCCATAAGGCGTCGTCGAGGGATCATAGAACGGTCATCTGTCCGTTCCACGGAGTCTCGGCTCACGGTCGTGGGCACAACCTGGACGGGGTCGACCCCAAGGGCGGAAACGCGTACTGCTCGATTCTGATCGGGTGGGAGCTGAAGCCGGTGGACAAGGGCTCGTTGGAGGCCAACAGGCGCCTGCGCCTTTTATTCACTAAGCTGGTGGTCGAGAGGAGGCGCAAGCCCATGGTTCGGGTCGTCAAGCCCATGTACTGCCCGATCAGGATTGCCATCGACTACTCCGATGCCTGCTGCAACGGGGAGATGCCGCCTGAGCTCGAAGGGGCCTGGCCGTACACCAGAAAAGACCTGCAGGACAAGGGTCTCGTCGAAAAGTTGAACTCGATGTCGAAGTTTAACTGGAGGAAGATGCAACCGGGGGAGCTCGAGGGTATGTCGTGGGACACCATCAAGCAGGAGTACGGCGCGTCGATCCCCAAGCAGTGCACCCTCCAGAAGGAGGTCGAGGATGGCGAGAACGAGGTCATGGAGGACGCTCCGGCTACTGAGAACCCAGGATCAGACACCATCACTGGCGACGGCCAGGGGGGCGCGGACGCCGGCTCAGACGAGCTTGACAGTCTGCTGGATTCGGCCAAGCGGTTGATCGAAAAGGCGCAACAGCTCCGTCTGAGATCTGGAGCCCCGAAGGAGGACCCAAAGGCAACTGCAACGGCAGGCACGGGGTCGCGTTCGTAGCAGGCCACTACTTCGAGAAAGGCCTTCGGATCGCTCCCTGGTACGACCATGGGTCAGGCGGACACCGGGATTGACACCGAGATGGAAGAAGAAACCGACGATCCGTTAGAGCCGGGGTACAAGTGGGGAAAGGGGTCCTAGGGGTGACGCCTGATGCGAGATAGTTCCGGCGCAGTGCTGTGGGCACCGTGTCTGGGTGAGAATGCCACATGGCGGTCACGATATGTCCTGCTGCTTCCATCCCGGAAGCTTGACGGATTTTGCGCGTCGCCGCCGTAGCCCGGTGGTTTGAGGGAGAGGAGTGGACGACGTGGGTGGGATGGCGGGCAACATCGTCGCATTCCTCTCACCGTGAAGGGTCGAAGGGGGGGTGGCTGGTCGGAGCAAAGGGTCACGGCCTTGGTGCTGCAGTCCATATGAGGAACAGTCATGTGAGTCACCTGTCTGTGATGTCTTACCCTACAACTCCCAAACTAGAGACCTCGTCCAGGCCAGCCCAGCTAACAGATGGCCAGATTACACAGCCTGGTGACACGGCAGGTTTCGCCGCAGCTTGCTCGCCGCCGACAACTCCACCACCAGCCAATCCCCGAGCCTTGGTCACAACTTCGAGACTGCACAGAGCGCCCACCCCCATATAATCGACGCCCTAGAAAGCCATCGCGGGCAGCGCCATCCCGGTAAAGACGGAACTGTCACTCGTGGTCGACACACCAGACGTGCCAATCAGCTACCCAGCCCAGGCGCGAACTACCCTGAACAATACGAGAGGAAAATCCTGGATGGACACGAAAAGGCGAGCCACCAAACTGCGATCAAATGGGATGAGATCGAGTCGCCCAGTCAGAATCCATCTGGGGAACCATGAGGGCGTCACTCATAACTCGACGGCAAGGTATGTGCTTTCATCGTCAGCCTGCTGCTGGCCGGGAAGGAGGCTGACGAGTCTCACAGCTCAATACTACCCTCGCCGACCTCATCTTTTCCAAGAGCAGTCAACCCTCACCAACTACCCACAAGACAAAACCAATCCTTCTGCGCCAGCCTACCGGCCTCGCACTGGCCAACCACCAGATGCATGTCGCACATCACCGCGTGCCTGTAAGCTCCCCACACCCACGGCTCTACGCCCACCTTGACGCTGACCAGTGACTCTACGCAGGCGCGTTACTACACGTCCATCTCAGCAGGTGTGACCCCACACGGGCTGAAGTCGACCAGTTGGTCTTGGGTGGCATGGGTTGAGAAAGGAACGGGTCGGGCAACAACAAAATCAGGCCGGCAGGGGACCCCACACCAGGAAGGCAGTCGGCCAGGCCGGGCATCCACAAACCTTGAACCTAATAAACCAATGAATGTAACTTGACCTCACATGCCATAATTGACAAGCCCTGCCTGACGAACCAAACAACCAATGCAACCCAACTCCATATGACTCGATCGTGTTGACAGGTGACCCTGAGGGGTATGATATCGCATAGCCCCAGGGCTGGGCCGGATACTACCTGCGGGCCGTGGAGCGCCAATCGTGGGGTTGACCAATGGTCTTACATGGAATGGGATGCCGCTGCGGTCAAGGTCGCACTTGCATCCTCGGCCCGGCTGACACGTGGCGAACATCACGCTGCAAGAATGACGAGTTACAATGCATCTGGTATTAAAAGTATATTCAAGGTCAACCCACAAAACAGACTCCGTTCGACTCCCACAGCCAACCCACAATCACAACTCACGACTAGCAGTCAGACACCACCTTGCAGGCAACCACCGTAGTTTCCGCGCGCCCGACGACTCCACCGCCCACGAGCCAGGCCACCGACGTGGCAGCAGTACCATGGCTGATACATACAGCCCGTTCGCACTGGGACGCAGGGCTCGTCGCCGTTCACCTGGCCTGCCCTCCCCCCGGCACGCGATCGATTGCTAACTGGAGCCGGACTTGCTGCCAGCGATTCGTCCCTTCGAGGGCGAGCCGCACAGACCGGGCAGACACATGTGTCGGGTCGGCGGCCTGCCTGACAACGGTCTTGCCGTCAGGGCCCAACGCAGAGACCAGGTAGGTGTAGACACAGAAGACCGGAGATGTCTCTCCGCCGGGTAGAGCATCGCTGCTTCGGCAACTGTCCCACCAGACCTGCGGCTCCTGTGTGGGAAATGGCCGGTCGAGTTCAACGCCCGACGCCATATCCCATGCCACGAACGTGTCACCATGGTCCTGCACCACCATGATCCGGTCCGCGAACGCCCTCACGAGAGCCACCTCGACGGCCAGGAGCTCCTGGCGCGTCAGGGGCGTGTCGCCGAGCTCATGCACCGGCTTCTCCCCCGACAGCTGCGCGCGGATGTCGTTGAAGCCTTCCAGGCGCCGGTCCCACCGCAGCGACCTCTCGACGTCTATGAGGATTTCACCCCCGTTCAGCAGCTTGGAAGGCCATGGGTTCTTCTTGCCCAGGCTCAGGCCCCACCGCAGCGTGCCTCTCAGCATGTAGTTGTGCATGAGAAAATGCCAGATGCCCAGCGCCAACCAGATCGGGCCGCGCCCGGCCTTGCCCTTTGCCACCCCCTTCAGGTTATCCTCGTACCAGGACCTGTCACCGTGCCGTCCCTCGACCGAAGAAACGACCCTGCTGGTGTTCGTCTCGCCGCGCGCGTTGATCTCCGTGAGGATGGCGAGCGCGAGTATGGCCTCCCGGGTGGCACTGCTGTCCTTGTCCAGCGCAGCGCTGCCCCCCTCCGCGGCCGACAGCTGCGCTAGCAGGTGTGCGCTGTGGACACTCCGCACGCCCTGCTTCAGTAGCATGCCCGTCGTACGCCCCAGGCTGGTCAGGACCGTCCCCCTGCAGGGTTCGTTCCCGGACCCGGGCATCGCCAGAACCCCCATGGTGACAAGAACATCCTCTTGGTCGCACACGGCGTGCTTGTCCGAGGGGAGAAGCACAGGCATGTCCGCAAAGGCCAGGCCCGGCCACACGAGCTTACAACAGACCAGCAGTCGCGCGAGATCCTGGGTGTGGGCAGCAGACGTCTCGCAGTGAGGGGACAGCTGCGCGAACTCCTCGTGTGTCATGAGGACCCTGGCCCGCGGCTGGGGCTCTGATTCCTGGTTGCAGGAGCCGTAATACCTGACCTCTGCCTGTGAACGCCGCACGCCGAGCTTATCCGTGCAGAGCACACTCTGGCCCCGGACAACACTGAACCCGTCCGCATACGGGAGTATGACGATTTCGTCGATGCCGCTGACCTGACCCGTGTATGTGGTCTTGTTGTCGAGACATATGTCCTCCACGGCCCCAGGCCCACGAAGAAACTCGGGCCGGTCCGCAAACTGAAGCCCATGGCCCTCTGGGAGATACTGAAGCAGACTCGGGTCCATCAGCAGCAGTGTCCTCCCACCAGCCCGCGAGCCCTCGCTGTTGATCTCGGACAGCAGCCTCTCGATCCGCCCGGGGGTTCCCGTAGGCCCGTCTGCCTGCTGAGACTCGTGACCATGGAAGCCCAGGGCCGTCTGCCCCGTCCCGAGGGTGGAGATCTCTTGCGTCTTGACTCCGCGCCATGCCCTGCCAAAGTATGGCCTCTTATCGTTCGAGACGGTGCACGCCATGGGCTTGTAGACGCCGTCCCGTGTCGAGGCCTCGATCAGCGCCGCCACGAGCGGGCAGGAGAATGCTATCTCGAAACTCATGTCGCCGAAGGCAAAGTTCATGACAAAGGTGGGGTTGCCAAGCACCGTGTCCCAGTCCGAGTCCCAGTGTGCCCTCTCATCGTCGTCCTCATCTTCACCTGCTGGCTGCAGGCGCTCGCTCAAGACCTTGATGAGATGCTGGAATGTGATGATAACCACGCCGGAACTTGCAATTGGCTCATCACCCGAGGAGGTCGTCACATACTCGCCGCTGATGTGCTGGCCGAGAACATCGCTGGCGCCGCCGCTAACCAGGTCTTGCCTCAGGAGCCCGACCTCGAGGGGCTTGCGGACTACGGCCCATGTGCTCCTCCCTCTAGTAATGTCTGAACGCCACTGCTTCGCCACAATATGTCCAAATGTCGCCGGGGACCCGTCATTCACAAAAATGTGCTGTAGTCGCGCCGCGGCAGGCTGGTCGCCCAGAGGCGGCACCAGCGGCGTGAAGCCCTCCACGTAACTGCACAACGGCGACATTAGCTTCTCGTTTCCCATGGGGAGTAGGTGCTCGTACTGTCTCGCTGCCATATTCACCACAGTATGTCGAGGTGATGGGCAGTGGGGGACTGTTGTTGTGGTGGTGGTGGGTCAAAAGCCTTAGCTCAGAGGTCGGGCGCGGGGCACTACGGGATGGGATGTGGGTGTCGGTGTCAACAGGGTCTGTCAACACACTGGACGACTGGACGCATCATGGCGTCTTACATGGAGCCTCCACAAGTGCAACTACATTTCTACCAGGCATGAGTTTCACTGGGCACTATGACGGGCCAGAACATAGGACAGTTGAGGATGCCTCGGCGCGTAGCCGGGCAGGGGCCAGAAGATCCATACAGAAAACCATAATTGAATCTGCCAGACGCCAACACGGCGAGCAACCGTGTTGATGTGTATCTATCGAGAGGTTTGGAGGCAGGAGAGCCCGCAAGACCGAGTGGTCTCGGAGCAGGACACTTGTAAGGCATAGCAAAGTAGCCACAAACCCAGCCAGGATGTTTCTCACGTCATGGGGCAACGAGAACGCAGTACATGTTGCCTCTATGATCCCTTGCATGATAGCCACATTGTATCGCTTGATGTCGTGCCCTCGAGAGACTGCCCCCCTGCAGACGTGTGGGTCCCACCGCAGCCACCCCAGTGGCCCATGCTTTCAACTCACAGCCCAGGCTACCTGACAACCTTGCGCCCAAGAAGAAAAACTGCTGCTGCTGCGGGCGACACTGTCTGTTGTTAAGAGAGAGGCAACCGGCAAGCTGCCAGACCAACCAAGATGATCGGACGCGCTCTAAGGAGCAAACAGAGGGGACGTCCTGCCTCGGGCACGAAGGGGAAGAAGACTGGCGAGAGCTCTGAGCGCGCACGCACAGAGGGGCAAGAGGCCGACGACGACAGCGACAACGACGCGACCTTCAATGCCGACGACGAAGCCGGCGCTTCCACGTCTGAGCACGCAACCGGAGAAGATTCAAACGACAAAGGGGATGCTGGCAAGCAACGTAGGCGCTCGTCGCATCAGAAGAGCAAGGGGGGGCAGGCGGCCAGGGGTTCTGCCAAGCGAGGGCGCGGCGCGCGTAACACAGAGCAGGACGACGACGAAAGCGAGTCGAGCGGCTCGGGATCGGGGGGTAATCTCAAGGTGGAGAGACACGCCAAGGTCGTCAGACGGGCGAAGCGGAAGCTCAGGGACGAGAAGAAGCAGCTCAGGGCCAAGGGTGCGAAGGTGGTCCCGACCCTGGGTGTGAGCGAGAGCTCCACGGAGGGTGGTAGCGGCCCGGGACAGGTCTACCTGCCCGAAAAGAAGGGCCAGTCGTTCGAGGAGGGTAGAGATAGGGCAGGGCGGCGCGTGGCGAGGGCCATGAATAAGTCGGTGCTGGACAGGGAGGCTTCCTACCCGCCTCGGACGGCGCAGGAGTTCAAGAACCGGATCCCGACGCCCCAGTATGACGAGTACTGGTCGAGGGCGGACCAGGCCGAGCTGGTCGCCCGGCTCTCAGACGACAGCGACTTCAAGAAGCGACAGGAGGTCCCCTCGTTTGTCATCACCGTGTGGAAGACGGCGTTCCGCTTCACCGGGAGGTTGGCCACGGACATCATCGGACCCGGCACCGGCCTGGAGTTCAGGTCCGACTCGCACAAAGGGTGGAGCCCCGTCTGGACGCAGAGGTTCTGCGAGGCCCTGATACCCATTATCCTCCACCCCCTCCTCGGGCTCAACACCCAGAAGATGGCCCTGGCGCTCCAGTGGGCCGTCGTCTGCCGCACGGGATACCAGAGCAGGTACAGGCTCAGCGGCTGCGGGGACGACCTGTCTCTCCGGGCGCTGGCCTCGACGGTCGAGGCACACCAGGACGGCAGTATGGCACCCGCCGAGCTCCTGGAGGCGGCAAAGGCCCTGTACGAGAGACCCTACGGCGAGAATGCGTATCCGTCGATCTGGCTGCAGTTCCTGAGCCGCATAGAGAACAAGGTCGTCCGCGGCAGTGCTGATGCTACCCGCGCGGACGACGCTGACGGGGGGCCCTTCTTTGTCAACACGACAGACCTGTATGCCGTCCGGAGCGCGCTCGATAGGGTCAAGCACCTCGACCTTCGCATGTTTGCCGACACCCGGCAGGTCGTGGACGCGGTCATGCCGACCAGGAACAAGGTGGACGTCCCGTCGGTCGCCCACGCCAAGCAGGCAATAAAGGCCGTGCTGCTCCAGAAAGAGCGCAACAAGGAGCGTGTGAGACGAGGTGGTCGCCCCGAGCCCTCTGCTGCCCCCGGCTGGGTCCCCGATTGCCCGTCGGAGGACCAGCCTGTCCAAGAGGATACACCGGGTGGCGAGGAGGCCGCCGGTGACTCTGATCCGCTCGACGTCGAAGATAGCCCCGTCGCTCCGAAGACGAGAAGGGGCAAGCAGGGCGCTATCCGCAGAGGCAAGGCAGCCCGGAAGCCTGATCCCAAGGGAGAGGACGCGCGGGTCGTCGAGGACACTGAAAGCTCTCAGACACTGGGCGACGACTCTTATTAGGCTAGCCTTCAATCACCTACCGCCCCCCGCGCTCCACGGGCCCAGAATATAAAGACAGGTCCAGAAGCTCTTTGCTCAGGTACCAAGCACCCGCGTCCCGCTGCTATTAATACGGCTACAGTCAGTGCCGAAGCTATACGAAAGTAATTGTCATGAATATCGATGCTACCCCTGCTTTAGCTTGGGACTAACATTTAGTCGATATTCACAGCGTTGTGATTGTCTCCCGGGATAAAGACCGGAGGCCTGTTCACCGTCCATGCGCCGACGGTGTCTACGGGACAAGAAGGCCTTAGCTTGATCTCGGGACTTTTACGCACACAAGCTTTCCAATCAGTTCGGAAGCAAGCTTAATAATCAGTTGGCAGCTGTCTGTGCATATGTCTTTCTTACAACTGTCCCTGCGCAGAGGCCACCCCGATCGGTTTGATCTCGGTCGGTTCCGTTGCGGATGTCGAGGGCCGGTGTAGCGTCTATGTGGAGGTTGCTGTCCGGGAGTATATGTTGCCCTGTCGTTGTATTATGACTTCAGTATATGCAGGATAGACATCTTCTTCCCTCTTCAACCCAATCAGACTCTTGACCGCACATGCTCTTACCAGATATCTCATTCAGTCAAGTAGTCACTTGATAAACACATTCTTTTAGTACACTTTGTTATAGAGATTCAATATGCTTTCCAAGGCTTACACCGTTGCTCTGCTGGTAGCAGTCCTTGGTGGATCTGCCGAGGCCGGTCATGTCCGCCGCGGTGGGCACATTCACAGGAAACGCGCCGACATCTGCGGCACCAGAGGCTACGACTTTGACCAGGGAAACTACTTTTACGACAGCGGAGGGAAGCTCAACTCATACGCGGCATGCTCGGCCAAGTGCGCCGGAGACCCTCAGTGCCTCAGCTTCGCATACGGCAAGAAGACGTGCATGCTCTTCAACATCCCCCTGGATGGCAACTTCGGCGCAGATGACAGCAGCTCGGACGTTTACTACGACCGGGGCTGCATCTCTGCTCCGGCGAAGGGGAACAACCCGACCACGACGACCACGACGACCACAAGCAAGTCTTCGACCACGACAGTGACCAAAGCCAGCAGCAGCACGCCCACGTCTCCGGCCGCTGCCGCCGCCGCGCCCAGCAACACGCCCAAGTCCTCGTCTTCCTCCACGTCCAACACGGCCGCCGTGGCAACAGTCCCGTCCGCGGCCGTGGGAGCTGCCTCGACGCCAAGCACGACGACCTCGGCGGCGCCGGACTTCCCGACGGCCAACCCCTACGAGTCCAAGGGCTGCCCGATGCCCAAGGCCATCGCCATCGCGGAGCTCAGGTCCAGCACCGACTCGAGGACGGGCACGACCAGCCTCGCCTCGGTCAAGATCCAGTACGGCAACGGCACCTTCACGTGCCCGGGGGCGGGCCGCTGCGCGAGCTCGGCCGGGTCCTTCAGCTGCCGGTGCGACTCGTCCAACCTGCTCAACGTGAACTCGGACGGGCGCAGCTGGATCCAGGTGCAGGAGTGGTACTGGTGCGACGCGCAGGAGCAGCGGCCCAACAAGGCGTACCAGACCCTCGCCCTCACGCTCAACTTCACCATGCTGGCCGACTACGTCTCGTGCAGCACGGCCGGGGCCAACACCACGTGCACCCAGTCCAGGCCCCTGCTCGCGCCCGTCGGGGGGTACGGCGGCGGCGGCACCCCCGCCTTCAACCCCATGGATGTCAACGGCAATGACCTGCCCAACTGCCCGGTCCGGCCTGGCCACTCGCAGATCGTGACTGACACGGCTGCTTGCGCGACGCCGACGGCGAAGGCTTAGGCTGACTGCCCTGGAGAGGATTTACTTTACTGGGTTTGGAGTGGGTGGTGAGGTGTAGAGAAGCAGATCCTTGAGCGTTTACCACTGTATAGAGGCGCCATGTATGTCCTCGGACGTAGGCAGGATAGAAGCGAAACCAGGTACAGAAGCAGAACGCAGAAAGTGGGTTGTATGTCAACCTCGGAAAAGCCTACCGTAGATCTGATACTAGAGTTCAGATTTAGCAGCCGCAAAAATGGGGCGTGCACCCGAGCCCCAGTATTCCTCGGGAAGGGGAGTCTATCAGGAACCCGAGCAGGGCAGATCGATGAGTAGTGAGCGGGGAAAGCCCGTCACACCTACTTGAATTGCCTTTGTAGGTGTAGCCCCTGTGTTTAAGGTTCGAATCTCTGATCTCTAACTTTCGTGAACCTTCTGAAATGCCTACCTAATTAGTTCAGAGTGTGTTAGTTCATTGGCTGGACTGTGTATGCAACAAAACTCTCTAACCAGCCTTGGAAGTTGACGTGTCGCACCTACACGATGAGACAAACCTGTTCCCTCGGCAGACTCGGTTTGTGCTCATGGGTCGCCCTGTGAGAAAAGAAATATCATAATCGACCAGTTCAGTGGGGAATAAAGTTTGCAACGACTCCCCAGAACGACGGCCAAGACCAGAAACTGCCGGATCTTACCGGATTTGAGTCACCTGGGCTGCCAGGTGTCATTCAGTTATGGGTAATTATGGGACTGTCTGGGGCTGGACAATAGCACAGCACAGTGCGCGCAAATGACGGTCATAACTTACAAGTCCGCCGTCTTTTTCCAACGTGCCTTCCTTCTACAACCAGTAAATAACAAGTGTTCCTTCAAAATATATTGATTGTTAAACATAGAACTTGAAAATAACTGTTATTTAATGGCTAATTGGTGGTTGAATTTCTTAAGTGACAGAAAAATCTGGTAATAGGAAGGGAAGTAATAGTTCGGAAGACTGAGAGACTAGGACTGTTATTCTTAGATAGTCAGTATTTCCAGGACTACTGTGCACCGCCTATGGAGTGAAGGAAGTCTTGTAGTCCCAAGGCGCGGGGGATAAACAAACGAAACCATATAGCAGCCAAGATGCCGAACATGGAACTCTTCCGAGGCCCGGTAGTATCAAATCGGGGCGTTATCCGCCTGGGCGAAACTGGGCGACCGAAGCTGCCGCGCAAGCCAGCTGACTAGTCAACATACCAAACCGGCTATAAAAGGGCATCTCATAACTGCTGGTCGTCTGAGGATCAACTGAGGGCTCATTACTACTCTACACTTCGAGACGGTTACAAAATGTTGGCTACTGCACAGATCCACCAAACACAGGCGATTGTCTGCCGCCCACCCCAAGACGGCGCGAGGACGTGGGTCCTCGAGGATGTGGCCCTGTCGGCTCCCGCAGAGGACGAGGTCATAGTCGAGATGGTGGCCACCGGGATCTGCCACTCTGACATCCGCTGCGGCAGCGGGACTGATGGGGAGGCGCTACTCGGCCTGCCGCCGTACCCGCGGGTTCTCGGCCACGAAGGTGCGGACTACTCCTCGAGAATGCCCAGGTGCTTGTCAGCCAGGACACCGCGTGAGCCGGAGGCTAACCACTTGTGACCAGGCGCCGGCGTGGTCAAGTCCGTCGGGTCAAAGGTCACCAAGGTCAAGGACGGCGACAGGGTCCTCCTGTCCATGTCGTTCTGCGAGGAGTGCCACTGCTGCAAGGCCGGCGGCCCCGGGTTCTGCAAGAAGTGGGGGCAGATCAACATGGGCGGCGTCAAGGACGCCTTCTCCAGCCTCCAGAACCCCGGGGAGGCGGTCGGCGGCTCCTTCTTTGGGCAGTCGAGCTTCTCGCGGCTGACGAGGGTCAAGCAGTGCTCCGTGGTCAGGGTCACCGGCCTGGTCGACAACGACGAGGAGCTGAAGCTCCTGGCGCCGCTCGGCTGCGGGATCCAGACCGGCGCCGGGACGATGACCAAGCTCGCCGACGCCCAGCCGGAGGACACCGTTGCGGTCCTCGGGCTCGGCGCGGTGGGCTTGTCGGGCATCATGGTGGGTTCACCTGCGCGTCTACCAGACCAGGTGCACGGGTTGCTGACCGGGACATAGGCCGCCAAGATCAGAGGGTGCAGGATGATCATCGCCGTCGACAGGGTCCCGTCGAGGCTCGAGCTGGCCAAGAGCGTGGGGGCCACTCACACGATAAACACGAGCACCATCAAGGGTACCCTGACAGAGGAGGTCAGAGGGATCACCGGGGGGGTCGGGACGACCATCACGATGGACGCCTCAGCGGCAGCTCCGTTGATCCGGCAGGCCTTGGAGTTCACGGCCAATCAGGGGAAAACATTCCTCCTCACCACGCCGCCGAAGGATCCAGTGTTGCAGCTCGACCTTTCCTCCCTGATCTTTGTGAGCACAACGGTTCGATGGTCGTCAAGATATTCACTGACACGTGCGCAGTCGGGCAGGTCGGTTCATGGGTCCATACTGGGTGGCGTCGTCCCGGAAGAGGTATGGCTGTCCAGACACCTGGCGACGAGTTGGTGACTGCTAACCAGTTTTGTTCAGTACATTCCGACCATGATCCAGTGGTACAAGGACGGAGAGTTCCCCGTGGAGAAGCTGGTCAAGTTCTACCCGGCCCAAGATCACCTCCAGGCGGTCAAGGACATGGAGGATGGCACCACGGTCAAGCCGATTCTTTTGTGGTGAGTAAGCGTTGGACCGGTTGCGTTGAGCTGAAGCGTGCATGTGTGTGCATTCAACTGAGCCTGGAGTATTGATGGATTTGCGCTCGTCTCGGCCACGTGCCCACAGATGTATTGTGTTTTCACCGTTGTTGGCGTTGTATTTTCTATGACTGAATATCGAGCGTTTGCCACTGTATGAAGGTGCCACATATGTTTATATTTATGGGGATAAGAAATAAAATTATTTGCTCTCGTCTTAATGGAGTCGTGATGGTCACCAACGGCGCATATGCGAATACGGGACATGTAAAGTACACAGGTGTGTTGACTTGCTATGAGAGACTGTCTCAATTCCGAAATATGCATGCTTTCAAGACACAATGGATGAAGGTTATTTGCAGAGCACCCCCTACACCGTCCGCAAGCAGAGTGAAATCAATATGCGGTCAGTAAATAGGATCAATAGAGAACAACCACCCTTTTATAATGTATTTATCCGACTCAGGAGCTTATACCAATTAGTCAGTCCAACTAGTCAGTCCAACTAGTCAGTCCGGGTAACACATTATCCCCTAGCTGGCTAGTGTGAGTCAGGGTCGTGTTCCCGCCCCCACAATCTACATGATCCCCACCGCAACCATGCAGATCATCCAAGGGCGTCTAGCTCAAATGGTAGAGCGCGCGCTTAGCATCAGTTTTCTCTTGAATCTGATTCAAGAGGGATCGTCCTGCGCGAGGTACACGGTTCGATCCCGTGGTCGTCCATTTTGGCGGCGGCGAGGTCGCTGTCGTCCATTTTGCCGATCGTGAGGCCATCACGGGCCGTCGTAGGCCATCGTGAAGCCACCTCCGCGATGCCAGCCACCGTTTTTGGCCACAACACCGCCTGTTTTAGCTTTTGAAGACCAGCTCCAACCTAAATGAGCGGCCGACACACTTTAAAACCGACAATATATGACACCCGGGAGTGCATATTGCGGATAGGCCAATCAGAGCCCGCAGCGCCAACTCCGCACACTAGGATGCGCTTGCGAACGTCCGCTTACACCCGGCGAGAAGCAGTCCTCTGCCGGACACCATGTGGCAATTATTTCCATGTCACATGCCTGGGCTTGGACACACTTGCTCAGTTGTTTTGTACTAAGCACACCACCGACGATGGGTGCAAAGTTGGGCGGAATGCAGTATATAAAATGACTGTCACAGGTGTCGAAAACAAAACACGATGTGCGGAATAAGCACCACTTGATCTGATCCAAATCACCCAACACGCCTCACACATCGGAACAGCACCGCCGACGACAGAAAGACCACTTAAAGCATGATGGACCAAAATCATGACGACACATCGGCCTGGAAGACTGAGCCCTTCCCGTCCTTCTACGCCTCCTCAGACTCGTCACAATCGCCAACCAGCACCAGCAGCCGGTCAGAAAAATCACCCACAAACAACCACAAAACACTCGGCTCCGAATCCCCTCCCGACCTGGTGCCAACCCGCTGCCGCGGCCGCGCCAGCGGCTGCCACTACCCGGAAGACGGCCAGCCCCACTGCCACCTCAGGTGCTCGCCCCGGGCGTGCAAGCAGTGCCGCGAGGTCCTGGACGCCGACTGCATCGACAAGGGGCGCTGGCTCGAGGACTGCGTGAGCATGCCGGAGGGCGACGAGGAGCGGCCCCGCGGCGGCAGGGGCGTCCCGTGCGGCGCGTGCTCAAGGTCGTCGGCGTGGGTGCTCTGGTCCTGTGGTGCATGCGGGACGCTCGCGCCGACTGGGCCCTGTTCAAGGAGTGGGCCGCGGGTTGGGCCCAGCTCTGAGGTTCGCAAACGCCTTGTGCGGCTCCTGATATCCTACACGTGCAATAAGCAAGCAGGAAGGGCGAGGCCAGGCAGACTCGGGGTGGACACCGTGGGAAAAGCCCGGTTGGGCATCTGCATCTGGGAGGCGCATGCATCGGAGTACAGCACAGGAACCTGGAATTGCCTGGTGCTCTTTCCGCCGCAGTTTACTAGACGGGACTTTTTTATGCCCTATGGCGTTTAGGAACACCCTGGCCAGCAAACCAGATCATGCTAGGTCTAATAGCGTAGTTACCTCACATACGAATAAATTAAAATTAAGATCGCACCATATGGTCAGGTAAGTTTCCTAGGTACTTAAGTACCGTAGTACATTCGGCTCGCGCCCCCCATTCCGCCCAAATTTTCCACTAATGATTCCGTCTCTCATCCCCATACACACAAACAGTTTATAGCGCCTTTATACACTACTAAATGCTTCACACCATTGGAGTGTTCAAAAACACAAACACTAATACTACAGAGAGAACACAATATGTGGGCGCGTGGTTTTAGCCTTGTGCCGTCCAGATAAGGCTACCTAGGTAGGACGCCTCGCTTCATGGCGCTGACTAGAATCCACATAAGTGGCCAGGTAGAGCAAACTCAGATTCCCGTTGATTAATACCTCGAGGTGACGACTTCCGTATTTCAATCACCTAGCAGAGGTTGTCAGTCTTCTAACGCTGCGAAAAAAACAAACCATCCAGCTTCGAAACAGCACGGAACCACATGCCCGGAGTTGTCCTGGACTTTCGTTTCCACACGATGAATACGCAACACGATGGGCTGCCACTCGAGGCATCCAAGACGGTTCCGTGGGGGCCAACGCGGTGGCGTTTCCCTGATAACGGCCTCCTGCCGGCACCCACACCCCCTCGCGTCATACATAGCAGCCAACACCGCTGCTCTCCTTGCCATTACGTTGACGATGGCTTAAACGACGGGAAATACATGCGGCTGATACCGCTGTCACATCCGCCATACCTTATCCTATACGCCACAAAGATGTTTACACTACGGCCGAACCGGGTCCAAATAAATGCGAGCAGAGTCTTCCTCGACTTGTACAACAAATGGAGACAGCTGGAAGTGACACGGCCCCCGTACTGGGAAATGGTGGACGATTTGAGGGGGGACCTGCATATCGCACTGCGGGCATTGGATGTGTATTTCTTCTGCGGGTCGTGCACCATGGAGCGCCGATCCGACGGACCCCAGAGTGCCCCCTACCTGGTCCCTCTCGAGGTCCCGTATGTGGGACTGTTCGCCGAAAACGGCATCTTCGACCAAGGGGGGGGCGGAGGATACCTGCTTCCCGGAGGTGTGAAGCCGCTGGGGGTAACCTGTGGCTCTGGGAGGATACACGTATACATCGACACGCTCCCGCTTCATCCGTGTCGTAGCGTCCGGAGTATCTTTGAGACACTGGTTCACGAGGTGGCACACGCAGCTTATCGCGTGTTCTCGTGTGACTGTCCTGTGTGCGTTCGTCATCATCGAGATTGGAAGGTTCTCGGTGCGTGGGGGCACGGCCTGCTGTGGAGAGAGATGATGGAACATATGAGGGATACACTCGGGACCTGGGATGAATGCTTGTTCGGTTTAGTCCGGCCGGAATACATCTTATACTGCCACATGTATTTAACATGAACCTGGTGGGACCTGGCCTTTCCCAAGTTCCATCAGATCCATGTTACCTAGGTACTGTTCATGCGTCGAGCCTCACAATGTTCATGTCGGAGTTTGGGATTTGGAAACTTATTCGGTATCCTGGGGCTTGGATATGGCTGAGCTCCGGGAGGCGGTAGTTTCAATTTCACAGTGCTGGAGTAGAGCCATTGATTAGTTGAGCATTCAAGTAACTAAAAGCCAGCACCTTATTTATCTGGTCGTCTTGTGAGATCCGACCTTCACCTCCATCAACAGGCCTGCGGTCCGAGTCGTGTGTAAACACCTGGACAGTTGGAATCAAAGCGGGCATCAGATCAGACTGTTCTACGGCACTTCAAGATAACACCTCAGATAATCAGCGACAGGAATAATAAATTCAGGCTTCAAAAAATATCCGAGACCTCTCTTTGTCGGCACCACCCTCGGCTGGGAAACAGGTGTGAAACCCCGCAAAAGACAATCAAAATACCCATACCTGGAACATCGATTTGAGAATCACATTGTCCTTGACGACTTGGGCCTCGTCTGCGCTGTCCTGAGGCCCCGAGGCCGTTGGCCGATGATCCATCTGCCCTGCGGTTGAACACAAGTACATAAGCTGGCTCTGTCTCGAACCTGCCGGACATGCTTTCCCAGAGACACAACAGCATCAGAAATACCAACAAATAAGCGATTCACAGCCCAGGAACATCGGCACCATGGCATATCACACACCTCCTGAAATCCACGGCTTCGATTCCTCCGCAAGCATACTCCCACCACGCAAATCGGTGAAGTTCGTCAAGTTCTCGCATAGGCCACATGACATACTGAGCGTAGTTAAGCAGTTCACAAGCCCCGAGTACTATGAGCAGCTAGGAATGAGACAAGCTTTCATCACGACATACAGACGCTGGGCTGGTACTGACAGGTCGAATGAACAACTGGGAACCGGTGTGTGCGTTCGTTTCGTCGAGGTTAGGGATTTGAGGTTTATGATGGATTGGCTTGATTCTTATTTCTTCGACCGGTCTCTCGGTGCAGACCTGAAGTTTGAAGATGATATTTTTGCCACGGGCCACGTTGGTGAGCATGCAGGGCAAGACACGTGGTTAGGGTGCGCTGAGACTACGCATGATGGACAAGTAAACATCTACATCGACAGCGCTCCCAGGTCGCACCCGACAATGAGAGACCTTTTGGAAACACTGGTGCATGAGATGGCCCATGCAGTGTACAGAAAATTCACATGCAGGTGCGCATCCTGCTCTGTCACAAACAGGAGCTCAGAGAATCTCGGCCGGATTGGGCATGGCAGACTATGGGTCAAGATGGCCGAACACATGAGGGATACGATCCGAGGCTGGGACAGAGACTTGGCAGATTTCATGGGGGACGACAGCATAGAAGAGCACCATGTGAACCACTGCTAATGGACGCCGGGACCTCGGAGCAAGAAGCGGCAACCCTAATTAATATACCTAGCCTTGGGCCGTGAAAATGAACCTCTGTCACACTCCGTCAATCGAAAACGTATCCAAGGCGTTCAACTTGTTGTCTGGATGTGAGGCGCTAGGATCCGATTGTGGGCTTAGATTTGATAGTTCTTTTGGAGCAAAGGCACCTGGGCAGGAGACCTACGACCAGAATTTTGACATACACTCGAGTCGAGAAAGAAAATGTTGTTGGCGTGTTCCGCTTAGGCAAATCGTGAAGACCTCACTAACAAAATGCAAGAATGAGCCAAATCATCCAAGTCTCAGTGATTTGTGTTGGAAGAAGGTTATTCTGGCTAGAAGCCGTATCACATCGTTGATGTTACCGGCTCCTGGCGTCTAAACAGGCTTTCTCTATGCAATTCCTGCAGCTCCTAGAATCGAAATCACCAAGCCGGCTTCGACAACGCTGAGAACTATCTTGTCTTTGCTCCCCGAAAGAGATGATCCGCACAATATTCAAAGCTGGGAATCCTCATCACCTCAGTCCAAGCCAGCCATGCTCTACTCACAAGGAAATACCAGGCCGCCACGTCCTCATGATCATCCTCACCTCACCCACTCCATCAACCACAACCAAAACTCACCCAGACAGAACCAAACCGACAAGCCCCGCAACAGCCCAGCCCTGCGCAGGCACCACTCCCCACAGTCCACCCCACAAGAGACCGTGGCAGCCTCCCGGCCCACACCTGAACCCTGTTCCACGCGTTCCCTCCCCGGGCCCGAGATGGGAGGCGCATGCCATCCCTGCGCTAGAGGAGGAGGAGGTGCTCGTGTGTGGCGAACAAGGCCAACATTGAGCTCGCTCGTGATGACACAAGGAGTGCTGGGGCAGTGGCAGAGACAAAAGGCTGCCTGACCTCTAGACGCCTCGCTCCAGCGCTGCCGGAGGCCATTCGTGAGCGCGCAGGACAGGCAGGCAGCCTCACTAGACGGTGCAGAACAAGGCTGCCGACGATGCCGCGGTGGACGCAGGCCATGGAAGACGTGTGGGCGAGGTTTCGATTCCGGCGGGACCAAGTAATCGCGCATCACAGGTCAACATCACCACACCAGACAATTCACAAGGGACCACCTCAGGTAGAACAGAAACTCTGGCTGTATTTTTAGTTGCCCGAAACCCCTTTGAAAAACACCGCTGTACCCCGTTGAACACTAAACGCCTGTCCATTATGCTGAGTCTTTCACCCCGCTCATTACTGTGCCGGATCTCCTTTAGAGTGAGACAGACCAAGGAAACAAGACCAAAATATCCCATATACCCAGCCGAGCCAAAAGTATGAACAGCAGAAATAATACCAAAAAAACTAATAGGGGTAAGCGAGAGACAACCGCCAGACGACGTGTCTGTCGCCGTCGGGTGGGACGACATGAACTAGTACAGTGTGATGGGGGGAGGTAAAGAGAGTTGGCGACGGCCAAAGGAAAACAAGCACCCCATCCCGAGGACTTTTTGCCCGACCTTGTGTCCGTTGTGTACGCTGTGCCCGGCTCGTCTGAGCCCATCATAACCCGCTAATGTCCTATGCTTGAGAGACATGACATGGTATCCAGGGGTAACGTTGAAGATAGTGATGATTCCAAACCCACCAGAAATATAAACCAGGACCCAAACCCCAAAAAACAATGGACAAGAATTTCGATACTGGTCCGGTCCGATCCGGTTGCTTTTTGACAATGCGCCTGCCTTTGTAACTCTTATCGGCCACTCGGTCCCTGTTGAGTCTCGGACGTGTACAGAAAAGGAGGAATATAGACCTGGGGGGGTAAGAAGATGACGAGGCACAAACACCCCCCCCTTAGGTGAACCGTTGTCACCTTCGTCGCCTAAGCTGATTCCCTCTCCTGCAGGCCCGTCTCGCCGAACTTGTGGAGAAGGTCCTTCAGCGGCTGAGGCGTGTCGGCGTCGGCCGGCCCGTCGTTGGTGGCCTGGGAGGAGCTGGTGCGCGGGCTATTGCCACCCGTGGTGAGCGCCGGCGTGGGCATCGCCGAGTTCATGTCGGACTGGGAGCTTGGTCGTGATGCCGTCGCCCCGTTCAGGTCACCGTTGGCGCTGCTAACACTGCCCTGCCTCGAAGCGGTGGCCCGGAACTGGCTCATCAGGTTCTCAAAGGCCGCCCACTTCTCATCAGGGCGGCTGGGCTTCTTCCTCGAAAGGTAGTAGGGCCGGCTCTCCCTGATGAGCGTCTCCTGTTCGACACCTCGGAGGTGGAAGCAAAGTTTCTCTGTCGTTGAGGTCAGCGAGCCGCCCGTGGTCCGCCGTGAGCTAGACTTGCAAACCGGGTGGGGTTAAGACTTACGGACAACGTAATTGGCGTATTGGTCCTTCCACATTGCCTGCAGCAGACCGCTCCCGTCCTCTGTGCGGGTGTTCATGATCAGGTTGTACATCTCCAGCCGATCCTCCGGCTCTCCGAGCTCGATGCAGTGTTCCATAACATTGCTTGCGTGCTTCTGCTTGGAGTAGACCAGGAACTGGTCGATGCAGAGACGGATGATTTCGGCGCGTGCCTGTGGCCCTCCCACCTTGAGGACGATCTGGGTGACGTAGTTTCCCCATTCGTCCGGCACCAGCCTGTGCGCGTCGCGGAGGAATTCCTCGAGGATGAAGGCCTTGTCATCATCTGTGCCCTCCTCGAGCATCCGCTGGATCACCCTGCATGCGTAGTTGTGCGTCGACAGCATGAAGACCTTGCCGCGGATGCCGTTGTAGACAAAGTCGATGTGCTCCCTGGGTAGCTTTTGTATGATCTTCTGGATCACATGGTTCGAGTGGACACCCTGCATCAGCTTCAGCAGCTCGGGCTCGAGCTCCTTGGCCAGCTCGACCTGCTGCTCGACGAGGATGACGTTGAAGGCCTAGAAAGGGGTCAGCAGGGGCGCAGCGTTACAAGACTTTCGCATTCTGCTCACCTCCTGTACACATCGACAGCCGTAGATGTTCATGGAGAGTTGCGCCACATTTCGTTTCATCTTAAGCGCGAGCGTCTTCTTCTGCGCGAGCGTCCCGTACTCGAACAGCTTCTGGATGATGTAGTTGCCAAACACGTCTGTCATCATCTGGTTGGCATTCACGATGATCTCCTGAAAGACCCTCTCCTTGTCGTCACTGTTAGCAATGGGAATCTTCTCCTGGAGGAACCGAGACCCCTGTTGGTCGCCGGCAAAGTCGACCACGAAACCGAAAATGTCCTGCGGCTCATCAGTACTAGTTACGCCCGTACCAGAACAATGGCCCACGTACCCTGAGCTGCCACTTCTTATTGGCGCCTTTCGACGTCTTCTTGAACTCCTCGAGTAGCTGGGGCGTTGCCTTGAAGCCCTCGAAAGGGTTCTGGGTGCGCCCAGGTCGGCCGGCGTAAGCGGCCGGGCCAGTAGGAGCAGCGTAGTATGGTTGTGCTTGCATGGTGTAATTCTGGAGATATACCGATTGCATTAGTTGCGCCTGGGCCTGCAGCTCGGAGAGCTGGCTCTGGCTCATCTGGCCGTACGGGGAGGGGTCGGCATATGGCAGCTGGTTGGGCAGCCTTGCCAGCTGGCCCTGCGATCGCTGGAGCCCGCTGAGGGCGTCTAGGTCCACAGCCGTGGCCGGACTAGCCCATGGCTCGGCAGGCCTGGCGTTACTGAAAGCCCTCGGGCTGTTCATGGCGGACTGGTTGACGCTCATTGCCAACGACTCCCGCCTGGATCCCTGGGGGAAGGTCTGGCCGACACCGTTTCCGGGCGTCCAATCGCCCCAGCGGAAAATCTGCGACGGCGCGGGTGTGCTCGCCTGGACCGTGCTGAAGCGGGGGGCCGGGGAGTTGTTTGGCATGTTCCTCGCGAGGGACTGGCGAGCAGCCTCCAGGGCGGCATCATCAAGCTGTGGGTTCAGGCTCTGGGACCTCGAGGGCTGCTGTTGCTGATAGTATGAGGAGGAGGCGGCGCTGAGGGATGGTCTGGAGGCATGCCGGCTATGTGACGGGATCGTCTGGGGGAACCCAGACACCTCGTTGTTATACTGCACCGCCGATTCGCTCTCGGACTGCCTGGACGACGGCAGCCCCGAGTCGCGTGGCGCCGCGCCATCGTCAAAAGCAGAAGCCCCCGAGTTGGTTCGTGCAAAGCCGCCGAACCCGGACTGGAAACTGTTGACCCTGCCGGCCGGGCCCGAGATACTGCCGCGGCTGATCACGCCGTTGGATGCGTGTGCGAGGGTGGTGGGAAAGGTGTTGCTCTGCCCGTTCGTCAAGCGGCCTGGGTTGAAGGACGGGGAGGTGTTGGAGTTGTTCTGAAACGCGGACGGTGGGGAAGTGCTTCGTGATGCGTTCGGTCGAGATTGGACGTTGTCCTGGGAGGGCCAGTTCCCCAGGCCGCTGGAGGGCCACCGGGTGGCCTCGGATCCGCCCTGTCGCTGTGCAGAGTGCAGCGGCTGGCCGGCCGCTGTGGGTTGTGTCAATTTTGCGCCCTCGATGTTCCAGTTCTTGTACGCACCAGCAACACCTGAGTTGTCCCTCGAGGAAAGGTTATCCGTCATGGGGTTCTGGGTCCATATACTGCCGGCTCCTCCTACTGGTGCGGTGCCATTCAATAGGGAATTGAAGAGGTTCGTGGGTCTGGAGTTGCGGTTCGGTTGCTGGCCGTGAATCTGCTCCGAGGGGTCAGCCGCAACCTCAAAATCGGTGCCCTCCGGCCGGCTACACGAGGCGCATAGGGTCAAAGGCGCAAGCGCACAACAAGACGGAACGACAGTGCAGGGCGTATCATCTGGGCCAGGCGCATCCGTTCTGTGACAAGAATGTGCGCGGTGACGAGGCTTCGGGCGACTCACTGGTTGGGTGTTGTCCATGGCGGGCGTCACTCCGGAGCGGAGCCTCGCGGTCGAGAATCGGAAATTATCTTGCTGAATGTGTGCGGGATGGTAAATAGCCTGCGGCAGAAACCAGCTGTACGTTAGACAGGACAACAAGACGTAATTAGAATGGAAACAACGGGCGCGAAAGCGTGCGTGCGAACCAAGATGTACAGAGAAGGAAGATGATTTTGAAGTATTGATGCAGGAAGGCAAAAGTTGGGGGAGCAGGACTCGGATTGCGAGGAGGTTGGAGTGTGTGCTGCAAATGCGCTAAGATAAAGGCATTCAGCTGTCAGGCCAGGCACAAGCAGGCAGGCCCCTAGCCCATGGGCCAGAAAGGAGGGAGGGAGCACTACCGACGAGCCAGTGGAGCCTGGCTTTGGCCTAGGGCCGAGTCGCTCCACCCTCGCAACTTGCAAGGGCTGATAGGTGCGCGGGCTGGTGTGTACTGGTAGAAATCATACCTTTGTGGGCGTGGGCGGGCGAGGATTGCCCGAAGGGGCGTGCTTGTTGTATGCGCGCGTGTGTATGTGGATGTGTAGAATGTGTAGTATGTTATCCGTATCTGTCTGTGTACCTTTGTAGATTTTGTTCAGAGGACAGTTTGCCTGTGGTCTCCTATGTGGTCCTGTAGTGCGGTGCTGCCGTCCGGGGTGGCTTGCGAGGGACAGGGCAGGGCGCAGGGTGGTGCTGGGTCAATCAATGCAAACAAAGTGTCGGGCTTGGGTTGCGACAATGCAGTTGACGGGGACGGAGGCGGGCGGGAAGGTTAAGGTTGCATTTGTGAAGTCTTAAGGTTGCATTCCAGTGCCAAGGGGCAGCAAATGTGGATGATCCAGCCTGCGAAACACCTGAGACCAGACCGGGGAGGACCTGGAAACGGGCGACAAAGTACGCACAGCACGAGCGCGGTGCCAGCCAGACAAGCGGCCAGCGAGCCCACTTTGAGAGAACAGAGAGACAGCCTCGTGCTGCACTGCGCCGGCTCTGCACGGCACCACAGGCGCACTGGACCGGAGCTGAGCTGAGCTGAGCTGAGCGGCGAGCTGAGCGGGGGGAGGCGAGGCACAGCACGGCACTGTACCAGACTTTCGACGGTGATAATATTCAAGCACTGACTGCACCGCGGACCACACCTTGGGCGGGCCGAGCTCCAGAAACACGACGAGAAGTGAGAGGAGAGGGAGCGGAGGCCGGAGGAGGGACCCTGAAAAGGCCTGGGATTTTTGCGGGGTGAGCTTCTTGAATGTTTGAGATACTGACTCCGGTGTGGCTCCTGTCTGCCACAAGTCAACATTAGCGCATTGTTAGCAGCAACATGTCAGGGGTAGACCCGTCCGAGACGATGTCGCAAGTCACACGACTCACCGCGACGATAAACACCCTGTCGGTCCTGTCGAGCGTTTTTTTGTTCTCTGTCAGTCTTCTTGGCTTTCAGTCCTGTCGAGGGTTTTTTTTTCTCTGTCAGTCGTCTTGGCTTTTGAATTTTGGCTTTTGTGCTTTCCCCCGGCCGAGTCGATGGTGCAGGCCTTGATGCGCACCGGCGACAGAGTCCGGCCGTCTTCTAAGGCGGCAAGCGGCAAGCGGCAGCGATGGCCCTTGGTGTCGTGCGAGGTTGCAGGTCGATGGAGTGGAGGATGCGGCAGCCTAGCGCTCCTGCGTGCGCACTAACTGCGCCGGGACGGGCAAACTCTCCGCGGCTTTAATTATTGCAGACGTGCAGGGGCGGCACCGGACTGGCCAGGCACCTAATATGGCTGGTAAGGCTGACACTCCCTCGCCCGACTTATAAAGTGCCTGCTTGTCCGTGAATGCCGGGCTCCTTGGTGACGGTATGTGGTTCCCGGGAGTCAGGAGATCGGACGAGGCGGCCGAAGCGGGTCGGCCAGCTTGCCCTCCGTGGCAACAGGCTCAGATGATGCTCGATTGCTCTAGATGGTCTCGCGGGACAAAGTGTGGCCTGCGAGGCGGCGGCAGTGATGGATCCTGTCGGTAGCTGCAGGGAGGTGTCAGCTTGCAATATGTCAACCTGCCTGCCTGCCTTCCTAGCTGCCTGCGTCTCTTGGTCATGCCACGATGTCACGTCACTGGGCTGGGAACCAAAGGGCGACTTACTGCAGGGCAACAGACGAAGACTTAAACGGCCGGGTGTGTGACGGACGACTCCGCGGTGACGAGCAGGAGTAGGGAATAATGGATATGTAAATACGTTTGCGGCGTGGAGGGGCGACTATGACTGGGTGTTGCTGTTGGCGTTGGCCGATGATGTACAGGGCTATTTACGGCTTGATATGTGACGGTCAGCGAGGGTGGTGTGGATACTTTTCTTTTTGTTTTGTTCCAAGGCTGTAACAGTCGCAAGACCAACGAACGACCAGCAGTCCGAAAGACCTGTTTTTTTTGTACGGTGGTGTATTTTGGTGCATATGATTTGTAGATACCAACAAGCTGGAGAAATGGACAAGAAAGTAGGCTGGGGTGGGGGGACGTGGTGGGATTTTGGACATGTGTTCCCTTCAAGAGTACAGTTAGCAGGGGGCGGGGGGAGGAGGAGGAGAGAAGGGACGGATGCTTTGCAAGTCGAAATGACGGGCAATGAACAACTACGCAGGGCAGCAGGCAGGGCAGCAGGGAGGACAGCAAGAGATGAGGGCGACTTCCCCATCTGGCCAGCCTCAGCTCTTGGAAGGGAGGAACAGCTTTCGGGTCACGTCAGGTCGCCTCACCCACACAAAGATAGAGGTAGGCTAGACTACTGTACCCCGTACCCCAGATGCCAGTACCAGATGGACGGCCGTCAGATCGATGCATCGGCCCAGAGCTGGCCTCCCTCCCTCTCCCCCACGCCGCACACTCGCTCACCTAGAGAGACCCTCCGCCGCCCGCACCTCGCACCCACCGCCTTGGTCCAGGTCAATATTGTGTCCATCTAATTTGCACCCAGGGCCCATTGGCATTCTATCCCGCCTGTGGGCCTCCAGGTGCGGTATAGGGTGGTCTCTGCCACAGCAAATACTGGCATGTTGGCCCGCCACTAATAATAACCAACCTCTACCAAGGGAGCACTTGAGGCGCGAGGGACATCATCGGCACTGCCGTTCATGCACATCGCCAGAACAAAGAGACTTCTGCTTGCTCCGCCGCGCGTTCGCTTAGCCCGGCGGCAGACGGCCAACCCACATCGGCATACAGCTGTCTGTTGGACAGCCAACTGGACATCCCAAGTTGGTCGTCTGTTTCTGTCCACAAAGCGGAAACAGGGGGCCGTGACAGCAAGGTCAGACCAGCACCAGCCGAGGCGACTCTTGTGTAATGTGTGTGTGTGTGTGTGCGGGCGAGGGCCGCATAACTGTCCGTGAACGGTCATGGTGAAATCGCGGCCCCTACATATTGGCTGTGTGAGATGCGCGCACATCAGGAACGTCACAAATTTTAAAATTTCAAGCCACTTTCGCTGGCAAGCTGGGCAGAGGGGATCGACAATCAATAAGCTAAGCTCGTATAGGTCGTCGTCTTCCATTTCTTCGCTCCCCTTTCTATTCGGCACCGGCCCTCGTGGGAGCCTACCAGGTTGGAGCAAAGTCTATATTGGAGTTTGTGATAAGTTAATCCACCACGTCCGGTCCCGCTGTTAGCTATTGTCAAGGGCTGTCACAATATTCGACCTTTCCGGTCGGTACCGTACGGACTAGACAGCACAGAAGGGTTCTGTCAATTAGTTTCGAGACCCCGGGACCCCCTTTGCTGCACCCTCAGGCCTCAGCGGCCAGCCGCGGAATGCCCCGCAGTTTTGGTGGGGGCAGAGACCCGTGGGCGGCTTCTGTGCGGGCGGATCTTGCATTGCCATCTGCATATGAAAAAAGGCCGGTAGGCTGGTTGGCTGCCAGGCTGGTGGCGTGCCCGCATGTACCCATAAGAGCATACCTACACTAGCAGCTACAAGAGGACACCGAGGGCCGTCTCGTACGGTATTATTGTTATGATCCAACCCCTTCCCCACAAGGGCCTGCAGCTTGGCCTCCGCGCCGTCAAAGCTTTTTCGTAAAGACGCAGTGATCGTCATATTGCCCTTACTGCCAGGTAGCTTGACGTTTCAGAATTTTTGCCTTCAGGAGAAGCGCACAGGACTACAGCTGACCAGCAGACCACAGTGACCTGCAGGAGTAGCGGCTCTGGACTGAAGCCTCTTCTGCACCAACATCCAACGACAGCCGCCGCCCCCTCGTCCCTGGTCGCATATGGCCCGTTGGCCAATCCTCCGGGTTGGGTCTAGCTTTTGGGCCTGTTCTATTTCCATCCGCCCATGGCCTTTGACTCCCGAAGCTTCGCATGTGGCAACGCAAATCAAACATCACCAACACAAGGTTCGGTTCCGCCAACAGCGTCTTGTCCCAAAGAACAAAGGGCACCGAGCAACAATCGTGCGCATTGAGCTGTGAGGGTTGGGGGCGGGTAATCGAGTTGCTCCACCATGGGCTTTCATACCGGGGCAGAGCTCCAGGGGGAGACAGGACCCCGCCCTTGTGTGACCCGAGGTGAAACATCGCCAATGGCAGTTCGGGCGACCTGTCCGTCACGACGCCTCGCAAGATCGTCTTAACACTTCGGACGAGGTGATACTCGCCCGTTAGCGAGCATCCCAGGCCTCCCGACGAGGGCCGATCCCACCGGCAAAGACACACTGTGACTTCATGAGCATCCATCCTTGCGTGGGTAGAGAGGCGGTGAGCCGAGGACTAGCCCCGACAAATAGCTGCGTGAGCAGGTCGTCAACGACAATCAGCGACAGCCATGTGCTCTGCTTTTCCATGGCCGTGGCCGTCTGCTGCAGCAGGCTGCGGTGCCCTGTCCAACGAGAGACCCCGTCGCGTTGCATGAGAAGCAGTTCACGTACGATGCATTCTAGTAACCTGTTTGCCTGCAATGTTGCCCCGTCGTCTTGACCCGGGCTGGCGTCGGGCAAAGACGCAGGCCACGCCGCGGACGGGGCGGGACAGGCGACAGACACCACAGTCTTGTAGAACAGCCAAAAACCGTTTCTTGGGCTGATGGCGGTCGGTAAGTGGCCAAGACAAATCTGCGGTTCACGACATGGTTGCGCAGCCGCGCAGGCTGCCATCGAGATTGCAGGGCGCAGGCCAGACTCGCACAACGGCAATGCCATGGGTGACAAGACGTCCACTCTCAGCCAGAGCGGGCCGTGGGATAGGCTCAGCCGCCTCATGCGCTGCGAACAAACCGACAGCACAAGCTCTGAGCCGGGTCACAGCCCGCCGGCCAGCGGACGAGGAGGTCGAGACTGACGGAGAGGTGCGACCAGCCAGCGGTGGCGAGCGAGGGGAGCTTTGAACCAGTCATATATGCTTTCGGCGAATGCAGGGTCGGCGAGGAAACAGGAGCCACTGCCAATGCCGAAGCTTCCTGCGGCCGGCAATGGCATTCCCTGTCGACACATGGTAACGCCGGAGTCCGGATAAAATGATTGACGACGACGCAAGGCGATTCGCTCCGGGGACGACTGCACGACCGACTGGCCAAACCTATTTCTGGAAGCAGGCGAGCGCCTCTGAGCCCAAGGTGAAGAAGCGATTGGGTGTCCAACCAAAATAGTCAGTCTGGCGATTTACCGGTGGCCGTGTCCGAGAGCTTGTGCTTGCATGGCTGCAATCCTGCATCGCTGCGTGTCAGGAGGGTTTGAAGTGAAATTCTGAAGAGGACTGGTCATTGTGAGGGCGCGGCTGAGAAGGACCAGAGGACCTGAATCGGAGGTGATCTCCATGATCTTCATACAACGCGACACATGGTGAGCATGGACTCGAACGTAGGGCAAAACTCTAATGGGGTTTCTCGTGGGCTCTCGTGCAACCCTCGAACTATTGGCAAGAGTTTTTCCTGGCTCGCATGTTTGCCAAACACGTCAGTGCGGTGACGTTGCAGTTGCAGGAGGACTCAACGCCGCCATCCAATGCGAGCCCATGCAACCAAGCTGTTGAACCAGGTGAGCGGGACGTATGGGTTGGTCTGGACTCGGGTCCATGACCGGAATGGCTGGACTGGCTGACTGGCTGGCAGGCTGGGCGGGTCAGCGGCGACGCATGCAACACGAGGGGAGGCGGCCCCCAAGCAGGCAGTGAGCCGAAGGGCGCAGCTGGCCTGGCCTGGCAGCCATGGGTGGCCACCGGCGGCAGAGTCTTTGTTCTATTGGTTTTGTTGAAGAGAACGGAAATTCGCGCACCCTCAATCGGAAGGCACGCACCCTCCCTACTATTCAACCAATCAGAGCACAGGACCTTAAAGTCTTCACAACTTCAACACATAAGGCTTCTTCACAATTAAGGGACCACAAACAGGGCGGGTTGGTCCTCTGGGAACTCGGGTCGTGCCTACCGGCCCTACTCACGGCCCTCCGCTATGCTTCGCGCTCCGGGGCTCGCCCCCTTCACCCCAGCCAGCCCTTCGAGAAGAAGTCATCTTGTATTCTATACTTCTTAGTCAGCAAATGGGTGCGCGCCTTCCGATTGAGGGTGCGCGAATTTCCGTTCTCTTGTTGAAGGTCCATATCGAAGCCAGGGGACGGGACGAACGTCTGGGCCGGACATTAGGTGCCGGGCCGATGTGCTTGTCCTGACTCCTGGCTGTCGGATTCCTGCCAAGTTAAGTTCAAGGTCCTTGGTGTTTAGTGCATGGATGCTGGACAAAGGGGACGAGGACGAGTGCTCCGTACCTAGAAGTACATGACTTGACGACGATGTCCTGGTGAGGCGAGGCGAGGCGAGGCGAGACGATCCTCTCAGCCCTCGCACAGTTCAAGTGGGCGCTGGAGCCACAAGAGAGGCCAAGCCAAAAGGGAGGACTGATCCCGGGCGGGCGGGCGGGCAGGCAAGGCAAAGCATCGTGACCTTGAACGATGCTGATCAATTTGGTTTGCGCAGCCAGAAGGGGTAAGGGGAAAGGGCCAACAGGGCAGCCTGGGCAGGCGGAGGTCTGGAAGGACCCCCAAGCAGCAGGAAAAGCCGCCATGGGTGCCAAATTGGGTGACCCACTCGCTCCCTTCGTTTACAAACAGGCGAGGCGACTGATTGGATGTGTGTTCCTGAGCGTTGAAATTGAGCTGACGCTAGGGCGGCAATGATCAGGGGTGCAGCCGGGCGCGGCCAGGGAGTGGCCAATGGGCGCACAGGGCCTCGCGGGCGTGGTTTCCACCCGAGCTTTGGCGCCGTTGCATCCCCCCGTGCGTACCTGCATTTCTGTCCCTGGCACCTGCAGTCTAGTTGCATCGAACCGAACCCCATCGTCAATCCGCAGTGGTGGAGTTGGGTCCATCCTCCACCCAGCCAGTTCCAGCCAGTCCAGCCAGTCCAGCACAGTTGCCAGGTGCCCAGTCCCCAATCTGGGCCATGCCAACACAGCCAGACAGCCAATGCGATCGATCAGGCAAGCCGCCCGTCAGCCCGTGTGCGTGTGCGGTGTGTGTGTGCCAGGGCAGAGGCGGCAGGGCAGGCCACGATAGGATAGGACAGAGCAGGACAGGACAGGGCCGGCCTGCAGTCAAGTCTGCAGCGCAGCAGTGGGCGGCGGTAAGCCATCGATAGTGTGCATCCGCGGGTTTAGTGATGCTGGGTGGTGTGGGTGGTGTGCTCTTTGTGGCTCGAGCGGCTCGATCTCATCTAAGGGGATGGCCTGCCCGTGTCCTGCCCCTTCCAACCCTTTCCTTTCTTTCCCTTTCCTTCACCACCTGGTCCATTGTCACCGGCGTCGTCAAGTCCACATTCGTTCCTTCCCAATACTGCAATACTGCATGCACATGTTGCACTTACACTGCTCGTAATCCCTCGAGATTAGACTTTGTCCCCTCCCTGCCTCCTTGGTCTCGGCTTCATTCTTTCAGTCGAGTTTCCGTCCTTTCATTTTCCCTTGTGTGTACTTGACCTGCCCACCGTCCCCGGGAATTCCTGTCGACTGCGCTGCCACGCGATAAACAATCAGTAATACCTAGTGATCCTGACTCTTCCAACCCCGACCTGACAGCCTGGGCCATTCTCCCTCGAGGTATGTCGGGCGCCCTCCGCATTCTTATACCAGCGCCTCATGATTCAGATCCCCTTCCTCCCTTGTCCCACCGCCCGCGGCAAGACATGGTCCCAGAGAGACACGCCCTGTGCGAAGTACCATATACTGACACCCTTGGCAGGATAACCACTGTCGTTCATTGCTCGATCCAGAGTATCATCATCACTATCGTTTTGCTCATCACACTCATTCATTGAATACCATACACGTATCAACCCAACAAGACAGACAACAGCTAGGAACAGCAAAACCGCATCCGCCATGCCTGCCATGTCGAAGCTCATCGAACGAAACAACCTCGCCATGCGCGACGGTCTTGCCGGGGAGGATGGTGGCAACTCCAACGTCATCAACCTGTTGATCATCATCCTGAGTGTAGTGGTCGTCCTTGGCCTCGTGCTCGGCGGAGTCCTGTTCGGCCTCCGGAAAATCCGCAACAAGCAACAGAGAGTGCGCAAGGACTCCTTACCCCAGTACAACGACGTCGTGCAAGACGCCAAGCGCAGCAGTAACCACCGCCGTCTGACCATCGAGACCAGAAACGGCCACAGTAGCGTGCTGGTCTTCAACAAGGACGGGCAGCCAATGCTGTCGAACCCTAGCCAGCCCCCTCACTCGCCCGACAACGTCCCCGAGATCCACATCACCTTCCCCGAGGAGGAGGACGACAGTGGGCGCCGCAAGAGCGGTCGCGTCCTCGTCGTGCGCGTCGGCGACAACGCTACCGTCGGCATGGAGCCCCTCGACGACGAGCAGCTTCCCGCCTACGAGAAGGAGAGCAAACACCAGTTCTACTCCATTGACATGGACGACATTGGAGGGCTGAAGGAGAAGTCGCGCGAGGACTACCACTAGACCAACCGACACCACTCACCACCATAACCACCACTCGGACCGAACGTCACCGACTGATTACGACCACTCATATATATATACCTGAGGGCTTGGCGAAACACAAGCCCTCCCCCAGTAACGACTTTGATACCGATTTTCTGAAAGGGGATGGGGCGTTTGGAGGAGGTGCTCTCAGTTTGCCATTTTCCGCTGTCTGCAATCGAGGATACCCCTGCGCACGCTTTCGCTTCTCGACCCTGCCGACCAGCCGACCGACTGCTCTGCCACGGCTTCACTGGCTAATGCTGGACGTGTGGAGGGAGAACGTGGAGCGGGGAGCAGGAGGCAGGGTCGAGGACGGGGGAACCAAGCCAAGCCCCCCAGGCGACAAATGCGCCGGCCGAGGCGCTCCTGGGGTGTTCGCTCACCTCAGGACAATGACGGGCGCCTGTGTACATACGGCGCGCGACTGCAAATCAAGTACTGTGTTGCATTTCACTGCATTTGGGCGGTCGATTTTGGGGAGGTTCCCGAAGGATGAATTCCAAACCAAGCGAGCATTTGCAAGGGCTGTTTTCTTTGACACTCTAGCTTGCGGAATTTGTACATTCTAATATTGTATAATCACTATTCTTAAGAGCCTAGAAACAGCAGTGTTTCTTTGACGCAATGCCTAGTCTCAGGTTTTCCTACCCAATACCTATTGAAAAGAGGCGAAAAAACGTCTGATCTGGTACAGCTTGTCCAGCTTCCCAGGGAGCAATGTTTACAAACACTTTATATCGGAAACGGACGCGGAATCCGGCTGATGGGTCACATTTCGGTCGTCTCTCTCCCTCGGCGCCCGTGTTCCAGAACCCGGCACCCTGGGGGGGGGGGGTATAGAAGACGTATGCGCACTCCACTCTGGGTCCCCCCGAGTCACGCTTGATAGCGCACTCCTGGCATGACACCATTGTCATCGACAGGGAAAGCAAGTTCTCGCTGGACATGAGGCAGGGAGGGCCACCTGCTTTCCCACCCGGCGGAGCCCTTTTTGCGGAGCAGCCGCACTCGGCTCCTGTGTGGAGAATGTTTTGTTTTGTGTACTGTATTGTGTACGCAGGCAGGCCCCAGTGCTGGGATGGACAGCACTGAGCCTGAGCAGCTCGGCTTGGTTCAGTGCAGTCAGTCGATTAGAAAACAAGAAGAAAAGAAAAGTTCCAACTTACATTGACTCTCCTTGCCTGTGTTTTTGTATCATCTTTCAACCCGAGGGCAACTCGGGGGTGTCATCACGGCGAAAAACACAATACCAAACCTAATCTTGCCAAGCCGGAAATTTCCACCATTCCTCCCTCGCCTCGCTCGCTCGTTTGCCAGGCAGGCGGGAACGGGTTGATCATCACGTGGCTTGGGAGGACTATGGCCATCGAGTCCGATGCGACACTCCCCATCATCGACTTTATCGCCGTAAACATGTTTGGTAGTCTAAATAAAGAGACAATGCCGCTCGGGCATGGTTCGTCTGATGTGTTAATTAGCCCACACACAAAAAAAAAGCCACCCGGCTTGCGCCCCCCCCCCTCTAGCCCTGGGGAAACAGGGGGCGTTCGTGACGGGCGTTGGGGCGGCCTGGGCGTTTTGGGAGGGTTGGCCCCCAAAAAGATGACGGCGCCTAACTGTATCGGTACCTAGGTGGCCAGGCTAGTATCGAAGCAGGTGCTAGGCTGGCTCCTTTTCGCGGATCCTGCGTGGTGGGCACTTGGTGGGCGGGGGCCCGGGATTGACTGGCTGATTGATCACCTACACACATATCTTCAGCGTGGCCCTTGGGTCCGCCCTTGGCCGCCCCCCCCCCCGGTTCTTGCTTTTGTCACTTGTCGTAAAAAAAGCCCACGACTTCGTGCCTGCAGCCGGGGGGGGGGGCGGGAAGTGACGATCCAGATATGTAAAAACAGGGGACCTTGTATACTAGAACGACATCAACGGGTGTGGGAGCCGCCTGCCTACCCTACCTGGTATGTGAAAGGCCTGTCCAGCCTTCCTTCTTCGAGCCGGCCACGGATTACGGCGAAACCTGTCCTGGGAAGAGGCTACGCCCGCCGAAGCGATAGACGCCCACCACCACCACCACCACTCCTTCCTGATCGCAGTAACCACATCGGGCACGCCAGTGGCCGTGGAGGCGTCTGGCCCTTGCAGGATAGCCGCGGTTGGGAGGACGGCGGGTAAGTATGTACCTAGGTACGGAGTAGGTCGGGGCTGGTCGGCGGTGGGCCTTACTGGTGCCGGGGGATGGGCGGGCATTGGCGGCGGAGGATGTCGTCTGGGCTCGACTTGAACTACCCGAACAGCGATACAGTTGAGGTCGTGCGCAGGTCGGGGGTGGGAATGCTCTACATTCTAGTCTGATGAACTCGCTTCGAAGACAAATTCCGGCCTGTAGACCTGCGCCAGCGCACAACTTCCACCGCTGCTCCTTCATTCAAAGTACGATGGTGGGCCATTGAGCCGTGATTTGTGGGTGCTTCTCGGCCCACTAGGGTTTCGTCCACGATGCGCTGCCTGGTTGTTTCTCGGCCCGTTGTGGTTTCGTCCATTATACGGCGCCTGGTTGTTGCTCGGCTCGTTATAGTTCGGAATGGCGGCGGCACTCTCACTGCCCATGGCGCGCTCCTCGTGTACCATCAATGGCGTCATGTGGTACGCCCTATCAAAGTTCGTTTGCCGACGACGCGGCATGGACCGGGCATCGCCATCCGGGTGCGCGCCGGTCAGACCCAGGCCGGCACCGTACGGGTTCGTGAAACAAGCTTGGGCATCTGCGGGGCTGGTTCCCCCGCTGCCTTGTGAAGGGGATTTCGACACAGGGTCGCAGCCCCGTGCCTCTGCGAGCCAGCCGGGTATCTCTGGGGCGCCGCTGGCCGGGAGCGAGATGGACGCCGCCGGGTCTGTGGCAATGCTCATCGGAGGCGTCATCAGCGCCGAGCTCCGTTTCTTTTCAATCTTCTTCGATTGGAGCCAGCGGTCAGCGGCTGACCTGTTGTTCCTCTGCTCGTACCTGTCCGCTTCTTCTGGTCTGAAGACACGCTCGAGGAGGTCATGAGGAGCCGGTAGTCTCAACGGCCCTGACGGCCCGGCCGCGGGCGACGTGCTAAAATTCCGGGTCATGGTCAGCGCTCGATCCGGGAACATACTCGCGCGAGCTATCTTTGAGTCTTGTCTACGTACCCTACCGGGCCCACATGGTTGTTGTGAGGGTTATGCGAAAAGTTGTCGACCTCGTGCTGAAGTTCTTGGGTCTGGGCCGCGTGATTAGCCAATGACCACAACTTCGGTGTGAAGAACAGAGGGGGACCTAAGCTCACTATTTCTAAAACACGAGGAAAGAAGCGGGCGAAGCGAGAGATTAGTTGCATGTTGGACTGTACGAGAGCCGCTAGGGCGGCATCATCGACAGCTTCCGGGCGGGCCAGGGGCGCGGTGCTGGATTCAAGGTCATTAAACAAGCGGTGTCGCCTTGCCGCTAGCAGTATCTTGGTCGGTTGAACAACATATATTGCAAACATTTCGTCCACTGTGAGGAGCTCCTCGGTGCTGGTCCCGGGGGGCCGCCGGGCCACGATGAGCTGCAGAACCCGCAAAAACCGGGCCAGACTGACTGCGTAGCCGACCGCCTGTCTCTGGGATTTGTAAACAAAGTCGTTAGGCAACTCCTCTAACAGGTCTGGACTGGCCGCCTCGCGGATTCCTGGTACCGTGAAGCGGTAAAGGTCAATGTGGAGGACGTGGGAGAGAGTGTGCAGCATTATAAAGCTCGGCCCCCATGGCGAGTTTAGAAAGCGGTTGATATTGGCATCTGTCAGCAAGAATTCCTCGGGCAATGTCGTCCTGAAGACAACTAGCTGGCTCTGGAGGCGGTTGACCAGTGACATCACCTCAGAGGGTTCCATTTGTGGCCTGGTTGTAAGGCGTTTCGTATCACCAAGGATTTGGTGTCGTAGCTGGTGGAGCCTCAGGTGGTATGTATCCAGACAGAGGTTTCTGGAATTGCTCGGCGTTGGATTAGGCCAGCATGCGGTGGCGTCCTTTTCCTTTCTCATTACACCTACGGCCTTGGAGGCTTCATCCCTGACGGCTTGGTACAACACCTCATCGCTCACGGGAAGTCCGAGGTGCATGTTGTCATCCCGCAGCACGAGGTGCTCGTCGGACCCATCCGCCAGCAGACGGTCCAGTATGTAGCACGCCCACACCAGCCGTCGATTCATCTCCTGTTCGACGAGGGACCCGCCCGCGCCGTCCCTGTTGAGCTGCAGGGCAGTAATGAGGCGTGCGGCAAGCGACATATACATCCACACCTTGCCCGTCTGATTCTCGTGCCAGAAGTGGCAGATGGCACATACGAGCACAACCAGGTTTTTGTGGGCCGGCTTGCGCAGCAGCGAGTTGATGTTGCTGAAAAGGTAGAAGTCCACACGGTCTGCGCACTGTTCGGCAAATGGGACATGTTCATGGCCGGGGGCGATGATCCGAGAGGTCATGGCACAGACGGCGGCGGCGACGATGGGGTGGAGCTCCCTCTTGTCGATCTCGGCGTAGGTTGTGTCGGGATGCAGGATGCCCATGCAAGGCATCGGTGCCCACCGTAAAAAGAAACCTCCAAAGTGTCTCAGCAAGGTGTCTTTCCGAGCTAGCAGGTCTCTGCGGATGCGTTAGCTGCAGATTCCAGCGCAAGTCATCACAGCTGGAGTACGGACTCTGCGTATAGGTTCCCTGCCGAAGACCGTCGAGCCTGGGTCGTCATGGCCGGAGAGATGGGCGATGGCAGCGGGGTTGCCTCGTGTTTGACGGCCACAAGACCAGGACCAGCTGGAGCCTTCTGGCTGTTGCCTCGGCGGGCTGACAGCGGAAAAGGCTCGTAGGACAAATTCCTTTTGGAAGGGAGATACTCGCAGGGGAGGTCACGCTCCTGACAACGCTGGCACCGTGGGGTCTCTCCAGAACACTTTGTCTTGCCAGCGCGGCACTGCTTGCACGCCCTCTGTGCCCGTCTCCTGGCATGCCCTGCCTCTGTACGGTCCCTCGTCGGGACGACCCGACATGCCTTGCCTGAAGAGATGGCTAGGTCAGTGTGTTTTCGTCGCTTGGACGGGGTGCGAGTGGTGCAAGGCAGGCTCACCTTGATCCTTGACGACGTCGCAATCCAAGCCAAATTCCTCGCATTGTTGGCAAGAGCCATTAGGAAGTATTGACCTATTGCAGCTGACCTGTGCAAACATGTTAGCAAGGTATCGCGTCAACAGCAGGCGAACACATGAACCAGCGGCCCGGTCCCTCGTCTCACCTTGCGCGCCCTGCAGTTTGAGCAGCTCTTCCAGCCAGTCTTTGAGCGGTCGCGGTTAGTAGGAGATGGCAGGATGTCACGGCCTGTGGTGCCTACCTGTTCCTGACCATTCTGATGTTGAGGCTCAGGAGCTGGGGGCTGGGCGCCTCCCTGGCCGCCCAAGCCAGGGACATACATCGGAGGCAGGCCTGGTGGTGCAGCTGTGACAGGCGCCACAACACCACTCGGTACCTGGCCGGCTGTCGCTGGGTCGTGCAAGCTCCCGACTCGTGCGTCCGCCGCGAGTCCCGGCGGGGGCGGAGGCGGAGGTGGACGGGCTTGACTTGGCGTGGCATAAGTGGCACATGGGGATGACAGATGTGGGACATTAACAGCCCGAGGACTGTGGCTTCCTTCTGCATGGCTACCCTGCATCTTAGTCGTTTACAGACGAGTTAATATGAACAAGAAAGAATTAGAAGAAGAATGTGGGGAGAAAAACTGAGCCAAGCATTGACTAGGAGGTTCTGCTTGTACTCGTCTCTTTATATCTGGCACAAATGTACCATGGGAAGGCACCAATGTACACACACACCTGCCTAGGTATCCACGCGAACACACACACTAGCAAGACCTAGCGTTTAACCTACACGAGTTCTAGGTAGGTACCTTCTCGAGACCAGCATTCTTCAACGTGGATCATTAGTCAATCAATGTATCTTTGTATGTACTGTACGTACCTGAGTTGTGGTGTTGAGGAAGGAGTAGCTCCCGCCTAGATAGCTCCCTTCCGCTTCGCCCCTAGGACAACTCCTCGTACACGTATTTCAGTTGATACTCTGTTGACGTGATTGCCAGCCACGCAGATAAGTAAGACCAAGCTCTGCTCCATCGCGTTGCTGGCCCGGAGGGTAGACCACTCATCAGAGATATCTGCTCACTTTTCTCGTAGAAAACCAGTCATGCGAGCAAATGGGCATTTGTCTGCTCTTAGAGAGATCACTATCAGGACAGCTATCACGACGGCATGATATCATAAGGTGGTGTTATACTGCTTAGAGTTTAAGTTGTTGGGCTTGAATTTCTGGTCTTTTAACCGGCCGGGCCTCTGTACAGGCAGTCATTGGATTCATGTCAGCTGCTAGCATCTCCGACCCCATCAAGGCTGTACATGTGAGATTTCACGAAGGCGCCATGTGTGATGGAACCGACCTATACCGGCTTCTATACTACTAGGAATGGTCAATGTTCGAATTAATTATCAATATGCCGCCGGTCTGTCACGAGTAGCAATTAGTAGGTAGCCGTCTCGCTGTGTGATAGGACTTTGGACAAATGTGGAATAGAAGCGAGACAAGTGGTTTCGTTTTAACCTCCATACATGTAAATTATATGTGCCGCCTTCATCCAGTGGTAAACAAAAACTACAGTGCCGATGACAGTGCAGAGAGAATACAGTGCGTCTGTGGGGACGTGGCCTCAACCTCGTGCCGCACAGACAGAAGTGAGACAAAATACGATATTATAAAGTCATTCAATTCACATGCTGCCATGGACCCAGCCCCCTCATTATGAGGACCCGGGCCACTTGAGGGCTCGTGGCTGGAGTATATATCCCGCAGGTGGGGTTTGACTTGGGCTGGACTATATCTAGAGAGTCATGGGGTTTCTTAGCCTCCTGCTCCCAAACGGGCCGACGCGGATACGGGCGGACTTGGAGCGCCACTACGGCGAACGGCTGGGAAAACCCAATTCCGATCATGTAAACCGCCATCGATAGGGCTTAGCATGAGGGGCGGGTATACTCAAGTACAGCGCTGGTACATCAGCCTGATGGTCTCACGTGTGACTCGCTTCAAAGGGCTACTGACGAACAGCTCGCCATGATATCAACGAGAATTGTCGCGAGCACAGGCTATGGCAGACACTATGGTGTAAAATCGCGCGACGGTTCGATTCTGGTTGCTCCTTTTATCTAATCCTCTGAAAAACACACGGCAGTGGTCACCACAGCTCAAGCACCGCCGCGGCCACCAGCGGCCTTGGCGCCGGCAATGTCGGCCTTGATCTCCGGGAGGGGGCGGCCCCTCTCGGACGGGGCGCTGATGTACTTTGTCTCGGAGAGGAACCGGAGGTACCGGCCGACGTCCTCCCTCGACACGCCGTAGCCCATGCTCTCGTCGACGCCCGTGTACCTGTCGGCGTCGGCCTTGAGCACGGCGACGGTGTTGCGGTCGTCCAGCTCGGGCGCCCGCGTGTTGGCGGGCAGGTCGTTCATGCAGAAGTGGAACAGCGGCATCAGCGCGTGCTGCTCCTGGTCCTTCTCGATGGGGCCCGCCGACACGAAGCGCTCCAGGTCCTCCTTCCACGCGTCGTACGACACCTCGGGCGCCTTGTACCCGTAGTACTCCAGGATCGACAGGTACTCGTTCATCCGCAGCCGCGGGTGCGCCGTCACCTGGGCAACGTGCATCCCGCCGCCGGCGATCGGGTTCAGCGCGCCCGCGACGACCACCCGCGCGACGTGCCTGACCGGCACCGCGTTCACCGTGTTGATGATGCGCGGCCGGCTCTGTAGCTGGATGCAACCCTTGAGCATTCTCACCATGAAGTCATCGACGTTAGACACTCCAGTCTCAGCGTCGCCTAGGATATACCCCGGCCTGATGATGGTTCCCTGTAGTCCGCGCTGGCCGGCGACGCGAATCAATTGCTCCGACACCCACTTGGTCTGGCCATAGCCGGTGCCGAGGCCCGTCCGAGAACCTAGCATGTTGTCCTCCTCGGTTACCGACCCTTGCCCTGTTCTGGTCAAGTCCTCAGACAGCTTTATGTAATGGTCCGAGTCCAGCACGGCAGTCGAGCTGACGAAGGCGAACCGCTTGGCCTTGCCCTCGTTGCACAGTCTCATGGCGTCGATGGTCGAGAGCACATTGGGGGGCATCATCTCGTGATACCGCTTGACCCAGTGCACAGACGCACCATTGTGAATGACCACGTCAACCTCCTTGCTCAGCCTTTTCCATGTGAGAATGTCGATGCCCAGTTGTGGCTGGGACAGGTCCCCCACGACACAGCTCAGTCTTGAGCTCCACTCGTCTTTCCACACGCCGTTCCCGCGGAGCGAGCGCTGCAGCCGCTCCAATGCCGCAGCAGGGTTCTTGGCACCTCGGACGTGAGCAATCAGCTTCATATTCGGCTTCGCACGCCCGAGGATCTCGTTGATGAGGTAAGCGCCCAAGAACCCTGTGGCTCCGGTGAGGAAAACGGTCAAGTTTTCCGCCTCCCCAACGTCGGCCGGCTGGTACTTGTCGGCCAGGATCTCAACCAGCTCGTCGAAGGATTTGGCGTACTCCGGCTCGCCTTCCTCAACGTCCACGCTTGCGCCTCCCTTGACCTTCTCAATCTGGCTGCTGAAGCCGTTGAGCGTAGGGTATTCGTATAGCATGTTGATGGAAATATCAACACCAAAGTTCTTGCGTGTCATCAAGAGTAGCTGCTGTGCCAACAGACTGTGTCCACCGAGGTCAAAGAAGCTCTGGTCCCGTCGGATCGTCTTGGGGTTCAGACCACGGACGAGCTCCGCCCACTTCTGGGCAACGGCGCGTTCTGTCTCGGTCAGGGACTCCCAGTTCTTCAGGTCCTCCTCCGATGCCTCCTCTGTCCGTTCAGACACATCAGGGAAGGGCAGGTTGGGCTTGTCGACCTTTCCGTTCGGGTTCAGGGGGAGCTTGTTGAGCACGATATAGATGGTTGGCACGGCGTAGACCGGCAGGCGAGACTTGAGATGGTCTCGCACCTCGGTCTGCATCCGACGGTACTTCTTCAGATAGACCGTCACTGTGCCCATCTCGACACCCTCGTCCTCGACGTCCTCATAGTTGAAAGAAGAGAGCCACTTCTGCCACTCCTTGGCCTCGGGGACGATGTAGCTCACGAGCGTGGGCTCCTCATTTCGATCCCTCCGCACCAGCGTCTTGCAGTCTCGGATCAGTTGGTGCTGGCTCAAGTTGCTGTCGATGTCGTTCAGCTCGATTCGGAAACCCCGGATCTTGACCTGGTCATCGGCACGACCTGTGCACTCGACGTCTCCGGTCTCCAGGTACCGTCCCAGGTCACCAGTGCGGTAGAGCCTGTCCCGAGGGCCCTTGTAGTATTTCCGCCACGGCTCATCCTTGCTGTTCTGTGCGTCGAGCTCAACCCACTTCTGGTTGTCGACGAACCAGTTGTCGAGGAACTTCTCAGCATTCTTCTGCTCGTCTCCCAGGTAGCCCTCGGCCAGACCTGCAGCACGGCAGTAGATCTCGCCCACCTCGCCCACCTTGCACATCCTGGTCCTGTCCTCTCGGCTCACCACCAGGAGCTGGACATTCTGCATGCCCTTTCCGGCGGGGACGGTATCCCTGAGCTGGTTGAGGTAGTCAGGGTCCTTGGCGGCGCTCGGGATCTCGTAGTAGCTGACTGCTCGCTGCGTCTCGGTCGTTCCGTACATGTTGATGATGTTGGCGTTGACGGCAAGTCGCCGAAGCACCTTGCAGTCTCTCGTCGTCAGGACATCGCCAACGAAGAAGACATTCTGGAGGCTGGGAAACTCGGCCGAGGCACCGCCCACCAGGATCTGACCCATAGCTGGGGTCAGATGGCTGACGGTGGGCTTGTGATCGCTCATCCATTCTGCAAGCTTCTCGTGCTGGATATCCTCCTTCGCCGGAACAAGCAATTGTGCCCCGAGGAACAGTGGAGTGAAGATGTCACGCTGGATGGGGTCGTGAGCAATTCCAGAAAGCATGGTGAATCTGCTCTCAGACGACAGGTTAAAACGCTCAGCCATCCAGCCATAGTACCGGGTCAGACTGTAGTGGCGACCCAGCACGCCCTTGGGGCGCCCCTCACTCCCCGAGGTGAAAGACAGGGTGGGGTTCGAGTCTGGCCCGACCAGGACATCGGGTGGTGAGGAGGCCTTCTGCCTCGCGCTCTCAAAGACATCCTTGCCGTCGACCTCTCCTCCAAAGAGGTAGCCATCGTCACGGAGGCGGAGCTCGGGCACTTCGGCCTTGAGCTGGAGCGACTCGTCGATGTAGCTCTGGACGAGGGGGGCCAGGGGCCCGTTCTCGTCTGTTGCCCGCCCGATCCGGATCAGCGCTCGTGGTTGAGAGACCTCGAGGTAGACCTAAGGGGCCCTGCTCAGTCGCCTTGCTCAAGGAACGCTCTGCTGGGCAACGACTCACCTGTTGACGCGCCGGGGGGTATGCCGGGTCCAGCACGGTCATGGTGGCACCGGATGCCTTGAGAGGTTCGTTAGGTACGAGTTCTTTCGCATTCGAGCGGGCATGTGGCAATTTACCAAGGTCCCCATGATGCACACGACGAGGTCGACGGACCTGTGTGCCCAGATCATGACCACGTCGCCGTTGGTGACGCCCGCATCGTGCAGGTAGTGGGCGAGCGCATTGGACGCCTCGTAGATCTGGCGGTAGGTGAAGACCCTCTCAGGGGTGGTGGAGGTCTTGGTCTCGACGATGCATGTCCTGTCCGGGTGAGCCTCGGCGGAGGCCCTGAAGCGCTCGTGGATAGGGCCGACGAAGCCCGACCAGTCGAGGTCCGCTGTGGGATCGGGAAGCTGGGACGACATGGTATGATGCTTCCTTGGACAGGCTTCCCTGCGGTATGGGTTCGGTCCAAGTGGAGTTGAGGAATTGGGAAGACGTCCTGGCAAAATTTGTTATTGCCTCGTCCCAGAGCCTATGACTAACCTGCATACGGAGCTGTCTGTCTGTCACAGCAGATCTTGAAATTCTGACCCCTGTAAAATCGTCCAAAATGATGCACATCGTCCGACTGCGGAGGGGCAGCAAGGTACAGCGGTACGTGCTGGGTGCGTGGGGTTTATCGCCTGGACATGATTGGTCAATCAAATGATAGTGCAGCTGGCCCACCCTGGTGCATGACTTGAACTGCGTACCCAGATACCTAAATAGTTTGCATGGCTTGGCTTCATCTTTGGCCATTCAATGTGGAAACTGACTGATCTGAATACTAGGTGATTCTGGACCTTTTCCCTCTCTTTCAGGGCTTATGCAGGGTCCTCAGTACAAAAGAGGCCTACACCCTAATAAGGTGGCACAAGACCCGTAATCTCCGTGGCCTAACGTGCCCAGTGCCCAGGTGTAAAGAGCAAAGCCCACAAAGATGATTTTGAGAATTCCCAAAGTCGATCGAAATGGAAGCATTCACTGGGCTTGGGGATCAGCCATGATTTAGTGCCCCGTGGTAACTTACTATTACGATAGTGTCAGACTGGTCGAGCTACCCAACCAATCCAAATGCAGAACTTTGAGACCGCTGGACTGAGTTCCCAACTATACTGAGCATCCAAAGTGTGTCCGTGATACGTGGTGGACATTTGTTATTTGCTTTTTAAAGATGAATTTCAGGAGGTGCCTTAACAAGGGGTCCCACTATAAGCCATTCACAGTAAGCAGAACTGGGCACTAGATTATTACAGAACAGATACATTAAATCCCAAGTCTCATTCTATTAGAGGTAATGAAATTGGCATAGCCACCTTGTAAAATCAATGCCTTTTCAAAATTCATGCCCTCCTTGGAATGCCAAGAGAGATGCAAGTGTAGTGGAAATATTAGATGGGGACAAAGAGTTTGGGACTCAGCGGTCCCATTGCTCGAAGTGGCCCGTCTCTAACGACTCGGAGATGCCGTACAAGCAGGCCATCCATTTCAACTGGCGGATCCGGGGCAGGTGGGCCAACACGAGGGAGCCTCGTCAGGATCGTGAGGCTGATAAACGACGGCGTTCTGAAGATTGGAGAGTCTGGGGGTGCGATTTCAAGACCGTCGACTCGATAGAGAAGGTCGAGCGTGCAAAAGAGCACGCTGCGGATGAGGACGGTTCGAGTCTTAGACCGGCTTGAAGCCGAATGGGGACTTGAATCCACAAGGAACGTAGTCCACGTTACGGCGACGAATGGATAAAACTCCAGTGTGAAGTTCCTGCCCGTCCAATGAAAATTGCCTCCAGCCCTACCTACCAAACAAAGAGGTGTGCCTCATTCCGGCCGATGAGCCGCCCGAACGAGGCCATGTGCCGAGCCGATTGGCTGAATCCGATCGCCGTCTTACACTCCTCATCCGCCACTACTCAAGTACTCGGCCCTAGTCTGTCACGCGCGCCACACCCGGTACGCATATCTATCACTCACCTGGGCCGTCTTATCTTAAAGGGGTCAGGCAGCAGGCTCCTGAATCTCATGCCTGTCCCTCTCAAGACTCACCAGGTCTCGATGGAAGCCATCCGCCGCAGAGGCTCAAGTCTCACCCACAACCGACCGGTGATGTGATCTTTGCTCGCCGAGCACTCGGACGGCGAAGATGCGGGCGGCTGCGCTCCTCCTCACTTGTGCTCTGACCTCACCCTGCCAGGCGGCATCATCAGCACTCCAGGACAGGATCCCCGACCGAGACCATGGAGCCCAACAACAACAACAAGTCCTCGGCACCAGCGGCCACACCAACCGCCAGGCCCGCGGCTTCGTCGCCCTCGGGGACAGCTACAGCGCCGGGATAGGCACCGGCACAGACGACAGGGAGATGCCCTCGGAGGGCGACTGCCGGCACGGCGTGCACGCCTACCCGCAGCTGATCCACCGGGACCTCAACAACGCCACGGGCCGCAACACCACCTTCCAGTGGCTCTCGTGCACAGGGGCCGTCACGACCGACATACTGTCCGGCGGCGGCGGGGGCCACCCCACAGCGCAGCAGCAGCGGGAGAAGACGCCGGCGCCGGGCCAGGTGGACCTCCTCGATGCCTCGCTCCCCCTCGACTTCGCGACCCTGTCGGTCGGCGGGAACGACCTGGGTTTCTTTGATGTGATGAACGCTTGCATCTTCCGGTTCTACTCCTTCTACAGCGGGACCTGCGAGCGGGCCCTCGAGGCGGCCGACGCCGCCGTGCGCAGCAGCCTGTTCGAGCAGCGGCTGGCCGTCATCCTGCGCGAGGTGCTCGACGCCGCGGCGTGGGAGACAAGGCCGCGCTTCAGCGTGACGGTGACGGGGTACGCGCGCTTCTTCGACGCCGACACGCCGGGTTGCGACGACATGTCCCTGGGCGTGTGGTACGGCGGGCCGCGGCTGTCGCGCGACATCCGGGGGCGGATGAACGCGCTGGTCGAGGCCGCCAACGACAAGCTGCGGCGGACGGTGGAGGAGGCGGCGGCGCGCTTCCGCGGCCCGCGGCCCAGGGTCCTGTTTGTCGACTACGATGACCTCTTCGCGGGCCACCGGTTCTGCGAGGACGGCGTGCTGGAGCCGGCGTATAACCGGACGGACAGCTGGTTCTTCCTCGTCGGGGGCCCGGACAACGCGCGGAACGAGACGACGTGGCCGAACGGGACGAACGGTGACCCCGGCTCGGCGGGGTATTCGAGGGGGGAGAAGATCCTGTCGCCGCTGTCGCCGCTGGTCGATCCTCACACCTGCCTGCCACGAGCCCAGGGGCGAGGTGACTGGGGTGAGCTGGCGTTGTGCTACATGGCCATGGCGAAGCATCGCGATCCTTCACTCCGGTCGGCATACGACGGCATCATGCCGCAGAATAGGATGTGGTGGGTGCCGACTTACTACGGCAAGACGTTCCACCCGCGGACGCTCGGCCACGAAGCCATCAGGGACAGGATATACCAGGTGTGGGGGCAGTACGGGCTGTGACGGACAGGTAATCACGCCCTCTGCCCTTCCCTCGCCGTCCTGCCTGCTGTCTCGTTTGATGCCATCCCAGAACGTCAAGAAAGCGTCGACATATGGGAGCCCCTGCGGAGATGACCAACCAAGACACACTTGCAATGCTGCCTCCCAAACGACCAACCCGTTGAAGCAAAAGTCTGATTGACAGCAAGGAGCACCATCAGCCTTGAAGAATCCTGTCTGGAGTGATTGCTATACTACCATGATGTTATACACAACCCCCACTAGATAAAGAGCACAATACTACCTGACCACCATTTTGTCCCCATCTGCACCTGGTGAAAGCAGAACGCCCGCCCATATAAATATGATGACTATGCAATGCCCTTATGATAAGCAAACATCTTACACCACATCCGCACCTCTATTCCGCCATGCCAAACACCTCGCCGATGGAGAGCGTGTTGCTCCTCACGCCCGTCAGCGTGACCAGGATCCCCACCAGGTCCACGATCAGCAGCACCATCGCCGCCATCATGAACCTCGGGTTGAACACGCGGTACAGCATGAGGTGCCTCCTCAGCCAGCCGGCCCACGCCATCGTGGCTAGCGACTCGACGGCGTAGTACGCGACGAAGATGCCTAGCGCCCTGCTGACGCTCTCTAGCACGCCCTTGCGCTTGGGGCCCGTCTTCCACAGCACGACCAGCGGGACCGACGCCGCCGCCAGGATCTGGCCCGCGTACGTGTTGAGGATGATCAGCAGCGGCGTCCACGGGTACCGTATCGAGAAGAGCGGGATGAAGGCCGCGTCCCACTGGATGCTGCTGAGCACGGCCTGGTGGCCCGTCTTGAAGAAGTGGAAGTTGCCCAGCAGGCCCAGCATGACCGGGCCGATGGTCTCGCCCGTGAGCTCGTTCAGGTCCAGGATCTCCATCAGCGACAGGACCTGCCACATCATGATCGCAATGGCACCCCCGCCCATCGGCTTCGACAGTATGATGCAGGCGGTCATGATGTTGAGCGGCAGGAAGAGGTACCGGGCGCCGTTGGCGTTGGCGTAGCCGAGGACGGCGATCTGGGCGCGCTTGGCGTTGGTCGAGGTCGTGAGGATGGAGATGCAGGGTGGCGCCCAGATGAATGCAGTCGTGCCCGCGACAACGGCGATAGCAAGGGCCAGCTGTGCGGTGTACACGCTGAACATCTTGAGCATGCCGTCGGAAAGCCCAGTAGCCCAGTTCTCATTGTCTGCCGTGTCCATTGTCCAGTAGGCGGCAGACAGGAAGAGCGAGGCCCGGAGAGCGTAGCTGATCCACGTTGGTGCCAGGCCGTGGTAGGAGCGGGTGGGCATGTAGAAGGCCTTGATGATCGAGGGAAGAATGGCAAAGACTGAGAAAGGTATGGCCAGGTGCCAGGTCGCGGCTGTGGAAGAGGCCGAGGACGCATAGTACGTCGTCATGCAGTAGGGATACTGCTCGTCCCGACAGAGCTTTGAGAAGGACACGGCCCGGCCAAGTAGGACGAAGAGGATTGAGTGGTAGACGGCAAAGTATCGGTCTGTCAGTTTCTCGATGTTCAGAGACGCAAGTGCACTCGCAAGGCCGAATGTGGTGGTGAAGAAGAGAAGAATACTGTCTTCCCAGATGGTGTAGGAGTTTGACGCGAAGCCGATGGACTGGCTGATGGTGAACACGGCGGCCATCCAGCCCCAGATGCTCGAAGGGATGGGCAACACAAGGGAATTGCGGAGGAGGGCGCCGACAACTAGGATAGTACTTGCGATGCCAGCTCCCGCAGCAGCGAGGCGGTAGTCTGGCGCATTGGTGGCCGCAGCATATGCAGCTCCGAGGACTGCTCCCGGGACAGCGCCAGCCACGGCAGCCAATGTGACGGTCTTCTGGCGGGTCTGGTCCGAGAGAGCCTCCGCGTCCGCCCCGATACCCTCGGCCTCCAGCTTCCTCTCGGCAATGTCGAGCTCGATGTTGTCCAAAGCAGCAAAGATGTCGTCTTCATCCTTGGTGGCGTACAGAACCAGCGCGACGAGGCCGAGCCCGGTGACAACAAGGCCAATCAGCATGCTTGGCACGTCGAACCTGGCCCACAGGCTCTTGCATATCCTCAGGGTCTCTGCCTGGTAGTCCATGAATGCGGCATACACAAGCTCGCGGGACTTGCCCCTCGTGTCGTCCTTGAGGACTTTCTCAGCGCTGCTGAAGAGGGCAGCCGGCGCTGCAGCCTCGGCTGTCTGTTCGAGGCCACGCGCGGCAAAGTACGACGCTTGGTACCGATTGATTCCCGCAGCAGTCACGCGAGACGCTGACGCCAGGCTGTTCCAAGCATCTCCCTTCTTGCCTGCGAATGCCTCTTCGATGGGTGCGCCCAGGTTGTTATATGGAATGGGGACACCCAGGAGGAGGGCAAGGGTCGGCACGAGGTCAATCTGGTTGACAGGTCGTACCTTGGCCGTGGCAGGCGGGGCGACGAACTCGGGTTTTGTCCTGCCAAAGACAGCCTTCTTTGAATACATCCAGAGCGCAGCTTCCACCTCGTCGTCGCTCTCGCCTCCGTGGTCGCCCTTGGGGTCCATGCCGTGGTCACCCATGACAACCAATAGCGTGTCGTCATCGATGGTGTCCACGAGATTCCTGACAAAGTCGTCCATCTGGCGCAGCTTCGCTGTCATGGCAGCGTGGGCGGGTCCGTAGCGATGGCCGGCATGGTCGACACCGAGGAGGTGTCCGATAAGCAGGTCCCATTGTCCCTTCCTGTCCGCCTGCAGCAGCGGGAATATGTGCTCGAGGACCCCGTTATCGACCGAATGCAGATCCCAGACATTGAAGCTGTCGTACGACCTGCTGATGTTGGGCTGGAAGTATTCCGGGAACAGGGCATCCCAGGTGTCATCCCCCAGGTGCACAATCTTCTTGCCAACATCGCGGAGCTGGATCAGCAGGTTGTCCTCCTCGATGGCGGTGCCTGCGAAGTTGCTTCCCACCTCCATGAATGTAGGCAGCGTCCCCGTTGTGAGCCCCTTGAGTCTCTGCAGCGTCGTCGTCGGGGGGTCGGCGATGAAGGGCCTCAGGAAGGCGTTGTTGGGCGACTTGACAGCGGTCTCGTACAGGAAGGGAAAGGCATTGTGGAACTCGGCGTCGTCTTCTATGGGCACGGTGAAGTCATACCGCAGCGCATCGATCAGGACGACAACGGCCTTGTCGAACGTCTTGGGGTGCCAGCAGCCGCCGTCCACCGTACCGCGCCCCTTCCAGTCCGGCAGAATGCTCAGGTCCCTCCCCTCCGTGCCGTCCACGGGGTTGACATCGCAGCTTGACTTCTCGTCCAGGACCAGTCTGGTCAACAGGAACCCCGAGGTGAAGTATGCGATGCCTATCACGTGGATGCAGAGCATCCAGACCCAGAAGCCCAGCGTCCATCCCCACCGGCGCTCGTAGGCGGATTTCCGGCGTGCCTCGAGGGCCTCGCGCTGCCTCTGCAGGATGCTTGCTTTCTTTTGCTCCTCGCGCGGGTCCTCGTGCTTGCTGTCGGCCTCTGCGACCTGCTGGCGGCGCTTGGCTGCTGCGAACTGGGCGGCAATGGCCTTGTAGTCGCCAGGAGGGCCCGACGACGGGCCACTGCCTCGAGGGTTCGGCGGAGGCATTGTGCCGTTTCGAGGGGATCGAGGTGGTGGCTAGAGTGGGGTTGTTGTTTGATGGGATGAAAGTATTAAGAACACATGGCTGGAATTGAAATAAATCGCTCAATAAGGTCGGGACTGGGAAAATGACACTCTGCGTCGAGGTCCAGATTACCACTTTCCACCCAAGATTCTGGAGCTCCCGAGGTCCCCTTGAGCTCGAGTGCTTGTCAGTCGCGGCAGCTCCAGGGCCCACTTGGCTGCAGCTCCCCCCCACGTTTCAACCACGGCAGGCACATTTGCTGCTGAACTGGTTTGCATGTGGGTCACCCCTGCTGCTTGCTTAGCGCACCCACTAGACAAGCCCGGATATGCCTCATTTACTAGTACAGTGCTTTGCCCTTATCACGGTGAACTGCTTCATGGTCCGCTGCTCAGCTCACAGAAAGCCATTCTAGACGATGTCGAAGACAACACGCCCTGATAGACTTTCATCCCTGGCCGCGTTGCAAGTACTCTGGATGATCTGCGACACGATTGCAAGATCCTTGCCACAAGGAACAGACCTTCCGTCGCAATGACCTCCAGCCCACTAAATCTCGCCTTCACATGCAGGCAATGAACCTCCGAGATGCTGCCACCTGAGAATCGTAAAGCGTTGCTCTATACCAGTAGGATGGAGACATGCTTCCCCTCCTTGATCTCTGCTACTTCTGACTGGATCGGCCTCAGAAAGGGCGTTGGTACGAATCCGAACAAGTAACTGCACGGCCTACAATCCGTCGAGGTCAAGTGTCCTCTTCACAGGCGACCTATCATGAGGGAAAGCAGGCCTTGCGCCGAGACACAACGGGAGTTTTATGCTTTTTAAAAGCATTCCTGCACCATAGCAACCCACTCAAGAACACCAGCGCGCTGGAACTTCCCCAAGGGCGACCATCACTCGCTACAAGCTCAGCTATGGGTTGGACAGTAGAAGGCCACCTCGTGCGACAACACTACCCACTGGATCACATGCCTCCAGTGAGCAGGGCCTTTTGGAAAATTCGGCGAGATCAGAGACCAACACTTATCACCACTGCCATTTATCGGCTTATCTGGTTTCGCTTCTACTCCGCATACGTCCGAAGATGTACAGGGCGCCTTCATACAGTGGTGAACACTCAAGACCCAGCGTTTAAAAAATACATTGCCAATAAAATTGTAGACAGAGTATAATAAGTGGGGGCCACACGCAAACCAACGGCCGGCTTGTTGTTCTTCCAGGCCTAGAATTGATCTCATGGTTCCGACTAGTCTCCGAAATAGGCCTGTTTCTCCAGTATCAAGTAAAGATAGGCTTTAAGCGGCATAGCATTCTCTTTTCGTCTCTTTCCCTCTTCTTGATTGTTGTTTCGGTTTAGATCCCCCTCCTTGTTTCTGTAAACCCGTCTCAACACATCTCAATACAAGTCAGATTTCTTTGAATTGATTGACGATAGCCAGCTACATGGAAGTAATCCATACCCGATGGGCACAGTTTTTGTCATTAACTCTTGTGGCACAGAGGCTATCACATTACGGCTTGATGATTTCTCAATCCCCAAGAGAGCAGTTGGCGGACAGTTCCTGGGCACAGTACAGTATTGCTGTGCCAAAAGTGAACCCACACGCGCAGCGGCGTTCCAAGGCGCAGCACCAACTGCTGCAGTACATGACCCACTATTCTGCCACTTCATCACCGTCTCCCTATAACTAGAATGGTGAGTCCAACCACGCTCAACCTCACCTCTGAATACATGCTCCATTGTTCTTCCACTTCAAATCGTTTTTTCTGATCAGCCCTTATCAACAATAATTCCAGTCGTCCGCTTTGCATACGAAGATGGCCAATGAACAGAGCAACACGTCCGTGGGGGGTGACGCGACACAAATTGTTCAGGAAATTGCAACTTTGTCGGTCGCTTCTCCTGCCACGGACCCGCCCTCATCAACATCAGCTCAAGAGACGAAGAACTCACCTTCAACCTCTTCTACACAACCACCGCCCATTCGACCTTTACTGAACTCACGAGAAGGCAGAATTCTAGCGTTTAAATGCTTGATGAAGAAAGACAAATTTGCAGACGATCGTGCTAACCTTGAGGCACTCATTCGCTACTATGAGGATGGTGGCAAAGTCCCTCAGGGGGATGAGGAGGTCTGGGCAATTGAAGGAGAGGTCTCCTTTGGTATCAGGAGGTATACAAGTTTTGAAGAGATGCCTGAGCGGTGGCTGTTCAAGAGAAAGTTTCTTGATGTAAGTAGCTTCTACCTATTGCCAGTATTGAGAGTTCTTCGTTTCGTCTTGCTTTGTTCTCATTGCTAACCACTCTTTTGCTATCGTCTTTTCTTAGAGTTGCAATCTGTATCAACTGAACGCCGTCCCGGGCCCGGATGATATCCTCCTCGCTGATAAGGAGGGAAGAGTTATTCTATAGCAAGAGTGATGTTATCAGGGGGAGAATGAGAACTAGGTAGATCAAACATGACCACTTTCAGAGACTCTTAGATTCATGGATATCAGTGATGTATATAAGCTGAATGACTTTTGCTTATAAGCTGTTAGGGCTGATAGGCTTAATGCCTGCTATTTTCTAGGCGGAGGAGCAATTGTCTTATGACTTGCTATCTGAGCTGCGATTCCCTCACTTTAATCAGTCTCCCGGAAGCTGGCCCATAACGGGTGGGTCGTTGCCACGAGCAAATGCAGGCGCTGGCCAACCATGACAGCCACCAGCCAAAGCCACGCCAAAGCCACAAAATCCGCAGAGGTCCGAGATGGGCCTCGCACTCATCTGACCTGCATGAGCTCCTGCGCCAAGACAGAAATGATCATCCCCGTCTTCCTCGAGGATGCCCCTTTCAGGACACAACGCTTCATCGGGCCCTAAATACACAGTTCGTTGGGTGAGCCTGCGCATCGCCACGGGTGGGTGATCGTAACGTTATCCCTGCATGAGCACGTTGCCATCAGTGTACAAGCAAGGGATGCGCGAATAAGCCAGGGACGCGCGACCAAGTCTGCCAGGGCCTCGGTCAAGCCTGCACTGCTGGTCCCCCGAGTCCGGCGAGCGGCGCACAGGACGACCCTCCTTGACCCGCCATGCGGCTCATTGAAACCCGCACACGAGAGCTCGTCGAGTTCTTCGGCGATGGCATACCTGGATATGCGATCCTGTCGCACACATGGGAGGATGAAGAGGTGACTTTCAAGGACTGGAAGAGGCCGAACCTCGCGAGGATGAAAAGAGGCTTCTTCAAGATCGACATGGCTTGCCAGCAGGCCTGTTCCGATGGCCTTGGCTACCTCTGGGTCGACACGGTCTGCATAGACAAGAGGAGCTCTTCCGAGCTGAGCGAGGCTATCAACTCCATGTTCAGCTGGTACCGGAACGCCGGCGTCTGCTACGCCTACCTGGCGGACATTGGGCCTCGGCATCTCTTCTCGGAGCCCATGCCGCAGAACTACGAGGAGCAGTTTGGTCGGAGCAGATGGTTCACTCGTGGCTGGACGCTCCAGGAGCTTCTCGCCCCCCATCAGATGAGGTTCTACGCTAGGAATTGGTCAGTGATAGCTGACCGCCGAGATCTAGCTGGGGAGATCTCTAGGACCACAAACATACCCGAGGAATATTTCCTTGATGGGTGGGCGGCGCTGGGTCGGGCGAGCGTGGCAGAGAGGATGTCATGGCTGTCTCGGAGAGTAACCACAAGAATCGAGGACATGGCATACTGCATGCTAGGCATATTCGACATCAACATGCCACTGCTCTACGGCGAGGGCCCCAAGGCGTTCATCCGGCTCCAGGAGGAGATCATCCGGACCTCGACCGACCACACCATATTCTGCTGGGCCTGGACCGACCAGGTGCCCCCGGGGTGGGCCAGCCTCCTTGCGCCATGCCCACAGGCCTTTGTGCATTCTGGAGGATATGTCCGCGCCCAGCACAACTCGTTCGACTCCCTGGCCTTCACCATGACAAACGCCGGCCTCTCGATCAGCCTGCCGATCCTCCAGGCCTTCTCCTACCAGTTCGGGGTGTTAAACGCGAGCCACACCAGCAGCGTCCGGGCCAGGTCTGACAGCTTCGCCTGCGTGCCCATCCAAGCCTGCCTGGACGCAGGCCACGTCCGAACAAGGGGTGTCATGCGGAGGAAGCCGTTCCCCCCGAGCCCGCTGCTCGTGCACCACTCGTGGGCAGTGAGCCACATGCCGTTGTGTATACGTTCCTATCCAGATCCGCCCTCGGAAGTGCACGCGTTCTTTTACCGACAGAGCCTGAGGCACTCTGGCCATGCGTTCTTGCTCCTGTTCGACGACACGCATCAGTTGTCCGGCGACCAGGGGCCGCCCGTGAGGCCGGTGAGGACCCTCGAGTCGAGGTACTTCAACAGCATCTCCCTCATGGAGCGGTCCCAGGACACCGCCGGGATAGAAATCTTCCCCGATGAGAATTTTGACCGGAGGAAGAGCCTGATATTACTTGACAGCAGTTACACTACCGACGGGGTCTTGATAAGACTAGGAAACCATGAGAGGTCCTCTGTGATCTTCCTCGGGGCAGATTTCGGACCCAACGTCACGGGCGTGAAGAAATTCGGCGGCGTCATCCCTCCTTCAAGGTCGACAGAGAGGCCCCTGGGACCCCAGCTCCTGCAGGGCTTGCTGAATCAGGTGGGTAGCAGGAGGGAAAAGGTGAAATGGATACGAGGCAGCGATGCGAATAGCGATAGCCCTGCAGGTGAGGTCGGTCTTGATTTTGGTGAAGAGGTCTTGTTTGATGACGGCTCCATTCTTCCAGTATTTGTCACATACGAAGGGAGGAGCCCAGTTCTGAACGAGTGCCCAGATTATGAAGGGACGGAGATGGACAGTGACTCCAGCTCAGAAATCCCAACAGCAGGCTGGCAGAGAAAATCTGAAGCAGTCGAAGATGACATCGATTTCGCGTCTGATGCCGCTTTCTCCTGGATGGCGGGATAATATGACTACATGGGGTACCTGTGCCGAAGGCCAACCGTCTGTGAATTCCCTGCCCTTTCGTTCCTCTGCGTATGCATGCAGCGCCCAACAGAGGCTTCTGAATCACAGGAGTGACGGTCAGCACACGCTGGAATCACACAATCCGGAAGGGTTTGCCCGGCAAAAACGACCTAGTCGCCCCCGAAACAATGCCGTGATGATACACCTCACCCACAAGGACATATGCCCCGGCACCAAGAGCATCACTGCCCCCGCCGTGCCCACCAGCCCTCCTGACAGCCATGGGCGTCCGAACCCCCGGGAAGACACAGATGGCGTCCCCGACCCTCGCACCCGGAGCCGCAAGCCCGAGGTGCCCGGCGGCCGACACGAAGACCTGCCGGGCCCGGGTCGCACGCTCGCAGTGGTAGGCGAACCTGGAGACCTCCTCCCTCTCCGCCCTCCCGAGACGAAGGACCTCGAGTGAATCTGACGCGTCGCACGCCCGGCGCTCCTCCAGCCACCTTTCGAAGCCTCGCTCCGTCGGAGGGCCCTCACGCTGCTGCTGCTGCTGCTGCTGCTTTTGTGGTGACACTGCCGGCCCGCTTGCGGTCAGCGTCCTCCAGAGGGCAGTCCTTTGGGCCGCTTCTTCCGGGTTGGATTGCGGCTGCTTTTCGTTGCTGGGGAGGCTGCCGAGTCCCGCGGTTTCGAGGACACCGTCTATCCAGTCCAATGTGTCACCAACGTATTCCATGCGACCCCCGGGCCCGAGTGGCGGGCGTCCGTAGCTCACTTTTGATATAGTGTCGACCACGCTCCCGGTGATGGAAAGAACCTTTGGTAGCTTGGGGTCGTAGGAGATGGAGGGCCTCGTTCCCTGGTCTGTCGCTTGGTAGTTGCCCGCGGCTGCAATCTCGGCGAGACTCGTGCCTCCTGCGAGAGAGGTCCAGTCGGGCACCCACGAGGGAAGATCCAGAGATCGCCGGTGGCCGACACCTGCTACAGACAGGATGAGGGGGTCAGCATCCCTCCGAAGAATGCGGCTTGCAACTTGGATGTACAAGTCCTCGACCGAGATCCTGTAGTTGGGCCGGAGATCGGGGTCAACCTGGTCGGCGGGCAGCGCCACTTGGGGATGAGGACGCATCAGCTTCTGTACTTCTCGAGGTGGTGACTACTTGACTCACAACCAAGCAGGGAAAAGATCCTGTCACGGGGGTCAGCGGCCTGAAAATTACGAAAGCGGAGGAGCAGCTGCTGCAAGACGGCCGGGTCCTTCGCACCGTCCCGGAGGTCTCGCGCAGCCATGATGCGGCCCGGGTTCCGGAACGGGGCCTCGACGCGGCCCAGCCGTTGTCCCCTGTTGGGATTCGTGCGATGCTTCTCCATCACCCGGAGCAGAATGCCACTGTTGTCCGCAATCCACCCACAGAGCCTGCAGAGCTCGTCCCACCTGGCGGCATGGCGGCCGCACACCACCGTCACGTCCCGGGCCAGCGCGACCTCCTGGACGACCCAGCGCCTGGTGAACCACGGCCTGCAGAGCAGCTGCGCGACATCCGCCCAGGAGGCCGGGGGTATTCCCGCGCCGAGCGACCTCTTCTCAAAGTCCTCGAGGCCTCGGGTCAGGAGGACATCGCCGCTGGCCTGCATGAGGCCCCGGGTCAGCTGGAGCAGGTCCATCGCGCGGGTCGACGCATCGTCTGCTGTCCCGAGGAAGACGATGACCTGCTGTGCTGTGCTGTAGATTTCGCCCATGATCTCGACCTGGCTGGCCCTCTCGTCGGGGTCCTCCTGGTTGATGCAGACTGCGTCGATCCACAGGTACAGCGTATCCCCCGGGGGCACGAGCGTGCTGACTATGTCGAGGACCGCCTGGTTGTACCCGAGTGCTGTCTCGACGCCATCTGAGTCGACAAAGTGGCCGACCGCCGAGGGGTCGTCCCGTGCGTAAGAAACGGCGACGTAGGTTGGATTGTCCTCCAGGGCGGCGTGTACTAGTTGGCCGACAAATCCCGCCTCTTCTGGAGCAGACCGCGCGAGGCGGCTGACCCTCAGGAGACGGACCTCCTTTCTCTCCTTCTCTAATGAGGTGTAGAGCGGCGCCGCGCCAGACTCTGGACTCCGCGGCTCGGCAGCACGCTTGCACCAGTACGGTGCACGATCCCCGGCGAGGATTCCCCATAGCTGTTGCTCTACCTGGAAGACGTCAGCCGAGGTCTTTGGCCTCTGGGGATGCCAGAACCAGCGTGGCATGGTATAATAGTTTTCAAACCCGCGATATGAGGATCAATCTGCCTTGTGCTTGGAGGCTGTTGTTATGACTGGAATTAGGCAGAGACTGAAGACCCCTTTTATGGCTCTGAGACAAACAGGATTAGGAACGCTGACCGGTATCTGCATGATGACTGGGCAGGAGGCGCAGCACCAGCCATCTGCCAACCAGTCATTGCTCGCAAAGGCTGACATCAGAAGGAGCGTACCCAGTTCCGTAAGGATGAGTGTGAGCTGTTTCAGAGGTTGGCTCGGGGTCGGATGTAAACACAGCCTATGCCGGCCCTACAGACGGCCTTATTCTGACAAGGGGACGTGAAGTAAGTACAATAGGTAGTCCTGACGGGCGGCTACTAAGACGGCCCCCAGAAGGACCGCGTATTTGCAACTTCGGATCCAGGCAGGGATCTTATAGAGTGTACCAAGGTTTAGCCGTTCCCTCAACTAAACAGGCGAGGCCTATTCAACTATGTTGTATCAAGCAACGATGGGCCAAGTAGGTCAAACCACTTTGGGCCTAAACGGTCTCCTGGAAGTGCTGTCGACTCACCATCTCAGATGTATTTGTTTCTGCTTTTTGTTTTTCTTTTCCTTTGTATATATCTTGATGCTCCGGCCAGCCGGATAATCCTTCAAACAGGGCTGTCTTAGGCCCAGTAGACGCGCCCATCTGCGCCCTGGACCGCATAATACTGCCCAGCGTGTGGGCTGCTGCTGCTGACGTCGCTGCTACTTCTGACCTGCGGGACATGTCCATAAAATTGCTGGTATCCTTGACCTGGGATCCTGGACGTGTCCCAGCGATGCTGGACGTGCTGGGGGAACACGACGTCGACGCGTGGGTATCGGTGGTCCTGGTCAGGTGGAGGGTCTGGCCCGGGATGGTACTGCTCCATCGCCTGGGGCAGAGCCTCCTTGGAGCTCCCTGACGACAGACCTTCCCGCCGAGACCTCGCCGCGGCCCACCGGACAGTATTGCGACTAGGGCCAACCAGTCATCCCACCAGAGGCCAGCCTTCTTGTGGATGCGGGTGTAGAAGCGGAGAATGGTGGATATCGCGCCGAGGGCGATGGAGATAACACCCACTATGGTGGTTGTCATGGACGACTCCTCCGTGGAGGCCTTCTCTTCCTCGCTTGCGGCCATGGCGGGGACGCAGACAGGTGCCTTTACTTGCCCAGGATCCCAGGCTCGAGGACATGGGCCGCAGACTTCAGGAAGATGATATGGCGAACAGAAAGGGAAAGTTGTCAGTTGTAAACATATCTCAAAGAAATGGCCCTCACGGGACAGATAGAGCAGGTGTCGGTCTGTGTTGCCTAGATGAATCAATTCAATCCTTCACCTGTCATTCAGGCGGCTTGCTTATCTCATAAGAAACCTGTGAGATCCAACGAGCCACATTCGAGTATGACCAAATCTAGTACGCCCGTTGCCGCAGGGCTTTTTCACCCATGCGCCCTGTTGCTCCGCCCATCAACATACTGACACACACAGCCAGGGCGGGCAGTGCTGGGGTTGTCAGCATACCTTTACAAGCTTGAGACACCAGTAACTAGCGGCCAGAGACATGCAGAAAAGGATCGTAACGCCACATGCTTGCCCAGAGGTCTTGGTTTGTGTCGAGAAGTGTGTGTTGCTTACTGAGGGACTGGGGTTTCGGATCACAGATGGCTAACCCATGCAGCAACACGAACGAGAACCGGTGGTGCAGCTTAGGTAGACATGTGCTTTGCAGATTGTCTCAGAAGAGCAAATAAACTAATAATGATGTGAAGTGGTTGTGACATAGTGAATTTTAAGGAACCCTGGCTGCTGGGAACTTGAAAAGTAATTCTGCTTGAAAAAAAAAACACTTGGTGCCTGCATGGTTCGAACCAGTGTGAGGCCAATTTGATGGCTAGTTGCAAGTGTCCCTAAGTGATAGATGGTTGTTGATCATAGATAGGTCTTTTAGCCCGTGTGCGTGCTTGCAAGTGGGGGTTGCTGAGCAACAAATGATGGTGCATTTGAGTTGAGCGCGGCCGCCCACCACTTGGTTGCTCTTAGCAACTCAGATCATGGGCAGGATGAAAAACAACAAGCAAGGTCCAAGGTTCAAATGGCAAAAGGTTCGGACCAACTGAGGCCTACTCCTATTAGATGGCAGATAAATGGCATGTTAGATGTTTAGGTGGTAAAGCTTTTTTTTCCTTCTTTTATTTTTTTCTTCTCTTTTTTTCTCTGAGCTATGTGCGACCCTCCCTCCCCCAGCTGCCCGTGATCTTTCTGTTTTTGGATTTTTTCTTCTTTTTTTTTCTGAAGTCTTGCGTCTTGACCACTGCACTATGCTCTCTTTTTTTCTGTGGGCAGCTGGTATCTGGGTGTGTTTTGTCTCCCTTATAAAGGCTAGTCAAGTCACCGGTTAGTGTTGGGGGCGGTCCAGCATGTGGCTAGTAGAGCATGGTCTAGGAGCGAATGGGGCAAGTGAATGGGCAAGTGAATAGGACATACTCTCAAAAGCATAATCTTGGGGCCCATGTAGTTAGGCTCTGTTCATATGTGACAGCTCTGATGCAAGCATAAATGGTATGCCGGAACAAGTAACTGCCCCTCCTGCTCATGGCTCAGGAGGAAACCTACACAAGAGCATGGTCACTACAGCATAAAACCAGTTGAAGCACCCATAACACAAGTTGGTTCAGGGTCCAACTGAGACGAACAAGACTGAAGCAAGGGCCAGCTCATGGATTGGGCCAGAAGCAGTTGGGATCAGGTCAAGACACAGGACAAGCTCAAGTGTAGATACGGGCCCATCACGGATGAGGACAGCACACATACATAGATCTATGCGAACAAAACAACATGTTGATTTACTTTTCCTTCCCCCCATTCCAAGTCCAAGCGCCAAAGCCGATTCCCTTTCCACCTGATATCTATCCATCTTAAGCCCAAGACTCCAGCCCCTTGAGGACACATCCCTCCCCACCCTCGCTCCTCTTGACCAGCCGCCCGATCCTGTAGACCGTCTCGCCCTCGGCCTCCAGCACCTTGACAGCCTGGTCCGCATCCGCAGCAGAGACGACGGCGACCATGCCGACGCCGTTGTTGAACGTCCGCGCCATCTCCTTGGGCGCGACGTCGCCCGCCCTGCGCAGCCACCTGAAGACGGCGGGGACCTCCCAGCTGGCCACGTCGATCTCGGCGGCGAGGGTCTTGGGCAGCGCCCGCGGCACGTTCTCCGTCAGGCCGCCGCCGGTGATGTGCGACAGGCCCTTGAGGAGGTTCTGGCCGAGCACCTTGAGCAGCGGCTTGACGTAGATGCGGGTCGGGGTGAGCAGGCTCTCGCCGACGGTGCCGGCGGCGCCGTCCCAGGGGCAGGCGTCGGCGTACCTGAGCCCGGCGCGGTCGACGATGCGGCGGACCAGCGAGAAGCCGTTGGAGTGCACGCCGTTGGACGCCAGCCCGAGGAGGACGTCGCCCTCGGCCATGTCGGCCAGGCGGGGCAGGCGGGCCTCCTTGCGCATGACGCCGATGGCTGCGCCGGCCGCGTCGTAGTCCTCGCCGTGGTAGATGCCCGGCATCTCGGCCGTCTCGCCGCCGACGAGCGCGCACTTGGACTGCCGGCAGCCCTCGGCCACGCCGGAGACAAAGGCCGCCGCGTCGGCTGGCTCAAGCTTGCTGCACGAGTAGTAGTCCAGGAACATGACGGGCTCGGCGCCCTGCACGATCAGGTCGTTCACGTTCATGGCCACCAGGTCGATGCCAACCGTGTCGTGCTTCTTCATGCTCTGCGCGATGATCAGCTTCGTGCCGACGCCGTCGATGGCGCCGACCAGCACGGGGGCATCGGGGTAGCCAGCAGCCGACAGGTCGACCTCGCCGCCGAAGCCACCAATCTCGGCATCGGCGCCAGGCCTGGCGGTCGACCGCACGGCCTTCTTGATCATCTCGACGAGCTCGTTGCCCGCATCGATGCTGACACCGGCCTGGGCATAGGTGAGCCCTGCGCTCGGGGCAGCGCCAGATTTCCTGAATGCGCGGTGTGCAATGTCCTTGCGGTAGAACATGTTGTCAAACTGGATGAGCTTGATGCCTTCCTCGTAGGCCTTCTTGACGGCCTCCTCGAGGCTTGAGCCGACGGCGTTGGCAGCAATCACCCGGCCGCCAGACGTCTGGAGCTGGGAGCCGACCAGCTTGGTGCCGGCGTGGAAGATGGTGATATCACTGCCGGCAGCAGGGGTCCCCACGGTCATGGGGGTCCCCTTGGCGTAGCTGTTGGGGTATCCGCCCGCGGCGACGACCACGGTCGCGCTGAACCTGGGCTGCACCTTGAAGTCCATAGAGCTCAGGTAACCCTTGGCGCAGGCCAGCATGATCTCGGCCAGATCGGTGTCCTCTGTCAGCAAGGGGAGGACGGTCTGGGTCTCGGGGTCACCGAAGCGCACGTTGTACTCGAGGACCTTGACGCCCTTGGGGCCGACCATGAGACCGGTGAAGAGACAGCCCTTGAAGGGCATCCGGTCGTTCCTCAGGCCGGCGATGGTGGGCTCAAGAACCTCCTTGTCGATAGTTGCGATCAGCTCGGGCGTGGCGATGTTGGTCGGCGCGTAGCAGCCCATGCCGCCAGTGTTGGGGCCCTGGTCGCCATCAAAAATGCGCTTGTGGTCCTGGGCCGGGGGCAGGGACTTGATGGTGTAGCCGTCGCAGAAGGACAGCACGCTCAGCTCGTCGCCGGTCAGGAACTCCTCGATGACAACCTCGCTGCCGGCGTCGCCGAAGGCCTGGTCGACCATGATCTCCTTGAGCGCCTGGTGGGCCTCCTCCTTGGACGTGGGGATGATGACGCCCTTTCCGGCGGCCAGGCCAGTGGCCTTGATGACGATGTCGTGCTGGACCGAGTCGATGTAGGCCTTGGCCTTTTCGTAGTCGGAGAAGTTCTCGTAGGCCGCGGTGGGGATGTTGTGCTTCTTCATGAAGTCCTTGGAGAAGGTCTTGCTGCCCTCCATGCGCGCCGCGGCCTCTGAGGGCCCGAAGCACGGGATGCCCACATTGGTGAAGAAGGCCTCGATGCCGGCGACAAGAGGAGCCTCGGGGCCGGGGACGACGAGGTTGATCTTCTCCTGCTGGGCGAGGGCGACGAGGCCAGGGAAGTCCTCGGCGGAGACGGACGAGTTGTTGGTCACCTTGGGGCAGGCCGCGGTGCCACCATTTCCAGGGACGGCGATGATGGACTCGACGAGGGGCGACTGGCTGAGCTTCCAGGCGAGGGCATGCTCACGGCCGCCGTTGCCGATAAGCAGGATGCGGATGGACTGGGAGGCCATTGTGGCGGGGGAGAATCAATCCAAGACGAAGAGATCGCTCAGGGGGGTTGGTGGCAGTCTGAAGCTGGGGACTGGATGGACCACGCCCTTGGGAAAGTGATCCTCGACATCTTTTTCTCTCTTTCCTGCGCGAGACGGAGCGAAAACGCGGCAGAAACGAGTCGCGAAATTTTAGCTACCCGCAGGACCCCTCCCCCGCAATTCTGGATTCTGCCCACACGTTCCAAGTCCCTGCCAGGTTCTGATTATGGAAGGCGGAACCTTGCCCCCAAGGTTGTCGACCGACGTGATGATCTAGTCTCAATTAGGCTAGCGTCCAATGTGACCAGATCAGGGTCTAACCCTCAGCCAGCCAGAAATCGACGATGGACTCACCTCACAGTCTACTAGTACATGCATTATTTCGAAGATGATAATTATCTGACTTACACGCTCATCTTGTCCGCCCCACCCCATCCATCCATCACAATCCGCCATGTCCAACAACACACCAAAACCCAGCCCAAAAACCCCCACAGACCTAGGAATCCTCCAGGCCTCCCACTCGCACCTCTCCACGGCAGCCCAGCTCCTCGACGGCTTCGTCCACCGCAACAAGAACCAGCACCGCGGCACGCGATGGTGGGGGCCCTTCGACATGCTGCGCCGCAGCGTGCGCAAGCTCGCGCCTGACCTGGGGGACGCGGTGCAGCGCGCCGAGTACCTGTCATCATCATCTTCCGTCGTGCCTGCGACAAAGCGGAGGAAACCCAACGACAAGGGGGCCGTGGCGAAGCTGCCGGGGCTGGAGCGGGTCGAGGCGAGGGCGCAGTGGGTGCATGATGTGGCCGTCGTCAAGGCATATGAGTGAGTACCCCCATTCCGGGCTTCTGCCCTCTTCAGGCTCGCACAGACACAGAAAGGGCAGCCTGGCTGACGGCGCGGACCGACAATTAGGGCATTCACGCAGCTCCTGGCGGACAGGCAGTTCGCCCAGCTGGGCCTGATGCTCATCGGCGTGCTGGCGCAGGTGGAGGCGGCCGTCGCCCCATTCGTGAGGCCCGCCGAGCCGGAGGAGGGCGTTGATGAGACCGATGCGGCCGGGCCGGCCCCCGTGCAACAGGTGAGGGTAGCCGGCATTGCCGCCAAGGGCGGTGGCGTGCCGCCTCCGGTGGTCAGGGGCGTTGAGCAGGAGGACGACCTGGGAGTAGCCATCTCGAGAGACGAGCTCGGCGACGATGACGACGATGGGGAAGGCGACGGCGGTGTTGTCTCGAGGCCCCGGTATTCGTCACCACCACCACCCAAGCACGCGCCTAGCAAGGAGAGGAGGCCCGAGAAGGGCGAGGGCAAAGGGAAGAAGCGGTCCAGGACGGAGGATGCTGGGGCATCTAGGATAGGCAAGTCAGAGAAGCCGACACGGCCGGAGTCATCGAAGGAGGAGAAGAAGGCCAAGAAAAAGAAAAAGAAGAAAGGAGGCGATGAGTTTGACGACCTGTTCAGCTCTCTCATGTAGGGCGAACGACCGCCGGTCTCTGACCAGTCCGAGGCAAACGAAGCTTAATACAGTGGATGCTTCAGCGAGGCCCTCTCGCAGGTCCCTTTTCACTACGTTTGTTCATATTCCCGCCTAGGGCTTGCGACAACTTCTCGACAAGAGGGAAATGAGCTTGCGCCGATGCAAGCAGCACGCTGACCGCACAGGGTGACGCCCTGTCGCCCCATCTCAACTCGACGACAACACACAAACACATATCCAAGATGGAAAATCGTAGCGAATCAGAAATACACATCTAGTCATTACGAAAGTCGCCTTCGAAACCTTGCCCAGGTTCCTGCCCATAAATCCACCCCCCCCCCTTCGCGTAGTCTTCCAATGCCAAACATTCCCGTATCCATCTTCAATCGCATTTTTTTTGTTCTTTTCAACTGCACAGACGCCCGGCCAAGACTTTTTACCCAAACTCGAAGATGAAAGAGCGCCCTGGAGTATCCTTCTCTAAGCATGCGCGGGCAGCCTGGGTTATCTGCTACTGTTGGGGGCTAATGCTGATTCCGACACACAAGACAGACTCGGCACTTGTCCTCTACTTCGCACCGGTAGACTGAATAACCTCAAAGTCGTGGGCGCCTTTTGTTTTAAACTGTCAATAGAGGTCGCTGACCATTCGCGTCTTCTGGCCCGCCGAGCAACATCAACTCGGGCCGCAACTCAGTGTTCGCCGTTGCTCGGCTCTGTGTCGCTGGCGTATCACTGGCGTATCCACCTAAGGACCAGTTCGGGTGTACGACCAGATACGAGCACGCATGTCTCCAGAGCCGGTGGCGAAGTAGTTTCCGGTGGGGCTGGGGGCGACAGAGATAACACTGTTCTTGTGGCCCTGCAGCATGACCTGGGTGTTTCCGGTTCTGGGATCCCAGAATTGCACCCCTCGGTCCTTGGAACCTGACATGACCCACTGGGCATCTGGTGTCAAGGCAACGGAGAGAACAAAGTCCTATGCCATGTTAGATTTCACGGGCTGGGATGTCGCTCGAGTGGTGTACTTACCCGGTGGCCTTCGAAAGTCTTGACGCAACGCCCGCCCTTGGGAGCCTGGTTCATCTGTCCGGGCCGCGACGAGCTGAGCTCCCACATCTTGATGGTCCTGTCGAGACTGCCGCTGACAAGGTCCTTGCCACTAGGGGAGAAGGCAACGCTGTAGACACTATCCTTGTGGCCGTCAGGGCCCTCCAGGCGCTCGACAAGATGACCGGTGTTGATGTCCCAGACACGCACGCTCTTGTCCAGCGAACCAGCTGCGACAAGTCGGCAGTCAGGAGATATGGCAACAGTAGTGACGCCATCCTCGATTGTGAGGGTGAGCACGCTGCTGGAAGACTCAATGTCCCAGAGACGAACGGTGCGGTCACCACTGCCCGACGCAATGGTCCTGCCGTCCCGGGAGAAGTCAAGGCTGTAGATGTCCTGCTCGTGGCCAGAGAAGGTGTTTCGGATGGTGCGAGTCTGGATGTCCCAGACGCGGATGAGCTTGTCCTCGGCGCCGGTGGCGAGGTACTTGCCATCAGGACTGAAGCAGACGCTGCGGATGTACAAGTCGCCGCCAGTGTCGGCGTTGTCGTCCTGCAGCACACAAATCTTCTCTCCAGAGATGATATCGTAGATCTGAGCAGACTTGTTGCAGCCAGTCGCGACGTACTTTCCATCCATGCTGAAGCGGACACAGCAGACCACGCTCTCGTGCGCCAGGGTGTGGACCAGATCCACATCGAGCATGCGTGGGACAGTCGGGTTGAAGACTACGAACCAGTCATCCCTTGCCTTCTTGTGCTGGGGGGCAAGTCGCTCCATATCGAGGTCACCAAGGGCGTTGTTGGGAGGGTGGTGCGGCTGAGCCATCCGGGCGTGGTCCGGGGTCGGGTGGGTTCCGACCTGAGGGGACTGGCCCGGGCCTCCAGGTCCGGGGTACGGGATGGGGGTGTTGATCTGAGGAGTCGCGGGGCCACCGGCTGGGGGCCTGCCCGGGCCACCGCGCTTACCAGGCCCGGGGCTGGCGGTGCTCTGCGGAGGCTGGGATGGGAAGCCGCCCGGGGCTGGGCCTTGGGGGTACTGCTGCTGGAAAGGAGGTGCCTGCGCTGGTGGCGGAGGGGGCGGCGGGGGGCCCTGGAGCCCCGGCGGAGGCTGCGGCATCTGGTGAGGAGGGCCCTGCTGCTCCTGGGGTGGTGGAGGAGGCGGCGGGATAGGGCCGCCCTGGCCACCCTGGCCGGACATGATGGCGCTGAATGCGTTCGTGCCCATGCCAATGGCCGGAGGAGGAGCTTGTGGCGGGCCCTGGTGGGGAGGGGGGCCGACCATGGCGCCCTGAGGAGCGCCGCCTCGGGCCTGTTCGAGCTGTCGACGAAGGTGCGTGACCTCTTCTTCGAACCTGCGGGCGTGGACGTCAGCGAATGTGCGGCGGGCGCAGTGGAGAGCTTGGAGATGGCATACTTCTGCTTCAGCGCCATGTGGGTTTGCTCCATAGCGTAAACCTTCTCACGGACCAATTGCATTTCGTTCACTTGGGTTTGGACTGTGACACGTGTTAGACGCGGGGGCTGGAGAGGCTGCGCTGGGATGGCGCAGTGGCGTTGCTGGCCGTGTGGCCGAGGCATGCTCACTCTGGTGCTCGTAGTTTTCGCATTGGCGACCCTGGGTCTCGAACTCGGAGCGGATGTTGTCGAGCAGCTCGTTCAGGCGGGACGCGCCGTTCCCTCCAGGCGGGACGCCCCCCATGCCTCGGTGCGGATACATGGACATGATTGCGATACCCGGGGTTGTATGCGCTGCTGTTTTTGATGGTGTTTGAGATGGCGGCAGGGCCTGGTGACGGCGCTGTGGCGAGGGTCACAGCTGGTGCTGCTTGAAGCTATCGGGTGTTCTCAACTCGTTGGGGCGGGCGCCGGTCCGGGTCACGATGGCTGAGTCGGACCAGCGGCGGTCGTGGTGGGTTTGGAGCTGAGCTGGGTGAGCCTGTGGGATTGCGATCCAAGCGCGGGCTACCTCTGTCGTGTGTTTTTTCGCGGAGAGCGTGGGATGGTGAGCTCCACCGTCGGCTATTGACGACGTCGGGGCAATGAGGAGGCGGGCGGGCGGCGAGATGGTGGTTGATGAGCAAGGCGCCTTTCAGACCTGGGTTGGGTGAAGCCTTGTCGTGTCGTGGAGGAGGGCGGGAGCACGGCAGGGGCAGAGAAGAGGAGAGGCGCGCGAGATTGAGGAAGCAAGAAGCAAGCACGCACGACTGATTTTAGGGAACCCGAGCCAAGCCCCAGCCTGAGCACCAAGTGGCCCTGGCGGCCGTGCCCTGGTAGGTACCACAGTACTCCGTAGAGGGTGGGAACGGGGGCATTGGGCAGGGGGGGTGGTGGCATGGGCACGGACATGGATGGCGATGCCTAGTGTAGGTACCTGGGTACCCCGTACCAGACAGGCGAGGCAAGGCGAGGCAGGTGGCAGGCTGCAAACCACCAGCCCGTCTGCCCGTTAGCCCCGCCTGTGTCCATCACACAGAGAAACTCACCTAACCTCCCGCTTGGTTGCTGAAAAGAATGGGGCGGCGCGGCCTAGCGCAGCCGAGTGGGTCCCCACCCAAAACAAACCCTGCCCGCAGCCGAATCGGGCCACCCACCGCAACCTTGCCCAGCCAAGGGTGCCCCTTCCTCTCTCGGGCTGCGGTGCTGTGGTGCGTCAAGCACCCGTGTACGGAGTACCCAGGTACTGTGTGTGTGTGGCCTGCCGCCAGTCGGCCCTCAGGAGTACTCTGTACTGATCGGAGTATTCTGTACTGATCAACACCGCCAAGATACATCCGTCGTAGAGTGCTGACCACTAGACATCCGGGTACACTGCTCGTACAGGCAGAAGCCCGTGGTTCCTTGTGGCTGCCGCCACCCGGCCTCGTGCGATCAACAGATAAACACGTACGTGCCCCATGGTGAGGTAGACATACTGTCATCCACTCCCCTCTCTATTCAAGATGGAGTGTGCCACGGGCCTCTGCTCAAGCAGGCGGAGGCGAGCAGACAGGCTGACAGGACAGGTACGGGTGCAGTCGCTTCTCTCCAGCATGCAGCTACCACATGTGCATCATCGACCGCCGTGCGCCGTTGGGTGGCTCGCCAGTCGGACTGGCAGGACTGGGTTGACAAGGAGGCGACATCTCGCCTGTGGGGGCGGCAAATGCCTGAACGGACTAACTCTGGGAGTTGCTGGACGAGCTGCCCGATCAGGCTAGGCCGCGATGGAAAACGTGGCTCTTGCCGGTGAGGCAGGCTCGGCTTTTGCCTGTGCTAGAAACGTCCATTGGGACCGAGTCGAAAGCAGGTGGCAGGTCGGGTATTCAGGGTTTTTGTTTTGGGGTCAGAAGGCCAGAGAAGGCCAGGAGGCCAGGCCTGCCCCCTGTCCAACCCCTCCCCAGCCGGCGTGGGCGCTTGAGACGTTTCTGACGTCTGTGCGCCGGCCGTACATTTCATCACGGCGTCTAAAATAAAGTTGGGGCCCAATGGGATATTCCATACTGGCCTCACGTAGGCAGCCTGGGCTGACCCGACGGCCACACACGCAGTCGACCTTGGGAACATCAGATCTCTGTTCCATCTCCGTCTCACTCACGGATTTCCCAACCAGTGTTGATTCATACGCTTTCGTCTTTCCATGGTATCCTGCCAGGATGCATGCATGCTCCAGCCGTGCAATGCCATGTCCTACATGATCGGATGGCCCTGGCTCAGACCAGAAGGACACTTGACACTTTCATCCAGCCTCTCCACGATTGGTTTGGCATAGACGTGCTGGGATTCGCCGTCCGGCTTACCGCAGGATGCAGCACAGGTCACCGTGCCATTCTAAAGTCCCTCGCCTTGAACAGGACGGTGGACGGCTGGACGGGCGATGCATAACAAGTACACGGTGCTTACTATCATCCTACCACCAGGTCGGCGGATCCAAAACAAGGGGGGCCGCAACACACTCGCACGCTAAAACGGACTGCAAGCGCTGGGTTGCAGGTATCATGCAGCTGCAAGACTTGCAGGCCGAGGGAGGGGAGGGTGAGGGTAAGGGAAGTAACCAAACCCGCAGCACGAACCGTCGTCGTCATCCACCCACCCAGCAGGCAACATACCTGCGCTGCGAGCTTGCAGTGGGCCGAGGTGGCGCATCTGCTACCTGGCCTACCGCAAAATGTTCCGAGGGCCTCTCCATCGCCACACTAATAAGCCGAACCTCTTCTCTCCACACACCAAGTCTCCCGCACAGCTCGTCCCGTCTCCCTAGGGCCAGGCGACTCGTCGTCCCAACTTTAGCCCACACACGGTACAATGCGACACCATTGTCAGCAGGAACCTCCTGTCCGAGCGCTTCTGCCCTAGGGTGTTTGCTCGGCACCCTCATGAAGCTTGTTGAGAAAGATGGCTTGGGCACGTGACTGCTCGGGAGCCAGCCATCAAAGGCGCCACACCATCGCCAGTCCGCATAGTCGGGCGTGGTTGTCTTTTTGGCAACTTGGTCCTGGTCAGCTGCGTCGGCACCACCGTTGCAGAATTACACTGCGACTAGTCAGGCAGGCACTGCAGTGACGCCCGAGGTTGGGGCCGTCCCACCGGCGGTCCTGCAGCTTCGGCTGTGTGACTCAGCATTCTATTCGAGGATAGAGCCTGGTACTTTCTGGTGAACTCAGGCGTGCCATCTAGGACGAAGCTACTTCACGCCGTAATTCCGATGATGCGGCCTATTTTTGGCCACTTCCATGGATATGGCTGGGGCGATCTAGTTGTGCTTAAGAGAAGACAGAGTGAACCAAGCTGTAAGCGTGCATTCCACCAGCTACTTCCAGTAACGGCTGGCACATCCACCAGCTTGATAGGCCGGCCTGCTTTCAGAGCAATCGCTCTGAGGTAACACGCCATTCTCGACGTTATGTCCTGACGCTCGTCGGAGTCGGCCCAAATATCAGACGCAGATTGAGACGGTTTGGGACCGGCATAATGAGCTGTCTTATAGCCGAGGCTGCCTTACCAGACATCACATCACGTGGCATCGAAATCTGCTGGCGACATCAGACGGTGTCTGGCGTGAAGTTTATCTGCGGGCCCGACGGTCGAACAGGATAATAGTTTCACAGCCAGCAGGGCGTGCTGAGAACGATACGCGTTCCCCTTTTCGAGCCACGCGCTGAACAAACTGGCCCCGGGTGCTCGACACAAGAAAGCCTTGATCTTCAATGTCATCCAATCGCAATGACATGGTATTAAACGGTTTCACATGGCTTTCATCCCCACGAAACGCCCTTCGTCCGATGCACGCAGGGCCTCACAGTTCGGCACCACCTCGGACAAGTCATTATCGAGCTTCTGTATCCGATAGGTTGTCACCGCTTTTGACACGGACACACGATCTGGTCCAATCCAGTGGCTTGCGGCAATATGAATCGTCAAGCGGCAGAGATGTGACGACGCACCTCAAAAGGGGCACGAGCTGAGTTCCTCATGTTCCCAGATGCAGCCGCACAGGTTTTCGGTTCGAGCTCGTCACCTATTTGGGATCTTCTGTAGCACTTATGTGATCACAGAACCGGGTCACAGGTGAGTGAATGTGACTTAAGCGCGTCACTCATAGAGTTATTGAGATGTCTTTTGAGGATGGGTAATGCGGTGTTGCTTCTGTCGTTGCCTCTTCCCTACTTCACTGCAATCCCAGATTGAATAGGACGAACTCAAACGAAGTCTATACAGAATTGTTAAGAATTATATGTCTAAACTGGTATTAATAGCTCAACCCCGTTCTTTTGATCCGTTAACTTGCCCCCCTCTTACTCGGTGGAAGATCCACTGAGGCACTTGAGCAGAGAAAGGAACCTCATTTGTAGAAAGGCTAAGGCCCGCTGAGTGCCTGGGGTACAACAACGCAATACTTGGCATGCAACTCCCTTTGGGACAGAATTTCAACTTGTTCGAATCTTCAAAAGCATTGGGATGAGCCAATAACAATTGAGTCTCAATGAGGCTTGACGCTATGGCTGAGAGAATAGATTTGTTCAGTTGTCTCATACTTATAGGACTGTTTCAGTCTACCAGGCACAGCCGATTGTGTCTACATAGTTCTCTTCACAATGCCTCTTCTCCGTTACACAGCCATGTCGGTGATCAGCCATTAGGGATTGTTCCCGATTATCCAGAGGGACCTGATGCGTTCACCTTGAGGCCTCTAGCCAGCAGAGCCTCGGAGAAAGACCAATGCGACGACGAAGCGCACAAAAGTGCGAGATGTGCGTATTTAAAGGATACGAGTGCTTGCACAAAAAGGAACAGCCACCCCCGTCGCGTGGCACCACAGTTGCAGCCAGCGGCCCAGCAGCCTGCAGCCACAGCAGCACGCCCTCGGCCCGCAGCGCTTGGCCCCCAAACCCCAGACAGCAGCCAATCTCCCAACCAGACGTGCGGAAGCGACAACGCGTCACACAAGATCTCGGACTACGACCACATTGGCGTGTAGCGGTATAATGTGCCCAATCGGCCGTCACTCGGCCTGTGGAGGCCGCTCAGCCCGCAAGGCTCCAGCACGACCACGACCTCCGACCGTGCATTAGCCCGGCCGGTGCCCCCAATGGCCGGCGATTACGGAACGGCGCAAAAAGCTTCAATCACTGCTAGCTTTTCTCCCGGGCTTCAGCACGGCGTTTGTTCTCGAGCGGCGTACGACATGCCGTCATGCCGCTGAGGTGGTGAACGGCTTTTGAGGGCCTAATGCGGGCGCCTTTTGCATCGGTCGACGTTCCCATTTCAGCTGCAAAGCGCCGAGGCTGATGGGTTTTGGTCTCGCAAGCTGAGGCATTCGAAATAGAATACCTAGTTGGGGGAGAGTAGAACGCTGTGTCCCCAGGCATATAAAAGCAAGATAATGGGCCGCGAGGCTCATGCCTGGGACTCATCTCGGTCCCTAAGCTTCCCTTGAGTAATTACAATTCAAACACTCGCTCAAAATTCTCAATCACGTTCCTAATTACTATATTTTTCCCTCAGTCTCCGAATCTTTGTACCATCGTAATCAAGGCCACCGCCATTCTTTTCACATTTCTTTCTTTCAGTGTCCGCGGGTGTGACAGCTTGGTCCCTAGAACTTGCAACCTCCAAGGACCCATGCAAGAATCGGAAGCATGTAAGCCTCTACATTTTGGTTTCATCACTCACATATGGATAGTGTGAGGCTGAGAAAGTCACAGGAACTCGTCCGACAACAGCGACCTGCTGGGGATTGGTACATGGGCCACTAGTTCACAGCCCACTAGCAACAACCATCGGGCTCACAGCGGCAGCGGAACAAACCCAGCGCCCAAGAAGGCCAAGATGAGCGCCTCTCTTGCCCACTGGGTGGGCAGCTCTCAAGATGACCCGTGGAGTCATGTTGCAGGGAGGAGAAGTGGTGAGCCCGCAGGCGGCGACCCGGGTAAGAGTTCAGGATCGTAGATAGGCATCACAGGACCAGCACTTCCGGAAAGATGTTCTGAGCAAAAGAATTGAAGTATGTGTGCATGCAGGCATGCTCCTGGTCGCCTTGGGCCAGAAATAATGGGTCTCGAGCTGGAGCTTGGGACATAGTCCATTCTGCAGTCGGTCGTTTGGAAATACTTGTGGACTCGGACAGGATTGGAAACATCTAAAACCACTCAATAATAACACAATCATTCGATAAAAGTTGATAAGTTTCGAATACTCTTGCCCTGAGTTGTTGGTGTTGATACATGGCACCAAGTCTCGTAATGCATGGATCTCTTCCGCCGAGGAGCTCCTCCAGTAATTCATCTGGCTGGGATCGCCTCTGCCCGTCACGAAATTCAGGAGAAACAGAGCATGGATTCAAGGCGTCGAGTGTGGAACAGAAAATTCAAGACCTCTCAGCCTATCGCTTGGGCAAGATGTGGAATCGAGATTCAGTCTGTAAAAACCATGACCAAACGTCAAGCTGTCATATTGCTATGCTGAGCGATTGGGGCAAAGAGCCAGGGAAGGGACTTATCGTGGATCAAGGGCACTCAAACGAACAGTTGCCCTCTTCCATCTTCGCCCTTCATCCTTTTATCTTCTCTCTTCGCTCTTCCGTCTTCACGTGCAGCACTCCCCACTCAACATCACACCGACGGCGACATCCTCATTCCAGATGTCCCACTTCTATTTTCTTGTCTTCACCCTAATTCCTCTTCTGGGCTATAAATCAGCCGCCTACTGCACTTCTATCCCGCTGCTGCCTACCAATGCTCTTACTCTGTTAGACGCCCATCCTCCCAACAAGTTCCTCTCAGTTGCCTCTGGATCACCCAATTACATGTAGGAACCCCCCTGAGCCGCCCCGTGGTGACACCTCTGATTGAGGGACCTGTCAAGGGACAGAGCGGCGTTCGATTCGTACGGACCCTGTGGTTGGTACTCTTGGGGGTCGGGTTTTTTCTTTCGTTTTTCTCCGCATCCTACTCAGTCTTCCCCGCTGACAATAAAAACGGTTCATGACAGTTTCAAAAGTTCACTGAGCCTCAGATCCAGTATCGCCAGGGCAGCAATTCCTCTGGTGACGGTCCGCATGTCCCCCAATCTCACGACTAGTGACCTCCTGTGGTCCGTAGACAGGTTTGGTAGTCGGTGGCGTCTCGCTGGCGGGCTACCGCGCACCTGCACAGCTTGATGGCGATCCGGGTATGCTGTATGTGCGAGTTCTTCCGGCGTTCAGCTGTGGATGACCTTTAGGTAGAAACCTAGAAGATCGCTGCCTCCTTGCCCGAACAGGTTTGTCTTCCTTGTGTTCCCCAGTAACCTCAAGCTCCATCAATCGAAGCGCCTCGTCCAGATAGACACCGTTTTTGAGTCGGCGGCCAGCACTGTCGCCTGCAGCCGCGCTTCGAGCAGCTGCGTCAGCACGTGTGTTCCCTTCCACGCCCGAGTGGGCCGGGACCCAACGAAGCTCAACCGAGATGCCCAGCTTGCCAAAATACTGTGACCTGGTAATAAGCTTGCGCAGGACCGAATTCTCCTCGCCACGGAGCCACCCCTCGCTGAACGTATGTTGTCGTAGCCCATCCACGCAGCTCAATGCCTCCTGGCAATCAGAGAATACCACCACCTTGCGAACACCAGATGCCGGCCGAAGCAGTGTCTGCGACAGGGCGACTGCCAGCCCCTCCGAAATAGCTACCATCTCGGCAGTAGATGCGTCAGAGTCGGCCGGCAGGGGGAAGACACGTTCTTGCCAGTCCCGGCCATCGTCAGCTTGAAACACAACGGCAGCACCTGCGCATCTCCTTGCGTTATTCTTCCCTCTTTTGTGAAACGACGAGCCGTCGACATAGAAAATTAGCTCATCCTCGTTGCATTCGGGGCCCGGCCGACGTGCCTTGGTCGCCGCGGCAATGGCATCGTCTCTGGACTGGTCGATGACGACATCCCCCAGGAAGCGGAGCTCGGCGGTAGAGCGCAGCAGGACGAGTTCCCTGCGGGCGTTGGCCTCCCTGTTTTCCTTGGCGATGCTCGAGATGTGTTGTGCGAGGGACGCGGCGAAGGCCCTTTCACTTCGGTCATGGCGTCGCTCCTTCTTCTTCTTCTGAATTTTGGTCGGCGGAGATTTATCCATGCTGGCGGGAGTGTGTGGTTTGTAGTGATTCTCAGCTTGTGGTTTTGGAAAAAGGAAAAGGCCGAGGAGAGTCTTCTCAGATGCAGCACCGTTCACGGCTAACAAAGTGGATTGGGCTAAAACAAGCCAACTTTTAGAATTGTAGAATGCTGCAATTAGCCGTGGTTAGTCGCCGTACCAAAATAATGCTAGATGCACATTCTCGATCGACGGCGTTCAACAAACCGTCAATGCTTTCCAAAAGCCGTCCACGCCATGTGTTTAATTCGAGCATTTCATTTTGATAAAACTTAATTTGTAATCGTAGGGCAGGAAGACAAGGATGTATATTTCAATCGGACCTAGATACCACCTGGGCATTCAGAAAGTTGTCACAGACTGGTAAGCTCTTGTGCCCCATTCTTTAGCCTGTGGCACTACAAGTGCGCTACAGTGCCGTAGCACGAGCCATCCGCACAACGAGTTCCCCGTATCCAGCAGCATTCACGCTGATGTCAGAGGGTGCTTAAATAACACGGTGGTTCTGTATTGGATAGATGGCGCAAGAGATGTAGGATTGACCACGCTGATGGCTGCATAAAAAGATGCGGATCGGTAGATCTCGTATAGGAGTGAGTTGCTTATCCATCCAAAATAGGGCAATAATACCCATGAAAGGCTTTGTCACTAAAAGAAGCTGAATTGTTCTGAACGTCCCATGACACTGAGAATTGAGCAAGGCACCACTCACTGCGATACCTAGCATTGGTTGTCTTAATAAATGGAGCACATTACTATCACACTTGAGTGCTCCCTTTTTGTTTCTTCTACACAGTGAATACTCCATAGAAATTTACAGCCAGCCTCCTCGATTTGATGTCTTCCTATGATCCATGGCCACGTTGCATACAAAGCTCCACAAGTTTTCGGGGATACCCAGAGCTACTACCACTATACCCCTATAAGGCTAGCAAGTCTAATATACTAACCTCATCTCATTTAGCAGAGGACAGTAGATGTAAAGATATACTTAATCTATAGAGTCACACAAACTAAATAAGATACAATAGCCAAGCAAAGGCCATTGATAATAGAGCCACAGGAGCTATCCACCACAAGACGTGGTCTCTGCTCCCAGGCTGTGGCTTGCCCCCAACAGTGGCCACTAGCGAGCGTGCCTTGGGGCCTCCCCCAGCACAATATGGAATACCATTTCAGCAACGTTGGTCGGTGCACAAATCAGTAAGCCGCATCGGCAGTATTAATACGTATGTTTTCCACACACTCACCGAAGCCTCTGGGCAGGTGGTGGCAGCGTACCATAAGTTAACACAAATTACCAACCACACTTGGTTATTTTCAACATCCGAGTCGTTCGTTCGGTACCAAACACAGCGCAACGTGAGCCCACCATCGTCGTCACAGAAATCCACACACAAGTCCCCATGTGCTGTTGGCCATTCCCTCCGTCTCCGACCTACCTGGTGGACAAGAAGCCAACCCAGTCACGGTGCCGTACCTATGGTCTGCTTGCTAGTATATACATGTGCCATGATATCCGCATTAAACAAACTGCCATGGGTAAACTCAACCCCAGCGGGTGTTGTCCAGACAGACCGGCAGTCAACCTCAACTTATTACTGTTCTTTTTGTCAAGGTATGCTCTACGGTCACACCAGATGATCCCAAACCCGGGCCGGAAGCAAGCTTCTGAGCTCTCGCGGTACGCTGTTTGGAACCCGGGTAAGTCGGCCACCAACCCTGCCGCTATATAACAAACCTCAACTAAGAGATCATCAGCGTTTTGCACGAACACCGGGGACGCTAATTGGTGCCGTCTAACAGCAGGGATTGGACGCCGGCCCGTCTTGCGTGTTCAAAGCACGCAAAGTATCCGACAACTCAGCCCCGGCGAGACAACCATCAACAGCAAAAGGTGAGGTAACTTTACGAGGTCTCACACCAGCAGCACCAGCGAATCACTCAGAGTGTATGTATCATGTATCATTATTATTGCTCGTGATCTCGGCGCCCGGTTGCCGAATGCAAGTCCCGGAACTTCTGATTCTATCCAGACCAAGGATGCACCCACCCCAGCTCAAGCATCGGGTGTGCAGAGCAGCTGTGTCTCAAGCCTGCCCGGCATCATCCGGCTCTCCTTGCTCGCTCCCATTGTTTCAGGCCAACGAGCATGCATGGCCGGTGGGGCTCCCATGTAGAATGTATAAAATGTTGACAAAGGCTACTGAAGCATTTACACATCGTGGGTCCATGACACTGTGTTGTCGATGGCCCATTTGTGGATGGTGTCAAAGTTGCGGCATGTGTGCAGGGTGCTGAAGTCGGGCCAGAAGTCACCGTCCTCGTAGCCGTACTCTGGGTACTCTCGGAAGGTGAAGATGCCAATGTCGGCGGTGCACATGAGGTTGATCCGGATGGCCTCGAGGCAGTGGTCTGGAAGAAGAGTGTCAGCACGTTATGGCCCAATGAAAACAACACGGTCTGTTGACTCACCGACATGGCCCTTGAGGCCATTCTCCTCTTCCTGGATGTCACTGTAGATGTTGACATAGTACTCCTTGTAAACATACTGCCTCAGCAGGTTCAGGCAGTGCAGCTGGTGGAAGACCTCGACTGCGGCGCGGTAGCCCTCCTTGCCGGTCTTGGGGTCCGTGACCTTGAGCGAGTTTCTGGGCAGTCCTAGCCTGTCCAGCTCGGCTTCTGATATCATCTGGTCGCCCACTGTTCAAGTAGTCTTAGCATATGGCCTCCAATAGTCCAAGGGGGCCAGTCCACTTACTGTCGTTGGCTATGGAGTCCCACGCCTCATCGACCTTGGGGCCATACCCGACAAAGGGGCCATCCACCATGGGTGTGAGGTTGAACCGAACTGTGTCGTACTGCACGATGGGGGCCACCGGTGCTGCCAGGTGATAGTTAGACGTGGCTGATAGAAGGACGGTGAGGTGTTGTTTGCTTACAGTAGGACGAGAACTGCTGTGTGTGCTGGAGGTCTGACGGCCTCGCCGTCCTGTTGCAGAAGGACAGCGTGAACAAGGTCATCGACAAGGTGAGCAGCACAGCGTGGGCTATCCAGGCCCAGTGCTTGGACACAAAGTCCGAGGCTCTTGTCCTAGCATTTCGCTGGTATTTGTCGTCCCCTAACCTGAGTGATAACCTGTCCTTCTCGTATACTGTGGACTCTGAGCTGCTCCGGCTCTGTTCCTCATCAAGAGGCACAGCCTGGTAGTCTTTCGCCATTGGGGATAACAGAGGATATTCACAGGCAGAATATGTGATGAAGCGAAATGATGAGGGCATACCAGCTGCTCGGGCGGAAGACAAATCAGAAGAAGGGGAGGCGAAAAGGTAGGAGGAGGAATCAGGCGGGGGATCAGACGTGGTAGGAGGAAACACCAGGCTTCCTAGATGGTGCACGTCAGGAGGGAGGCGGCTGCTGGGTCAAGCGGCGTCGAGGCGGTGATCATACGGCTAGACTTGCTTCAGGTCGGTTCGTCCTGCCACGTCAAGGGGCCAAGCCTTTGAGGGTGTATGATCAACGAGAATGACGGGAAATCGGTAGTATTAGGCGTTTCCCAAGAAAAGATGTGTTGACTCGATCAAAACACGACCAGCGCAGCGGTTCTGGAAACAAAGGAAATAGGAGCGACGGGCAGGCCATTACAAACCACCCACGCCGCTCCTCGGTTTGCAGGCATATCGCCGACCACGAGTTGAGACGTCTGATGTTGGCGGTGACACGGGATGAGACAGTCTTCAGGGCCAGGGTGTGTTTGAAAGGGGTGAGTGTGGACGGGCGAGCAGGTGTGGTCGCGCAGTCCCAACGGGGCCTAGCCTTGTTCGCTTGGGTCCCGTGGCTGGCCCGAGACGAGACGATGGCGAGGGGAATTCGGGAGACGGGGGACTAGGGGACGGGGCCCCACAAAAACCATCACAGCTGCAATAAGGTTGGGTGTGTGACACAAAGAGAGAGAGATATAGTGCGGGCAGAGGCAAGACAGAATAAAAGTTCCGGCACTTGGACTGCTCTGACATCAAACTCTAGTGCACGTCGAGTGAGGTGAGTGAGGTGAAAGCTCCGTGGGCAGGAAAATGCCCGAATGGAGCGGCTCCCAGGGCGATGTGGTCTGGGGCCAATGCGACGCAGGGCCCATGCAGCCAAGCCGCTGTCGCGGGAAGTTTGAGCAGGGGTGGCTGTCGAGGGAGACTAGCGGTTGGAATCACTGGGCGTTTCACCTGGGCAGGCTTGGCCCAGGGCACCTCACCCTGACACCTTCGCAGCAGCCCAGCAGCCCAGCAGCCCAGCAGCCCAGCAGCCCAGCAGCCCAGGTGTGGTCTGCTCTGCCCTCGATCTCCGCTGGGGGCCGGCTCGTGACGGCCGTGCAGGAGCCGATGCTTCTATATTTTCCATCCGACATGCTGGTTCTCCCCACCGCGACCACGGTGGTGATTGGTGTCTCGGGCTGAGAAGGCGCCAAAAGTTGCAGTTTCAGCAGCACCCCCGTCCCCGAGACTCCTGGACGGCAGGTCGTGCCCAGGGCGGCGGCTAAGAATTGATGGGCAATGATCCACTCGATGCCCGCGTGCATCACAAAGATCCTGTCGAACACGATCTGTCGCCTGGGGGTTGTGGGTGATGGGCGCCCACCCGCCTGCCGCTGATCTGGGGTCGATGGCTGCATGGCGAAATCCCCCCGTACATGAGCATCTTAATTGCGAGCTGTAAGAGATCTGAACCTGACACAGCATGCGCTAAAATGAGCCATACCACCAGGCCCGCCAACCAGACAGCCAGACAGCCAGCCCGCCCTGACCAACCCTGCCGCTGCTCACCACGAGCTTGCTTAAGCTTGACGGAGCCGCAAAGCTTGGCCCTGCACCAAACCTACCCAGGTGCCCAGGCACACACACATACACACGCATACATAGGCACCACACGCGGGTATTATGCTTAAGGGGTTCCTTCCTGCAACATGGGCCTGGGCCTGTGGCGCCTACATCCCTGCCCGATCGAGTGATCACGGTTTACTCCATCCTACAGTACACATCGCGGCCACCCTGCCACCCTGCCACCACAGCCCCTATCCCGTCATCGCCATCGCACTCGGTCTTTCTGACAAGGCTTGTGGGTCGTGGAAGAATAATTCGACCTGGGACAGGCCAGCACACTTCGTCCCATCCCCTTGGCCCCAGCTCATGGTCCACGATCCAGAGCCAGGGACCAGGTCTCGGCCGACCCACCATTAAACCGTCTCTACTCACTCTCATGTTTTCCCTCCTAACCGCTTGCGGTTGCTGTCGAGAGGCGCCCTCCATGACGACCCTCGACCGCGCTGCCCCACTGCCGCCATAGCCGTGGTGCCTGGGAATGGGGAGTCAAGCACCCATCATGAGACATGACTCTCAGACACCTGGCTTGTGTAGATCAGGTTTGACATTGTCGCTTTCGTCCCAACTCCTGATGATTTCGTCCAGGACGAGGGCCAGGGCTGTTGGCCTGGGGTTCGTCTTCGTCTCTTCCATCGGCTAAACGGCCAGCCTCGCTCTGCTAGAGCGCGCCCTATTCCCGTTGGGCCTCGAGGAGGGCCATCTCCGTATATAATACTTCATAAACCTGCTCACTCCCCAAACTTGCTCACGCCACTCTTCCTGTTCAGTAGCTGAGCTCATTTCCTTCTTGGCATCGTCTCATTCCCTTCTCCTTCCAACCAACTCCAAGTCACTCTTTGACCCGCTGCCGGCCAGCTTTGATAGTACGATACCTCAGGCAGGAAACATACGACGCCATAATGCACGCCCCTTCAGTCATCAGCCTCCTGGTCTCTGGCCTGGCTGCCTCCTCGGTTGCCGGCTTCGAGCTGAGCGCCCCGGGTGCCTCCCTGTCCCGCCGTAGCGTCGCCCTCGTCGCTGCCGCCGTCGGACCCGCTCTGGCCCTCCCCGCCGACATCTCCATCGAGGCTCGTCACCGTAAGTTTTTGAAACCCGCTTGTCCCGCTGTGGGGTGTCAACCCTCCCGCTTACAAAACATCCTAGACCAAGGCAAGGGCGGTAAGAAGAAGAACAAGGCCAACGCCAGGCGCCAGGAGGACGAGGAGGAGGATGAGCTTGAGGAGCGCGACCTCGAGGCCCGTCACCACCAGGGCAAGGGCGGCAAGAAGAAGAACAAGGCCGCTGCCGCCGCCCGCGACCTCGAGGAGCTCGAGACCCGCGAGCCCCACCACCAGGGCAAGGGAGGCAAGAAGAAGAACAAGGCTGCTGCTGCTGCCCGCGACCTCGAGGAGCTCGAGACCCGCGAGCCCCACCACCAGGGCAAGGGTGGTAAGAAGAAGAACAAGGCCGCCGCCGCCGCTCGTGATGTAGAGGAGGAGACCGCCGACCTCGAGACGCGCGAGCCCCACCACCAGGGCAAGGGTGGCAAGAAGAAGAACAAGGCCGCCGCTGCTGCCCGCGACCTGGAGGAGCTTGAGACCCGTGAGCCTCACCACCAGGGCAAGGGAGGCAAGAAGAAGAACAAGGCTGCCGCCGCTGCTCGTGATGTAGACGAGACCGCCAACCTTGAGACCCGTGAGCCCCACCACCAGGGCAAGGGCGGTAAGAAGAAGAACAAGGCTGCTGCCGCCGCTCGTGATGTCGAGGAGACCGCCAACCTTGAGACCCGCGAGCCTCACCACCAGGGCAAGGGCGGCAAGAAGAAGAACAAGGCCGCCGCTGCCGCCCGTGATGTCGAGGAGACCGCCAACCTCGAGACCCGCGAGCCCCACCACCAGGGCAAGGGAGGCAAGAAGAAGAGCAAGGCCGCTGCCGCCGCCGCCAACTAAGCGATCCTCTTCTACTAAGAAGGGCCATGACAAGACGGCAACTTCTCCATTTCTCTCTCTTGAAAACGGGTCGTCCATCAAAATGCCAACTTTCTTGAACTCCTTTTATACTACTACGTTCGAAATGGTTCTGCTCGGAGACGATGCGGTGTGCTATATAATGTGTCTTTGTTGTTGGGGGCACATGGTCGTCCCGGGCTGTGCTACTACGAGAGTGCGGATGCTAGACCCGAGAAAACTATCAAATGTAACGAATATTATTGACCGAAACCTCTTTCTCTGTGCCATTCCCACCTTCACCGACCGTGACATCAAAATTTGTCTCATGATGTGATTGTATCTGTAAAGAGTGGAATAGAACCTCACAACAACGGAAGTAGACGGGGTGGACGGACGGGCCACGACCAGAGAGAGACGTCGTCGTGTAAGCCAGCCAAGGACCCACCCACCCGATCAGCCAGGGATCCAGCCCCAAACAATTTTTAGCTGCGGTAAACGTTGCTGCTCATCATACGCAGATTAGTTCTCGGCGGCGTGAGCTTAACGCGCAGGCGCCCTTGGCCACCCCGCTGGCATTGGCCGTACAAGCCTCTGACGGCCGCCCATCAATGCTCGGCAGTACCAGGCTGTCTGGAAACATGGTAACCCTACATAATTTACCCCTGGGGGCTTCTCGGGGTCTGCCGAAACGCGGTTCAATGCGAGCTGGGATATGGTTCCCCCCCGGATTCACGACGAGGGGGTCTCGGCTAAACTTCGAGACGTGTTGCACTCTTTGCTACTTTGCCGCTCGGTTGGTGATTGTACGTAATTAGATGCCAGGGGCTGGGGAGATCATAGAAGCTGGCGGTATAGATATCGGCGGCGGCGGCCAGAATTGTCTGCGCCGAGGAGGTCGAGTCAGCGACACGGTAAGAATGGGAGGGAGAAACATATTCCACCTCTGGCGCGCGCAGAGAAACGAACCAGCTGCACCAGAAGTTAGGACCGTAAATGCAACTGACATGAGCAAAGTTTGCACGGCGGTCGGCCCTCGACCAGCCCGGTCCGATGATGCAGACCACCCGCCAGGCACCACCAGACCGCCAGGACCGCGAGAATCTGCCTCTGCCGCCGCCGTGGGGCTCCGGACGAGCTCCCAAGACCCGACCCGACCTCGACCGATTTTGTGCCTGAGATAGGGCCACAGCACAGCTCAGCCCTGCCAGGCGCACCAAACGCGGACGAGACCTCTATCAGCCCAGGACGGGTGCAGACAACCGCCTCCCTCATATGTCCCCATGAAGCCCGTAGCAGCTTTTGCTCGGCGGGGCTGCGCCTTGTGTTGGAGTGTCTTGTCCTCCGATGTTCTCTCGCAGTGCAGCGCCCGGCTCGGATGCCGGGCGCCTCACAAGTGCCGCCATCATTCATGCCTGCCCGCCCACGGCAAACGAGGCATTAGACAGAGCTTGCCAGGCGGCACCTAATACTTCTTGGGAGTCCGTGGGTAGAGTTTCGTCGGATTTTTCCAGACGAGCGACTCTTGGAGGCAAGGCAGTAACGGCGACCTGCATCCGGATATCAGATGGGGCGCAGAGGGACCCGATTGGTGAGGGTGGCCGTTTCTCCGTTAGGCTGCGTCACGCTTCCCACACGAAACGCATGCACGCGGCTCAGCATCCGTGCGCTCTCTCGCCGCCCTCTGTTCTCACCGCGCGACCGCCTACCTCACCTTGGATCACGGCGGGTTGGATCATGCCCATGTGCTGCCACCTAAGAGTCCCTAGCTTCCAGGATGCCATTGTTATCACCCGCCTCGCGGGGCCAAGATCGGCAACGGCTCGCTGGTTGTGCCCGATTAGAAATCGCTTGGCACGGAGTTGCGGGTTCCAGTTGCGGCAGCCCGGCCGCCTCGCCTCGGGGGTGAAGAAGTGCGGTTTTGAAGCTCCGGAGGCCATCGAGACTATTGTACCCAGCCTCGCTGGGTATTGTCCCGAGGTGTTGACCGATTCCCCGTTCCCGCAGCTCAGTGGACAGATCCCAAACCGCGGAAACACGTTGGCTCCCGCAGTTTGCCCTCGGAAACAACTCGACGTCGCTCGTGGCCTTCGGTGAGCCTGAATGGCGCTAGAACAAGGGAGATGTGAAGGGACGAATATCTCGCTGCACAAGTTGTGGTATTTCTTCGGCTCGACCCGACTCGTAGTGGGCCAGGAGTCGCCTCAGTTGCTCTCCGAAGTGTATACATCGTCCGAAGTGGAGGACCGGCGCCGACAATCGTATGAGTCGCGAAGTCCCCAACATTTAGCACCCCAAGCACCCGCCTGTCCTGATGTTCGCTCCAGTAGGTAAGTAGGAGAACCCACACACTTTGGCATGGTCGTCCGTCCTTCGAGTGATGGTGTGCAACGATCAAATCTCGCATCAACCTTCACTCGGGTCGTGAATTCCGGACAAGCATGTACACAAAGCGAAACACTGCAGGTGGGGGGCGCATCTCAGCAAACACATGCCTCGCAAAAGCTGCCACAGCACGTCGGCATCCGTGAGGCCCTGCAGAATCGAGTCGGTCAGCTCAAGGATACAAATTCGGGGTCCTGCCACACCGGCGAGGTTCCCAACTAGTCAGCCGTCCAGAGTGGCTGACAAGGACAGTAACTTTTTGGTCAACAATGCGGACACCGTTGAACCGCGCGACACGGCTTCTTCCATGGCCGTGTGAGGCATTCGGCGGGCTCAATGAGACGGTACCGCTGAGATCCGGTGTACAACGCGCATGCGTGTGCAGTAGCTTTGGTGGTGCTTGCGAAGAGCTCGTGCGTGAATGCGTAGTGCTTGGTCAGATGGGATGAAGTGATCTGGGAGGTGTTGGTTCTCCTCGAGTTCAGAGCCGAGCCCCGAGCCATCCGCATCGACTTATAGAAACGATATTTGCCCGACATAAACAGCAGAGCTGGTGAGTTCTGGCAAGACGTAATTGCTGAAGCTTTGGCTCGCAGGGCCCGGTAGCTCGGGCAGGGTCACATCGTGGAGGGGAATTGACGAATAGGATCGGCAGGGTATACCTGATTAGGAAGGGGCCAGCGATCAGCAGGAGCAGGCCCAGGCTCGTGGAAGCTGTGGAAGCTGTGGGAGCTCGAATGAGCTTGCCAACCACTCGGGACCTTTTTTGAGCTAGGGCGAGGGCCCCATGTACGCGTGTAGATTAGCTGGAAAGAACAAAAAAGGCCTTCACAAAGCTTCATCCTCGAATGATGAGGCCACTTTCCCGCACCGCTCCCGCCCAGCTTCCGAACCGGCGCGACAGCAGGCCGGGAGAGGGCAGCAGCAAATCAGAAGGCCGGGCCGGGGAGGTGGTGCCCCACCTGTCGTGCATTTCCACACGTCCCTCGCGTGGTTTGCGCGCCCTGACAGCAGACGGATCATGTCAGACGCCTGTCTTTGCCCGATCCGGGGGCAGGCGGTGGGAGCCACCCATTTAACATCGTACTATGGTTGCTGGGGTAGTGTGAGTTGTGGGTGGGGCTCCTCTCCTCGCTAGGTCGCAATTGGGCTGATGCAGCCAGGTCGAGGAGCAAAAGAAAGGACCCTGGATGTAGATGTATTGGTAAATAAATATCAGAACGGAAGGCCCTCGCGCCCTGCATCTTGTCACGGGCCGCAAGATCTTGCATTTCCTATCGATTTGGGAGATCCCGTCTGCGATTTGTTTGCTTCGTCTTATTTTGATTGCGAGGCACAACAGCTTGGGTGGAGTTTGCCCGTGTGTTGCACTTGCAGCGGTTGTACATCGTCAACTTCACCAAGCTTGGACCCCTGTTTTCGTCCTGGGTCGGCAGCAGCAGCAACATCCGACCTAGAGTTTGCAGTCTGTTGGAGTGTACACCACCACCACCTTGGTGAAAAAGAATTCCAGAAGGGAAGGCGAGTCTGGGGAAATCAATAATTCTTCTTCTGCACTGCCCTCGCTCTCTACAGCAGCAAAGGAGACATCCGTCCACTCGACACGAGGCAACCCCAAAACCACCCACCATGGATATCGTCCTCGAAATCGCCGACACCCTCTTTGGGGACTACCTGTACGCGACTTTCCACCCAGCGAAGCCAGCACCTTATGACTTCCCACACCCCCCGTCCAACGAGACCGTCAACGACCGGGCCTTCTCAGCTTGGACATACACGCCCTCGACCCACCACTTCTCCCTCGAGCCCTCACAATATGCCTACATGAGCCAATGGCCGCGCGATAACATCTACCGCCAGGCCTTGTCCCTGTTCCTCATTATCTGGTAAGCACTATCCCGTATCCCAAATCATCAAGTCTTGGGGGAGCCTGTCGACTGACTCCCACATTACTAGGCTATTCGGCCTGGTCGTCTACTTCGTCTTCGCCACCCTGTCGTACGTCTTCGTCTTCGACAAGAAGACCAAGGAGCACCCAAAGTACCTCGCCAACCAGATCGCCCTCGAGATCAAGCAGACCATGACCTCGATGCCCATCATGTCGCTGTGCACCACGCCCCTGATGCTGGCCGAGGTCCGCGGCCACAGCAAGCTGTACGACGCCCCCGCCGACGCCCCCTTCGCCGCCTACTCCTGGGTCCAGTTCCCCTTCTTCGTCATGTTCACCGACTTCTGCATCTACTGGATCCACCGCTGGCTGCACCACCCGCTCATCTACAAGAACCTGCACAAGCCGCACCACAAGTGGATCATGCCCACCCCCTTCGCCTCCCACGCCTTCCACCCCCTCGACGGCTTCGCCCAGTCCTTCCCCTACCACGTCTTCCCCTTCTTCTTCCCCCTGCAGAAGCTGTCCTACGTCTTCCTCTTCGTCTTTGTCAACTTCTGGACCATCATCATCCACGACGGCGAGTTCGTCTCCGACAACCCCGTCGTCAACGGCGCCGCCTGCCACAGCATCCACCACCTCGCCTTCAACTACAACTACGGCCAGTACACCACCCTCTGGGACCGCATGGGTGGTTCGTACCGCAAGCCAGACCCCAGCATGTTTGACAAGCAGGAGAACATGTCCCAGGCCCAGTGGGAGAAGCAGAGCAGGGAGATGGAGAGGATGGTCGAGATTGTCGAGGGCGTCGACGATAGGTCATACCTGCCGGAGGCCAAGAAGACAAGGTAGGCAGGGAGGCTCTGGAAGGGGCATCAATAACAAAATGCTCGGTATGGACGGAAAGGTGCGAGTCGACATTTCCATGCCCCATGGGAAAGACCCCGGAATGTCGAGACAAATGGGACGAGATTTTTGTACATAATTCAGGCTCCTGCCCACCTCGCCCCTTGCTGTTGCAGATACTCCGTATCTCTCGGAGATGGAAGCTAGGGGTGTCAATACTTATTTTAATACCATGAATGTAAACTGAAAGACATGCATACACAATATCCTCCAGTCTTCAGATACCTTGGTCAGCTCCACCCTCTTTCCGTCTGCTCGCGTGTCACCCACCTGGCCGGGCTGGGTCCTACTCACTTGCTCTCATCCAGCGAAAGACCCGAAAGGCACACCAGGCCAACAGGGCCATACCCCCTCCAATGACAGCCGCACCCAACGCATCGACAGCTCTATCCTCCAGCGTTGGGACGTAACTGGGATCCCTCATCCGGCGCTCCCTGTCCTCCCATTTTGCGTCCCGATATTCCCTTGAAATCCTGTCCTGCTCCCTCTCACGTGCATGTCTCTCATTTTGCTGACGTCGGCAGGACTGGCAGTAGCAACACTCCCTGCCCACCCGATCACGCTTGTGCCAACAATGCCCAGGACAGCAGTATCGGTGGCAGTGGTCTGGTGGATTTTCGCCGTGGCAGCAGTCCCTTCGGAATCTTGAGCCGCTGTAGCCTCGGCAGCATGGATGGTTGTCGTTTCCAGCCATTTTTGCTGAGAATTGTGTTGTTTCTTGGCGTTTCTTCTTTCCTTGTGTTGAACTTATGGTTCCCCTGTGAGCTGTGTATTTGAAACCTTGTGGTTCTTGAGGTGGCCATGGTATTCCTGACAGGTTACTCGTAGATATAAGACAAGGCCATCTTGTGCATCTCCTCAGCTGTGAGCTGGTGGTGAATCAGTTGATGAAATGGTGGTTGTTAAAAATCACACGGCACGAGGGACCGGGACTCCTAGTGTGGCCACTTACACGGTAGGTACCTACTTAAAGTACCTAGGTAGGTAGGTACTCAAGTAAGTCCACGGGCGCCTACCATCTACCTAGATTTTAGTGGAGGAGCCGGGCGCCCTGGAGCTCGGGGTTTGCGAGAATCGTCTGGGCGACATGAGAAAATGAGAAGGGAATTAAAATATGAGTCTCTCCCCACCTTTGCATATAATTCATGGCCCTGTTCGCTACTCTCATACATGGAGTTTCTCTATTTTACTACAACCTCGTCCAACAGCATCAAAATTGAGGACACAAAGGCTGTCATGCCACTTCCTTGCTTTGTGCCATGTCAGTTGCTATCAAATTGCTGATCAAAAAAGTCTACCAATTGTAACCGTCACCACACAGTCCAAACTCTAATCTTTGTGACTCGCTGAACGTGTAGACGAGCATGGTATCACGCCCTCCACGTTGGAACCTCTGCTTGGCCCTCGTTATCTCTCCCCACCCGTACCCGCATGGCAGAGACAGGGTCAAGTATAAAGTCTCGCAACTTTAAATAGCGCAGAATACTCCCATAATGAGAATATGGATGAGGGGGCAACGGGTCCCGCGTGATAAGGAGCTCACGGGATATCTGATGTGCCGCATCCTCCCAAGCCTTGATTGCCTCAGCCCCAATCGGCGAGTACCACGAGCTTCTCCATGTGAGCTCACAGGTTGCTGCCCGTTCTTTTTCCCCTGCCTCGTACCTCAGGACAGCCGCGTGGCCGTTCTCGCAATTCCACAGCTCGATAATCTGGAGCTGTGGTAATTTTATAACCACCTGGGCAGCGTCCGTCAGGATTCTCCTGACCTTCCAGTCCGAGTCGGTTGGTTGGAGGTGCTCTGTCGAGGTAATAGCAAGTGATTGCAAATTTGGCAAAGCATTAGCCGGGAATTTAAAGCAATCCATTGCATCACTCAGGAAAGAGATGGAAAGGTGTTTGAGGTTGAATGCTTGCCCCGCCAGCCCATCGAGCACTCGAATTCTGGATGTTGGAAAATCACTAAACTCTTTCGCGTTGGGTGACTTTGAGGTGGTGTCCTCGAACAGCGATAGAGTTTCTAGCGACGGTGGCAAGCTGTGTCCGAGTGCCCCTTTTACCAAGGGGTCTTGGTCCATAGGGTCGTCTTCTATCTCCATAGGCCCGAATGCCATCTCATACATCTTTTGAGAGAAAGGATCTGGTAAACACCACCGTTCATATCGAATGTTGCGGCTGGAGTTAGTTAGTCACCTGGTCCCGAGTCCAAAGGGGACGTATGTTGAGGATTTTATAAACAAACGGACAAGCAAAGGCAGCGATGGGAGACTCATACATACATGCTAGTGAGGGTTTCCCGGAATAATTTGCTAAAGGCGAAAGGACATAAATCCCGATAGAACTGTCGCCGAAGGACAAAAGAAGATATCATCTCAACCTGGGGCAGCTTTCTAGATGGGATACCAAAAAAGTCGAACTCGAGGGGCCTTATAAGCCTTTGCGCAATAGCTTCAGCTTGATTGGGCGTTTCTTCCAATACAGGATTGTATTGGCCAGCAGAAAATCCATGGAATTCGTCGTTCAGTTGATTGTCTCCACTGGTGAGGCCTCTTTCGTACCGTATAATATAGTCCCTCTGTGCGCTAATCGAGTCAAGATTTGGATAATCGTCTTGTAAGGCACCATTGTCCTGAAAACAATGTTTTGAGTCGCTTGGGGAATAAGCGCTGAGCTCTAGAGTCAAGTCCTGGTTCGAGCCCTTTGTTTCCCAGCCCGAAAGGATATTGAGTAATGTCCAGATAGCCGTGGTGAAGATAACGTTGTTCCTACACCAGTCAGTAATGGCTTATAGTACTCCATTAAGAGACCTACCGAACTTCTTCTCTAGCATCTTCTGGTAACTTGCACTTTGTGCAGTCGTATGGCAGAAGCTCGATGCAGAGCCAAATGTGTCGAATCCGCGGCATCCGAGATATGGGTGGGGAGGCCTTGGTAGCTATCTTTTGCCTTTTGCATCCCTTCTCCCTGCTGCTGTTGCAGTGTGACCGACGTTTGATAATCGCTTTGAAATATTTTAGAGCTGAAGGATGGAGGACGAGTTTGTCGAAGTTGAGCCTCTCGAAGAATGTCTGCCACTGTAGGCTCACGGCGGCGTAAGCTGCGCGACACCTTTTATCTTCCAACGAATGGCGGTCGTAATCCTCGGCTAGCTCCTTCAGAATTGCATCCTGCACAATGATAGGTAACCTTGCCCAGTGTATCCATACGGTCAAGGCCGTGTTGGCGACTTGGGTCTGCTGGCTGTTCCCCAGAGCCTCTTTGCTGGACAGTTTCGTCCTTCCACTTCTAGTTTGCGGCATGATGATTTGGCTGGTTGAGAACAAGATTCATTTGGTCTGGGGGATATGGGATAGCATTAGAGAATGTGGGTGCGGGGAATTTGTAAATATACGATCCAAAGTTTGTGAAAAAAAAAGCTTTTGGATTGGTGACTCGACTCATATGAAGTCGTCCTACGGGGCACTAAAAGCTGTCTACTGGCCCTTGGGCTACTTGCGTCGACGATCAACGGCACCGTCAGGAGCGATGCCTCCTAGCCTTGTCTGTGCGGTAAGAGGTTGAGGCAATGTGCCCAGGCAGGGTCTTCTTATTATTGTATTCTTATTGGCATTGTATTTCTTTTGTAAAGGCTTGGTCTTGCACCGTACAAGGCGCCACATACTTTTCATCTGTATGGGGATCAGAGAAGAAACCACCTCTGAGGGCTGCAATTAGGAGTAGGCCGCATTTTGGGTCTATTGTAGTTGCCGCTCAGACCTATAGACTCTTGAAAGACAAAACACCTTAATTGAAACAGTGAATTTCTCGAGAGGAATCACGGTCCAGCTCTGAATAATTGCCACCAGCGCTTGAACTCCGGGCTTCCCTTCTTAACAACCACGCCCTGCCGTCATCTCCATAACTTCGTCGGCACCGTAGTTATCTTGGCTGATCAGGAAGAGATCTGTCCGCCCGCAAATATTTAGACTGTTGTGCCCCAATCGGCCAAGTGTGATCCTGTTTTCTTGAGACCATCCACCAAGTTGACATACCTGGCCTGCCCTCTGTCTCATTTGCTGATTCTCATTCAAAGGCCGCCCAAAAGGCACCATACGCCACCAGTGCGGCAAGGCCTGCCAAGACGGTGAAGTATAATATACCGTCTTCCTCCGGGGCACGAATGTATTTGTGGTCCTCCGTCCGGCGCTCCCTGTCCTCCCATACTATTGCCTGTCGAAACTCATTCAGCTCTCTCGCATGCCAACATGTCCTCGTGGAGCCTGTGGGTGCAAATTCGGCAGGAGCAGCTGCCGTTCCGCTTTTGCCAACAGTGTTTGGGTCAGCAGAGGCTGTGGCAGTGGAGTGGGGGGTTCTCGCTGTGGCAGCATTCTCTTCGATAATTTGAGCCGCTATCACCTTGGCAGCAATCATTTGGGGTGGTTTTGATCATCTTGCTGGGTTTCGGGCTCATCGTTTCTTAATCAACTTTCGAGGGGGTGGTGTTGTGCCCAATGGAACATATTTTTGCTGTGAACTTTTGGATTATATAAAACTCATGGAATACGATCCAGAATAACATTTGCAACTTTCATGGCTCGTTCGAAGTCCTAGCTGTTGCTAGGCGCATGGCGGCGCCTCACTCCGTCACGTTAACTGGATAAGATGGACACTTTCGTGGATGGCCTGTAAAACTAGGAGCAAGTAATTGTTGGAGATTGACATCTTAAGCCGCAGAGAAGGTCCACACAAATACCCAACAAGAATTCCTAGGAGACTAGAAATTATCATCAAGCTTAATCGTTCGTGGGCTTTGACAACTGAAGTTACCTGGTCCCGTCCGCTAAATACCAGCTTTTCAAGATATCCACAGACAAAAAGGGGAATTATTCGACCGCAGGACATCCGGACGGTTCATAAATCACCAATGAGACTGTATCAGTTCACGCATCCTTCGCTTTAGGGACTCTCTCCATCTAGTCGTAGAGCACGGCGTCCTGGGTAATACTATTCGAGACTAACTATACCACATACCGTGCCTTACGGACCTTCAGGCACACCCACCTTCGGGCAGCGTAAATTCACCCACCCACCACACAAAGTAAGAGCATTCAACTTACACCCATTTACTCAATTCTACTTCTATTATAATATTTTTATAATTAATTAATAATATTTTAAATATTCTATATAATTTAAATATTATATAATATTTTATTAACCCTTTTAGTAATATAGACTAATAGAATCTAGCATTAAATATATACCTTTTATAATAGTAATTCTTATAAATTAACTCTCTTTTATACTATACTATTAATTAAAATACCTATTATAGCACTTAAAATAAAGCCTAAAGGCTATAAAAAGGTCTATACTTAGTTTTAATTATATAATATAGTATATAATATTATAAATAAAGGTTTTATACCTTATATAGCTACTTAGAACTATAGTATACCTAAATTAACCTTAATAAAATAAATAGAAAATACCTTACCTTTAGATTAATAAGTTCAGCCTACCTAATATCTATTTAAAGCCTAAGAGAAGGATATTACTAAGTAGATCCTCTAATAAAAGAAATTAAGCTATACTCTAATAAATTCTTTTATAAAAAGCTTTATAACTTTAATATTTATTAAAAATAATAATACTAAACCCTTAAGTAAGAATTAACTTATAACTTTTAAAAAGAGGTACCCTAAGGTTATTTTAAAAATAAGTTATAAATAAAAAGCTAATTAATTTACTTTATTTACTTTTAAAATAATTAACTAATATTTTAATAAGTTAAAAACTTTAATTAAATAGAATTAAACTTAATAATTAATATAAATAAAAGTAATATTATAAAAGGAAATAATATACTTAATATTTATTTATTTACTTAAATATACTTATTTTAATTAAATTTTAATAGTCTATAATAAATTTATACTAAAAAGTATTAAAAGTAATTTATAGCTATTAAAAAGAATACCTTCTAGATAATAGTTATTATAATTAACTCTATAACTACTATAAATTACTATCTACCCCTAAACCTTATTTTTAAAGAAGTAAACCTTAATAATAGTAGTTTATAAAAAATTTAAAAAATTATACCCCTAAAGTAAGGTTTTAAAGTCTTATTAAATAACTAAATAAGTAATAAAATTACTATAAAATAACTATAAAATATCTTCCTTCTAACTATAAATAAAATTTAAAATAATAATAAATCTTAAATAATTCTTCTTATTTTTAATAACTATAATAATTATTAAAGTATTAAGTTTATAACTATATACTATAAGTATAATATCAATCTATACTAACTCTCTATATATACTTTTATAGTCTCTAACCTCTTAATAATAGTATCTTTAATATACTTAAAGAGGCTTTTAATATAAAGTTAAAGAAAGTATCTAACTATATTAATTTAACTCCTTTTAATAAAATTAACTTTATTAAATACCTACTTAAAGCTTAAAAGGTTATTATTATAAGAACTATTAAGAATATATTTAAATACTATAATATTTACCTTATATTTTTAAAAAAATATTATAGTATTTAAAGATTAAGTTAGACTAGTTAAATAAATTAAAAAAATTTAAGTAATATAACTAGTATTAAAGCTATTAAATTATCTAATAAAAGAAAAAGCTTATTATTAAAAACTATATAATAAATATAATATTTAAAAATAATTATTTAACTAAATATAAAGCTAAAATAATTATTAATAAATTTAATAACCTTTAATCTTATATTACTTTACTAAAAAATAAAAATTATAACCTTAAAGTTAAAAAAAAAAATTTAAGAAAAGATAAAGTATTATAAAGTTATACCTAACCTTAACTTAAAGTTTATAACTATATTTAAAATAGAGAAGAAAGACCTTACTATAGAGATACTAAAAGTAGAGCTATAACCTTAAAAACACTATAAAGTTATTTAAGTAGAAATAGAAGTAAAAAAGGTAGAAGATAATAAAGATATATCTAAACTAAAAGTTTTAAAGGAGATTATAGTATATAGTAAGTATAGAGTTTAATACCCAACTAGATATAATAATTAAAAAACTTCTTACAAGTATTTTAATACTACTTTTAGATAAAAAACACCAGAATTAAGTGCGTTATAATTAATTAAAAGTTCTCTATTTATATAGTGGGTAGATAAATTAGCGCTACCTGAAGGTGGGTGTGCCCGAAGGTCCGTAAGGTACGGTACTGTATGAATCACTTCCAAAACAGAAACAGAGCACGTCAAATATTTGCTGATTCATTTGCCTGGAGCTAGATCATTGAGCGTAGTCAGAGATGACGAAGCCACCTTCGCACAGAGAAAGCCAGGCATCTCGACCTTTTCACAGATGGTGGGGATAGAAACAAAAGACAACCGCATTGATTGCTAGAGCGTTGACCAAAAATATGCCAACAGAAGAAAGATAATAGATAGGAAATCCGGCGTCTGCCTCGCACAATGTGCATTACTGTCTCCCAAAACGGAAACCAATGGCTGAAAAATAACCGCGTCCAAAACAATGATAAGCTGGCCCACAGGAGCTGAGCCAGTCAGGTATACCAATCCACCAAACGCCGTCGCAGAGGCTATCGGTCAAAAGGAGATACGACAAAGCAGAACGCTTGAACCAGAACCGCTGCCGTGCCTCCCTGGCCACCTGCTAAACCATCCATCGCTGCCCACCACCATCCCCTCACGAGAAGCTGACGAACTTGGGATCCTTCGGCCGCCCGTCCGGCCCTATTCCGTTGTCCTTAAACCGGTTCTCCATGTAGACCTTCCTGGCCTGGTCGAACTTCATCCTCCGCTTCTTCATGATCTTGAGGATCTCCTGCTTCGCCGCGTCGTCCAGCCCCGCCCGGCTGTCACCATCCGCCACGTTCCCGGCGAGGTCAAAGTTGCTGGAAGACAGGCCGGCCTCGATGTCGCCCGAGAAAGAGCCCGGCAGACGGTCGTAGAGGTGCCCGCCGCCAGGGAGGCGGATTTCGGAGACGAGGTGCGACCACCGGTCCCGGGTGAGGTACAGGACTGTGATGGAGACGAGGAAGAGGAACACGGTGGAGTAGAGTATGTAGGCCATCGTCGCGGTATTGGTTCCGTGATGTCCTTCGCGTAAGTATGGTACCGCTCGGAGGCGTCGAGATTATGCGTAGAGTTGGGTTCGGGTGAAGTTCGGATCGATCGGGCGACGGGTGCGACTGGTCGAAGAAGAGACTTGGTTGATTGAAAAAAGAAACAAAAGAGAGACGATGACGATTGTTGTGAGCTAGTAGCACGGTGTTGCGGGGTTCATTTCGATGCCGGGAGAGCAGAAGCCTCCGTTATGCGCATGATGAGGACGCGATGGCGCAGGAACGAGGGCGGAGATGGTTGGTCGTAGAGGTCCAGAGGCCTCAGTCGCAAAGTTCCAGCGGCCCGAGGCTGACGCAACTAACTAACCTATCGCGTATCAGACGCGGCCGCTAAATTGGACATTTGGAGATCCCATTGCGCCAAGCAGGTTGGCAGGTTGGCAACCCTCCCCCCTCCCCCTTTGCCAAGCAGCAAGGGGGAGGGAGGGTGGTTCCCAACCCTGGTGCGCACTGGTAACCCTGGACGAGGCTTAGGTAAGCGGCTCCCACAGAAAGAATCTCCATAGCAAAATATCGCCAGCGCTACCCACGCAGAGTCGACGACAACGAGATCAGCCAACCGCCCCTTGACGCCCATTCCCCCTAACGACCTCACCGATTCTCACAAAATCACCGCCAAGATGTCTCTGCCCAACGTCTCGTCCGATCTCGTCTGGGAGATCACCCGTACGTGTCACCGAGCCCAGCCTGGCAGAAGAGAGAAAATGCTCCAGTCCAGACAGGGGCACAAATTCGAGATTCGAGCGCGGCGCCTAACATCGTGTCATAACAGGCAACAGCAACTCCTACCTGGTCAAGCGCAACACGGCCGGTGGTGTTCACTTCTCCCGTGACCCTCTCAACCTGACCAACGTCAACTCCCGCAAGGTACGGATGGCCCGATGTGGAATCTGGGTTGTGGCCAGGACCACCGGATATTGTCGTCGGCGATGGAGACTGACCAATTGGCCCACAGCACGCCGGTTACGTTAACGAGAAGGCCGTCGGTATCTCCGCCGACGGTGAGAAGGGCGTCAAGGTCGTCTCCAAGACCAAGGCCACCCGCCAGCCCGCCAAGAACGCCCACCAGCGCACCTTTGGCTCGCACAACCGCAAGTATGTTTACACACCTCGAACCGTGGAAGCATCCTTCCACCGGCCGAGCCTGGCATTGGATAAACCAGAAGACCACTCTGGCTAACACAACTCCCACCTACACAGGACCTACAAGAACATTGCCTCCTCCACCGGCAAGTCTGGATACCGCCCCGACCTCCTGCAAGCCGCCGTCGCCCGTGCCTCCGCCATCCGCCGATCCCAGCGCCCCGTGAAGCCCGAGCCCGAGAGGAAGCTGCGTGGCAACGCCGCCAAGAAGGCTGCCCAGGAGTAAATTCTTCTCCAGTAACATAACTGAGAGAGACATGCTGGACTGTCGATGACCAACGAGCCCGAGCGACGTTTTGACGTGGCCATGGCATCGCATCTGAAATGAGGACCGCGTGGGTCTCGGGAAGAGCCCAGGTGGTTATGGTCTGGCGGGGTTATGCGGCATATTGATATCATTACAAAGGAGTCAATGGTTGAAAAGGTCAATGCGAATGATGTGAATTCCACATGGTCTGGTCCCCCTGGACCAAATGCGGTTTGGCAGGCTTGCAAAAGCTGAAATGGCTGGCTGGCTGGTTGGGGCGTTGCTGCTCTAGACAGGGCCCGAGGCTCCGTATCCAAATAAAGTGACGAGACAAGAACACGACTTTGCGCGAAACATACACTCACACACAGTCCTCTGCCAACGGTAAAGTGCTTGTCTTGTTGTCCCGAAGAGGGTCCGAGGACTCTTGTGTGCTTCACAGGCCTGCAGGTTCCAGCTCTCAGCATGAGCCGCGGGACCCACATAGAAATGCCGCAGATGGGTTGAACCGCCAGGCCACTTGACAATGGCATCCGCCATGTTCCGATATCTCTCGCAAGGTTGACGCCATTGCAACCGGATTGCGCAACATACCTGTAGAATGGTAATCATCGTAGTGTCGTAGTGCGAGAGATACCGAACATGCCCGAAGTTCAAGACGGTAGCCGAGCCTGAGCCTCGGGACGGCTGCAGTTAGGTAACGGAACCCGGGAGCGCTAGACGGATTACCCTATAATCCTGGCTTGGCAGTCAATATGACTTCAGCACATGTGTTGGGCCTTCACATGGGCGGAAGGCAGTTCCGGGGTACAGTGCAAAGAGTCAGTCAGGCAGAGGTCCCTTGTTTGAGGCGAGACCCTTGAAGATAGCTGGCTACTAGGTGATAAGGCTCATTACCTGCTGGTACAATGCGCGCTTTTTCTTTCGGTGTACTTAAGTAGGTAGAGAGAGGGATCTGACTGAACTATGGAGTTGGGAGGAGTCTCTTTGAAACCTTGCCCAGCTTAAAGCTGGACCTCTGTGAGTGCTGGAGCCTGTGCGTGCTGTTCGTGCACTGCACTGCACTCAGGGACCCCGTTCCCGCAGGCAGGTTGAGACTCGACCGTGTCAGTGGGAACAGGGTCACGGGGGGCAACTGGGGGAGCTGCTGCTGGTGACTGCTCTCTTTTTTCCATTCTTAGCACCTGTCCTGCAGCCCTTGCGTACCCCGCCATCTCTATCTACCCCAAGGACCAGGCCCCCCCAATCTGGAGCTCTAACCCCTGCCCCCAAGGGTACCTAACGACCTCCTTCGCCGAACACTGCCCTGGCACCGGGGAGGGCCAAGTGTAACAGCCCGCACGAGCTGCCATCATAACCTCAACGACCCCTCTCTGTTCGTGTCCCCCCCCCCTCAACATTCTTCCCTCTCCTTCCCTCTCGTGATACCTTAAATACCTTTCCGACTTTACACCCAACACATCCATCAAGAACTTTTGTTGCAAGTCAACTTCAACAGCCACAACAAGCCTTGTCACTTGGTCTAACGCGCCTTGCAGCGATACCCCACCAGAGCTCTTTTCACCCGCAAATCGGACCCCTCCTCTTTCAAACACCCCTCACAAGCTCAACCAAGTCAAGATGGTCAAGGCCGGTACGACACCACAGCACGATCACAATCAACAAGAGGAGCTGGACTTTGTTTGGGCTGACATGTATGATCAAAAATAGTTGTTGCTGGTGCCTCTGGCGGTATTGGACAGGTGAGCGCCCAAGCCTGGGAATGGAAGAATCTGAGCACTTTGACAGGACCTCCTGCTGACCGCCGCCTCTTCTGCGCTAGCCCCTGTCCCTGCTCCTGAAGCTCTCCCCCCTCGTGGACGAGCTCTCCCTCTACGATGTCGTCAACACACCCGGCGTTGCCGCTGACCTGTCCCACATCTCCTCCAACGCTGTGGGTTTCTCCTCCAACAAACCACTCATGTCACAGGGCATCATTGCTGAGCTGCCACATAACAGAAAGTCACTGGCTACGTGCCTGCCGGTGGCCCCCGGGACCCCGACACCACCCAGGCCAAGGCTGCCCTGAAGGATGCCGACATCATTGTCATCCCCGCTGGCATTCCCCGTACGTGCTCGCTCTGCCACCCCAGACCCCGAGACTCCCGAGATTCCGAGAAGTGAAAGCTGACGAGCGCCAACAGGCAAGCCTGGCATGAGCCGTGATGACCTCTTCAACATCAACGCCGGCATTGTCAAGGGCCTCATTGAGATTGCCGCCGAGGTTGCCCCCAAGGCGTTCATCCTCGTTATCTCCAACCCAGTCAACTCCACCGTGCCTATCTCCGCAGAGGTCCTGAAGGCCAAGGGTGTCTTCAACCCCCAGCGCCTGTTTGGTGTTACCACGCTCGACATTGTGCGTGCCGAGACCTTCGTCGCCGAGATTGCCGGCAAGGCCAACCCCCAGGAGCTCACCGTTCCCGTCGTCGGTGGCCACTCCGGCGAGACCATCCTGCCCCTCTTCAGCCAGGTCACGCCCAGCGTCACCATCCCCGATGACAAGTACGACGCTCTCGTCAACCGCGTCCAGTTTGGTGGTGATGAGGTCGTCAAGGCCAAGGATGGTGCTGGTTCGGCCACTCTCTCCATGGCCTACGCTGGTTACCGGTAGGTTGAGATGCCGTGTTACCGATGGACCGTTTGCTGACAACCAACAAGATTCGCCGAGAAGCTGCTCAAGGCCGTCAAGGGTGCCAAGGGTCTGATCGAGCCATCCTACGTCTACCTGCCAGGCGTCCCTGGTGGCAAGGAGATCGCAGAGCTGACCGGCACCGACTTCTTCTCCGTACCCATCGAGCTCGGCGTGAGTGCATCCCGGCCCTGGTTTCTTGAGACAGTGCTGACCAGTCCTAGCCCAACGGTGCCGAGAAGGCCATCAACCCCCTGGGCAACATCACCGCGAAGGAGAAGGAGCTCCTGGCCAAGGCCATCGAGGGCCTCAAGGGCAACATCGACAAGGGTGTCGCCTTCGCCAACGCCTCGCCCCAAAAGTGATTACCCCTTCCAGCTCTATTTCTCCGCCCTCTTTTGTTTGGAACTTCATCTTTTTCTCATCTTTGACAACGCAAAACAACCACCGCGGCCAGCCCATGCGACTAGGCAGAGTGAATCTTGCGAGATTTGGCGAATGAAACCAGTCAAGAGTTAGTCGCTGATCTGTTGTCCCTTCTCTTAGGTTGTGAGTGTGTTGGCAAGTTGGTCGAAAAAAAAAAGCTTCTTGGTAGTCGAGTCGTCACGGCTTGATATGCGTGGATCGGATAAACGAGGTCAGCAGCCTGTTTCGAGCTGACGTGGACACGGAGCCAATTTCTTCTTTCTCCATGTGAATCAGGAAAAGGGCATAGACGGGCCCGATCAAAATAAACACCGTCAGACACCACATATTCCCTTCATGAAGTGCAGACGTGTCATGGCTGTAAATCTGTGCTGCTGTCCCACGTGATGAAAGCGGAACGGGGGCTGGTGCATATTACTCCATGAGACCCCGGGAGATTGTTCATTTCGTGGGGACAGTCTTGATCTGAAACACTGCACCAGGCAGTTCGTTCGTCTCAGCCTGTACAGTCGCGTTGACACCCATTGCTGCCAGTGCGCCTCTAACAACCCCGCAAGGAAACCATAGGAACTGTGAGATCTGAGTCAGTAAGTTGTTCTCGAGAAAAGTGAAGGCGTGGGGGTAAGGCATGTGAAGGCATACTGGCTCGGCCCGTTGAACTGCCCCTCCTCCAGCCTCCGTACTCATCCTCGAGAACGGCCGGAAGGCATTGTCAGTCAGCACGTAAACGCCCTATGTACCCCTCAGTCAGCAACAGTTCTCGGCTCAAGAACGAGAGAACACCATGCGTGCCCCTGAGTGGAAAGCACAACATACCCTGTGGTTCGTCTTGAGGTTGTCAATCTGCTTGCGGAAGACGAGCATCCAGAGGTCCTTGCAGAGGAACTTGATCACGTCGAGGGTGTCGTTGAAGCGCGGGCGGTCCCTCGAGAAGCTGCGGGTGTGGGATGTCAGTCCATGTGCCCACTTTTCTCGCGGATGATTTCGGGACGCCCTGGTTGTCGCCGGGGAGGAGGATAACCACGAGTAACGCCGACGAAAAGCGAAGACACCACACCATATTCCTCCCCTCCCCCATACACTAGGAGAGAGGGAAAGAAAAAATAAAGGGAAAAACATACCGCTCGACAAGCCCCTGTCCCACCCGGTACCCCAGCGTCTCCAGCCGGTAGAACACGGCGTCCCGCTCCTCCTCCTCGTCCATGGCGGCGCGCGGGGCCGAGGGGGACACGTCCTTTTCTGCTGCTGCCGCTGCCGCTGCCGCTGTTGACGATGATGACGTGGCCCCTTGTGCTGACGAGGCCGACGCCTCCAGCTCGTTGGTCACCCTGTAGGCCATGGGGACCAGCTCGATCAGGAGGAAGTCCAGGCACGAGGCGCTGAGGAAGGTGGCGGTCGGGTCGCCCACGTTGTAGGGGGGCATCACTGCTTCGAAGGACATATTGGGCGGTTCTTCTTGTTCCTGTGTTGTTGGATTCTTGTCTTGTTCTATTTTCGGTCTGGGGGTGCTGGAGGACGGGCTGTTGTCGTCCTTGTGCTGTAGTGTTGCTGAAGGCGAGGGCCCGGTCGTGACTGACTGACCGTTCGGGCTGGCAGGGGACTTGACTTGGGGCTGCTGTCGGTGTGGGTGCGTGGTACGTTGGCCGGGGAGAGACGAGCGAGTATGGTCGGGTGCGAACTTGTCGCGGTCTACGTCTCGTCTTCAGTGGCGGCGCCAACGGCGGGGGCTGTAGTTCTCGAATTCGGGCGAGCGATGGTGGTTGATTACACTAGAGAAGCTACGTCGTATGCCTCCCAGTACTCGGTGCGGTTTGGTACATCCCGTCCTTGCTCGGCAGCCGCTGCGACCAGACCCCCTGCTGCCGTGAGCTGTGCTTATCTTATCGCCGGCCGATCGTATAGTGCCTGCTCCACGACGTACCTGCCTACAGACCTGCCTCCGCCTAGACTATCACAGAAGGAGGAGGTTCGCCGGCAAGCAAAAGGGCGTTTTTGTACCGGCCTGGATCCTTGTTCTTTCACGAACTGTTCTTGAGCATGTCCCAAACACTTGGGGTCTTCACGGATTTAACTTTCCCTGGCCCTGTCCTTTGCATCCCAGGGCAAGCGTAAACTAGACTTGTACTATAATTTATCTCTTCGTTTCCAAGTGCGTGCATACATATAAGACATAGAATACACTACACACCATACATACTTACCTAGGTAGTGATCACACCCTCAACGATACCACGAAAATGACAATGGACTACGTAGCTCTGCCCAAGATCGAGGTGGGTGCAACACAGAAGAGGAAGAGTTGTTAAGAGGGATGATCCGAAAATCAAGCATCCTCGACGCCCTCCCCCTACCTCCTTCCACACGTCCCTCACTAATAAGCGGATCACCCATAGCTCCATGCTCACCTGAGCGGCAGCATCAGCAGGCAATGCCTCCACGAAGTCTGGCTCATGAAGAAGGAGGCCGGCGAGACCGACCTCGCCGACCCCTTGGTGGAGATGCCCGATGGGAAGCATGACTACAACCTCAAGACGTACGTCGACCATCACATGCTCCCACGCCTCAGATCTCACTCGTTTATTATATCTACTTAAAAAAAAGAAAAGGTTCTTCCCCCTCTTCTCCTCCTACATCTACCACCTCGTAGACGACCTCCCCGCCCTGCGCCACACAACCCTCTCCGTGCTCAGCGACTTCGCCAACGACGGCGTCGTCTACCTCGAGCTCCGCACCACGCCGCGCGCCCTGCCGAGGTCGGGGCTGTCCAAGGCGGGCTACGTCGAGGCCATCCTGGCGGCGATCCGCGAGTTCGAGGGCGCCGACGCCGCCGAAGCCCCCAGGGATTCCGGGCCCGTCACGGCGCGCCGGCGGCTCCACACCCGCCTGATCCTCTCCGTGGACCGCCGCAACACCCCCGGCGAGGCGGCCGAGGTGGTCGAGCTGGCCCGCCGGTTCCAAGCCCGCGGCGTCGTCGGCGTCGACCTGTGCGGCGACCCCCTCCGCGGCGGCGTGGGGCGCCTGCAGCCCGCGTTCGAGGCCGCGCGCCGGGTGCCCGGGCTGGGCGTGACGCTGCACTTTGGCGAGGCCGAGGCGAGCGGGTCCGACGAGGAGCTGCTCATGATGCTGCGCGAGTGGGCGCCGCGCCGCATCGGGCACGTCATCCACCTCAGCGACGCCGTCAAGCGCGAGGTCGCCGCGTACCCCGGCGGGCTGGGGCTGGAGCTCTGCCTGAGCTGTAACGTGCGTGCTGGGATGGTCAGCGGGGGGTTCGAGGGGCATCATTTTGGGGAGTGGTGTGAGTTGTCTCGTCTTTTTTTTTTTTTTTTTTCACGGTTTATATATATCTGGGTCACTCTGGGTCCCGGGTCTTGTTCGTGTTTTTTTCCCCCCGCAAGGCTGATGGAACTATGAACAGGGAAAGTCGAGGAGTGCACAGTGGTGCTATGTGTGAGTAGCCAGCCCTGCCCTGGTTTCATCTCTACAACGATACGTGGCACGCTGACAATCAAAACACAGACCGACGACGTGGGCGTCTTCGGCAGCCCCCTGTCAAACGAGTACAGGCTGGTGGCCGAGCACTTTGGCCTCTCAGGGCCCCAGATACGCGCCCTGGCTAGGAAAAGCATCGAGGTCATCTTCGCGGGGCCGGAGGAGAAGCAGAGGCTGAGGGGGATCATGGACGGGTTCGCATCATGAGGTTTCAGCTGATAAGCTGTTGCGAGCAGTCGGTACTCTCTCTCTGCCTCAAGCTCACGTCTGGGGTAGGTATGTGGGAGTCTTGAATAGGTTCCTCCTCGCTATGCCTGGGCGTCCATGATACATATTCCAGCCTCGTGGTTTGTGACGCGAAGACTATCCAAAAAATGAGTGGCTGGATTACCCACTCATAGAATGAGATCAGAGGTTCACACCAGCAAAACAGGAGGGCACATTCGTACAAGTATAGCCCCATATACACGTCGCCTCCAGGCCCTGGAGGATAATCTTCTTCAGAACAACCTCCTATAACCTGCTGTGGGATGACCTTCTATATGATGAGATTCTCGGGACAAGCTCCTATGGGATGACCTGTGAGCGTACCCGCCGTTTCGCGGATGTGAATCTCCAATTTTCAGAAGAGTCCTGGCTGGCTGGGGCCAATGATACAACAAGGGATCTAATCACCTTACGACAGCTCGGGATTCACTTTCGAAATCGCCACCACAGGCTACCAGACACAACATCTCTCGATTCGGTCTCGTCCTTCTAAAACTTCAAAAGACGCTATATGCACACGCTGATCACTAAACTATAAACGCTCAAGCCCCCTCCGCCCGGTACTCCGTCCGTATGCAGTTTAAAAGGGGGTATGAATAAGTGGTTGGAAAAAAAAACTCCCAACTCTGTTCGAACAATACACATGGGCGGTGCCCAAACCCCAGCGACTTTCTTTCACGGTACTCCCATGTCGTCGGCCCACTCCAGCATTTTCATCTTCATACCGGCAATGGTTGAGCGACGATACGTGGGCTCGTCAAACTCATTCTTGAGTGCTACCTCAAGGACCTCCCCGAGGCGGGCCCAGAGCCACAGGAGGAAAGGGGGCCACAGGAGGAGCCACCAGAGGAGCCACCAGAGGATAAGGAGCCACAGGAGGACAAGGGGCGAGACCCCAGGCACAAGGCACCACTGAGTATCTACCGTGGGCTCTGGAATCGCTGCCTCCCGCTACTCTTCAGCCTGATCCAGGTCCGTAGATCGGTACTTGATCTGCAGCGCCCACTTGTTGCCAAAGTCGATCCCGCGCCTAATCTTAGTACCGGCCCGCTTCCACACGGCAGGCCCAAGACCAATGTCGACCAGGAACAGGCTCCAGTCGAGCACGGAGTCGTCCGTAACGTGGCCCGTGACGGTCTCGCTGTCGTCCGCGTCCCCGTACGAAATCGCCTCCAGGAGGCCCTTCTTCGGCGCGCCGACGGAGACGACGTACCGCGGCCGGATGTACAGGCTGTGGCCGTCCTGCACCGTGGGCTCACCGGTCGTGTGGTCAATGCCCGTGGGCACGTCGACGGCGAGCACGAACGCCTCGTTACGGTTTGTCCACTCGATGAGCTCGTAGACAGTGGCCTGCTCGGACGCCCGTAGGTCCTCGAATGGCGTCACATGTCCCAGTAGCGCATCGATAATCAGGGTCACGGCCATGGGCGGTGCTTGGGGACGCACGCTTCTGGGCGCATCCATCGAGATGACGGGTATCGAGGCCTGCCGAACGTGCTCAAAGAGCTCGCTCTTGCTGCACACCTTGCCGCCGAAGCTTTTGAAGAGTCGTAGTTGCCTGGTCATGTCCACCGAGAGGTCGCGCTCTCCTCTTTCTATGCCGACCACACACAGGATGACATTAACACCTTTGCAGCGTAGATGGCGGCCCGCAGCAATCGACCGATAACCGGATTTGTTGTTGCCTGCCAGGATGACAACGGTTGGCGAGATTGAGGATGGGTCGCCCTCTGCAGCTGCGAGCCGTACCTTGAGCGCTGGGTCTGTTAGTGTGTGGAGGCCGACTTCTGCAATCCCACGGCCGGCATTTTCTGTCATCATATCCTCCGTCAGGCCCAGGTCGTTCTGCGCTATGTTCTCGAGATTGAGCATCTGCAGCGGGGACAGGACCTCGATGCGGCGGTCGCTCTGGGCGGCGTAGAACCCGGCAGACGAGGCAGCAGCCGGCAGCTGTTGGGGATCAGCATTTTTGCCCTTGCGCCGTCCTTTGGCGGCATCGCGAACACTTACGCCAGAGTTCACCCGGCTTGGTGCCTGGCCGACAGTTGTAGAACTGGCCTTTCTTGATTGCGACCTCCGTCCAGAGTTCTTGCCTTCGCCCTTGCGGGAGCCCTGCCTGCTTCCGAGTTCTCTCCCGCTCAGTCGCTCGCTGCCGTTGCGCATGCCGTCATCAGCCTCACTCTTCCAGTAATCATCTGGAGGCGCCTTATCTGGCTTCGCGGACGGCGAGGGCAAATCCAGGACGTTCTCGGTAGGATGCAAGTTCTTGCCTCCGGCAGTGCCTGGCTTTGGTCGACGGTTGTGTGAGACTAATCGAGCCGCATCCTCGACCTTGTCCTTCTCGCGCATCTCGGAGAATAATGTGCGTTTGTCAAACTTTTTCAGGCTTCCTTCAAAGTCGAACTCGGGCATCTCTTGTACGTCAGTAACGTCCTCAGAGGCCCAGCCATTGTCGTTCGCGTTTGCATTTGTCCGGCGCAGTGCCTTGTACGGTTGGAATGAGGCTGTGTCTTCCAACATTGGCGTCTCTCTCCAACCCTTGCCTTTCTTCCCCTGACGTGCTCCTTTCGACGGCGTCGCGTCTTCCGCCGGGCCCTCTTGGGCGTTCTTCTTACGGTTCCGCTTCCGGTTCTTCTTAGACGCACCGGCCTGGGCTTCTTGTAATTCGGCTGCGGCGTCGTCCTCGACCACGGCGGCGTCAGTATCAGCCAGTTCAGCGCGAACGTTCAAGCCCTCCATGGATTCCACAAGGGTGCCTTTGGGAGTCTGCTCCCTGGACGTCTCTCCGAACGTGACCTTCGGGACTGGCGAACGCTGCGCCTTATTGTTCGAGAGTGGGCGGTTTGCCATGGCTGATAAGGGTTGTGCTACTTGTGGCGAGGTGTTGGGTGGAGGCGCCTGGCTCACAGCCCCCGGCGACGCCCTGACGGGCGGCTTTCCCATTGAGAGAATTGCAGGGTCGACAAACGCCGACTTGGCTGCCGGCTGGGGCGCTGGGGGTGCCTGTTCTTTAGCAGCAGCCTGGAAGAGCCCTTGAAGTGCTGGCGCAAATGGCGCGGCCTGCGACTGCTGCTGATGCTGATTCTGCGGCAGAGGCTGGCTTTGGCCCTGGTACACGGAGGCGTAGTGGGCTGCTGGCGCAGTGGGCGTGGTAGGTGAAGCCATGCTCTGGTACCCAGAGGCCACAGTGTTCTGCTGTGCCTGGGCAAGAGGCGCGGCAGGTGGTGTTGGCTGCTGGTATGGCTGTTGAGGGGCGGAATGCTCTTGTATCTCCAGGTTCGCGATATCGTTGCTCGCGACCACGATGCGCCCGCGCCACTCCTTATTCTCGATCCACACGTTGACCAAGGTGACATTCTGGCCGGGGACGAGGCGCTCGATCTTGCCAGTGAGGCTGATCGGCGGGTTCTTGAGCGTCACGAGGACTGACCAGCCCACCCACGCCTCAGGATTCTCCATCTTGTTCGATGCCGCGGGTCGATGCGACTGCCTGGCCTAGCACGGGGCTTTTTGGAAACCTTCGGGGCACGTGAGATTACGCAGATGGCGGTGACGGGGGCTCCTCGGGGGCGAACAGAGACGCAATCGAAGTGCCGGGTCTGCGCGGATGTGGAGGATTGGTGGGGGATAGGGATGATTGCCGTATGGGTTGTGGGATGCGGCCAGAGGACGTCGCGCGTCGGACCAAGACAGAGAGAAACAGCTTGGGCACCTCCCTCTACACTTTTCGTTATCGATAAAGGAAGGACCCACCAAGAGCTGTGCGCGTCTGCCCCAAAATTCCCCAATAACTACCTGCAAACCCCCCAATCATAGCAGGAGCACTTTGATGACCTCACATGCTAGCCGGCTAGCTCAACAATGCCGTCCTTATGATCTCCCGGGTGTTACTCTTTCCGCCGATCTTCAGATGGCAGATCTTCCGGCCTGCCAGCCCGTGTACATGATAGACAGCTGGGAAGTGATTGTTACAGGACGAATGTCGCAGCACATGGCTCTCGGATGCTCAAATCAGACTCAAGACGCAAAGACTATGTATGTAATTCGAAATCCTGCAGCTCGCTGAGGGCATGGCTGTCTCACATGGAAACACGACTTGCCCAAGCTTCGCGGTTGGTCTATGCAAGTACCCCACTCTTCCAAAAATACGCATGTCCATCACCTGGAATGTCGAGGTTTTTCTACCGGATGAATATTTGCTGCAGGTAGTGCTCTACTACCTCGACCTCTTCTACGGCACTATATACGCTTGAAAACGTGAAAGAGCTTTCGTTGCCGTAGATGATCCATTTTCATGAGACTCTTCTTGCACGGGCCCTTGGTTCGCTAGAGAGTTAGAGTCCAGGATGAATTGGGCATATGAGGGGCGTTCAACGCCCAATAAACATCTAAGTACACACCTGCGCCCCTTTGCCTCCAGGGACGCCTCCCAAACGACATCTCGTAAACCATGCCTCGAACACTCCTCGTAAGGGTATATTATTCTCCTGGTTCTTCATACAGAACTCCCCTCCAAGTCTAATATCCATATGATGCCATCGCCTCTTCCTCATCATCATCGTACGCCATGCTTGTGGGCTTAGTTGATTTCGGTTGCTTGAACGCAAAGCTCGCAATGGAGGAGCTGGGCTTCTTTTTGACGGCGGCCTCCGCGCTGTACAGCTTTTGATAAAACGACACGACGCGAGGGTGCGCCATGACCTTTTTTCGGTCGAAGCGAAGGACCTGCAAACCCTCTTGGGTGACCGCTCGACTGAGAGCCACATACGCCTGGCCCTTTTCAAACACCTTGCCCAGATCAACCTTGACCCGCGCAAGAGTCTGACCCTGAGCCTTGTGGATCGAGAGGGCCCAGGCCAAGATAAGGGGCAGCTGCTCCCGCGACGCTTGCACCTCACCGGTTGGTGTCTCCACCTTCCACGGCTCGGGGCAGCAAAGCATGATCCTGGCTGTTCCATCAACGGCGTGGAACTGCACCAGTGGGTACTTCTTCTTGTCAGGTCCGGCGTTATCGGACAGCTGGCGACTGAACGCGGCGAGCCTCTTCTTGACCTTCGGGTCCACACCCTCTCCAGCCTCGTTCTCGTCGTCGAAGAGACCGCCCGAGACCTCGAACGCGCTCTCTGTCGAAAATCCAATGACGGTGCCCAAGGAACCGTTCACAAGGGTTTCATCCAGGTTTTTGATCAACATCACCTGCGCTCCCTTCTTGAGCTCTAGTACTTTGGGGGCCATCATATTTCCCAACAACTTGTCACGAACGTTGGGGTCTCCGGAGTCCAGTGCCTCGTATCGGTGGGCCTCACCGGAAAGCTCTCTCAGTCTCCTCTGGTTGGAGTTCTCAACCTCTTGCCTCGTGGGGAATCTGTTATGCCGTCAGCATTGGGCTCCCATATGCAGGAGGACGGGGCAACTGACAGCTCGGTGACCTCCAGACCGTCATCGAAATGGATCGGCCTGGACATCTTCTTGAAGGTCTCAACAGTCTGCTCACTAATGTGACCGAGACGCATCTCATTGAGCATTTGAGCAAAGACTGTTGGGCGTCAGTAACCAACTCATCTTTTTCTTGATTGACCGGCGCCAATCGCCTACCTGGATCTTTTTGACGGAAGACCTCGGTCAGTCCGATCGTGTGGTCGATCGAGGTGTTCCAAGTGGCCGCCTCGAAGGCAAACTTGGTGTCCCTGCTGTGGCTGTCCGGAACGGGTGGCAACTGGAAAAAGTCGCCTGTGATGACGAGTTGGATGCCGCCCCATGGACGGCCATTGTTGCGGATGATCCTCCCTACCTGTGACAACTTGTCAAAGAGGTCGCCGTCCACCATTGAGATCTCGTCGACGATCAAGACCCTGGTTCTCATCCAACGGTTTTTGGCTTTCGGGTTGCGCCGAATCTTCTTGACGAGTGTCTGCGCGTCGTCCTTGCCCAGACCGATGCCCGCAAAGCTGTGCAGAGTCATGCCCCCGATGTTGCAGGCCGCCAGACCGGTTGAGGCAGTCACGGCAAGACGCTCGGGGTCCTTTACATGCTTCTTCTTGAGGTCCTGGATGATAGCTCTCATCAGGACGGACTTTCCGGTTCCGGCTGGACCGGTAAAGAACACGCTCTGGCCCTTCTCGCATACTAGCTTCTTGACGTGCTCCTGCTCGTTGCTCAGAGCGATTGCTGACTGCTTGACGGTGTATGATTTGACAGCCTGCTGCATCTCCTCTACCGATGCCTGGCCATCGGACCCAACAGGTTTCTTGGATTTGTTCTTCAACAATTTCTGCTGCTCCTTGATAGCACCAGGCGTGAGGTCCCACGTCCGTGACTCCTTCGGCCTTGCTTGAGGCTTCGTAGCTGGAGTGGAAACATCGTACTCGGGAGACGGTTCAACATGGTTGTTTTTCCTCTGATCCTTTTTCTGAATATACTGCGGTGGCAAGGATCGCTTCTTCGCAATGGGCTTAGATGACGGCGCATCAAAGTCTTCGGTGAAGGCTCGTTTGGCGGTCCTCTGGGAGTCGGTCGATTGCGAGATAGGCTGGGCGGCTTTGAAGTGAGTGGGCGAGGACTGGGACCAGGATAGCACGCTGGTATCATCGGTGGGAGGCGCTTGGATGGTTTTCTTTGCGGGTGTGGACTCGGGTTTCATGGGTGGGAGAGCGGAAGGGCATTCGTAATCCAGATCGACCTCGTCACTAAAGTCGTCCTCGTCGAAATAGTCGAATTCGTTCACTGCATGCACCCGCGTCGGAGCTTGAGTGTCGCCGCCGGTCAGATCTATGACATCGGGGCCCTCATCAAACGAGTTCTGACTGGTGTACAGCGAGCCCAGTGGTTTGCTGTTGACGGTACGTTTGACCTGTTGCGGAGGGTTCATCGGTTGCGAGGAATTGGACGTCCGAGGCTGGAGAGGTCCGGCGGGGTTGGCGGACTGGCTGAACTTGGAGGAGCCATTGTTCATCTGGAACTGGTCTTTGATGCTGGCGTCACGCCTGGGGCTCGGGCTGCTCGAGGGGAAGAGCTGCTTGGCCAGTGGTTTTGCGGGTTGCGAGGCCTTGTTCTGGGCCTCATATGTGGCATTCGCACGCTTGAACATGCTCATGGTGGGCGGTGGATGGCGGAATGGGTTGACGGCATGTGCCTGTGGCCGAACGCGGATGACAGCAGTCCCAGCCCAAGTCTTGGTCCTCAGCCGACTCACAGATCCAAGGGGGAAGTTGGTGGAGATGCCCGCAGTCATGCAGCACCGGTGCAGTTGGACTGGCGAAGTGGCTCAGGTGGGGAAGTCGTGCTGCAGCATTCTCTGCTCCTGCTGGGCGTCTGGAGTTGGTCGCTCGGTCCTGTCCCGGCCGCTTTAGAGTTTGGATCACAATTCACAGCACGCAGGGAAGGGGCAAGCGCGTCGTCCCTCCCGTCGACGCGACTTGTGTGGGTGATTAGATAAGGGGCAGGCTGCGGAAAAAGGCGGGACAGCCAGGGGTCTGGCCCCATTGCTCACGTATTCATGCCGCCATGGTCAAGGCGCAAAAGAATTGACAGACAGCATCTATCTCAGCCCTTGCTGCCATGTTGGCAATTCGTGAGCATTCCTTTTGGAAAATTACGCATGAATTAGAGCCATATCACTCACTCAACCCCCATTCTTGTCCATACACAAAGCATTTCCTTGCCGCCAGCGTCCTCCGCCACAATGGGCATGCTTACGAGACTAGGGAAATCATTTGAACGACAAAACATCGCGTTCCGCTCCATGGCCCGATTGGAACTAAGGAAGCATAGTCAGTCACCAACCTAGCATCCAGATGACGGCAATTGGCGCATATGGAGACTTCTATGCAGTCGGCAGTGTCGCTTCACAAAACTGGATGGACTTCCAAAACCCACACGCCCGAGTCAAAAGATCAACAGTCAAGTGCGGCGTATGGGCTGGCCGGTCCATGCTGCTATCCAATCACCAGGCCTGTCGTCGAGGTGACCAACTGGATGCCGAGCTGACGCTGCACGCATCCATAAGCGGCAATGCAGCACCAGCCCGGGGGTGCCCGGTCACTGCCGCCCTAGAGTCCAGCGTCTTCTGCGCCATGTTGCACGTCGCACAATAGTCTGGTATAACCGGGACTCCGTACCGTGAGCTATAGCCAACACCCCCACGCGGCGGTTCACAGTCTCCCGTGCGACTACCGGGACACAACGGTGAGCATGCGCTAGCCAGCACGCAGCACCTCTCAGCTTTTTCTCAGACCGAATCATAAGGGACTCGTTCATGGGCCGCCCGTGGGCCCGCTCGGACAGTCCGCTCGCAAGGCCTAAGGCCTGCTGCCCTGCGCAAGCTCATCTGAACACAACAAACGCAAGATTCCAGAATCTTTTTTTGCGTACTGTGTGTAATCACTTGGCGAGAAGCACACAAAAGGGCTCGGCTGGCCGCTCGATCAATCAGATACGTCTGCCCAGGTGCCAAGTCTGCGCCGAGAGGCTTAGACCGGCCCCAACGGTCAAGTTGGAGGAGGACGCAGGAAGACAATCAGACAACCGGGCGTTCGGCCTGAGAGCGAGGCAGGGGGCGGTGTCCTGGTGGGTCGTTGCCCCCATTGTGACGTTGTGCAGCCCGACGATCGCCTCTGGCCGCGGTTGCGGGGCCGCGGGGAAAAAAGACGAGAGTAACGACTCGTGCACGCGTCGGGGCGAACAACTCTCACCCACCATGCAGTCATGAATGCGATCAGAATTTTGCCGTGGGCGTGTGGAACTGGCTCATCCAGACTCCAGAGCCCTGGGACATTCGGATGGCAGAAAACAGGGCCCTGGTCGGTCGGTCAGTCGAGGCACGGTACACTACATACACCTTATGGACCCAGGGGGCCCTCGACGCTGGAGCCGGGGATCCGGGGCCCTGGAGGCAAAGAAAGCGTATTCAGCCTAGACGACATCCACGCTGTGCCGATATCCAGAGCCTTCCAGGGTTGCCCAGTCGCCTTGACTCTGAATGGTCGAGCACGTCTCGTGCCCGGGCCCACGACGTTGAGCCGCAGTGCTACTGTGTACCGTGCACAACGGGCAGGCTAAACCAAATTTCGTGCCCGGCACGTTCTTTGCCATGGTGTTGCCATTTTGCATCGGCAATGTGGCTCGTCAGTTCGCAGAATGCTGCAGGGAGATATAGATAGATATCGTGTACCGCGCCGTACGCAGTAAGGGGGGCTGGGGGGAGCAGCCAACGCGGCGCGCACCAGCAGCCGAGCAGCTTCTTTTAGATCTCTTGTGCCCAACAAGAGGCTGTTTGTTTACAAAATAGCTGATCCCGCAGGATGGACGGTTCTCGCTTGTGCTGGAACCCCACAGCTCCTTGCGATCCGTCACCGGCGCTCTTCAGCTTCACGGTCCAGGGACCACGGACTCCCGAGGCTCGTCAGCCACACAAACCAACGGCTGTGGATGCAGAGAATAGAAGTGTTACTGGGCATGTGGTCCAGATCTCTTCTTGCTTCTCATTTTTTTGGGGCCATCTCTAGGCCGCCGTGAAGCTTGGTCTGATGCTTGGGATGCTTGATGTGCTTGTGTGAACTTGGCACTGCACTCGGCGTTGGCTGGGCTGCTGGGCTGCTGTGAAATGTGATCAACTTGCCTCGGTGGCCTTGGTGTGCAGAAGAAGGCCTGGAAGGGCAGGCTGATGACAGTGTGCTCACCTCGCATCGCGATGCTTATCGGCCAATGTGCGTCGCCTCGTGGGAACAAGTGGGAAGACTTGCAGCACGCCTGCACGACTGCACGCCCGCCCACCCTGCCGCTGTGGAGCTCTTGCTCAGGGGCCGCCCTGCTTGCAGCTCCCGTGGCGGTCGGGGACCCCACCCTGCTGGTGGGCCCATCTGCTTGCACTAAAATAATCAATAACATGCGGGCTGCAGCTAATCGCTCGAGAACCAGAGCGAACCTGGCAGCCGGCCCTGGACGGGCAAACGCATGGGCGAGGACTAAGGTTTTTTTTCTTCTCTGCTCCCAAGCTGTCGTTCCCTGCTGCGTGTTGTACATTTGACTTGGCATCTCGGTTTATCCGTATATAGGAAAGGGTACGTCTCCTCTGCCATCCGAACCAAGCCTCCCAGGGTTTCTTTTCCCAGTTCTCGGCGAGAAGAACCCCAAAACAGCTTGGTCGCAAAACATTGTTCCAACCCGACCGAAACATTTTACCGGGCCATTGACTACCTGGCAGCCTGGGTGGACGTCACAGCGCAGCAGCGTATCATTCTTGCGGCTGCTGCTTGCTGCTGTTGCTCTGCCAATCCTGTGCCGAGCCGAGTCGGAACAGTCAACGGACTGGCTGCTCGACCAGACTCAACCACGATCCTGAACTTTCGATGACGCCGCAGTAGCATTTTGCGACCGCCCCACAGCTGTCTTCCGTGACAATAAGCGAGTGACTTGGCTCGCGTGTTCCACCTCGCCTCACAAAATCCCCAAAAACCCTCCCGCTGGGCCTTTCGTTTGCGACTTTCATGTATCAGCAGGCTTTCGAATCTGGGCCACGATCGACCGACTGGGGAGTCGCAAGCCCACTGCAAGGCTCTCTCTGGCTGGCGCACATCCACGACGACAGCCTCTAGCCTCTCATTCTTCAAAGGGAACCGAGTTCTGAGCCCAATTCAGTCCACTGGACATCCACAGACCCTCTCCCCCAGGTGTCCCTTCTTAAGCCGTCAGCATGGCTTGGGACCACCTGTCCATCACCAAGCCACACTTGGTGTATATCATCCTGGGTGGCTTCACCAGCTTGTTCATGCTGTGTTCTTCAGTCATCAAGGAGCGCGCATACATCGGCGAGGCTACAGTCGCCACCCTCTGCGGGATCATATTCGGCCCTCATGCTGCCGACCTCATCAACCCCCAGTCATGGGGCAGCACCGACATCGTGACCATCGAGTTCTCCCGGATCGTTCTGGTCGTGCAGTGTTTCGCCGTCGGCGTCGAGTTGCCCAAGTTCTACATGGAGAGGCACTGGAAATCCGTCGTCTTCCTCCTCATCCCGGTCATGACCTTTGGGTGGCTCATCACCAGCCTGTTCGTCTGGTGGATGGTCCCAACGCTGAACTGGCTCGAGAGCCTGGTCGTCGCAGCCTGCGTCACCGCTACCGACCCCGTCCTTGCGTCCTCGGTTGTCGGTAAGGGAAAGTTCGCCAAGCGTGTGCCCAAGCATTTGCGAGACCTCCTGTCCGCCGAGTCCGGCTGCAACGACGGCATGGCCTTCCCCTTCGTCTACCTCGCCATCTACCTGATCCAGGACGAGCTCAACGCCAAAGACGTCACCTTCCACTGGATCGTCTACACTATTCTCTACGAGTGTGTCTTTGGCGCCGTGTACGGTTTCCTCATCGGCTACTTTGCTCGCCATGGTATCAAGTACGCTGAGAAGCACGATCTGATCGACAGAGAGAGTTTCCTCGTGTTCTACTTTGTGCTAGCCCTGTGGTGCGCCGGATCTGGTAGTATCCTGGGTGTTGATGACCTCCTGGTCGGCTTTGCCTGCGGCGTGGGCTTCTCCAACGACGGTTGGTTTACGGACAAGACCGAGGAGTCCCACGTATCCAACGTTATCGACTTGCTCATCAACCTGGCATACTTCGTATACTTTGGCACCATCATCCCCTGGGAGCAATACAACAGCGCGGAGCTGGGCTTGACCCCCTGGAGGCTCGTCGTCATAGCGGTATTTGTCATTTTCTTCCGCCGCATCCCCATCATGATGGCGCTGAAACCTTTCATACCGGACATCAAAACATGGCGCGAAGCCTTGTTTGCCGGCCATTTCGGCCCCATCGGAGTCGGCGCGATCTTCATTGCTATCCTTGCACGCGGAGAGCTCGAACACGACGAGCCGGTTCCTCTAGCGACTGTGCCGACCAACCCGGAGACCAGGCATTACTACCTGTTCACACTCGTGTGGCCCATAGTCACGTTTATGGTCATCTCGTCCATCATAGTCCACGGTTCATCCGTGGCCGTCTTCACCCTAGGCAAGCGCATCAACACCTTGAGCATCACCATGTCATACACCACGGCTCCGGAAGACGGACCATCTTGGATGAACAGGCTGCCGAGGATATCGTCGCAGTCCAAGTCGCAGGCTAGGACAATGTCCGACACCGAGGGCGACGAGCTCAAGATGCCGGACCTACCTCCAGGGACCTTGCCTCCCATCGGATATCCTGGCAACTTCCTGAGGCGTCAGAAGGAGGAGGATCAGCCGAGCCGGCAGGGCAGCCGCACGTCATCACTTGCAGCGCGCAGACGTAGGAAGAAGTGGGACGACGGCATTGGTCCTGGTGGTCCCGTGACTCAGTCGGCCATCTTCCCGCAACGACGAAGCCAAAGCGAACAGACATCAACCACCCTGCGTGACAGCCACTCGCCACATGACCCCGAGAAGGAGACACCATCTGCGTCTCGAAGGGGCTCGACAATGGAGGATCCCGAGAAACGGGCTGCTGAAGAGAGAGCCGTGGGCGAGGCCGAGGAGGAGCTTGAGAGAGAGGCAGCCCAGGAAGCAGCAGAGAACCAGCGATCGGGAGAGGCTGGTGGGTCTGCCCGCATGCAGTCTGAGATTGAGATCTATGATGAAGGCGATCACATTATCGTTGAGAACCGCGACGGAGACGTGATTGCCGTCGAGGCACCGATCGAGGAGGAGTACAAGGAGCACAAGGTGCAAGATCTGAAAGAGAAACTGGAAAAGGAGGCGGGACCGTCCCAGTGGACCTACGACGGGCTGAAGAAGAGGCTCGGCCACTGGCGTGACGAGGAGGTACAGAAGCGGAAGGACAAGCAGAAGAACGAGCGCCGCCACGAGCCAGCTCGCGCGTACCAGTTCGGCAACACTATCATTGTTGAGGACGAGGACGGCGAGGTCGTCAAGAAGTATGAGCTGCCGTCCCAGAGGGCAGAGGGCAGCGGCGCCATGAGCCAGGGGCTCAAGTATATGGGCATGGGCGGTCTGATCAAGGGCACCCCCAAGCCAGAGGCAGCCGAAGCAGCCGGCGCCACGACGCCCGAAGCACCCCAAGGAGGCCGGGCTAGGTCAGACAGCAAGCCCGGCGTGAGCCGGCGGCCGACGTGGGTCGAGGCCCTCGGCGGGCGGGGCAACGAGGCGCAGAAGGAGAAGAAGAAGAACGTGGCGGAGCAGGAGCAGGAGGACGACCGGCACATCCGGTTCACGATCGACGGCGTGGGCCAGCGCATGACCAAGGAGAACTTCATCACGGAGATGCGCAAGCTGGACAAGAGCACGCGCAAGGAGGTCATCGAGCAGTCCACCGCCTCGGAGCGCGTCAAGACCCTCGCCAAGCAGGAGGCCAACACCCCAGCAGAGCCCAAGTCCGCCCGCGGCAAGGCCATCAGCTCGCCGCAGCCCGTCGCCGGCCCCAGCTCCTCGGCGGCCCCGGGCAGCTCCTCCAAGCAGAAGGCGGCCGCCGCCGCCGCCGCGTCACCCGCCATGGCCGGCGGGCTCGCCGAGGGCGACTCGGGCTCGTCGCGCTCGAGCTCGTCCAAGGCCAAGGGCCGCGCCTCGCCGCCCGGCTCTTCGTCGTCCGGCAACGTGTCGCCCGGGGACGACGGGCAGCAGCGGCGGCACAGCGAGGACGCGCCCTCGCACGACGAGCCCGAGACGGCCGTCGAGCGGCGCCGCAGGCTCGCGGTCCTCAAGGGCCTCGGCGGCGGTGACGGCGACGACGACGACGGAGAGGGCGACGCTGGTGAGACGCCCGCTGAGAGGCGGCGCAGGGAGGCGGCGCTCGGTGGCGATGGGGAGGAGGAGGACAGCGATGATGACGACACGCCGCGGGTACCTCCTGCACGGCGAGGCATCAGGTTTGCCGAGCCGGAGAGAGGGCGCAAGTAAGGCTGGTGCAAGTGAAAACAAACGACAACCAAAAATGAGCGTGGGCAAACCCGCGGGGTGGTGTGCGCGCATATCCGATCTGCCTCCCCCACCTCCCACCCCCAACCTTCTCCGGGTCTTTCTTGGGGGATGCCTGTTATTGTGTGTTTAATGTCTTGGGCACCGGTCCCGAGGCTCGATGTGTGCGCGCGTCGGGACTCCGTTCGGCCGGGCCTGTTCATTGCATAGCGACGGGGATTCAGAACGGCTTGCTTTCTTCTCTAGATGTCGACTGAGTACTTACTTCTTCGGCTGTAGCTATATCTCCTTTTTATTATAGGCATGAGCTCGGGACGGGCACGAGTATGGGTGTTTATGAGACCCGTTTACGCATAGTTAATACATTCAAAATCTAGACTGTTGTCTTATCTTGTAAACATCTCGGATGTGTTTTCTGAAGTGTGGGGGCTTTGAACTAGAATGCATCAACTGGGCTTGCTGGGAAAGCACAACCATTTTGCATGAAGTGACCTTTATGTCTAAGCAACTGTCCAGTCCAAGGTCTTTGTAGGGCCGGGTGTCAGCGTGAGTTGAGAGTATATGTTACTTTACTCTATGTTGTTTATCTTTGTTCTCAGCATAGACTTCTCACAGGAGCCTACGTAGGTATTTGTTCTCAACAGAATTTAGATGAGCACAGTGATTCCTGAGAAATTCTTGTCAATGGGCTGTGTGTACTAGCTTTTGGGTTGTCCACTACGCGTCCAGGCGTCTATGGCATTATCCTCCCAGCTTCCCGTAGAATGTGTCTTGAGACAATATCTTTAAGTCCCGCGGGAGGACTTCGTATAAGTTACCACATGAGAGAGGCAGGTAGGTAGCTTGCCATTGGGGCTCGGTCCCTGTGGTCCGCGATGAGTGTCTTGTGTCTATGGAATTTGGGAACTGGGTCACTAAGGCTAGCTAGCACCAAGGGAGTGTGTGACCACCGACTTGCTTAGTCGGCAACGACACCATTGTTTTCTTTGTCTTTCTAGTTGCAGGTGAGCTAGCGTGAACGCAACTCAACACCATCACCCCTTGTTACAACCACGCCCAGTCGTGTCGCTAGCGCCATCAACTTGCGGGTCTTGTGGCCCGTGCACGAACTACGAAATGGATTTTAGAAGAATCCACTCCCGCTGGGAGTACCTTTTCCGCCAGCGTGAAGCTCAACCAGAGAAACCAAGCCTCGCCCAACTCTACACCTTCCCCCTCAATTTCCAGTTCGCGATCGAGGACGGCCTCTTCAGACAAGACCTTGCCGACCAGCAAACGGTTCCGCAGCAAGCGAACCCGCCGTCCAAGCCGACCGAATCCGCCGTCGAGACCGACGACGTCGACTCTGACTACGACTTTCTCGTCGACGACTTTGAAGCCGAAGCCAAGATGGTGCAGCTCGTCGAGGTTGAGGACGAGCACTTCCAGCACGCCCAGGAGGGCCCTGTTGAGGACGATGGCGACTTCACAGATACTGGTACGTTTTCAATTGCTTCATCTACCCATCACGCCCGTCCGTTTGCCTTTGCGCGCCGTGCGCTTGTGACGCAATCGGTCAAAAAATTGAAAGCCTCACCATCGACGGTCGCACTCTCATCGGCTGGCCCCCAGCACAACCCCCCACCAGCACCCCTCGATTGCCCACACCATCCAATCTCCTTCCCCAAAGCTTTCGTTTCCTCGCACCCAGCCCAGCCCAAGCTAACCTCCCTCGCCCAACAGACTCGGAAATCTCGAACGACTCCGACTACGACCCCTCGCAAGAGACCCTGGCAGAGCGCATCTCGGCCCTGCGCGACATCGTCCCGCCGACCACGCGCGCCTGGTTCTGGAACAAGTACCAGGCCACCCACCGCGTCGTCAAGGGCGTCATCTTCTTCGCCGGCCGCTCCATGTGGTCCATCTCCGTCTCCGCCCTGCTGATCGGCGTCCCCTTTGCCCTGTGCTGGGCCGAGGAGCAGCAGGTCATCGCCATGGAGCAGGAGGCCCGCATGCGCGAGATGGGCGCCGACGTCCTGACCGCTGGCGGTGGTGCCGGCGGCGAGGGCAGCACCGCCGACCTCGTCGGCCAGCACCTGGGCAAGGAGGGCGGTGTCGAGGTCAAGGCTGCCGGCCTCTGAGCGGCTTGACTGGTTGGTCTTTCTTTGTTCACTCCATCATGGGGGGATACGACAGACGGAAAGCGAGGCCTGCTGTGGTGAAGCCCTCGGGGAGGCAAGGTTTGCATCATCGCACTGTACAAAAAAGGACATCTTCGGCAAGGGCACGGGCAACGAACGGATGGATTGGTTCTACTCGCCCACCACTTGCACAACGACTTTGCATCTGAGAGCACGCTTTCATGAATCGGCGGTAATGACGGCAGCGGAAGCACAAGGAGTCTCTCATGGCTGGCGGACGATCACGAGATGTCGTGGCAGGTTTCTCCTCAACAAATGCGTGTTTGTACATTAGCCGAGAGCCTGCTCTGCAATAGCAACCAGGCAAAGGTTCAAAACGGGGGGGCGGCTTTTAGAACTCTCATCTCTCCCAAGACGGGGCTGCGAGATGGTTTCTCGTGTTCCATAGCCTTTCTTCTTCTCTATTTCCTCCTGTCTTTGCATGGACACGCCTCAGTCCGGTTTGGAGTACCGGCTGAAGGTAAAATGACAAATGGAAATGGAATCATGATGAACAAAATTCTGGCCAATGTGAGAAAAAGACGTCCCGTGACAAGTGAAATCGTGACATGTGATTGTTGGCACCCCTCGTTGGCGTTAGATGCGATGCTGGGTGGACAGACGGACAGGCCACGAGGGTACCCATACTCACTCACTCACTCGGTAGAGTAGGTAGTCAGTCCAGTGCTGCAGGCAGGCATATCCTCTTGGGAGGGGGAAAAAAAACAAAAAAAGCATTCGGGGGGCAAAAAGACCCTCCGAAGAGTCAGAAAACACCTCCGTCTTTTGCAGACCATCCACGATGTTTTACTGGTGCCAGCACGGCTTGAACTTGGGATTTACAACGCCGTAAACCGAAGCTTCGCTCCACCCAGTTGAGCCACGGTGTACTGGTGCTTGGTCCTAAATTCGTTTGTTTATGTTGCTAGGTGGTGGCTTGGATTGGTGTGAATCATAGCCCGGGGGCTGGGGGGGGGGGGGTTGGGATGGGTGGTTGCCACGAGGTGGGCGACGGGCGGGGCAGGCATCATTTCATCAAGTGTGCTCCTATGGGACTGTCTGTTTTCCGCATCGATCTCATTCATCGTGTAAATCCCCAGCAGTCATGCTCTCCCTCCTCGTCTTGGTGTTCATCACGCATTAACCTCGTGCCTGCCTTCTCACTGCCTCACACCGCGGCGCACCGAGTATCAATCACACAGGAGATGAGGGAGAAGGAAACAGGGGCACGTGACACGTATGCTTCATTCTCTAGAACGCCTTTCGATGTGCTGTTCGTGTTATCTAAGTAAGGGAAAGCTAGCCTGCAAGGGACTGAGTAGGGGGTATTTGTTTTGCATAGCAACGTCATCAAAAGAAAGAGAAAAGAGAACAGTCCACCCAAGCCTTCCTTCCAACACCCCTCCTATTTTGCGTCTGTTTGTTTCTTCCTTGTCGGAAAGGGTTTCAAAATTATTGCACGCCGACAGGGTGGTTGTCCAGGTCGACGGCCTCGACCATGGACCGCTGCTGCGCGCTGTCCCGCGTGAGGTTGGTGAAGTACTTGAGCGCGTCGCTGCTCTCCTTCTTGACCTTGAGCGTCTCCTCGCGCTTCTTGCCGAGCTGCTCCACCGAGCGCTGGAGGTTGAAGACGACGTGGTCCTTGGGCGTGTGCAGCACCTTGCGCACGGAGCCCGATATGCGGTGGGCGTTTTGGTGCGCGTACTCCATCTCCTCCAGCTGGGCCGAGATCTTGTTGGATAGGCGGTGGGGGAGGGAGTGGGGGATTTGGCTGAGGACGTAGTAGCCCGCCGCGATTGCTGTGAGGGCTTGTCAGTTTTGAGTCTAATGTAATGTGCTCGGGGAAGAAGTCACGTACCAGCAACAACCACGCCAGGGATGATCATCCTGCGCAGGTTGTCGTTGCCCATCACCCGGGCCACGCTCAGGGCGTGGTTCATCCAGCCAGCACCACCGATCATCTGTGTGCCAACTGCTGTGGCCACCGTCAGAGCCATGCCCGTTCCAGCCACCTTCTCTTGACGCTGCATCAGCGTCGACCAGTCAACAAAGTCCCAAAGCTCAGTCGGGATGTCGATCTGCTTGGCCAAGACGTCACGCCTGCGACGGAACATGACGTCTGGGTGGAAGTTGAGCCCGGTGTACTCGCTGCCCAAATGCAGGATTCCAAGCTGCTTAATCGCGTTGACGCCACCGACAGCCTTGCCACGTGCATACTCCTCACAGTCGTTGACACAGGCCTGGATGCCGTGCAACATCGCCTCCTTCAGATTCTCGGCGTAGTCAAACGCCTGGAAGAGCCCAGGGTAAGGGACGTCGAGATCCTCATCGGCATGCACAATCGCCAGATTCAGACTGCTGCGTGTGTGTTGATAGACGTCGTCGCAGGTCTCGTCTATCGTGTGGTTCACATCGTCAGTGATCTTGTTCTGGGCCTTCTTACTGGCTTCCAATTGTGGCTCGAGTTCTCGGAGCTCCTTGCCCACTCGCTCCAGCTCGGATTGGGCAACCTCTGCGTTGACGTTGGCCAGGGAGTGCACGTCGTTCAAGATGTTGAGCAGGTAGTGCTTGGCAGGCGCCAGCTTTGAACGTGCGCGCTTCTCCAGGACGAACCTCCGCAGCGACTGCTCGAGGTTTTGGAAGTCCTGGAGCTTCTCCTTGTCTTTGCCCTTGCCCTTGGGGTCACCACTTGGGTCATCACCCCCGCCGCCTCCGCTCGAACTGCCGCTTCCGCCTCCGTCAGGGCCACCGGGTGGCGAAGGTGCCACAGGGATCGCGTTACTCGACACGAAATGAACGAGTTCTTTTGCTTCCTTGGAGGTCCTCGGGCTGATGCCAGAAACTTGATCAAGAATCATCTTCTGGCATCTCTGCTGGTCTCTAATCATGTCGAAGCCGTTGACGACGATGAAAAGATACGCCTTCTCTGCCGCCGCTGCCCACAGGAATTCCTTGGCTGACTGGGTAAAGTGGTTGGCGGCTGAGACCACAAAGACCACGACATCAATCTCCTCCTGTCTCGCAAATACGGCGGTGGTCTTGGTCGTGTCCGAGTTGAGACCGGGGGCGTCAATAAGAGCGATGTCAACGACACCATTGTTGAGCAAAGATTCGTCAATGGACCGTACGTCCTTGACGTAGACCTTGCACATCATGTACGCGTCGTTGTCGATAACAATCTTTTCAAGTTCGTACAGGGCGTAAACGTCATATGTTGTTTCGTCATTTCGGTCGTAAGCGGCATCCTTGTGGACGGCATGCACCTCCTCAATGCCCGAGTTCTCCCGCGCATCCAGAACCTCACAGAAGATGCTCGTGCAGGGCTGCTGGTCTTCCGGCAGGACCTTCCTCCTCAGCAGTGCATTGCAGAAGGTAGATTTTCCAGCATTCAGATCACCGGTAACCAAGACCTTGCTGGCCGTGTCTTCGATCCGCTCCCGCAGGTTCAACAGGTGCTTGATACTGCTGCTGATCTTGCCGTCAAGGAGGGCGGCGATTGAGCCCTTCTCCAGAGAGTGCACCAATTGTGTCTGATGTAGAGCACCCAGCTTCAGGTCCAGCTTCAGCACCGAGAATTCCTGAGCGATCTGGGGGGTGACGAGCCTGGGCTCTGCGGCGGGGCGCCTCTCGGCTGCCCGGCTCGACTCGGCCGCGGCAGGGTCCTCTCCCCAGGTGGCGGCGCGCCGCATAGGTGGGGGCGAAGCAGATGAGGATGTGGCGGTGAAATCGTCTAGGTGGGAAAAGGTCTGTTGGTATTTGGGCCTCGGGGGCGACGTGGGTGGATTGTCGGACTCGGCGCGCTGGACGGAGGGGTAGTGGGCAGGCCACTTGACATTCTCCTGCTGGAGCTCCTTGAGGAGGTCGATGACCCTGTTGATGGCACGGTTGAGGGCGCCGCGGTGCTGGTTGTACCAGAGCTGGTGGATGGCACTCGGCTGCATGCGACGGTCGGAGCCGGCTGAGTTGGGCGTGTCGGCGTGTGTCGCCGAGTCCCAGACTGGAGAGCCGGGCAAGAGGGCATTGCCAACGGCACCACTGGCGGCAGAGCCATAGCCAGAGTCGCGTTCGAGAAGCTGCTGCAGGTGTGCTGCGTGTTTGGAGGTCGACCCGCTGCCGACAGTCATGTAGGCGGGCGGCCTCGCGTTGCTGCTGGACTGATTCGCGACGTCATCGGAATTGGAGGAATCGTCGTCGGGTCGTGCCACGGGCGTCTTGCCCTTGCCGTTGAAGTAGTCTTGACTCATTTTGATTCGTGCGTGTCCATCGGAGATGGTGGGAGAGGGAGGATGGTGGGAGGGCAGGAAGGGACGGCAACAAAGGGGACCGCCCAGGGTGACTCTTATTTTTCGCGGAATGGAGCTTCAATACCGTGACTTCATGCAAAGAGAGGCGGATGGCTCCACGATTTTTTGTCGGCAGCCATGGGTTGATCGGGGGGCGGACTTCGATGACATAAGCACGCCGAGGCAACGCGCCCGTTACCAACAGGCGACTAGACTTTCCGGGACATTGGGCCTGCAGCAAATATACTTAGTACCTAGGTACTGTAGCATGCAGTGAAAGCAGGTACGTATAGGCCCAGTCGTAGGGACCTTGGCGTGGTTTGCTGCAGCCTATCCCGGCAGCACGCCAAGTGGGCACACTTGGACCGAACCTTGGATCGCTGACGGTGACGAACACCTCCTCGCTGATCTCCATCGACAACAACAATACATCGCTTCCAGGCAGACTCACCCCAAGTATCAATCCCCTGCGCGACTTCGATCCATTTCGTCTTTTGTTGCTGTGGTCTCGCTGCAGCCCCCGCTCACAACATCGTCACCTCCTGCGACTGATAGCGCGATACTGATCTTATCACCCACGCCCACCCCGGCCCCTGCCCAAGAGCCATGAACGTGAGCATAAAAGCCGTCAGCAGCATGCCGAACTTGGATTTCTAACCATCGTTCCTGGGTTGCAGATCCTAGAATGGGCTTTCGGAAAGCGCATGACGCCCGCCGAGCGTCTACGCAAGAACCAGCGATCTCTCGACAAGGCCATCCGTGAGCTCGACCAGGTCCGGGTCAAGCTGGAGAAGCAGGAGAAGACGCTGGTCACGCAGATCCGGCAGAGTGCACAGAAGAACCAGATGGGCGCCGCGAAGATCCAGGCCAAGGACCTTGTGCGCACAAGAAGGTGCTGTCGCCCCTGCCGCCAGACCACATACGCATTGGGACGCCGGCTGACCATCGTTCCTCCAGATATATTGAGAAGTTCTACGGCATGCGGAGCCAGTTGCAGAAGATATCCCTGCGCCTACAGGTGCGGAACACAAGTTTCCTCCGGTATACGAAATGGAACAGCCTGGACTGACATGCGGCATGCAGACCTACCGGACGAACGAGCAAATGATGCAGGCGATGAAGGGCGCCACGATGGCGCTGGGAAGCATGAACAAGAGCATGAATCTGCCCCAATTACAAAGAATAGCCATGGAGTTTGAGCGCGAGAACGATATCATGGACCAGCGCCAAGAGATGATGGACGATGCGATCGACGACGCCATGGACACGGGCGTGGAGGAGGAGGGCGACGAGGTTGTCGAGCAGGTCCTGGAGGAGATTGGAGTGGACCTGAGCCAATCTGTAGGTGCCCGAGTGCGACTCCCTCTTCTATTAGATCTGGCGTACTGAATGTTTCTTTCAACAGCTTGGCGAGACGCCTTCCGGCTTGCCTACCACCGCTGTGGCCGAAGGCAAGGTAGCCCAGGCAGTCGGCAGCGGTGGAGGTGGATTCGATGCTGGCGATGACGACCTGCAGGCTCGCCTGGACAGCCTGAGGAGGTGATGCAACACCCAGAGCGTGACAAGTGGTCATCCTAACTACGAGCACATCTCGCTGACGGTGGTGTCACATGCCGGCGTTGGGGATATCATACTTGGGGGGTGCGGGGACAGGCAGCTGAGGCAGTGCCGTTTTAACTTCTGTGGTGGGAGGAAATGACTCGAAGTGCTGCTGTCTCCGCCCAAGGTCTAGTGGCAGCTCAGCCTTGATCTGGGATTCGTCTTCTCGTGAGTCGGGGTTGGGCGAGCGGCGCATACAGACACTGTGAAAGTCTTATGCTATGTGTCTGACGCTCCTTGTCGGCCTGGGACGGTGTCATTGCCCTAGCGAAATGCTATGAAGATTTATGAAGGGCAAAACAAAGACGAAACAAATCATTCTCAGTTTTGGCCAGCCCAATAAGGTGGCAATCGTTCAAGAACGTGCTCACCTAAGGTGGCAGATATATGCTAGGCAGCGGTATCATTGTATGCAGTACACGGCCACCTAGACCACTCGAGACTAGGTGGCAGGGTGGCAAGTACTGAGTATTCCGTGCTCCATACCTACCTGTACCCCGTACTCCATACTCCGTAGCTCCCATAGCTCCCATAGCTCCCGCTCCCTCTGTATCCACACCAGAGCATATAATGTGGGTAGGTGTGCGCAAGGTGATGTGATAAGCCAGGTTAGCACTGCAGCCAGTTGCATCCTGTTGTCCAGCCAGCAACCAGCCAGGTCAACAGGTCAATCAATACGGAGTATCCCTAATGGGCTGACAAGCAGTCCGAGGAACCCCACTGGCGGAGGAGGTACGGGTGATTGCCGCCTTAAGAGCTCCGCGGCGCTTATTAGCACCTGATATGCTGCATGCTGCATGCTGCATACTACCTCAGTACGTACTCGGGCATACGTACTGCTGTCAGTTGGATGCGTTGGGGAAGAACAGCCTGTGGCGGCGGGATTGTACGCCAACCAAATGCAGTCTAGGAAAGAGTGAGTGCATGTGCTTGGGTTAAGGTGAGGGACCAGTTTCCAACCCAAACCCAACCCAGTCAGTCAGTCAGTCAGTCAGTCCATGGCACCTCTGCCTTTCATCCTTTCCACCCTCCACCAGTCGGTTCTTGTCAGTTGCCAGTCAAAGTCGCAACCACAATCATTCATTCCTTTGATACTGCAAACAAGACCCCGCCCAGCTACCCGGCGTTTGTTTCACGCAGTTGCTTGTCCTCGCCCCAAGCTCCCAGGCTCCCTTGAAACCAGGACCCCTGCATGGGAGACCTGGCCGGGCTAACAGCCAGGAACATTGCATCATTACATCATCCAGTCTTTTGTCACCTCCAAGACCCGGACCCCCCAGATCCACCCTCGAGTTGTCATTGTGCCACCCTTGGACCTACATCCAGAGCAAAGAACACCGCGCTGTCTGTCTGCTCCCAGCTCCATTCTAGCCTTGCCTATCTGGCCACTGTGGGCCTGTGTCAATAAACGGCGCCCTGTGAGGTCACGAGTAGAGGTCAGTGAAAGCCAAAGTCCTTTTGGCCCTGCGTGCCCGCCGCCTAGGCCGCCAGGCCGCAACCCGATTCAGTTGTCTATCTATAGCTCACCTGCGCTGGGGCTGGCTCCGCTCCGCTGCTACCGCGGGGAACCCCTCGCCCTGCAACCAGCAAGCTGCACACCTAACTACATCACTGCCCGCATTCCTAAAGCAACCTCCACAGCCCAACCCTCAAACCCACCCAACCCACCTGCTGATCTCACCACGGTACAGAAGTCAAGTCCGGCAAGGACTTGATCGCTTTTCTTGTCTGCGCGCAATTGCCGTCCCGGCTTTTCCCATCGACGATTACCCGCGACAGGACACAACACACCACAGCGACACCTGCGAAAACGCTACGCGCCCAACACCTACTACTCCACGCCAGCCTGCACCCGCACAACGTCATCCCGCCCACGACAGCAACCACAAACCCCACACCCCCAATCACCTCCATCCCTAAGCAACCTGGCAGGATCCAAGCGGCGCAGTCTCTCCTCGACCGGAGGTCTGCTGTTCAGTAAGATGTTCGGCGGCTCATCCGGCTCCTCGCCAAAAGCAGAGAGCAGTCCCAACACCACCGCATCCTCCAACTCAAAGACAGATAACACGTCTCCGTCCCCGTCTCCCGAATCTCCTGGAGGCGCTGCCGAGAACGGCTCCGGTGGCGTCTCTCCCATCTCAACCAAGAACGCCGAACAGGTCACGACCGGGGAGAAGCGCAGCGGCAATGGCAGCCCTCCGAGCACCTCGGCTACGCCCAAGAGGAGGAGCAGCGGCGTAAGCGGAAAGGCCAGCAGCCTCATTGCGAGCGCCAAAAACACTCTCAATTTCGCTCAGGGCGGTAGGTCCGGCAGCGACGCCGGCTCCAATCAGACGCCCATCCAGAAGCTGGGTAAGGAAGACCCATCCCTTGTCGTCCCTCAGGGCCAACACAACAACGCTGCCGGCGAGTCACTCCCAGGCCCCAGGTCTACGTTCCGCGTTGGCGTGTGGGAAGACAGGAACAAGAAATGCCGGAGGACCATGGAAGACACCCACGCATTCCTCTACAACTTCCTCCACACCCCTGCACCTGCTCTCGCTTCCGAGACGGGAAGCGCCAAGTCTCAGGCCTCCTCCGACGAGGCCAACTCGCAGGCTCGCGGCGAGGGCATGATCGAGACCGACAACGGCTACTTCGCCATATTCGATGGCCACGCTGGCACCTTTGCCGCGGACTGGTGCGGGAAGAAGCTACACATCATTCTAGAAGACATCATTAAGAAAAACCCGAATGTTCCTATACCGGAACTGCTGGATCAGACATTTACGACCGTGGACGCCCAGCTCGAGAAGCTACCCCTTAAGAACAGCGGCTGCACAGCTGCTGTCGCGGTGATGCGTTGGGAGGATAGGGTGCCTAGCAACTCTTCTCAGACGGGGTCCCAGTCGATCGCTCCAGCACTGGCCAAGGCCGCAGAAAAGCCCTCTGAAGGGGCTGACGCGAAACCCGAGGCGGAGCACGCCAAGCTCAAGGGTATCGCATCAAGACAACGCGTTCTGTACACTGCCAACGTCGGCGACGCCCGGATCATCCTGTGCCGCTCCGGCAAGGCCCTGCGTCTGTCGTACGACCACAAGGGCAGCGACGAGAATGAGGGGAAGCGCATCTCCAACGCCGGCGGTCTCATCCTTAACAGCCGGGTCAATGGCGTTCTGGCGGTGACTCGGGCGCTTGGCGATTCCTACATGAAGGACCTGGTCACCGGGCACCCGTATACGACTGAGACAGTGATCCAGCCCGACATCGATGAGTTCATTATCATTGCGTGCGATGGTGTAAGTCGTCCCAAACCCCCTTGCCTTGTCTCTCCGAAAATGCTGACAGTGCCCCCCAGCTCTGGGATGTGTGCTCTGACCAGGAGGCATGTGATCTTGTGCGCAACGTCGAAGACGCGACGGCAGCCTCGAAGCGTCTGGTAGACCACGCGCTGGCCCGGTTCAGCACGGACAACCTGTCGTGCATGATCGTTCGGTTCGACAAGGACGCACTTGTGGAGAGCCAGGCAAACAGGAACAGCCGCCTCGGCGTCGAAGGAGATGGCGTGCCTGCCGGTGGCAAGATCAGTGAGACAGAAAAGATCGTCAGTGCCGCGAAAAAGCAGATTGCAGAAGGAGGCCCTGCCGTGGGCGTGTCGGCGAGCAACAGCGGCAGAGGTCACGATCCCATACCCCCGCTGAATGACGAGAGTGGGGAATCGTTCACGCCGACGGCGATCGAGGGCACCGTGGAGGAGGAGCCTGCGCAGGTGGATGGCGAGGCGGCGGAGCCTGCGTCAGCAAAGCCCGTGGACTCCAAGGACGTCAAGCTGGATCCGGCACCGAAACAGTCTTGATACTGCTGAGAAGATGGACCAGCATGGTGGCTCTCTTGTTCCGGACATGTTTTGTTGGGGTTTTTACAGGTCTGAAATCAATCAGTAAGGCGCCCTCGAGCAGCACCGCAAGGAAAGGAAAGGAGTTTGGCAATAAGGGAGGCTCCACCGTGGAACACAGTATGATGCGATGAAGAGAAACAAGAGAGTGTGTGTGGACATTGTTCGGATTTCAGGCCGGTCCGCCCGGCTCTCTTGGCTCTGCAGGGGAGGGGGAAAAGGCAGGCCACGAGCAGAGAGGGAGAAGGCACAGGCGAGAAGAAACGACTTTGTCAGCTGTCATTATGCTTTTTACACGGGCGAGGAGACACGGGCAGGCACATGAAGGTCGCGAGTGATGTATTATGTGTATGCTTTGCAGCATCCCTAGGTATGCCTTTATCCTCTATTTCTGATGCCGTGCAAGATCCCAATTGAAGGTGGCCTGGTGTGGGCGCGCGACCGTACAGTATAGTATCTCCCCTTCGAGGAAGGGTTCTAGAAGGACCCGGGCTGGGCGTGAGCGTTGGATGGAACGGTCTTGAAACCAGATGCGATCGATCTGCCATATCGGTGCGGGAGGCTGCATCACGATGGCAGATCGATTATTGCTTTTTTTTGCTTTTTTGCTTTTTTGCTTATTTATATATATATATATAGCTTCCCATATATTGAACCTTCTGACCTTTCTATTATACATCATCATCGATCTAACTTCGAGAGCATGATCCCTACCCTCTCGCCCCCCCCCCCCAGGAACGGAAGTCCGACTTTGACACATGAGACGAAGCCAAATATTGGGAGGACGGGGAGGAAGGGAACCGAGCCCAGGGCCCTGGGATCTGGTGGGAGAGGCTGCCGCCCTAGCCGCGCCAGGTTGGGGGGGGGGGGGTGGTCCCAAGGTTTGGAACTGGGTTGGGTTGGTTGCTGTGGGTTTGGACGTTTCCGCACTGACCACCTGCTCATCATTCGGGACTGTCTCAGGGGAGAAACCCTAATAGTAGGTGTGTGTTTTGCTTGTTGTAGAGCGTGTGTGTGTGTGTGTGGTTGTGTGGCGTTTGTTGCCTGCCTGGCTGTTACTTTTCAGATCTACGCCCACTATACTATGTATTATTACTCGGCCGCCCAGCCCGATCGTGACGTTGTTTGATCCATCCGATCGGGAACTCCTAAACCGTAGATAGACTTCCCATGCGCAATGTGGCTGTGACTCTTAAGTACACTACTTACTTACTCTGTCTGTCGATCGACCCTCGTCAAGCTGGGCCGAAGCAGCCGGACCTGCAAAACTGGTACCCAAAAAAAATCACTGGGCCGTCTGTTTGGTTGCTCTCTGCTGCACGGTACTTACTTACTGGCAATGCTTGATATCCACCCGCCCACCGTAGCCTGGCTGGCTGTAAGATGGGCAAATGCAAGGGCAAATAACGCCGTGGGGTGCCGTCGCACTCCCCGAGGATCCCTCGAGGCGGGGCTCTGGTTTGTCCCCAGTTTTGTGACGGGGACAGAAAGAAAGAGGGCGCTTGCGGATTTACTGTGTAGGGAGGGGCAAGTCACGGAGGGAGTAGATAGGTACGGTGCACAGGCCGGGGATCGAAAGGGGAGAGAGAGGGCAACGGGCGTGGTGGAGGACTTGCGGTGGTGAGCGACGTGTCACTTTTATCTCGATCCGATGCCTTGTCCATGCAGGTGTGAAATTCGAAGGGTCTAATTCCATGTACGTGAGCGGGCCGGCGCTGTTTGGTTTGCGCAAGAGAGAAAGTGTGTGTGTGTGGGTTGGATGAGGTGGTGACTCTGGTGAGTGAGTGAGTTGTACCGTCTAAAGTGTACAGTTCAAGGCGTACAAGACACGGTGCGGCGGCCGTGGTTCAGTAGAGAGATGGAGGACACAATAGTCTCCGCGGGCGGGCCAAGAGGGCAGATGAGCAGTGACAAGGCCTTGGGGATGGGGCCCTCAGTGTTATTAGCCATCAGCCACTAGCCAACGAAATATGTGGGTTGGGAGGAGGGAGATCATGCATGCACGTCGTCTGGCCCGCTCTGTTGATCCGTGGATCGGCAGGTTCATATATACGCTCACGCACGTGGCAGGGATCCGACGGGTTTGTCAAGAGTTATATCTAGTCGAAACAATGACCTGGCGGGGGAGGGGGAAAAGGACCAGAACCAGGGGAAAAGAGTTGACAGTGACAGTGAGTGACAGGTGCGGGATGCAACGGCGAGAAATTGGGAGGTCAAAGGCATGCATGCATGCGGCTCTCGCCCGGTCGTCGTCGTCATCAGAGGGACTCGTTCATTGGGCATTGTCACCTCTGCTCAGGTCTGTGGTTCATTTCATGGCGGGGGGCGGGCCTCGGGAAGGGGATGGGGCGCCGCGCATACGGGGAGAGGGACTCGGAGGGAGAGGTACGGAGTAAAGGCACTAACTAATAAGTAGACTAATAACGCACACTTGTAAAGGGGGCGGGCGTGAGGGCCAGGGCCAGTGAGCGAGCGGACTCGAGTGTTTTCGGGTGGGGACGATCGATCAAATGTCGGGCCGCAAATTTGATTGTACCAAAAGAGTCTGAGGGTGAGCAGATGCGAGATGGTTCCTCAGTAATCACAGTTCATGTCCGAAGTTCACGCGGCTGCACGTCTGCACGTACGTGCTTACATGCTACTGTGGTAGTACAACTGTCAAGCACAGCTCAGTTGGAGGACCCCGAGACGCCACAGCAGGGAGCCCCCTGTCTGGGCGGGCAGCGCCAGAAGTCCCAAACGCGTTGTGGCCCCCCAGACTCCAGACGTCCGTCCTATCTAAAGCAGACTAGTAGTAGTGTAGGAAGGTGTCTTCAATCCGAGTGCATACTGTTATTAGCAGGCCGCTTGTATGGGTAAGTCACTCAGTCAGGTCTTGTTGTCTTCGCCTTGGATCCTCGTCCTTGTCCGTGTTCGCGGTCACGTCCCTCTCGCCCATTAACACGCACACCAGCAGCCAGCCTCACGCGTCCAAGCACGTATTTGCCGAGTATACACAGACCTATTGGTCCAGATTATCACATCATCAAACATGCTCCTACCGTACCAGCGGGACCTACCTATAACCTAGTCGATATAGATAGAAATACGTACGCGTTACCAAGCACAGCTTGCAGGCCAAGGTCTGTTTCGGACGAGTCAGAAGCGAGTCCTGCGCCGCCTGTCATATCTCCCCCCACAATTATCCAAAGAGCTTCTTTTCCGACAAACCACTTTTGCTTCCTTCCCGCAGGAACGAGCTTGCCGCACCTCTGCCGCACCTGGCTGCCCAGCCGTCCGTTTCTCCAACTCTAATAATTCTCCTTTTGGGAACTTTACACTACACTAGAATAAGATGGTATATAGCTCGCTTAAAAAACACTAAAGCTTGCTTAAAATTAATAAGAATAAAATAGCTAAAATAGGTAAAAATTAATATAAATAAGGATTAAATAAGAATTCTATACCTAAAGGTAGGTATAAATATTTTATAAGTTTATAAAAAATAAATATATAAAAAATGTAATTTTATATTATTATAAATAGATAATATAATATATAAATAAATATATTATAATAGCAATTTAATTATATTAAAATTATATTTTAATTAAATTATAATTACTTTATAATTATAATATAAATATATTTTAAATATAATTATAATATAATTATAACTATTTAAAAGTTTAATTAAACTTTTATACTAATAATATAGGTAATAAGGTATATTATTTTATATAAATAGTATAAATATTATATAAAAGGTATAAACTATTAAATAAAGACTTTAAATTTAATTTTATATATAAAATAAAATATATTTAAAAATAAATATAGCTAATATAAATATTAAATAAAATAAAATAAAATAATAAAATAATTTAATTAATAATTAAATAAAGTAAATTAAAGAATATAATTATAATTTAATTTTAAATATAACTTAAAGTATATTTTAAATATTTTATAATTATTATTTTAAATATATTTTAAACTTTTATTTAATAATTTATATGAATATATTTAATATTTATAAAATAATAATATAACCTTTTAAGTAGTTTATATAAATATATTATATATATTAAAAATATCCCTTTACTTTATAAGGGTAGTTTAAAGGACATATTAATAAAATATATAAATAATATAAATATAACCTTTTATAACTTAAATAAAAATTATATATAATATTATTATTTAGGAATTAGTTTTTAAATTTTTATATATTTAAAAATTTAATTTTATAATATATCTAATTAATATCTTTTATTTCCTTTATAAATTTAAAATACCCAATTTATCCTCTTTATAGCTTCTAACCCCTTTATTAAAACTATAATATTAAAAATTTATAAAAAATATTAATAAAAGGTAGTAAAAACTTATAAAATAAAGTTTAAGCAATTAAACCTACTATTTATATAAATAACTTATATTTATAATAATATTAAACTTTAAATTAAATTTATTAAAAGGAATTTTAATATAAGTTAAACCTTTAATAAGCTATTATAAAATTTTAAATAAAATATATTTAATAGCTAAAGCTAGCCTATAAAATAAAATTCTATTATTATATATTAGGTTAGGTATATATTATTAATATTTAACTACTTTAATAATAATAAATAAAGTATTATTATATTTATTAATATTTAAAATTATAAGTAAAATAAAGCCTTATAACTATATAATAATATAAATAAAATAGGCATTTTAAATAATAATTAAAGGCTTATTATAAATATAAATATAGTTTAGTTTTATTAAACTATTTAAATAAAGGGTTAAATATTATCTTTTAAATAATATAATATATACTTTATAATAGTATTAATATACTAAAACTATATTTATTTTTACTTATATACTAAGTTATAATAACCTTTTATTAATATAATAAAGGTAATAAAGAATAAATAAAAGAAGATTTACGTTTAAATAAAAACCTAATATATAGATAGAGATTATAAAGTATATAATTTATATATTTTATAATAGTATAATAACTAATATTATAAAGCTAATATTATATAATAAAATAAACTTTTAAAATTAAAATATTATATTAAGATTACTAGAATAAAAATAGTAATAGATTATACTATTTAATGCTTATTAAAATATAAAATAAAATAAGTAAAGTATATAAAAGCTATTTTAAATTTTATTAATATTATATATTAAATAAATATAGATTAAATAAATATAAACTATTATTTAATATATTAATTAAAAACTAATAATTTAAGAGGCTATTTTTTAAAATTTTAATAGCTAGTTAAAATAATAATATATATTACTTTAAGGAATACTTATAATATTAAAAGATATTAATATATATATATTATAAAGTGCTTATAATAAGGTTTAAAAGTGTTATATAAGAGTGAATAAGTATAATAAGTAGTATTTAAGGGTTTTATAGGTATAAAAAGACTAAATTTAAATTATAAATATAAACTATCTTTAAGGCTAAAATACAATAATTAATAGAGACTATTCCTAAATTACTTTCTAATTTTATATATTTAAAGTATAAAATATAACTATAGAAATACTTATAACTATTTATAGAAAATATATAAACTATTAATTTAACCTAGTTAATAAGACTTTAAAA